ACAGATGTCTCATGTAAACACAGATGCCGTGAATACAATTGTGAATTGCATACTGCGGAACTGTCTATCTACACCAGCCAGTTCCTCCGTATATATAGACTTGTTTATCACCATTATCACCAGTGATAATGTCGATTATCACTCGTCGTTCACCGAAGGCTGGTGATAATCGTGATTATCACCCTTGGCGCTAGTGATAATCTGACTCCCCCACTTTTCCGTTCCTAGTGGTTGGACGGGTCGCGCCCCGCGCTCCCCACTTATGTCAGGTCCGTGACAAGGGTAGTATAAGGCACAGAATAGAGCCTCGCTGTAGCTTTGAGGCTTAGCTTAGGGTTATTTTTAAGGGCTTCAAGTGCAAGAACAACTTTTGCCTCAACTAGAATCGAAGACATCTTAGTATGGTAGGAGGAAATTGATGTTGCAGGTAGAGAGCTGTATTGCGTGCGAAATCGATCCACTCGCTTATCCGATCCGCTCGCTTATCAAATACGTTACTCTCAATACTCATGAGGGGTTGTGCTGATAATTGCCATCAACACCAGGCAATCGAACGTTGGTTAAAGCGAGCCACTTCTTTTCTGTGGTGGTGGGTGGACCTCAGCAATCGCTTTCCGGTCTTTTAGGACTTTATTGCATGAAATAATCGCCGCCTCACCGGCACTCGCTCCGTTATTGTTGGCGGAAGCCTGGGAGAAAGCTCTGAACCTACCATGGCAAGCCGAGAGCGTGCGTCTTACGATCAGCAACTCGATAGTTGAGGCAGCACTTCAAGAAGTAATCTGCGGCGAGAAGTACTCCAACCACTGCTTCTGCATCTTCGTTGATGCTTTGAACGAATACCAGGATTCCGAGAAGCATGATCAAGCGGACCTCGTGGATATACTTCATGAATGGGCGCCATCAACACGACGCAACATCAAATATGCGTTGCTAGTCGACCCGAACCTGTATTTCAGAACAAGTTCTCGGTTGAAAGTACATTATACCTCCATGACCTTACACTGTACGATGTGCAACGCTATGTTGCTAGCGGATTGTCAAAGCTCGATGAAGTTGTTCGGAACCAACTGTCAAAAGATATTCCAGGAAAGGCACAAGGGATCTTTTTGTGGACACATCAGGTTGTTCGAGAAATTAGGGAAGACTGGGAGGTCACACACGACGTCGATGTCAAATTCTAGACAGATTCCCGGCAGGTCTACGCCCTCTACTGGACCGCACTGTAGCGACCATCCCTGAACGGTATCGCCAACGGGCCTATCTAACATTCCTGATGCTTATCCTCATGATGGACCTCGAAATGACGTTTACGTCTCTTCAATATTCGTTCCTGGATGATTATTGTCGGGACCCGTCATTTGCCTACACCATGGCTGTTACAGACTGGCGCGAAATCGAGACGGAAGACGGGAGACTCCAGTCGATAATCCGAGAGAGAATGGAACGAGCGGCTGCGCAGCTATATGGTTGGCGCAAAGGACTGGTACAAATGTCATCTTTTCACGATAGCTTTGGCGAGCGCCAATTTGGAGTTATATTAATCAGCTGGTTGAGGTTTACTCACCGATCCATCTTGGATTACTTCAACGAGCCCTTGATAAACCAGCGGTTGTTCAGTGTTGTGGGAAGGTCTCAGCTAATTGAAGCCAGCTCCGAGACTCTTCTGACCGAATTCACTGTCAATGGCAGTGTCCATCGATCGATACCAGATTACTCGAGTTCCCAATGGTTTGCGCCCTGAATCAAACTACGCACTGAGCCTGAGATGGACAAAGCCCCGTACAGGTTCTTGAAGCATTTCCAGACCGTCTTCGAGCTTACTCTGTTGAGAATTCTGACTATACTGGCAGCCGACAACCAAAAATGGATCTCCACAAATGTCTTCGTGGGTTATGAACTCATTGGACGTCTGAATAGCTCCCGTGGTCTGCTTGCGGATGTACGTATTGATTTGAGCGGTAGCCCGCTTCTGCAACTGGCGTGTGCCCGAGTCCTGCACTGGCTGATCTAGTATTGAATGATGTTGACCACAGTTTCGGATCCAAACTCGATGCAGAACTGATTGCCATAACAATGATGTGGGCATTAATCTGTGGAATATGGTCTGGCAGCCAGTTCGTTCCAGGCACAGTCGAAACTTTTGCGACAATCTTGAAAGCCAAATGGGAATACATTGACACAAAGACCCAGTTTCGGCCGGCTACGATGTACGGTGACTTTTGGTCACGGGACAAGACAACCGTTTGGCAACAATATTTATTCTCTGAGCTGCATGCCATTAAAGTGCTAGGCGTTCCAACCTGGTCTGAAAAACACAGCATGGAGTTCGGGCAAATCTTGCAGGCATATCTGTTGGCAGGCGCCCCTTCTCTGTGCTGGATAACTTCTCTTGATGAGACGCCAGAGTACCCCACCGATCGTGTTGTGCAGCTAGAGATGATATCTAATCAGAAGGAGACTGCGTGTGTACACGCTGTTGTTGGGGGTCGCCCGGGTTATCTCCCAGTTAACACAGGAGCAAAATGGTCTTTGCGGGAATGGATCGACTGCAGCGATGCGCCCAACAAGAGCACGTTGCTGAAGCTCATCGATGAAAGGGCACCCAGTGAGCACACCAACCAGTCGCTCTCGAAAAGAAATCCTGCTAGAGCGTGGGGACCGGTATCCCCGGAGACAGAAAGGTCAGGAGCGGGGAAGATGACCGCGTCCCTGGCAGTGCTTTTTATGGGTAAGCCGCCTCCATCTTGTTCCCGTTGAGCCACATATGGCACCTGGGATACTTTTTACCGACTTTTAAAGCAGGGACTCTGGTGGTTGGCGTTGTTTTTGGATTCCTTGTGCTATAGAGCCCCATCATACACAGAAAAATGAGTTGGATCTTCGGAAAGCCTTGTCCACTCTTAAAAGAACCTTTCAATCACCCCGCAGCCACCTTCTCGCCAAACCTGTTGCTTCTGCCGCAGAGGCACAGGTGAACTTGGTGTAGGGGGATGAGAGCATTGGGCATAGAAGCCCAAAGATGTCAACTACGGGACATATTGAAACTTTTAATCTGGAGACACCAAGGGTCTAATTAAGGAGGGGAGGAAGAAATGGATGGGAGGACAACAGCGGAATGCTGCAGCGGAGCGAAACTCAAATAGCCAGAGGGGAGATGCGCTAGTATAATTTCACTATCTATAGGTATGTAACTTCAAGACATCTTCTTCAAGATTGGTTGCCATGACAACGTGGACCCCAGCCCAAATAGCCCCTGAACCCCTGAAAGCAAAAGTGGAGACCTGGGGACAAAGTCTTCAGCGCGGTTGCCTTCGAGGTATATACATAAGAAGCTTGTGTGGGGCACCTGACAAAGGGCCCGGGTTTCACCAGACCCACACCTCTTTGCTCTTAAGGTGGATTTTCCTATTTGTTTACTTTTGAACTGAACAACTAACAGCTTACGGTAATAACTATTCTGTCAACCAATTTCTGGCCTTTTGGCCCTTATCTTCGCAGGCAGTGACTATCCTTGGCCACCGCCCCACAGCTTGTCATAGGACTTATGCGCTGTAAGAGTTGTTGGCCTTGGATATTGTATACGAGGTTGCTCCGGGAATAAGTCGATGCAGCGGGCTGCATGGAACTTTGTGTAACGGCCGCCCGGAGATCGACTGTTGTGAGCTATGACGTCGAGTAGCTGTATTCAACTGAAGGTATCTAAGCTCATCATCACTGTTGACTGTTTGAAAATTGAATCAAGATGTATTGTGCGGATTGAGATAGTTTTATTGCTACGTTTTATTTTGTTTTTATAGTTTAGCGATGGAGAAAGATGAGCTTATCTCTTTGATAATATCAATCATTCATTCCTCTTCTGCCTTGGTATATCTCAAGCATTCGAGACTCATGTGCGCGCATCTTTGCTGCGGTTAGGCACGACGACCAAGTGCCAAGATGTGAAGATCGTATTCTAGTTAAAGATGAACCTCGTGATATTTCGAATGATGATGCCCGGGCTTTGTTGGCCGGATAGTGCGTGTAATCAACCGATGTTACGCTGCAGCTGCGTTCGTTTGTAGCTCCACTCAACGCACGCCAATCTAGGCACTTGACACGAGATCAAATGATAGGAAAAATATGGGAAGCTCGGCGGTGTTACTCAGCATGTTCATCGATATACGAGATCCTGCGGAGTTGAGAGTCACATTCCACTTTACTCCTTCTGTACTGTTGTCAGACGTACTGATCATGTTACACCCACTAAACTCTACGGCCGCTCATCCGCGAGAGACCGAAACAAGCTTTCACTTTACGAACTTCAAGTTCCACGACAGTTCGGTCACCTCACAATTTTCCGTATTCGGGAGCACCGCGTGGCTGATCGTGTTGCTGAATTTGCTTGCTGGAAGTCCCTGGATTTGACGCTGCACAGCAAGAGACCCTGTATTCGGGGCTTAGCTGACATCATGAAGCGCGTAGACTATGGGGGCCCGCCGAATATAAAAACGTCATCACAGCCATTCTGACTCGTAATTAACTCCGCACCACAACGCTCTTGAGCATCTTACATCAACAACAGCTACCAGCTACCTACATACCTACCTATTCCAACAAATCTTTATCATGGCTCCTATCTCTCTTCTCATCATGGCGCTCATGCCTCTGCTCGCCCTTGCCATGCCCACAGCTATCCCCGCGACAGCGTCCGCAGTCGACGTACCCGGCAACGTTTTAGTCTGTACTGGCGAAAATTATATGGGAGAATGCCAAACCGTTCAGTTTAATATCGAATATCCTGGCGAATGCCTGCCTATTCCGGAGCCGTTCAAGAACAATGTGGGGTCATTCAAGCCAGACCGTGGTGCCATCTGCCGTCTTTTCGCCGCCGATCGGCCAGATTGCACCGGCTCCGGTCTCTCGATCTTGTATTACCCTGGTCAGGCGGATCTTCTGACGGACAATGGAGAATATATTGCCGGGCATGAGGCGACCTATTGGAGGTGCCAGACGTGCACTGGCTGCACCTAAGCGTAGAGTGTGATGAGTTGGTAGGTAAGTTACCAGACTCGGTTCAACTTTCAGGCAAGGTAAAGAGCTAACCACCTGGAAGCTAGAAGTATGTGGAGTGAGTCACGACAGTGATACTTCAGCTCGGAAACTATTGTTATGGGATATGGGGATATGCATGTATGTGAGATGACGATGAGGCTTATGAAGGCTTAATATAGATTTAATGTAATAATGCTCATTTACAACAGAGATTCTCTGTTCTTTGGTCTTCCACGTGAAGATCCGTTGTCTCATACCGACCCTTCAAAAGCCTTGACACACAATACCGCCGCCACAGCAGCAACACTCCCCAGCAAAGCCATTTGCACACCCTCCCACACAGCTCTTCTCAACCCTTCTCTTGCCAACGTCTTCCTCATCAACGCCCTTGTCATTCCTTGTCAGAATAAAGTCCTTCCCAAAGCCCAAGAGAAACAAAGCGACCACACAAACCCCAAAGCTCCACGCAAATCCCACATGTATATTCTCCATACCGAAAAAGAAGTACGGAAACAGGAGCAGTATCCCCCCAAGTAAATAACCAAAAGACACAGCCAACCCTGTCACAATGGGGCTCTCCTTCACCTCCTCAGCGGCCTTCTCCTCGGAGTCTTGACACCGGCGACGAGAAGGAAGCAACCCATCGCTGCTTGATACCTCCTCTTTCTCTCCCTCTTCCGCCTCCTCCGCTAATGGTGACGAAGACCTGACAGAGGTAGAAAAAGGGCGAGCAGCTAGATAGCCGCTAATTCCCATGCTGATGCTACCTGCACAGATCTCCGCCATCCCGGCGTAGATTACTGTGCGGGTATTCCCAGTGAGGATAGGCCTGCTGTGAGGGCAAAGGGAACGGTGAGGCCATCTGCGAAGCCGAGGGTGAAGTTTGAGAGGAAGGAAGCGAGTGTTATGGTGGGCATGGTAAAGGTTGAGGGGGAGGTGATGAGCTCGGGGAGGTCGGTTTCTGTGATTGGGAAGAGGAAGAGTCTGAAAACCGCTCCGTGGAGAGGGATCTTTTGCGGAAAGAGGAGGAGATGGGGATTGATTCGTAGATTGGGAGGTTGTTCTCAGAGCTGGACGGAGAGTCACCTCTGATGATGCGGCTGAGCTTTTGGGACAAGGATACTTGTGGTTGTGACATGTTGTTGGGGAGGAAAGTTTTATATCAGTGTGGAAGAGTGAAATTCGGGAAGTATCAAGGGACGGCTGATGAGGTCAGGAATGAGGGAAGCCCGTCATCTTTCTAATCTCTTGTCCAGAGCACATCTGTAGCTTGAAGCATTTCCTGTCCATCAGAAGACTCTGACACCAAGCCATGACATCCAACCACTACCATCTCATCCGCGGCTGTCCTGCAAAGGCATTGAAAATGCATGTAATGCCATCGGTTCAGCCATCCCCCACGTCCATGTGCAGCAAGACAATATTACTAGCGCCACGGGCCGCTGCAACTTCAAGCCATCAAGTCCAGTGTCAAGACAGCAGCTACACACGTGTAGAGTGCTATTGTTGGTACACTAGGAAATCGTATCTTGGGATTCAGTGAGGATATCGGACATTTACAATACACACGTGGGCCGGATTCTCTATGATGCGTTCCTAGTCTATGCCCGAAGCAATGACCGAGAGACAGGCTTGAGGGGAATAAAAGCTTGTTCAGGCGTTGTAAAATGTTCTTATGTGTGGGGTAGGCTGGTAGTAAGAGTGTGATTGATATCAGTTGGTTGATCTTGATTTGTTGGGCTAGTGGCCTAGGAAAGTCACTGGCCGCGAAAAGAGAGGCCAAAAGGCCAGAAATTGGTTGACCAAATAGGTATTACAATATTGGTTGTTGGTTGTTCAGTCTAAAAGTAAACAAGCAGGAAATCCGGCCCTAAAAGCAACCCAGGTGTGGGTCTGGTGAAAGACAGGCCCTTTGTCAGGTGCCCCACATGAGAGTTATGGCGCGATGAGAGAGGCGCATCGTACATACAACATTGAGTGCTATCAACACCGCATAGAACGTTCTTGCGAATGTGTAGATAGTTGCATTCAGACTAGGCCAGAGGCCTTCAAAGATGGCGTCGAAGTAGAAGACCTCCTCACACGTGCGTCGAAGTTGGGAATGTCATTTGTCGTCCGTGCTGGAATCGAGCACGGAATACTGCAACTGGGAATATCAGGATCACATTTCAACTCGATTTAAAATTAGTTTACAGTTTCTGAAATATCGGGAGACGGTTACTATAAAAGCTCTAAACTATATCCATTTAATCCGTTTGCTTCATCTACTATACTCCCAGTGTCCCATTGTATATTCGTATTCTCAATGGCTTCGTACTTACCCAATTTCTTAGCATTAGCCGCTACCATTACGGGCCTAATTACTGCAGTAAAATCATTGTTGTGACCTTCCGGTAGGAGGGTTTAGTTGGGAGGCTTCCGGAGAGGCTCCTGGGGATGCTCGGTGAGGAGGGTCCCGGAGGAGGCTTTGGGGAAGCTCTTCCGGAGGCTCACCTGGAGGCTCCAAGCGTGGCTCATGGCGCAGACACCGGAGGCACACGGGAGTGAGACTCTTGGAGAGAGTTTCTGGCAACGGAGGATGCGGAGTGACTCGAAATGACCGGTTTTCTTATGGGAAAAGCAGCTTCGAAGGGTCACGCAACATGCTCCGGTGCCGTGGAAATAAGGAAATGAAGGAAAGAAATGACACTGAAATGAACAGGCAAGCCGAAAGAATGATATGACTTGTGTTCAATGATTAAAGATAGATGGGGAGCTCTGGTGAGAGCGTCCCAAGGCAAGGCCTTTTAAACTACGGAATCGAGGGTCTCGGGACCCAGTGTGATCATCCACCTGTGGCTCGGAGGGTCACAACAGTTATGCTTCTTCTTATCATATGAGGCAGCTCCCGTGATGACTTTACCGTGGTAGCTAAGCCCGCGAGAGCGGCAGCTGACGCCCAAGAACTGGGTAAAGTATGAAGCTATAGAGATACTGGTACCGGTAGTTGAATGAGAGTAGAGTGGATAAGCAAAGCGGGAATGAATGTGTCACAGTGCCAACCAAGGACTAGGTAAGGTTTCTTGTTATTGCACGAAGGAGAGAGAGAGAGGAGCGATGCTCTCTCCGAACTAGAGACCTGCTCTACTGTATGACTAAGCCGCTATCCCTCAAGGTTGGTCTGGTGCGGTGACAGAATGGAGGTAACTACGGGCGTTTGGTACTTACCGACCCTTACGTAGTGTTAAATGCTATAAACCGATTTAAAATCAACCTAAATAGGCAGCGAGTCAAGTGCTGATTATTTTCGAGATCAACTGTAACTACAAAACCTAGTGTTGTGTGGGTAGCCACAACTGGCTCCGTAAGGAGCTTGGGCCAACCTGGGCTGGTTTGATTGGGTCTGCAAGATTTCTCGGTTTGCCTTTCCATAGTTAATATCAATCAACACTTTTATACCAACACCTAGTAAAGTGAGGAGGGGTTACACGCTGCACAGTGTTGACCACAGCCTCACACTAAGTGTGTGCATTGTGTGGGTCACGCTTTCACCAGTCACTTATTTATACTCCTACCTGGTTTCTTCCTTCTCTTCTATACCTTAGAATCAACGATAGTAAAGTAATCTGCCATTAGTGGTCCTGCCTTTTCGTGACAGGAGAGAGTGGGGCGCCGCCCGTTACCCGGACAGGGCACCCACTTGCTGGGCACGGGTTCTTCCTCCAGCACCTTGTCGAAGTCGTCGTCCCTGGAACCCATCGAGCGCACGAGAGCAGCTTGCGCCTTGGGTATTTCTCTTCAGCTTCACCATTCTTCATGACAGTTGACGTAGCTTCGAGCGGAGCGATGGCACCGTCTGCAGGGCTGGCTGTGCTGGGCTCTGCTTCTTCCTCATCACTCTCCCTGGCATATCAAGTTTGGCCAACCGCTTAATTTAGGTCACCTTGGTGGCCATCTTCGCGTTTCGTATACCGCTGCTCATGTTGACGACGGAGCTCTTCTTCGTCCCCCCGTTGCAACCTCCACTGCCATCTGACTGAATCACGCTCACGTCCACTTTGCTCTGCCAGCTGCTGCCGCGCCGCTTCTCGTATGGCCTGACTCGCATTATTTGCTGGCTCCGTCCCATTTTGTCTCCGACGCTCTTCCCGCGTATGGAGCCTTAGTTCCGCCCAGATCTGGATTATCTGGTCGCCATCTTGGAGACGTCATTCCTGCTCCTGCCGTCTCCTTTCTTCCCGCTCTTCCTGAGCTTCAAGATGTGAATATGCCCAGTCCTGGAGCACCTCCTCCTCCTGTCGAAGTCACTCTCGCTCTTCGCGCTGTTGAGACTCTAACGTCTCTCTCTCTCTTGACGGCCGCGTTCCGCCTGCTGCTGAAGCTGTATTTGCGGCTAAACTGATGAAGAGCTAGTATGTAATTCAGCCATGCTGAATATCCGATGCCTCCGCTGCCGAATAAGCGAGCGCAAGGAACCGTAGGCGCGGATCTCATTGTCACTTACCGTAGTTTCCGAGTGTTGTGCGGCTACACGCTACAGGGACATGATCTGATGCACACTGTCAATTGGGCCCACTGTTAAGGAATTAATATCTTGGCAGTGGGACCTGAGCCACTGGGTTCGACAACACCAGAATTGACAACCCCCCATATACGATTTGACAAACACCAGCGGGAACGCCGCCAATCACGATGCTTCGAATTATGCGCGGTAGCGGCCAGCCCTCCAGGCGCCAACACAAACAAAATGCGCAGCGTGCGGGGCGAGTGACCCATGCAAACGCAACACCTTGACAACAGCGACTACAATAACCAGCTAGCTTCAACCTCCTCAATCAGACCGACCGGGATTCACGCTACGAACTCGACAGCTACTTACGGTAGATAGTTCTCGCCTGTCTAGCAGCTACCCCATTTCACCTGCTGATATACTGTGCCTCCAGTCCCGCGAACATTAGCTGTCCGCTCGTGCGACTGGTTGCCACACCGCCGAACATTTAATTCGTATGAATCGCTGCCGAGAGAGCTGAACCTGGCTGCCTGTGTAATGCGGCTCCTTGAACGTGACGATACCGGCGACTTCCACCTGAAGGATCTGCCCAGCAACGCGATTCCGCCTTACGCGATACTCTCACACACATGGGGCGACGAAGAGGTCCTCTTCAAAGATCTGGTGGATGGTACGGGCAGGAAAAATGCAGGCTATGCTAAGGTTCAGTTTTGCGGAGATCAAGCCTGGCGCGATGGGCTGAAACACTTCTGGATCGACACATGCTGCATCGACAAGTCAGACGCTGTCGAGCTCCAGCACGCTCTCAACTCCATGTTCCAGTGGTATCGTAACGCCACCAAATGCTATGTCTATCTCACAGACGTCTCAACCCGCAAGTGGGACGCCGACGGCAACTCTGGTTGGGAACTGGCTTTTCGGACATGCAGATGGTTTACCCGAGGATGGACTCTGCAGGAGCTTATTGCTCCAACGATCGTTGAATTCTTTTCTAAGGAGTGCGAGCGTTTGGGGGATAAAAAGTCCTTGGAACGAGAAATCCACGATATAACCGGAATTCCTCTAAAAGCTCTTCAGGGAAGACCTCTATCCGATTTCAGTATTGCCGAACGAATGGCGTGGATAGAGAAGCGCGATACAAAATTTGAGGAAGATAAGGCTTACTCGCTATTCGGTATCTTTGACGTGCACATACCGGTTATTTACGGCGAAGGAAAACAGAAGGCATTGAAGCGGCTGCGAGACAAGATCCGCGAGGATTATCTCTGTTTAGCAAAGCTGTGGTCCGCTGACCCGCGAGACCCGCACCACGAGAAGGAGCGCATCGAGCTAGCAAAGGGTGGTCTGCTGGCTGATGCTTACCGCTGGGTCTTTGACAACCCCGAATTTCGGCAATGGCGCCATAACTCAGAGAATCGACTTCTCTGGATCAAGGGCGACCCTGGCAAAGGCAAGACCATGTTGCTCTGCGGCATCATCGACGAGCTAGAGCAACCCATCACTGCTAGTGGTGGCAACTTGGCGTATTTCTTTTGCCAAGCTACCGACTCGCGCATCAATAGCGCAATTGCCGTGCTACGGGGGTTGATTTACCTCCTTGCTCGCCGACAACCGGGTCTCCTCTTATATCTGCCCGAGAATACGTACGCTTCCGACGACGCAATGGCATGGGTCGTTCTATCGAAGGTTTTACGGCGTATGCTAGAAGATCCAGACTTGAAGGAAACCTACCTGGTCATTGATGCCCTTGACGAATGCGTTATCGACCTACCCAAACTTTTGGATTTCGTCGTCATTTCACCAGGACGCGTCAAGTGGCTCTTATCAAGTCGGAACGAGGTTCTTATTGAGGAGAAGCTGAAACCTGATGTTGGGCGGACGAGACTTAGTCTCGAGTTGAAAGCGAATGCGATGCAAGTGTCTCACGCCATCGATGCGTATATCGACGGCAAGCTATCAGGTCTCGCATCACTTCAAGACGACACGTCGTTGAAAAATCAAGTGCGGGATATTTTGCACCAAAAGGCAAACGGCACGTTCCTCTGGGTTGCTCTCGTTATACAAGAGCTCAGTGAGGATGATGTTGAGAGCTGGCATGCTCTTCAAATCGTCGAAGAAGTGCCGTCGGGCCTAGATAGAATGTACGATCGCATGTTGAATGAAATCAGTCGGTACAAAAGGGACTCGGAATTTTGCCGGCGCATACTCTTGGTGGCCACGGTTGCATACCGCCCACTCTACTTGGACGAAATAGGCAGCTTATCTGAATTACCGGAGCAGATTGTGGGATCAACAGAGAATATTAGGAAAGTCGTGGCTAAGTGCGGATCGTTTCTCACCATCCGAGAAGACAAGATCTACCTTATCCATCAGTCAGCCAAGGACTACTTAAGCGCATCCGCCTTGATCTTCCCCCATGGCGCACCAATTGCCCACCGGGATATATGCGCTCGATCGCTAGAGCTTATGTTACAGAAGTTAAGACGCGACATGTACGGCTTAGTTACCCCGGGATTTCCTATCGACCAGGCCCGCACGCCAGAACCGGACCCTCTTGTGACAATACGGTATTCGTGCGTCTTCTGGGTTGACCACCTCCGCGATTCGATTACTGATAAAGACACGCCACAACGCAACACACTGGATGCGGTCCAGACGTTCCTTGAACTGAAGTATCTTTACTGGCTCGAAGCTCTTAGTCTACTCCGAGCTATATCGGAGGGTGTCATTGCCATAAGAAAGCTTGAGGGCCTACTAGTAAGTATAGCTTACTAAGACGAGACAGCCATACTAACAGAGATACAGGGGCGAACTCATCAAAGGCAGCTAACAACTTTTATCCGGGATGCGCACCGGTTCGCTCTCTCCAACAGATGGATAATCGAGCAAGCCCCTCTTCAGGCGTATACATCAGCCCTCGTATTTGCACCGGTTGGCAGTCTGGTAAAGAAGAGATTTAAGACGGAAGAACCTAGCTGGATCAGTACAAAGCCAGTAGTAGAAACGGACTGGAATGCATGCCTTCAGACGCTCGAAGGCCATAATGGCTCGGTTTACTCGGTCGCCTTTTCGGCGGATGGCCAGCGGCTCGCATCCGGTGCAGGCGACCGTACCGTCAAGATCTGGGATCCCGCCTCGGGACAATGCTTCCAGACGCTCGAAGGCCATAATGGCTCGGTGTACTCGGTCGCCTTTTCGCCGGATGGCCAGCGGCTCGCATCTGGTGCAGTCGACGATACCGTCAAAATCTGGGATCCCGCCTCGGGACAATGCCTCCAGACGCTCGAAGGCCATAATGGCTCGGTTTACTCGGTCGCCTTTTCGGCGGATGGCCAGCGGCTCGCATCTGGTGCAGTCGACTGTACCGTCAAAATCTGGGATCCCGCCTCGGGACAATGCCTCCAGACGCTCGAAGGCTATAGGAGTTCGGTTTCCTCGGTCGCCTTTTTGGCAGATAATCAGGGGGCGCATGGGTATGGGTTGGGCCAAGACACGACCTGGGTCATTTGTAACGGCCAGAATGTGCTATGGTTACCACCTGAATACCGCCCAACCTGCTCTGCAATCCAGGGGCGGATAGTAGCTATTGGCTGTTCATCAGGGCGAGTTTTTACTATTGGCTTCTCAAGAGACAAATAATACATTTCCAAGTCCTCTCCATTCGTTCTTTTTATTTCTTTTTTCTAGCCTAACACGAGAAGGGCCTGGAAGGATAGGTCAATTTATAGATATTTTCGGAATTCTAGCATCTCCCATGATGCTAATATCAGTTCCTTCAAGAGGCAAATTGATGGTAACATTTTAGTTCTGCTCAGCTCTGCTCGGTTCTGCGACAGCGTGGAATCAGGTATCTCAGTACGTAATTGCTTCGGGAAGAGGGCACCTGTCCTCTATAACTCACCTTTTCCACAGTAGATTAAAATCGCCACTCGCACATATCGGGATTCCTCAGCGCCCTCCCGAATCGAGTCAGACAATTCTGCAAAGAATTGGCCCAGTGGCGACGAGCTGTAACGCCATTTCCATGATGCCGCGAGGTTCCACGAGTCAGCCAGTTGCTGGCGCGAAGCTGTCCTAACGGAGCGAGTTGCGGCTGTTACACGTCTACGATTAGCAACGCAGCGAACTGCAAGTCCTGAGCCAGTCGTCGGAAAGTGAAGCGAGCAAACAAGCCACAGGCGTCATAGACAGATGTGTTAATGGCTTATGCCTGAGGCCATGACAATCACGGACCGCTAGTGAGAGATAAATATGCGATCAGAGCAGTGGAACGAAATGATTCCTCATTAAGCATTTTAAGGCCACTGATGATTATTAAAATGAATTGAACCCATGTTGTTCCAAGCCCTGAACTCCAGCCGTTATCACAGCGGTCTATTAATATTTAAAAGCTTTTAGTAGACAAGGCTCGTCCTCCAAACTTTCCACAACTCGACTTCTTGGATAGGATAGACCTGGTCATGAACGAATTATCTCGGCATTCGGTTATAAAGAGCTAGCCGAGTTGTTTCGTTTTGATGAAAACATTTGGCGAACTAGAATGTTACTCTGCCTTCGATAAACAGCCCTGTTGATTAGCCTTGCGTATTACGGCTTTCTAGGTTTACGCCAGCCGTATTTTCTTAAGTGCCTAACCGTAAGTTTTTGCAGCAGGGAAAACGACCGCAATAGGTGATCTAACTTGATTTGACGTTCGTGTAATGTATCCATGCGCTTAGACTCTAAAAATCTCTTGAATTGGTCGAAGGCCTTATTCGCACTCGGTCCGGATGGAGGTTGAACTGCAAATCCCATGTCTACCATATAATAAGGGGTCAAACCCCCAGTCGGTCCTGGACAGCTTGCAAGAAGAAGAGCGCTAGGCAGTGGGCACAGGTCCACGCCCCTCCCCCCCCCCCCACCCCCAAAAAAAAAAAAAGAAAGACTTGCCACGCTGGTAAAACCTCCTAAAAATGAAGCTATCTACAACCTTGCCGCCGTCAAATCATGGAGCCTTCACTACCCTATAAATCCTCCCTGATTTGGTCAAGCCACTCGGTACTGCACTCTCGCCGTTCCCTGGTCCCTTTGTGATTCTCGTATCCTGGCTGCCGGGTGCCCTTCGGGGCCCCTTTGTATCGTGATGTCTCCCTCCTCTGGTTCCTCTCGAAAAGGTATGCTTCCACTGCATCCTTATTGCATTCCTAATAACACTCCGAAGATGTATTCGATCTAGAACTTCTTCTCCTCTAAAAGAAAGAATAATTTTGACAAGCTGTATTCTCCGTTGTTTGCTGAAAATTGGACACCGGTTGCCTCATGCCTCAGCCACCTTTCATGACAGTTTTCACACATCCCATGACCTTCGATTGGCGTTGTTAGTTATGTAGGTACGTTGACGAAATCCAGGGTATCTATTCGAAAGCCAATTGCTACATTTTGACGTAAGCATCTCTGTCCCTGTTATACTTCTATCGAAATAGACGTGGCAATCGGTGCTATAGAGGCGCACCTATTCTCCCTTATGTATTGTTTTCTAACGATATATGTGAGAAAGAAGATAGTAGGTATAACAAAAAATGTAGCCGCAGGACATGCACGCTAGTATCGTGCCGAAGTTACTACTCTATTGGATAACGGTGGAACAGGTATGATAATTGTAAATAGTATCGTTGTTGTGACCTTCCGGTAGGAGGGTCCTGATGGGAGGCTCCCAGGGAGACTCCCCTTAGAGGCTCGATGAGGCCCGATGACAGTTCCCAGAGGAATGTCCCGTTGAGAGGGCCTCGGCGAGCTCCGAGTCGTGGCTTCCGGCGACGATGCTGGAAGCTCAAGGGTGAGGACTCTAACTGAGAGTCCTCATTGAATAGGAAATGAAGAAAAGAAAGAGATGAAAACCCAACACAAAGCATATGATCTGTGTGCTATGGTAAAGAGTGCTGGGGAGCTCTCAAAGGAGCGTCCCAGACCGAGGCTTTTTATATGTGAGCTACGGAGGGTCCTAGACCCGCATGTACTCCTCCACCTGTGGCTCGGAGGCTCAGAACAGGCTTCATACTTCCTTCCTAGTTTAGATAACTATCTAGTGAAGTAAAGTCTGGGAACCCACTTTACTATGTGCTTTAGGAATATAGTTAAACCATTATCGAAATCTTATCTATATTTACGGTGACCTCTTCCAGAGCTGGTCGAAAATTGTAGTAGCATTTCGGACATCATTACACCTCTGAGAACAGAAGCTCTTACCAAACACCAAAATAATTAACCTCCCCTTCACCGTCGCTGCTTTTAGCCTCCTAGGTAGTGCTGCTACTTAAATACAGTACACTAGTATATATATTACCGTGATAGCTACTACGCGCACTACGGCTTTAACCCTCTCCCTAACTAGCAACGTTACCGGAAGAATATTTGATCGATTCGTCTAAATCTGGCTCGAGAATGTCGATTATATCGACGCGATCGCTAACCGCAAGTACTCCTTTACCAACCTCTCCGCTTATCCAGTCACTAACCTCCCTCCCCCCAGCTAACCACGTTTACCTCGCTACCCAAAGTATATCTCTAATAAACTACATCGCCCGCGCCCACCCCTCTCAACCCGACTATATCGCCGTCGCAGCCGGCACCCGCCACAGCATCTCCGACAACAACGTCCACCGCCTTGACGCCTCCATCAAGTCTGTTGTTGACTTCCTCGAACCCGGCGGCATCTCCTGGTCCATCTACCAGGAAGACATGCCTTGTATGTTCAATTCCTCCCTTTCCGCCTTGAACTGGTACTAACACCTCCCCCCGGACTCCGGCTTCCAAGGCCCCTCCTACGCCTCGGGCTCCTACGTCCGCAAACAGAAACCCCCTCGCCAGTTTCGACTCCGCCACCGGCTCCATCTCCCGCTCAGCCAAGTGCAAAAACTTCACAATGTTCGAAAAAGATCTCGCATCCAACAAGGTCCCCCAGTGGATGTTCCTCACGCCCAACATGGACAACTCTGGCCATGACACCTCTGTTGCCTACGCCGGGAGATGGGCACGGAATTTCATCACCCCTTTGCTGGCTGATAGCAAGTTTAACATCCCGCGGACGTTGGTCATGTTGACTTTTGATGAGGGGTCGTACAGCAGAAATAACCAGGTTTATGCTGTCTTGTTGGGGAGTGCTGTCCCGACGAACAAGAGGGGGACCACGAATGGGACGGCGTATGGACATTATAATGTGCTGAAGACGGTGGAGGTGAATCGGGGGTTGGGGAACTTGGGGCAGAAAGATGTGGGTGCGAATGCCTTTTTCTAAGAGGATGATGCCCCTGAGCCCCCGAGATGGGGGTCCACTTGTTGTTGCTTGGCAGGGTTGGGGTTAGAAGGAGGGGTGGGAGGAGGTACGATGGTTATGCATTCCAACTAGTCTAGGTACACTTTACAACTTCTGGTCATTGGCAGGCAGTGTTCTTGAAATGTGATGATGAAGTTCGGTGAAAGGCAATAGATATTATCAATGCCAAACGCTATTAGATCTGTTTTCCCGAGATGGAAACATAAAGTTGACAGCCAGAGCTGCCTGATATTCAAGCAAGAAGTCCAAGTAATACACATCAAATCCCAGCTATCATAAAGCCAACCAAGCCCAACACGCCGGCAGCGGCGCCGACACCCCCATGAACAGCCGCAGCACCGGCAGTGACAACAGGACCAGTGCTTGTGATGACAGGAGCGCCAGTTCCAGAAGCGACACCGCTGGTCGTGACGGTAGCGATAGTGGTGGGAGCAGGTCCATCGCAGTGCCAGTGGTCGCCATGAGGTTCGCACCCGATGGAAGCGGTTGGGCTGGGGGGCAGGACACCGGCGCTGTGGTCGTCATGGTCGTGGTCCTCTTCGTCCTCATGATCATGATCCTCGTCATCATGATCATGGTCCTGTTCGTGGTCATGGTCGTCATCATGGGCGGCAGCCGTGGTGGTGGCAGGAACAGTAACGACCTCGGAAGCGGTGATGATCACCGGAGTCGCAGTGGTTGCGGGGGCGGTCTCGCGGGGTCCATCGCAATGCCTTTGGGAAGGTAAAGTCAATGACTATTCAGATGTTTTTACGAAACGGGAAAATTCTCACCAGTGATCACCATGAGGCTCACACCCGACAGACTCGGTAGGCGAAGGTGCCAACTCCTGGGCTGCCGCAAAGGTGCTGAGGGCGAGGATGATGGCGGCAGAGAGTGTCTTCATATTGCCGTGAATAAGCGAAAGACACCGGGTGGAATATAGAGAACAAATATGCGACGATCAAACTGAGCTAGTGAGGCAAGCAAGACATGTAAAACATGGGATGAAAGGCTTTTTATAGATGATGAGCAGGACCCTTCATGTGCCCAATGTCAATAGTAGTTCCAGGCTTCCTGTACCTGCATCTGAAGCAGGCTACATCCTTGGTAAAGTCGACTTCCTCTCCTGTCATCCGAGGATGTTTGCATGGGTAATCTTGTTTTTGTCTGCACCTCGATGATTTTCGTGGGGGTGAGCTGAAAGTTTCTTGCAGGAAACCAACATGCTAGGTGTGATGGAGACCATCAAGGTTCTCAGCCAAGACATGTCTCGCTTCCACACGTGGGATCCCTTGCCACCATTTTCTGGTTGGGGCCAACGCCGCGGTGTACTCAAGTGAATAGAAGCTTCTTTTTATTTCAGCAGGGCTGACATTGAAGTGTTGAATTTGCACAGATTGCTGAAAACTATGTACATGAACATGTGTCCAACCCTCCGGAACTTTTGACGTTTTTCATGCAGTATCCACAGTTCTATTTTCATCCTTCGTCCTTCACCAAGTCCTTCCTGCAGCCATACTTCCCAGGTAGCAGAGCTCGGTCGATTTTTGATCGTTGATAGGGGTGTGAAGACGGCGGGCTGGCGGCCAGCTTAGGCGGGGATAACGCCGAGAGCAACTGGTCTAATGGTCATCACAGTGATATCTCTTCTGGCCAGCGACAGGGCAAGTTGTGGTGCCATGGGTCTGATGGCAAGCACCTCCGGGATTGGTGGCACAGCAGTACTCGCAGGCTCCAACAAGCGTGCACCCGGTAGGGGGGAAGCAATCGCGAGCAAGAAGGTCGCTCTTGAATTCGGGAGCGGCATAGGCCACAGACGCGAGATGAAAGGCCGCAATGAGGAGCTTGAAAGAGACCATCTTGACAGTGGTTGTTGGCGGAAGGCTTTTGATGAGGTAGTAGAGGGCTTGGAGAGGGTTGATCAAGAGACTCGAGTGCGAGGTGGTTGATGATGGCATTCTCTGGATGAACGCACGACATCTCGTCCTCTTTATACTTGAACTGTCCTACCTGATCCGGACTTTACCTCTACTCACTTCGCGTAGTCCTCCAGTTCTTTCGATATGCATTGCAACTCTGTCCACATGAAGTGCCTGCCGCCGCGTGAGAGTCGACTGCTCCGAAGCTCTAAAGTGCCTACTAGAGCATCTCTGTTCTCTACCATCTATGAGTGTAGACACCGAGACGGCTTCACCAGCGGTCCGAGTCGTTGGAGGGCAGCCATGTACCTTGATGAACAGAGGGTCTTGACGTGGAGGTTTTATCTGTGGTTGGCTGCGTATCCACTCCTTGAGCACCTTGATGGGTACATCAGCTAGGATGCTTGGCATGTGGCAGCCATGGAATATTGAACCTATTGTGGCTTGCCTCTGTCCATAGAGGTTCATGAGCATGGTGTGGTGCGTTCCATCACGTAAAGAACCCGCGCGGGATGACGGAGATCATCCAAAAGCTTGTTGGAGTCGATTGATATTGGTAACCGAGGGTGATATTGAGGCCACAGAAGTGGGATGTAACTGCAAGGTCCCAATTTTGGATAGAGAGTCGTATTTGCAGGAAGATAGCTGGCGGCCATGGCGGAAGGTTGGCTGAGAAGAAGGAAATTAGTAGATCAAGTCAAGATGGTCATGCCGCGAACGGCTCTCGTCGATTAGTATTAAAGACAAGAAGCGTCTCAAGAATTGATGAATCTCGGTGTCTAACACCCTTCCTTTATGAGACAGACTGGTGATCAAAATGATGAAATCACTCTTCGCTCTTGGATTCGTTGTCGAGTTGGTGGCGGCCTTGCCCCAGGCTGTCACCCCAGCCCCTACTGGCCAAGCATGCTCGTAAGTGCCATCCTTCCGCTTTCGAGATTCCAGAAAACCAACACGACGTTCAGGACGAGAACCCGTACCCAGCTTGGAATTGACGCGACCATCACCAATTACCCCGAATTCGTCTCGTCAATGGACCAGTATTGGTCGACCTCGGGAGTTCCGTTCTCAGGGACAGAACGTGTGATTGTCTACACGTCTCTTGAAACATTCGACGGTGGCAGCTTCACAGGCTACTACACGTACGACATCAATGCCTTGCGCACCGCGGGATACACCATCACAACCAGCACCCAGGTGTCTGTATCATGCTCTCCCACAGCGACCAGCTCGGCGGTTGGCGAATGCGAGCCGCATGGTGATCACTGGCACTGTCCCCCAGGAGTATCAGAGCCAATTACGCCTCCTTCCCCGGAGCCCCATACTACTCACTCGGCTCCTAACTCCGGGGAGTGTGAGGCTCACGATGACCACTGGCACTGCCCTCCAGGAGTTCCAGAGCCCACTACCCCCCCAGCTCCATCATCAACTCCTGTCCCCACCACCCCTGGCTCGGACGAGTGCGAAGCGCACGGTGATCATTTGCATTGTCCTGATGGCGTGCCAGAGCCAACGACGCCCCCACCCGTCATAACTCCTACGCCGACATCGTTCAGCTCAGTGACAGCATCGACCTCATTCACTCGCACAGCATCCGACGCGCCTGTCGTTACGGCTGGTGCAGACGCCAAAACCAGAGTCGGGAGTCACTTTTTAGTATTAGCTGCAGGGTTACCGTTTGTATTTGGGATGATGTGATAGCCTGGGGGAATCTGCGGACCATCGATTGTATAGTTAATGCTCAATAAAGGATGTTGTGGGAGTGTGCGTTGAGGACCTTGATGTCCCACCCCTGAAGCGATGGCAGCCATCAAGGTTCTCAATACCTGATATCAAGGTCCTTCTGCAACGTCATCCAATATGACATCCCAATTGACAACAGACCATTTGTTCTCCTTTTGATGCTTTGTTGCTGTGAATAAAAAGCCATCCGAGTCCTTTCATCCTGACGAAGCGATTGAGCATCCAGCTGCCTATCATCTCACCCGACAATACTCCTCACAATGCCCGACACCTCTCGCCAAACCTTGCCACACGTCCATGATGTGGTCATCATTGGTGCCGGGCCTTGTGGTCTAGCAGTAGCAGCACGACTCCGCGAAAAGGCTCCAGGTGCTATTTTCACAGACGAAGAGCACAGGAGACACCGGTTTTTGCATCGCTATGGACAATCCATGCCACTGAAGCAAGTGAGAAACGGTCGGGTCACATGCTGCGGCCGCCCAACGGCAAGCGATACACACGATCTCGATATCACGGCGCTCGATGCCACCCATGACGACTGGTGTGGCCGCTGGAACAAGCTGTTCAAGTGCTACAACATCGAACATCTCCGAAGTCCCATGTTCTGGCACGTTAGCCCAGTTGACCGCGATGCTCTCCTTGGGTACGCCTATTCGCAGAACCGGGAGAATGAGTTGCTCGAGATTCACCACTGTGTCGGAAAAGAAGTCAGCAAGCACATGCGGAAGAGGACCCGGACGCAGAAGTGCTCAGCCCACAGTGCTTGCAACGCCAGAGTTGAGATCAACGAACGGGACCGCATCGACTACTTCAACCCTTCTCAGGCCCTCTTCTCTGATCATTGCCGTGCAGTCGCTAGCAGGTACCATCTCTGCGATGATGTCGTCAAGAAAGAGTCCGTCCAAGACATCAGCTTCGATGTGGTCCAAGGCATCTCTGTCAACGACGAACCCCTCTTCACAGTCACCACAGACCGGGGCCCTCAGTATGCCCGAACCGTCGTCCTCTCTGTCGGACCAGCAAATCAACCTTCCATCCCACGTCACGCCTTCAAAGCCTTCTCGGCAACAGAATCCCTCCCTCAAGTCTGCCACAGCACCCAAATCGAAACCTTCCCCGACACTGTCGTTCGCACCAGGATGACCAACGGCCAGAGAACCAAGGTCCTCGTTATCGGCGGCGGTCTCACCTCAGCCCAACTTTCTGACCTCGCCATCCGCAAAGGCGTCACCAAAGTTTGGCACCTGATGCGCAGTCCGATTGCCATCAAGACCTTCGACGTCGAGCTCAGCTGGATGAGCAAATACCGCAACCTCGAACAGGCCTACTTTTACTCTGCCGACACGGACGAGGAGAGATTGCAGATGGTGAGAGCTGCCAGGGGAGGTGGGAGCATTCCACCGAGATACCACAAAAAGTTGAAGGATCACATCTCTCGTGGCAGGCTGGAGTTGCGGACGGAGACAAAGTTGGTGAATGCGCAGTTTGTGACCACTGAAGCGGGTGGTCGGTGGAAGGTCGAAACTGAGCCGGCGGTTGAGGGTATACCGTTATTCGACTTCATCTATTTTGCGACGGGAATTGAGACAGACGTTGCTGCACTACCGTATCTGCAGACGATGAGGGAAACGCACCCCATTGATGAGATGGGAGGGCTGCCGTGCTTGACTGAGCAATTGAAGTGGAAAGATGACGTGCCACTTTTTGTGACAGGAAGACTGGCTTCGCTGAGGTTGGGAGCTGCTGGTCCAAATCTTGGTGGGGCGCGGACGGGTGCTGAGCGGATTGCCTTGGCCATTCAGGAGCATTTTGAGGAGTGCAAACGCGAGGATAAGATCAGTGGAGACATCGCTGCCGCCGATAAGGACGAGAATGAATGGGAGCGGTTTGTGCTTGGGCACGGAAGCAAGTATTCATGTTTGGTCGAGCACTAGAGATGAGCAAGTACCCCGAAATGGAAAGAGTGAAGCATTCGCCGTGTCCGATTTGAGATGGGAGATGTGAGATGTGGTGAAGAAGTGGACCCGGATGTCGTCAAATCAAGGACTGGCGACGCCGGAGCGGGAGCCGGCAAGTGGGGCTCTTGCAGACGCGATCGGTCGGTCTTTCCGTTGCATCCGACTGCTGGCCGTCCAAGTCTAACATCATAGCTTCGCTTAAGCCAATCGCAATAATTGAATGAAACGATGTTACTCCAATTCTAAAACATGCGATAGAGTCTGTTGGGAATGTTACAGAAAGCAAAAAGAAGCCGAGGTTGAAGCCGTTGTTCCTCAACGTTTCTTTCGCTGCTAAATCCACTTGACTGTTGGCTTGGCATAAAAGATAAAACACAGTGGAGATCAGGGGCTCCATTGTAGACCCTGTACCCTAACCCTTCGTTCTCTCCTTTTTCTCTCAAAGTCATCTCCATGCGAGCCCGATTGATGAGAGAATGTGGCACAGCTGCATTTGTTATTATAGTCGGTAGCTAGAGAAAAGCAGAGCCTCATCAGGGGTCCTATTAGCTCCTGTAGGACCATGCCTGGTCCCTGCGTTGGCACATGTCAAAGATGATTCGGTGTTGCATTGTCAAAATCAGGGTCAAATCTGACAGGGCTGATCCGCAAGGATGCCTCGATGCTGCATGGTCCTTGTCAACATGCTGCCAATGATAAGACTCCAGACACGCGATGGGACCCGATAATCAATGCTGACCTACCACATTTGTGACTGCCTAACGGCTCGACAACGCCATCTTAAGTCCTATCAGGGCATTTCCTGGACAAAAGCATGGGTCGTGTGTCTATCCCTGAACAACACGTTAGCTTAAGGTTGTGACACCCGCCAATCTGATCCAGCCTCGAACATATTTAATGACAGCGTTATCTCTCGTCAGACAGAGATGTTTCTAGCCTTATCCTTGTTTTTCTTTTTCACAACTCTGTTATCCTCGGGGTGAAATATCACGCTCATTTTCACCTTCACTCCCACATCGCCACCCCTTCACACCCACCATCCAGTCGTTACCTCTCCAACTCCCATCCATCATGACAGCCACAACCCCCCTAAAAGTAATAATAATCGGCGGCGGCCCCATCGGCCTCACCCTCGCCCAAATCCTCACCTCCGCCGGTGTCGACTTCACCATCCTCGAACGCCGCTCCACCGTCACCCCCGAAGAAGGCGCCGGCATCGCCATCGGACCCACCTCCTTTCGCCTCTACGACCAGCTCGGCCTCCTTCCCCAAATGGAAGCCATCTCCACCCCCATCCCCCACAAGCACGTCCTCCAACGCGACGGCAAAGTCTACAACTCGTACGAATTCCACCTCCGCGCCTGCCACGGCCGCGCAATGGCCTTCCTCCACCGTCTCGACCTCGTCACCACTTTATTCAGCACCCTCCCGGATTCCGCCAAAGCCAAAATCCACGTCAACAAATCCCTCTCCGACATCACCCTCACCCCTGAAGGCGTAACCGTCACCTGCGCCGATGGCACTTCCTACAACGGCACCCTTGTCATCGGCGCAGACGGCGTCCACTCCAAAACCCGCAAAATAATGAACTCCCTCTCCAACGCCCCAGAGTCCGAAACCCTCCCCTTTGAAACAACCTTCCAAGGCCTCTTCGGTAACTTCCCCCGGCTATCCCTCCCCGGCTCGGAAATCGAGCCAGGCCACGACTGGGAGTGCCATTCCGGCGGTGTGTCTTCCCAGTTCTTCGTCGGGAGGGACAGAGGCTGGTTTATCATCTACCGACCTCTCCCTGGCGGTCCTACGAGGGAAAGAATCGATTACACGGATGAGGACATCAAACAGTTCGCGGAAGATGTCAAGGACATGCATGTGACAAATAAACTGACTTTTGGGGATGTTTTCAAAAATGTCAACAAGGCTGGGTTGACACAGCTTCAGGAAGGTGCTGTCAAGAATAGGAGTTGGAAACGGATTGGGTTGGTGGGTGATGCGTGCGATAAGATCACGCCGAATGTGGGGTTGGGGTACAATAACGGGGTCTTGGACGTGATTGTGCTTGGGAACTTGCTCAAAAAGTTGAATGAGAGTGGGGAGGAGATCACCGAGGAGAAGGTGGGAAAACTGTTCAAGGAGTATCAGGCTGAGAGAAAGGAGTTTTCAGAAAAAGTGGATGATGCGGCCAGAGGGGTCATCAGAACGGTTACACATACGGGGTTCATGAAGTACTTGCTTGATCGGTGGATTAACCCGGTCTTGGGGTTGGACAAGCTGTATGGTAGCAAGGTGATGGGGCCGTTGATGGCGAAGCAGCAGGTGTTGGAGTGGTTGGAGGAGAAGAATGGGATTGATGGGAGCATTCCATGGGCGCACAAGGGACTGGTTGTCACGAAGGCTTAGAGTGACTGCCGTGTTGGCGTTAATTTTCTGGTAAAGGATGGAATATGGCTTGATTGTGGATGGGTAATGGTTGGGCAGGAAAACGGGTGTAAATTCTGTAATTTTTCGTAATTTTTATAGCTTGAACGCGTTTGTTGGCACATTAAGAAAGTCATTAGCAGGGCGCATCATTCCTTGGAAAAGGTCCATTTGTGTAAGACAACTAGTTCTTGTGGTGTAACGAACCAGGCACATTGCATCGCTGCAGTGTAAAGCTCGACCTTCCCCGAGGGTAGATTAATAGATAATTGGTTAGGTACATTGGCGCGCTAGTGCCATCATCGGATGCTGTGGTTGAGTGAATGGTACGACCAGCCATTGACGAATCGGACCTTCAGTTACCCCTGAGCCCCTTAACCCCTGACGAACTTCGTTGACATCAACAACCCTAACCCTCCTTTTCCCTCGCTAAAGCGGCCACAAGGTGCCGTCCAAAGATTCTGACGAACCCAACCACATGAAGTGAGACATCATGCGTCAGGTGATTGCAACCCCGCCATTGATGAGGCTCTGCTCGCGCTCGTTCCCCCATGGGCAGGTGGGATTGGAGCGATACAGGAGGAATAACCCCCGTTTCGCCTGTCACCCTTCAGGTGTTCGCAATCCTGCCCGAGGTCCAGCTTATCTTCTGTGTCGCGATGCCATGCATTGTGATATTGGGAACTTGATCTGCACAGTTAGTTCCGGACCTTGTCACGCGCATCAATTTATCGACCGCTTTACATCTGGACCGTGACGCTGCACGTGGGTGAAGCGTGAGGATGGGACCTGCGCCTCTTGGGTTCCCATGGGGCGTTCCATCTTAAGTTCGATCCAGCTGGCCGCCGAAATTGACGCTGGCGTACAATTCATGCATGATCGTGTTTCTCTGGTTGTTCCGTGAACTGGCAATGGCTTCTCATCGGTTCAAAAGCAACATAAAGTATTTTGCTCAAAAATAGCAAATCATTAATGTGGCGTTCGGCGTTATCCATTTCAGTGCCACTTGTCCTTCCTGCACTCTACCCCGTCATGTGTATTAGATGCCAAGCATACTGATAAGTGTCAAATGCAGTCCCTTACGCCGACGTGTGAATTGATGTCGTATTTCATGGCAACCTGTGAGACAACGTGGGGTAATACCCGCGTTCGGTGAAGAGAAGCTGGAGTTGCAGTGGTGCGCGAACCATAACCACCTGTGTGTCCTTTGTCTGATGGTGTCGAGAAGTACAATACATGGCTAGACTTGGGCCTCGTGGACACTTGTTGTTGCTGCAATGCTGCCCAACCGCAAAGATTGAACTTGGTGGTCGCTACGACCTCGGTCAACACGGCTTCGTTGACAAGTTTGCTCAGCGCAAGCCATGGTCGCTCATATCTTGCTGGCGATATCGCCGAGGTTCACGAATGGTGAGATAGAAACCTGCGAGAGGCAAGGAAGTTCGTGATCTCATAAATCGTGCTATCGTAACAATGGGACATGATATCATCAGCTCATCAAACAGAGCCGTCGTATAAATGGGAAACCTGAAGACCCAGCAAGCAAAGACCTCAAAGAATAAAGAAAAAAACTCCAAGTTGGGCGTGGAATGAATTTCCCCCGTCGTCTGTGTAAGCTGCATCATTCTGATACCTCATTGCAGGCCGGAAGCCCTGCAAGCCCCAGGTTTACTCTCCACTCCTCGGACTCATCAGCGATGACCGCCGTCTCCGTTTCTTTGGCCTCTCTACTCCCAAGGGCAGAGATTCCATTCCATGCCCGAGATTAATCACCTCCTCATTGAATGCAGTTGCAGAGGGAAAGTCAACCTCTGCCTGTGTGCCTTGGAAATGAGACTTTTGGTGTTGAACGAGATTGTCTCGCCTGGTGTATGTGGCGGCACAATGATCGCAGGGGAACGTGTCCACAATTCCCTTTCCAGTTTTCCTGCTGTGCTTGATGGTCTTCTTGTGCTTCTCCAATTTTTTACGCTGGTCTGGGCCAGCAATGGGATAAAAGCCGCATGGTTCGCAGCTAAGCACAGGTGACTGACCATATACAGTTTCGACGGGGGATCCGTCGGTGCTACGGCTCTCCTCTGTCGAATAACCCCCTTCTGCATCAGTGAAAACTGCAGGAAATGAGTTCATAGTGTTGGCCTCCCCATGAGTTGTAGGCGAGTTCCATATGTGTTCGCCCTGGTCCAAGAAAGGCATGGGTCGCAAGATGGGTGATTCTTGCCAAATGTCATTGTTTCCGTATGCACCAGAAAAGGAGCAGTGGACCATGAGAGCAGACTCGGGGCCAGTCACTTGTTGAGAGTTGGGTGACGAGGCGGCAAAGTACGAAGTCGATTGTGATGTCGGTACTCCAGAAGAGACCATGTGTGAAGAATCGAGCTCAATATACTGGTGAAAAGCTGAAGAAAAGTTTCCGGCATTGATGGTTTGCGATGGTTGTGATTTGGGCCACGCGCCGTCTCCTGGAGACTCGCAGGCTCCTTGTATGGTGGAATGATGAAGACTATCACACATGGGTGACCAGGTAGGGACAATGGCCAATGGAGTGCAGCTTGATGTGGGCGAGATGTGGCTGTTGCTCGCAAAAGGAGAGTTGATGAACCCAGAGCTGGTGCTTGGGGACACGCTTGAGGTGGCTAGAAATTGTGGGCGGGCGTCAATAACGCGACTTTGAGGTCCAAACCTAAGCTCTGGCATTTTCTCAAGAGGAGGCCGGGAAGCCAAGGTCCGCCTCCGTTCAGCACTCATCTCCACTGGACTAGCAGTGTCCATCATCTCCACCGGTGACACCTTCTCAGTGTTCATGAGCTCTGGCGGCGAGGTGTTGTGTTTGGTGGGATGTGAGTAGATCTCCACAACGTGTTGATCAGGTGACGATGGTAAACCCTGCGAGTGTGTTTTCTGATGCCCATCAGACCTCGGTGAAACTTGGGCATCTTTCCAATTGTTGATGGGCTGACCCTCTTCGGAGTCCGTCTCCACAGAGCTTTGAGACCGAGATCGGCTTTTCTGAGAGGAGCTGGAAGAGGACCCAAGAAACAAGTCTGCTATGGCCTTCTTGAATGACCTCCTATGACGAAGGAATTGCAGTCGTTCCTCAAACGCTTTTATCTGCTCTTCCTGTTTCTTCAGGACACTCTGCTGTTGCTTCACGGTACTCTCCAATACTTGAATGCGGCACTCGAAGTCCACATCCTTCTCTTCGTTTGAACTGAAACTTGTCAGTCAGCTAGACAACATCTAAGAGATGGCGTCTGACGAACCTATAACCTGCATGGATATGTTTTGATGATGGGCTTCGTGGTGACAGGCTTGGTGGCGACGAGGTTTGGGGTGAGATGATGTCGGAAGATGGTAGCTCAGATATGCCAGTAATGACAGAGCTGGGAGACTCCATGATAACTGAGAATGCGGAATGATTGTGTTAAGTTTTGGCGTAGTGAGGTGCTTGGTAGAGCGAACAGATGATATCAGACCGCAGAATGTAAAGGTGCCAAAAACAGGGAAGTTCGCCATTTATTAATTGTCTTTCAGCAGCGGCTCTTCTTTCAGTCCAGAAGACGACATGGCCCTTCGTCTTTAATTGGCTTCGGAACTTGCAGCAAGAGTTTGGACGTCCTGGAGGTAATTCCACGACAGGGTTCCTGCATGCCGCATCGATGGCCTCAGCAAGGCCAGTAGAAGACGGCCAATTTCCATACTTGATAACGATAGACCACTAGGGAGGCGAGTATGGCAGACCATTGGAACTAGATCGGGTGCGATATGCGTGCCGTCTGGGTAACTAAACCGGGGACCGGATGGGTAAGGGATCCTGCCGTTGGAAATCCAAAAGTGGCAAATGGATTTGTACATGGAAGTTCCATTCGACCCCCTGTACCAACTTGGACCTGCACCGCTGACTTGGCCCGAGGCAACTGAGATTGGTTGCCTTCAACCACATGCAGGAGGCAGAATCCAGAGTAGGGGTTTTGCCAGTGGCGTCCGGATATCAACACTCAGTCCCTTCGAAGAATTCCGGAGCAAGCATGGCGCTAACGTAGCAAGACCTAGAGGCCTACATCTTGCAGGTCCGATATCGACATGTGGATGGAAAGGAGCTGAGAGAAAAAAGGGCGGCTTGTAGGTCTTGAAGGATCAAGGTATCTGACGGAGAAACATATGTTAAGGATAGAATATAAAAGCGTCTGGGGGGTTGGGGCTCCATACTGACGTTAATACGTGGTTTGTTACCCGTGCAGAGAGACTTTGCGGAGGGTTGCCATGTGGAATAGGTGCAGGGGGCTGGGCGAGGCTCCAACACATTCTTGTGAGACGTAATCCCAATATCAAGGCGGGCTGATGGCAGCATCTGAAGACCGGACATGGGAACATGGCAGAGAGCCAGGAAGGGATGCTTCCGAAAGTGAAGAGGAAAGATGGCTAGATATAGCACCTTCTTTGCCTCCTCTTCGATAGCCAAGACATGGCCGCCGAAATGGCCTTCGTCTGGGATGGAAAAAGGGCCCCCATACGCCGCGGCCCCCATATTTTGTGAGGAAACTTGAGGCTTGCAAGGAAACAGCAGAGACAACAGCAGTGAGTATGTGGCTCAGTGGCCTTGTGGTTGCTCCGGCCGATATCAGATCGACACCATGGAATTCAGGCAGGCTGGGCAAGCCGAGCCTGGAGGGGATGCTCGAGAGAGCGTAGTTACCAGCGAAAGCCATTGGATAATAGATAGACACCGCTCATTTGGGCGAGCCAGATGTTCAGTTGGGCTAGGCAAGGTCGACCTCAAAAGAAGAGAGCATGTCAATGAAGTGACAGGATGCCCTAAAGAACAACTCAAAGATGGTTTCCCGATGGCATCCATCGACGTTGATTTACCCCGCTCAATGAAGCTTGAGCAAATCACAATAGACCCGGAGAGATTGGGCCAGTTGATTGGCCCATCTTGACCGGCAACAGCAATGCACTAAGCCAGAGCAGGCAAGAAAGGAAGATTGCCCTTGCCTCAGCATCAGGCGAGGCAAGTCACACTTTCCAGGCGATAAGCAGAAAGGGAAAGTTCTCGCCCGCGAGATGATTCAGTGTCTGAGACGCCAATGATAGAAAAGCTTATGTGTACTAATTCCATACAAAGCTCGTGTCTAGATGACCTGTTGAAGTGGACGGTGATATCGAGGATATCACTATCACCCAGTTCAACATGATTTCATGATAGATCCCTTATATAAGCTCGTGTGGTTGAGTAATGGACACCAGGTGACAGTTAGCGTCTCACACGAAGTACGAGCAGCCTCCGATACTCGGACGATAACAGCAGAACGGGGGGGCTTCACTTTTTCAATTGGGGTGTTGCAAGGCTACGGTCAGCGGCACGTCCATCGACCATTGTTCGGCATGATGTGGACGCGATACTGACCAGAAACCTGGGTGAGATCGATGCTAGCCCACAGCTGCTGCTGGGGTTTGTATTGTGAGGCCTGCTTGTCAGCTTCTTGTTATCGCTGGGCAGATACACTGCGGGGTAAACATGAGCCGCACTCAGGTCGCGGGCGAGAAGGAGGCCTTGGGAGCCTGCGCAAGCACATCATACAAAAAGACTCGGACTTCTGTCTTTTTGACAATGCAGACATAGAATGTTGTCAATTGTTAGGCCTGGCCCACTGACATGCGTCAAAATCAATCTCGGCTCTCCATTATTTTGTATCAAACATGCCAAGACAACTCTCCGCACAGCCTTCGTCCAGGGGTTGGGGCGCAGATAATGCGCAGCTGCATGTCGATTTGATCCAATTGTCTTTGCCCATCCACTGGCGGCCGCCCTGGATAATGGAATTTGCCAATCAGTGGGCATTCAGTTGAGAGTTGGAGGGGAGCAAGAGGGGCCAGCGCGCAGGCAGACGCCCCGATTTCTCACATCCTCAGTCAGCCAGCCTATGAAACGTCGTCCTATCCATGCAACTACGGCAGCTGTCTGCAAGTGTTCTCCTGCAGTAGCCAGTCCAAGGCGTCCCGGCCACCTGTGCCTCAGATCCCTCCCACTTCCATGGTCTCAATCCTCCCCCAGCTTATAAGAGCTATCAGCCCGGAACCCCGCCCTCACTTTCCCCTTGAACCTTTGCAGCAAGACCATTGCTCTCTGGTCTTCGTGTTATACAACTCACCCCCACCTCCACAACCACAATCATGTGTCCGGTACCCTACTCTCCTCAATCCCCATTCCTTGAGAGAGGAAGAAACTCAGCGCCTGTCAATGCTGCCGCATATGGCGATGATGAGTCGACAGTATGCAGCGACGACTCTAGTGTCGTCTCCTCCGTATACAGTGACAGATATTGGATAAGCCAGGAACATTGCCCTCTCCAGTAAGTGTGCCCAGTCTCGTTTGCCGGAGGGCATGTGCTAATATTTGAGCACCTAGTCAAGTAGAGAAGAACGAGGCGGGCAAGCAGGTATACGAGGCTTGGAACATCACCTATCTTCCCGGCCAACGGGAGGTATTGGGTGGTTTTAAGGCGCTCGGGGTGGGTGTGCATGAATACCAACAAACCGAAGCCAGGGTGTCAACAGTTGCTCAAGCATCCGAACAGTCCGTCCTTGCCAACATGTTCTACGACGCCGTCAAACAGTATCAAGACAAGCATCGCCGTGGATGGGCTGGCCGGATCCTCCGTGGGAAGCAAAAGACATATGAAGAACACCTTGACACGATCTGTGGCAGCCTTCCAAACGAAGTCCAACACGCCATCACAGATTTGCTTCTTGACAGAGGGAGAGCGACATCGACCAGTTACCGCACTCGAACCTGGACGCTTGTAACTCTCCGTGTACAGAGCTTTCTGCGATTCTCCGGCGCGGATCACGCGGATGTCCCACAACCTCGTCGTCGATTGTGGAAGAAGAAAGCCGCCATTGGAAACCAGGCCTTGAGGATCTCTCTTGTTATTCGAGGTGGGGAGACCGGGGTCAGCAAGACCGCTGATGGCCTCGAGGGATGCCACCAAGATTCCAACCCCTGGGGGCGTGCTGACGAGGCCGAAACGAGCGAAATGGCCCGTGAGAGACACCGTCAAAGACGTCTCAGAGTGGAAGCATCGCGGCCCAAACGCACCGAATCGCCACCATCATATCGATCGACTTCTGTATCACCACACAGAGAGCGACGGAGCTTCGCATCCCCGCCCTCATACACAAGTCGTCCAGATCGATCTCGCGGCCGTAGCCTTTCGTCAGAGCAGGTCAGACATCGCGTCCAAAGGCGTGACCGCTCAGAGGACAGCATATCAGATAGCTGGCCATCGCCGTTCGGCCGCGATCCGTATGGAGCTCCAACACCCCCGGAGACATATACACCGCCGCCGGCAATCTCAGCATACAGCAGACCATCTGTGATCCCCCCTCCTTTGCCAACACAATTCCCTCTTGGTCCTCCCATGATTCCTCGTTACCTGCCACCTCCGCCACCCCCTCCGCCAATGTCAATGTTGCCGTGCAAAGCATGCCAAACCCTTACGCCATGCATGCACTTCCCCAACTCCCACCGATACCAATGCCATCGGCAACTGATCAACACAGTGAACAACATCCCCACCCATCCGCCTTGCGTCTTTTGCTTTGGTGGCATGAGCCCGTCTTTTCCCCCTCCTCCGCCTCCCCCTCCGATGCCATCTTACTACCCCGGCCCAATGCCAATGGGCCCGCCTCCCCCTCCACCTCCGGGTATGTGGCCACCACCGAGACCTATCGTACCACCTAGCGGACTTGGCGAGATGTGCGGTACGTCTGCGCTCATGGCAACCCCACCACCACGTCAAAGACAGGACCTGGTGATGAGGACATCAGAATTCCCTCGCCCCGATTGTAGAACAGAAATTGCTCGCGATGCTATGTCCGACTTTGACTTTGACTCGTTCTTGAATGACGACTTTGATCCCCCTTCGCTACCGCCGCTGCCTTCGTCTTCATCATCCTTGTCATCATTGTCGTCTAGGTCTTCCTCTCCGGTACGTCGGCCATATAGGCCCGCCAGAGTACAGGATGCCGATGAGATTAGTGTTACTTCGACCGAGGTTTCGGATGAGGATGCACGTTCGGCTCGAGATGGTGATGATGGTCAGGTTCCACAGCTCAAGGAAGAGAAGACGGTCTTAAAGCCTGAGGTATAGCGGTTGCGCTTCTGGGGATAGGTGGACATGGTGAATCGGTGCTTCATGCTACGATAATGATGCGATGATATGGCTTTGCTCTTTCATATGTACCTTGACGGTTTTGTTGGTCTATTTTAGGGTCTGGGCTACAAAGTAGCTGTCATCATGGTTGGTCGTCATGGTTGACAGGAGGGACTGGGAACTGGTGGGATTTGATGGTTCCTTCAGGCGCATTTCTTGTCTGTTTGTTGTTGTTTTGTAAGGAAAGTATCCTGATGCCTTAAGTATCGAAAGCCACACTGCGCATAAAAAAAGGTGAAAATAATGAAGAGAAAGTTTCACGTTCACATCTCACTTTCACATCAAAAAGGTGCCTGGTTTACCGGCCATTGGCGTTCCAAAACGCCCCACCAGTCGCCCCACAGCACCCGCACCACGATCATGTGCAAACGAAAACTCCGAAAGTGGCCCGTGCAATTAACCAACATCACCGCAATAAAGCACGTGATATCGGCATTTCACTTGCAACCACTGACGAGACGGACAACTCACCGCCCGATCAATCCTTGGCCAGCATCGAAGCTGGCAAAAAAAATCCCAAAGATTTCGCCGCTGCTTTTCGAAATCTCGGCCTTTCCCCGTCACCACCACCAAACCACCCAACAGCAACCACAACACCACCTCCCCCACCACCGAACCAACCAAAAAAATGCATCTCATGTACATCCCCACCGCCGACGGCCTCGGCCGCCAGTACACCCTCAAAAAGGTCCTCGACAGCAAAGTCACCCGCTCTGCCCACCCGGCGCGCTTCTCCCCCGACGACAAGTGGTCCCGCCACCGGCTCGCGATGCGCAAAAGATATGCTGCCTTGTTGGATGCCGCCGAGAAGAGTATGTCGCGTTCCGTCACGTTTTTGTCGAAAAAGAAGCTAACCTACGCGCACGTAACAGAGTAAAATAAACATTTACTTCGCGATCGCATCATCCAGTACGATACCAAAAGCAGCAAATAAAACAGCGCCGAGCAGGAGGGAGAAGTGTAGGAAATAGGTCGACAGAAGGAGATACCCAACAGTGCTATTACAAGGTCAATTCAGCGCTCCATTTTCTATCCATCACCCAATCAAGACTTTTTGGCAGGATTGAGAGGAGGAGGAAGGAAGACAAGTGGTTTCACTACTTGTTGCCAGTTAAACTGGAGCAGAACGTGAATTGGAGGCGGAGGAGTGGACAATCAATGCCGATAGCAGCGAAACTGTGCTACCAGCGCATAATCATACGAGGAAAATGGAAAAGGGCTCTGTTTTTCTCTAGGTGTTCAGGGAGTTCATACTTTGTGGAATTATCCCCTAGGTTGTCATTGACATTCAGGAACAATACACACACACAAACCCACATCTGCATTTTTGTGGCACCATCGCAGGATGTACACTTTATTTTGTTTGTCTATATGTGCTGTTTACCTCTTCTTCTTGGCGTTGATATTGCGACCAGCACCCACCTTGATCCTCCCGTTCCCAGGGCCCCTTGACCCGGTGAGAATACTGGGAAGATAATCCTCATCCATCAGATCTTTGTACTTTGTGCGGCGCTCCTCATCCGTCTTCCTGACGTACTCCTTTTGGTCCTCAGCCAGGATTAGCTCATTGCCCCAGCCGTTTTTGCCGCCTCCAACAATGCGCTTGGTGTTGGAAGAGCCGTGTGTTGGTTTGGGAATGCTGTAGACGTTGCCACGGTTGTTGAACTGAAAGTTCTTCTTGAGGTGCAATGTGAAGTTGCCAGACGCGTCCGTGCTGCATGACACACGGGTGAGGGTAGCCTGTCCGCAAGATGGGCAGAACTGCTTCGTGGTGTCCTTGCAGACCTTCCAGCAGCCGTGGCATCTTAGAACCCAGGTCTTGAGAAAGGTAATTTTGGTAAGGCTGGTGTCAAGCAGGCTGTGATATTGTTAGCTCATTGCTCATTTGAGCTCTCGCGCGAAGGTCACTCACTTCAAGTTGATTCTGAGCGCAACATTTCGCATGGCCATATCCGCCGTAATAAGAGCTGCTTGAAGAAACCGCTGGGTTTGTTGCTTTCCGGCGCCGCCCTTCTCCTTGGCTTGGTACTTCTTGATGTTGCTGGGAGCTGCGGGTGTATGTATTAGTGAACAAGAACTTCTCAGGGTAATTCATGAAGCCACATACTGATCCACCCTTCCTCGTCATCATCTTCCTCCGCCTCAGCCTGTTCAACCTCAGCCTTAACTGACGTCTGGTTCAGGTCAACCTTCTCCAATTCTTGCGCTACCCCCTCTGGTGTTGTCTCAGTCAATGGCGCATCCGCTTCAGTCACTGTTTCTGGTGCAGCATCCTGCTCTTCAGTTTTGGTCTCCTCCTGCTTGGCTGGTGGCTTTCCGTTCACGGTCTTTTGCGTTGGGTCTTTCCTCAAGCGCCACTGTTAAACCCATTAGCCTTCCCGAATATCCCAAGCCGCATGAAAGGCGCCGTACATCACCACCATTCCTCTCAACCTCCAACTCATACGTCAAGGCAAGGAGCTGCAAATCGGGCTTCGACAACACCTGCAGATCACCCGTCCTCCGCGCAAAGCCAGTAACAAACGCCATCGACTCGGGCTTGGGTGTCCTAAGCTTGATGAATGGCGCAAGCGTCGTCTGGTATCGTGATCGGGTGGCTTCATCGCGAACTGAAAGACACAAAAGTTTTAGTGAGGCAGTCCCAAGATGTCAATATTCCCAGGGCCACACACTCTCGGACACAACCGCTGGAATGGTGTACAGCTCCTCCGCCTGAGAAAGAAGCGTTGATACTGTTGGATCGTTTCTGATAATAGCGTTGGCATCAATCACCAAGGAGTGGACCTGCTTGGTTGAGGTCTGGGCTGGCTGTTCTGCGACGGGCGCATTCTCGACGACTTCGGTGGGGGCGGGGTCCTCGATCTTGGGCGCTTGAGCGCTGGGCTCTGGTTGTTGTTCCATGTTTTCGATTGGCTGGATCCTGAAGATATCGAGCAGAATATCGAGGAGTCCAAAGATGTTAGCGATTCGATCGTTAGGCCGGGGCGCTCAATATCGTGGTCGTCCTGGGCTTGTGATGCATGAATTTCCCAAAAATTCATGTGGGGTTGAACTGGCAGAATTTCCGTTCCCAAAATCCATCCCACACGAGCCGAAAGGCGGTCAGGAATAAGACCCACAAGACCCTTGGGCCCACTTTGGACTTCAAGGCGTCTTGGCATTATGAACTGTCCTGCTTCATTCACTCATCATGATCACCGTCCTTATGAGATAGGAGGGATCCTCAAATCCTCTCAAAGGTGATGATGTCCGCGAAACTATACTGAGTTCGTTTGGCTTCGTGGCTCTTGCGTGATACTCTGGGTTTTCGGTGCAAGAAGTTGTACATACTCGGTGGAGGGGTGATGAAAACACTAACATGGATGACTCGTAGCAGGTCAAACACAAAACGTTGAAGCAACATTGTGGTAGGTGAACAGTGTTCTCTTAATGGGGGCTTTTATAGCAGCAGAAAGCTTTCCCTTGTCAATTCTGACTCTTGTTTCCCTGGTCCGTATAAACCTGAAGGCGTTCCAAGCATTTTTCAACTTCATGGCAACTGTGGTGATCTCAAGAGGGTTCGAGTTCTAAATAGCGTTAGAGCAGTTACGACAAAATAGGCATCAACCTTGGGCGGTTAGTCGTGGCATAGATGGTCAATTCATTCAGCAATAGTAACAATGAACCTTCATTTCTTCATCTGCATTAAGGAGAGTATCTACCTCGGGGTATACCAGAAGCCAAATTCCAAAAAGCCAAAACCACCAAAAACATACAACACCAGGGATTCCCCAGTGGTCACCCACCTGAGTACTGGTCTGGCGGTCAATTGCTTAACTAGGGGAGAGCGGACGGGATCCCGTGTATTCAACTGCCTATGGTCGTATGTGCTTGTGTTCACGGGATTGCGAGTTCAAGACACCATGATTCTGCTCCATATTCCAAATGAGTGTCATCATGTCATATCAGTCATTACCATCTCTCTTCTCCATCCCCACCATGTCTCTACAACCTCGTCCCCAAAACCACACTATCAGCAGAAATATTCGACTTCTTGGGAGGGTCCTCAACCCAAGGGACACCCCTGCCAGAGTCACGCTGGGCAATAAGTCTGTTCTTTCTCTGGCGCTCACGATAGAACAGGAAAGCCAAGCCAATGATGGCAGCGACACCAAGAATGGAACCAATCACCGCACCGGCGATAGCACCCTTGGAGAGACCGGTCTTGACAGACTCAATGGGGGTGTTGTTGTTGTTGTTGTTGTTGTTGCCGTTGTTGTTCGATGGGACAGAGCTGCTCGATGGCTCTGGGTCAGCGGTGTTGAGAGGAGGACCATTGTCGCCGTGACCCGGGAGGTTGGTCGGGAGACCAGTGGCAGTGGGTGCCGGGACGTCGTTCTCAGAGTCGGTTGCGTTGAAGCACGGGATTGTGTCTTGTGGGAAGTCGGCAGCGCGGACATATCTTGATTTGGTGTTAGTACAGACACCTGTGATGGTAAAATGGAAAGAAGGACTCACTGGATGTCGGCACAGGCATAGAAGGTTTGGTTCTCTGGCCGGTCAAAGTCGGCAATATACATGAGCTGGATGGTCGCATTGGTTCCGGGGGCAATGGTCGATGGAGGGTCAGGAATGGTCAGACAGGTGTGCCCTGGATCGATCTCTGTGATGGGCGTTGTGTTCAGGACGAAGCCAAAGTCCTTTTGCTCTTGGGGGTCTGATGAACGGCCATATTGATTAGCATCTCTCTTTGGCGATGGCAGTAGCCAAAGTTTGAATTTTTGTATAGGCGTCGATATGAAAGGAAATAAGCAAGGATGCAAAGATGCACGTACCATTATGGAATGAGATGCTCATCTGGGCGTGGTAGGAGTCATCTTGGGCTGTCAAGGCTATTCTTCCGCCGCCTACAAGCAATCAGCAAGTGTTTCCTCATTAGAATGTAGACCTAATGATGTCAAACATACTCAAAGGAAACTTCGTCCGTTCAAGAACCCTGTGGATAGAACCACAAGGCCCCTCATTGTCAGTGTGCTCAGACCAGGCTCTGTCAGGTGGCCACATGAACGAGGCAGGGCCCATGTTCTCCGAGGCTGCCAAAACACCAGTGGCAGTGGCTGCAACGAGGGCCACAGCCTGCTGAAATCGTCGAACCATTGTGTTGTTTGGATAGGGTGACCTGATAACAACGAAGTTATGCAAAGAAGATTGAAGATGGTATCCCAGGAAAGATTGAGAAGGGTGCAATGGTGTCAAGCTGGATGAGAAGCGGGGGAATGACCACTATTCGGCTAAGATGGAGGATGCCGCTTGTGCAGAGAAGGATAAGACAGGAACATGCCGGTGGCCACTTTGGTTCCGTCCTCCTCCTCTTTTATCTTTTCGTCAGTCCTGCCCAACCACCACCCCCACCACACATCACACTTTCCAAGACTCCGACATGTGTTGTTACCAATGCCGTATGGTAGCGTATCCTCGGCATAGCAACAACTTGCCCAGAACTTGCGTTCTTTTTCTGCTTTCCCCGCGAGATGGGCGAGAATTGTTCCTGGCTGCTCCGCTCTAGCCAAGATATGCTACAGGTATGGGTCTCGACAAAGACAGGAATCCGGGTTCTGCGTGAGATAACGTCGCCGGAAGCCGAACGATAACTTGGCATGGCAGCGGTGTGATGAGAGTGAAGAGTGTCGACCAGGCTGGGCTGTCAGTCCAGTGACTCTGAGTTTTCAGCGAACCGCACCGAGCCCCTCGTTTAGGCAGTCAATGATCTGATTCTTTTCAGTCACCGGCAGGATTGACCAACAGTGGCATTCAATGGTACCCTCCTGCGAGCCCTCCCATTTGTCGTGATGGGATCTGGGAGACTTGGCAATCAGATGATCAGATAAATTTGATCAGATAACTTTGCTCGGCGCAGTGGGCACCCATCTTATCAGATGCATCACCGGAAGCTGATTGGTGGTTGTCAGCTCCGGCGAGCTTGGGTCCACTTCTGTGAGCCAGGATGTTCCACAGAATGAAGAGCCGACATCGCAGAATGCCAGAATGTGCCTCACAAATCCAGTTTGTCGTGAAAAGATACCCGGAATTTCTGATTGAATCCTTCAGCCGACTTTGAACTGCCAAGTTCGTTAGGTAATATCCACCCTCTGCCGCCATGCATCCCTGGCCACCCCGAACCGTCTGACCCGACATTGGGTTGACGCTCGACGGGGTCAAGGACCATCCTCATTCGACAAGGGTACATTCAGATATATTGAGGTACACCCGCCTCTACCTTTCTCGTAGCCAATCCCAAAACCTCCCCGTATTTACCTACTTCATTTGACCCCATCCTTCCCTCCCAGTGCAGGCCCCATCTCTTGCCCTCCTCGTCGTTATTTCTTGCAACATCTTCAAAATGCGTGGTCTTCAGTTTTCCGTCCTGGTCTCCGCCTTCACTGCGACTGCTGTTCAAGCCGCTGTTTCTCCTCAAGACAATGTCGATGTCGCTGCCCTCTTAGCCCGCCAGGCCCCTGGCACTCCCCAGTTTGAATGCCATTCCGACTGTGGTACGTTGACCAACCTCAACCAATATCTCACCCACACCGGCACCTCTAACAATAGCTAACACCTGCCGTTACAGGAAGTGCCCTTGGTGGCTCACGCTCCGGTAGACATTGCGACAACTCCACTTGGGTCGAGCTGTTCGAGGACTGTCTCGAATGTGCCAATCAGTTCAACATCTGGCGCCATTACGGCAATGGTTTGACAGCCGCTGCTGAAGCTTGCGGCTTGTCTGCTGTCCCATCACCCTCGGGCGGAGCAGAGGAGCCAGCGGCCACCACAACAGTCACTCCCGTCGGCTCTTTTGTCACCTCAGAGGCCCCGGTTACTGTCACTGAGGATGCTGATTCGTCTTCTACCTCTGACGCCGCTGAACCCTCCATCACCGAACCTCCTCAGACAGGAGCTGAGACGACCGCACCCGCCTCGGCCTCCACCAGTGTATGTTGTTGCCTTCCCCTGAAAGCCTTGGTGCCTCATCGCTAACCTGCGGGCGTTCAGGAGCCTGTTACCGCTGGTGCTTCCGGTCTCGCGTATGTTTCTGTCTCGATGATGAGTGTCGGGACTCTACTTGCGATGTTCATTGGCACAATCAGCTGGTAATCAGGAAGACCCAAGTAATGGCCTTGAAAGAGTGGCACATAATAATGGTTTGGATGTAATGTTAGATAATCTTTATCAGTGACCTGGCTTTCCCTTCGCACCACCTATCGAGATCACCAGAGTAGCCCATCATGTATCCAATTCTCTCATAGCATCCTGGTTCATTGATAGTTGACGTCTCCACCTTGCCAGCCCGTTTCAAGATCAAGCAGAACTCGTCAGCGTCATTGTACAGGCCCATGCGGAGACAAAATATCTCTTGGCCAACTGTCACCGTGCCATCATAGAGGTATTCCCGGCAGTCTATAAACATCAGCCTCTCGTCCCCATTGACTGTCAGTAGAAGGTCGTAAACAGATGCAGATTTGGGGTAGCGCAGTATCTTGGGATCGACATGAGATCCCTGTTTCATTCGTCCGGCGCAAATAGTTCCTGACAAAATAACGTGCCCCGATTCGACTTCTCCCATTGCGTCTGGACCAGCTAGGAGTACGCTTGCATCCACAACGCTGCAAGCATCGTTCTTAGCCCGTTGTCGGAATTTGTTCATGGCGATGGGTCCGTCGATTGATACCCATGACCAGCTTGGCCCGCGCCACCGCTGTGGTACCTGCTTATAGCCGACAGACCACCAGCATAAATCAGGTAGCAGCGTGCTTCTCCATAGTCCCGCAAGATATTCGTCATCCGGCCGCAAACGTCTTTGGATTTGTTTGGCCACTCCTGACAACGCTGGTAGCTTGTCTCGTGGATATGAAAGACTTAGCGCTGTGTAGCACTCTACTGCTCTCCCCCAGGGCGTCTCATTAACCTCGTGGTTGGCGGCTTCTTCAAGACTCTCTGGCTTCTTCTTGGGTGCCTTCAAAGCAGCCTCGGAGAGAGAAAGTACGCGTTTGTCGAGTGGCTCACTGTGCTTTGGCCGGTAATCGTATCGCCCAACCCCAGGGTGACATTCGCACGTAATGAGTTCTGCGCATTCGAAGAGGAGCTCTTCCTTGGTGAAGTGCAGTAATCGGCGAGATAGAAGGCGCTCTTGAAAAACCCAGGCTCGTGTCAGGAGCGGAAAATACTTCCTTCGGTTTTCGTGGTGGTCAACTCCCCAAGGCAATGGAAGATGTCGATTCGACAGGTCCGTTCTGACCAGCAGCTCGTAATCTGTTCCGTCTGGTCCTTTGACTGTAATTTCTTTTGGCCTTCTTTCGGTAGGTACGTCTCCATAGAATCCACCATTGTCATCTTCTGATGCAGTGGCACACTATAGTGGAAGAAGAGATGCTGTTAGTGAGGACCCCAGAGAGAAAGGGAAAGAGAACAAACCAAAGTAAGATGGCTATTCTCGTAAATGAAGATCATTTCAGCCGACTGGTGCTGCCAGTCCGTTTCCGAGTCTTGTATAATGCACAGAGAGTCGATCCACAGATAGTCAAATCCTAGACGCCTTGTAACATCAATGGCATGTTGAAATGTTGCGGGGAGATTGTTCCAAACAATCTCCTGGCGATTGGTCTCGAGGGTCCATGATGTAGTCATGCATTTCGGTCTCGAACCACCCCAGCAGTGGGGAAGACACAGATATGGCTTCGACTCACCGGGACGTGGCTCATACAACTTGACGGGTAGTTGGCGAACATCAAGAACCCTTGCCGGTAAATTTGGAGCTCCAGACACCCTACCACACATTGAGTGTCTTTCCTCGCAAACCTTCAACCAAGCCTGAACCTTGTCAAAGCTCACGCCATAATCCTTGCTAGGGCAGGCCAATCTTGGGCCCCAAATAGGGATGTCAGGAAATGGAGATGGCTTCCCAGGAGCGGTCAATATCTCAAATGATATGGCATTCGGAAGGTAGTACGCGGAACCTCCGGCAGACGATAATAGGTTAGACCATCTCGGAAGTACGAGTGAACCGTCGTTCTCGACTTGCCAAACCATAAAGTGATTGGGTTTGTTGTCTGTGTCAAAATCTGCACATTTTAGAATCCCTTGCTCCACACAGGCTTCTCCAACCGCGGACGTAAACACGCAGCGAGCGCAAGTACTTGGGTAGATTCCTCGTGAGCTCCCAATCTGAAGGCAACGGTATCCTGGGAGGGATTCGTCTTTAATCCTGGAACAAGAGGGGCATGACGAGATTTCATTCGGACTTGGTGGTCTTGAACGAAGGCTGTCGAGTATATCGTTGATGTCGTTGAGATCGTCATCGACATTCGCCATTTTTCAAAGCTGCAAAAAGGTGATGTGCGGGGTTGGCACTGTTGGCAGGCTGTTGGGCAGAAAATAGAAAAGAGGGGCCCCCGGTCCACCAGCACATCTCATGCAACTTGTTGGAGTCGGAAGGCACTCTCACTTCCTCTATTGCATTAGACAAAATTTACGACCTCTTTGTTAATCTCAACATCAAATCGCTTCCAATCCAAAATACCCCGCTGCTTGATCTGATCGGGTTGTGAGGATCAACCAACGCCATATCATACCGCTGCAATAGCTGTGATTTTTTTCTTTGATCAGCACAGGTATAGATTCTTCAACTGACACATCAACCGAACACCTACCTCAAAAAAGATCTTGTTCAACTCCATCAGCGCGATTCGCTTCCCCAGACACTGGTACTTTCCATTCCCGAACGCAAGCTCCAACACAGAGTTCATCAACTTCAGCCGCTCTGCGTCGGCCTCCTCCTCTAGCCAGCGCTCCGGTCGAAACACGTCAGCATCCTCCCCAAATACCTCCTTCAATCGCATTACTCCCGAGTAGTTATGCGAGACTTGGGTGCCCTCCGGAACATGGAACCCGCAAATACTATCACCACCTTTCGGCACCTGCTTGCTGCCCAGGCCAACAACTGATGGCCAGGTTCGGTAGCCCTCGCGAATCATCGCTTGCAGATACGGAAGGGCTTGAGCTTCGACATCCCTAATGACCGGACGGCTGACGCGGCCGGAGGAGACACTCTCATCTATTTCCTTTTGGAGAGTCGCATACACCGAAGGGGTAGATATCAAGGCCAAGAGGGTATGTCGAATAGCTGCCGCCGTCGTAATGGAACCTGCCACACTGATTTATCTCTGGTTAGGGTCACCACATAGTATCGAAGAAAGGCCTCTTACATCTGAACAAACATATGCTGCACCAGCTCATCCTCCGTCATCCCACCATTGATAAAAGCCTGGAGCATATCCCGCCCTGGCTCTGCATCAGGTCGAAGCCGCTCCTCCACGCAACCCGTTGCCAGCCTACCGGGCTGTCAGCAAAAAGTCCCCCGAGCCTCACGAGAGGAACAACATACCCCATTAACCGGCCAAACCCAACGCCGTCCACGTCCCTAGGAAGCGCCAGATTGAACGGCCAGCGATAAACGATATTTGTCAAGGACGGCACAGCCTGAAGGAAATTCATGGCCGGAAGAGCAGAGTCATTGATCTCAACGAACTGATGCAAATCCCTATCCTCTACCAAGAACCCGAATGCCTTACCAAACGAAGCATCGCTAATGACATCCAACGAGAAGAAATGCGTCTTGGCACAAAGATCAAACGGCCGCAGATTGCCGGGCGAGGAGACATATTTGCTTTCAATCAATGCCACGAGGTTGAGCATTTGTCGATCTATACTTTCCTCAAAGCCTGTACTCCCGTTTTCTCGTCCGTTGTACTGTTTCTTTTGTTAGCTCTCCTCCAGTATGAGTTACGGTTGCAACGGTCACCATGGAAACTGTCCACTTACAGCCCCTGCCATCTTTGTCCTCAGCGCTTTGTGTTTCTCCTCATCCCGCTCACAAACAATGTTGTTATACCCCGGGATGATCCTCCCCGTCTCGTAAAAGACTCCTTTTGTGTAAGCCGAGCGCACGCTTGACATCCGGCGCAAGGTCTCCGGGTCGGTGCAAAGCAGGTCGTTGGGTCCGATTCGTACCAAGGGGCCGTATTTGGCGGCGGTGGCAATCATGTTCTCGTGGACCTTGCCGCTGGTGAGCGTTTTGATCATCCAGGCGGATGAGAACCTTGCGAGTGCGGGGCCGGGGATGTGACGGAGGCGGAAGTAGGAATTGTAGCAACGGGCGATGTAAACTGCCAGTGCGGTGGCTAGGAAGAGCCATAATGTGGTCATCTTGACGCTGGTGGTTGTTTGGGCTGAGTGGTTTTTGTCGGGAGAAAACGAGGAGCTGCCGTCAAAGAAATCGATGCCAATGTCAGCTCATTCTTGGCGGGTCATGCTGGCTGCGAGGGTGGTGATTGGTGATAGCTCTAGCTACTTCAACACTAGACCGCTACAGCGATTTTGTCCTTGGAGCTCTCAATGCTCTCTGGGAGTGCTAAGCATCAAGCGAGGTGGCATTCTCATGCAGGGCACTTGGTCACCTTTCCAAAACCATTAGCAGAATGTCAGCCACAAGTCACTGGCAAAAGGCAGTCACAAGAAAAAGCTTTGCCATGAACCTCATTGTAGATTGGTCAGTCTAGAAAGATCCCCTGAAACCGGAACGCCTTGTTATTCAGAGAAACATTCACCCAACCCTTTGTCTACCCATTTCCTTTTCCATACGCCCAACCCATTCCGACCCATTTCCAGATGTCGATTGAAACGGGGAAAACCAGCTAAGAATTGAGAGAAAGGAAGCTGATGCCGTGGGCTTAAGAAGCCGGGCCATGGTAGTCGCAGCGGTAGGAGCTGATACGGTCGTTCCACCAACCATTGCCATCGGCAAGGTTTTGGTCGTTCTCGTTCGAATACTGGGCGCCGGTGCAATCCGCACCACTATTTTGGTTGATGATGGTTAGCACACTGGCCATGTCATGAAGCGAAGAGGATGCACTTACTCAAACCAGTGGCAGTCGGATTGGTCGACATTCTCGTTGGCAATGGAGCTGATGGCATTGTCAAATTTGGCGGGAATGTTACCTGAGAATGGGACGTCAGCAAGAGTAAGAATATGAAACAGCGGATCGGAATACTTACGACACTCGCCGGTCCAAGAGTAACTGTGAGCACAGTCGCCCTGAGACCAGATGTGCTCGCAATAATAGATATGCATGCACCCGTCAACTCCGGGGTTGCACTGACCACGGTCACCCTTGGGACAGAAAGACTTCGTGGAGTCACAGTTGTCGCGGGCCTCGACCACCGAAGTGTTGTTAAAGTTGGCCGGGGCTGCAAGGACAGCGAGCCCCATGGAGAGGATGGTAGCAAAGAAGGTAACAGAGACCATTTTGGTGGTAATGAGAGGCTTGGGCAAAGGTAAAAGAGTGGCGAATGGGTGGTGGGACAGGTTAGATGTTTGAGAACAAGAGAAGAAGAAGATGATCCTGTCGAGCCTGGGAGAGAAGAGAATTGGGAGGGCGGAAGAGAATTGGGAGGGCAGAAGAGAATTGGGAGGGCAGAAGAGAATGGGAAGTGCTCGATATATACTGGGAATTTGTGACCCACGCTCTACGCGTGGGGCCTTGCGAATTCCGCTATCTGCTCGCAAATCTGGTTATCTCGAGCGAACAGAAGAGTAAACAATGATCTGTTTGCCTGCTTGGTCTCCACTTGGGAACAAGTGACAAGATCAGATTGAGATTGGGAGTCACAGAATCTCGGCCAGTGATGTCGTTTGGGCCGGCCGAGTGCGGCTCTGCGCACGTCATTGCGGCTCTGCTCGGCGTCGTTGCGGCTTAGATACGGTTGGAAGATTTTATTGGAGGAGAAAAATGCGTGTGTCTGGTATTTTCTTGGCAGAGGGGAGTTGGGATGAAAGCAGGAAAGGCAAGGGGGTAATAGAGGCTTTGGAAGCACACCCCTCTCCATTCACTCAGCTAAGCGGGCTCGGGGAGTCCAGTCCTGAGGAGGATCTTGTTCAAGAGCTCTGTATCTACGGGATATGGCAAGGAACAACTGACCACAGACAACAACGATGATGCTTTGGATTGGCCGAAAGGCCACCTGTGGCGGGCAGCTCTGGTTTGGAGGGACTGATATCATGACTTGTATGAACGGATATACCCATTGTCAGCTCCTTTTTTCCGCAGAAGCTCATGTCACCCAGAGGCTCTGCGTGCCGGTTGAGCCGACTTAAGCAGTAGGTTGCATGAGCTGGCACGAGTGACAACTTCATGCGGCACTTCTTTCTGCTTTTCACGTGGTTTCGTAATAGATTGGTGACCTCAAGACCACGAGGAAACCATTCACCTGGCACAGGTGACGGTGAGTCACATTAGGTATAAATACGGCTCACAAGTCAATGGCGTCATGGGAACCTTTCGCGTAGGCTTTCTGTCTCAAGCCTGGCGGTTCTATTTATCGTCAGCAGACTCGCTTTACCTCGGTGTAGAAAACCACTACGTAGACATTGTTATAGTGCCAAGGGCCTTGGTGAATTAAAAGGTCGAAGGACAGGGCAGTATAAGGGTAGCTTGCCAATAGGCTTTACCAAAGGCCGAAGGGAGTGCGGCAAAGTAACCTTTTCCACCTATATTTAGGGGAGCACGCTCTTACCTAGCGGACCAATTATCTTTTCCTTTCCCTAGTAGTTAATTCAACTTTTTATTATGGTTTAAATTCTACACAGGACCAAGTCCCGTATCAAACATGTCATGGGATCCATGATTCAGTGAAGGCTCCTCGTGTATCGTACCAAAAGGACGTCCTTAGCCAAAGGCCGACGCAAGGGGTATATCCGCTCACAGATTGTGTGTGCTTAACACTTGTAGAAGATCATGACAATTACCATGCAACTTCAAGCCAAACTTTGGGCGGTAAGATATGGGTAGAGAGAGCCGGGGGAGTTCTCACAGGGCAAGTAACGGGACCTTCAGCCCTAAGCCGAACCTTTCCATCTTTTGCATATTGCAATCACTTTTCCAGGGAAGCTTTGGTCTCAAACATGTGCCATTGTGCAGTTCAGGGTCAAAGTGCAGGACAAAAGCCTGGGAAAAATACATGAAACAAAGTATCATTGACTGGCCAACAATGACTATTGAGTCGTCAAACGACCTCTATCATAAAACTGCAACCATGACCCATCGCTGTACCGCTGCTAAACCAATAATTCCATCCATGCTGAATACCTCCATAATCTGAATTATGCCTTTCCCCCCTAATTCATCTCCTTTTTGAATTCCACACCATGGACGCAAAGGCTAAACTCTGATCATCCCCCTTGACCTGCACAATCATTCTCCTTAGTTCCTTGAACCCATGCTTGACATACAAGGCCTCCCCCACTGGTGTCGAAATGACATTAATAGCCTTTTCTTTTTTTCCTTGCTTCCTCCTTCCCCCACTCCAACAACTTTGTTGCCGCACCACGGCGCCGATACCCTGGCGAGGTAGAGAGCTCGGCCAATTCCATGCGTCTCTAACCAAGTCTATTCTGGTAATACTCCTAATCCCGCGCGACGGCAGCGTTGAGGGCCTTCATACGGCACTGGCTGATGTTTTCTTCGCTCGTATCGGGGGGCTGCTTGTCGGACGGCTTTTCTAGCGGTTGTTCCGGCTCCTTGGTGAGCTCCTCGTAGGTGGTGTTGGTGATATCCACTGGCTCGTCATTCGGGCCGTCTTTGGGAACTTTGGTCCAGATGGCGCAGGCGGTGATGGATTTGCTACCCTGCATGTCGATGTCGCCTGGTGTTCCTGAGTCGGGGACATTTGCAACCATCAAGATAAAATCTGGAGAGAAGAGGCAAAAGTGGTATTCTTTGCGGAGTCTCTTCAAGTGATCTTGACGGTATTCTTCTGGGTAGAGGTAGGGTATGTTTTCCGCGTATGGTGCCACGAGTTGGGCGATTTTGACGATGGCGTCGAGGTCGCCTTTTACGGCGGGGCGGATTGTGATGGACATTTTGATGGAATGTAAGAGTTGAATTCAAAGCTATGGAAAGTCATGCGAGAAGTTAAGAGCTAGAAAACAAACGTGCCCAGATTGGCCGGAGCACCCAGCGGAGCGACCTCACTCAGACAGATGACCAGCGGATGCACCTGCCCAAACCGAGCAGGCAGGTACAGCCGTCATACCACATCTTGTGTGGAAAAGGCGCCTTTCCGGTCTGTTAGCCGGAGCCTTGAGACTGCGGTTTGATCAGGATGATGATAAACTTTCTTCACAGTTGAGGTATCGGAGCGATGTGCCTAGACCGTCCCGCCAGTCGCAGTCCCAATAATTTACCTACTTGATGATCAGACTATCTGATGCCTATGAATCAAAGAACCTCACACCCCTAATCACAACCTTCGGCAGTCTCGTAACCCCCATCCTCTGCTGCTTTATCATATACATCGCCACGGCAAACTCATCCTTGGTAAGATACCCATCCGTATCCACATCTGCCAGCTCCCATATCTGACCCAACACCAGATCCGGCAGTTTGGAATTACTCAAGAAAACACACGCTTCCTCCCCTCTGATCATACCCTTCCCATCTGCATCAAGCCTAGCAAAGACCTCATCAAACCGCGCCTTATCCTCCGGCTCAACCAACCTTTCCCCCCTAATAAGATCTAACACCATCCCAAACTCCTCCCTGCTGAGGAACCCCTTGTTGTCTTTGTCCACCTGCTGCCAGATCCTCCCCAGCGTTTCCACTGGTAGACAGGACTGTTCAAAAAAGGGGCTTGCTTCCGTGCCAAGGAGGTATCCTTTCCCTCCTGCGTCAAGCTCGTTGAAGAGCTGGTCGTGGCGGGCGCGCTGAATGAGCTCCATTGCATGAGCGAACTGTCCTTTGGTCAAATATCCTCGGTTGCCTTCGTCTGCCTGGTCCCAAATTTCAGCAAGGGTTTGGCTTGGTAGGTTGAACTGTTGAAAGAACGGCACTGCTTCGTCTCCGTTTATAATTCCGTTGCTGTCCTGGTCCAAAGTTTCGAAGATGTCATCCCACTGGGATCTAGGATCATGTGGTGGTTCCTCGGTGTACATTGTGACAGCTCCGGTGTTCTTAATTATTCCCAGATCCTGATCCCCAGCGGTTGAGGGGATCGTGACCGCGGTGCAGACATCTATCACCTCTTCCGAATCCGAACCGACGTCGTGCACAGTCACCGAAACCTGACTTTTAGCACCCTTAAGACATTTAACAGCCAAAAGAGCAACGGCATCCAGCGCCATGTGCAGTGTATCTCGGTGAGCCTTCAACAATTCCCGCTGACCATCAACCTCAGCCTTAATCGCAAACGTCCACTGCAGGCCCCGATTGGAGCGCTCGCAGCCGCCAAGGGTTTTGTTGATCTCCTCAATGACATTCGAGCAGTTCCCGATCGTCGAAAGAGCTCGGTTGTGAACATCCTCGGGTATGGCGCCGTCATCAATTACAGCCGTATCCTCTCTCAGCAAGTCGAGCACGAGCTGAAGCTGCGCCAACTCGCCTGTCATTGCCAAAAGGTCAGACCTTGCGTCTCGGGAACGCCGACAAAACGTAGCAACCGCCGCTGCCGTTTCCCCGACGACGGCGACAAGATCTAAAAGCGCAGTAGTGATGGATACCGGAGCCATTTTCGGATCGATGATGGACAAAAAGCGTCACAACTCTCTTCTCACGGAAACCACGAGCCCAAGATTTCAAGCCTACAACCCCAACCCGGCTGAGCCCAAGCTAACCCAATCCTCACCGTATTCCTCAATCCAACTAGCTCTTCAGCCGCACCACCAGCTGTCCCTCTTCTATTCGTACCAATAACTCCTCTCGCCATCAACCCCTTCCGAACAAACACCCACACTAACATCTCCGAGGAGAAACCCAAAAAAGAAATTTACTCCCAGGGTTAGGATCGGCCCATTCCGTTGCCATGCAACACAGCCCCCTTTATGCAGCCCCACTCCCCCCTGAATCCGCTCCAATCGCAAAACACCCAAAAACAGGAGATAAAGTCCGGCTTCTTTTCTGCTGTACCCCGTAACACAGATTAGTCTTGCAGGCACTGCCTTCTTCTTCTCTTTCAACCTCTATCTCCAAACAGGCCCATTCCTTTTCCCAGAAACCGGATTATTGTACGCGGGGCATTGCTCGTACCTTTGCTGCGCTATATTTTGACCCTAACCCTGACATACCGATCGGGGGGGTTCGAGGGGCAACTACACACCTACGTGAATCTCAATCAGCCCACCAACTGTGCCTCAATAAAAGAGGCAGATTGCGAGGTTGACTTGTGGTTTCGAATCTTTAAACAATGTTGGGTGAAATACAGAGTGAAAGAAAGCATAAAGGCTGAGGCATGCGCACTGGTTTCTCAAACATGGTTGCCCTGAAGCATCTGGCATGAAGCATGAGTAGCTGTTTATCTACAATGGTCTGTAAAGCTCTTTCTTGGGGAGGGGGAGAGGGTAAGACTGGAAAGAGACATTTCGAGATTCATTTTTGGTATCAATAACTATTTCCCTGCCCAAACTCCACCCCCAATAAATCTACCACAAAGGCACCATTCCCTGTTGCTCCACAAACGGCGGCAATCCCAGTGTCATATTATCCTGAAACATCCCCCCAGTCCCCATGACAAACCCAAAGTCATTGTTCGTGTACATAGTACCAGCAAAATCCACATTCGTGGGATAATCGAAAGGCAGAAAATCAGGCCCCAACAAAGGTGTGCTGGCCCGGGACAAGGGGTCCGGAACACCCAACAGCCCTACGCCAGTATCCGACACCTCCCACGTGGGATATTCTACAGAACCGGACATAAGAAGTGGAGGATCCAGCGTAATGAGTGGCACAGAGAACTGTTGTTGCTGCCGTAGCTGCACGCCATGCTGCATATTCGCAATCAGCCCTTGTGCTGCCGTTGCTGCCCCGTCAAAGAGTCTTTGCCTGAATGTGTCTGTGTCGACGTCATCGGCGTACAGATTTGATGTGACGTTGATGCTGACCGCCAGCAACAAATTGAACTTGGCTGCCACCACTCCTAGGTGATACCTCGTCTGCCATAGGTCTTGCAGGAAAACCAGAGATTTGGTCAACAGCTCGCGGAAGACACACCCTGTCCTTTGTGGGTGGCAGAGAATGCGGATGTTGTCTAGCTGGCGTAGTCGGCCAAGAATCCAGCAAGATGCCATCGCCGAACGAGCAGCATCGGTCCAGAATAGCTGGCAGGCCATGTTGCTCACGTCAGAGCTAATCTGGCATAAACTGCGAAACTGATGCAAAACAGAAGCGGCATTGTCCCACAGTTCCAACAGCTGACTGCGTTGCGAGGCCTCTGGAGATGTGCCTAATGTGCCGCCCAGTCCAGTGATAGAGAGGAAGCTGGTCATTGGGATCGAGATCAGAGATTGCTGAAGCTCCTCGATTGGGGCTGTAGGTTTGGCGCCAGATCTCAGTGCAGGTGGTAGTTCTGTCAGGAACTTCCCGAATCCCGCTCGAAGACGCGCCTGAAGTTCGTTGGTAGAAGGAGGTTGGGTTGAATAAAGCGCTTGGTGTAAAGGTCCAATGACTTGGGCCAGCTTTGCTGCAGCGACCGAAAACTTGATGTCATTTTCGGCTGTCCTTTCAAGATCCGAGTCTGTCGTTCCGTCGGATTCCCGGTCTAACGTACGGAGACTGATCGGCAGTGGTAATGGGCAGTCGCTTTCCTCCAAGCGCAAACTGAACTGTGTTCCACTACGTATCGAGTACTCCAAATTCAACCGCACGAAGCACCACCAGAGGCGCTTTCTGAGCTCGGCAAAATACGGCGTGACCTCCACGAAGAGTGCTGGGTCGCGATGAAGACCCATGCTGGTTGTGATATCCCTGATCAGCCCATGAAGCGGAAGCAAATCGTACATCTTGTCCGTCTCCGACGCCAAAATGCTCTTCATGACTGCTAGTAGCAGCAAAACCTGTACCACACCACAACATGGCTTTTGGAACTTTGGTGTATATATGCAATTCTCGACAGCCCTCGCCAATCTCCTCCCACGGTGCCTCTCTTGTTCGCTGCTCTGCATGGCTATGCTGACGGCTAGCAGGATTTTGCATATGTGCACCGGATGATCGAGGGAACCTGAATAAATGCGATCCAAATCCCTGTTAAAAGCTGGCTGGTCGAGGATTCCGTACAGGCGCCCATATGTCTGGAAGTATTTCGCGATCCACGCCTCGCATTCCTGTCGTTCGGGTAATAGCGATCGAAGGCTGGCGCTGTCCCTTCCCACTGACGGTTCGGAGACATTGTTGTATGTCCTTAGCTGAGCTTTGAGCTCGGCAAATGCCTTGCGACTAGTGTGAAATTCAGGCGAGTGATCCAACATTGCCTTCAACACTGTCATCTCGTTACATGGAGCCAACCAATGACTCAGGCCCATCACGCGAGTCTTGAACGCAGTGCCCTTGTAGGCATTGCCTCTCGGTGCGTGAGCAACATTCTGCTTTTCGGCTGGTGATGGCGTTGTTGGTGTGGACTCCGGTGTTTCCCCTCTTGATGAGCAGCTGTCTGGTGGCGTGTGTGTTTGTGTCGGGCCCTCAGGGGATAGTTGTGCTGATGGTGAGGGAGCTGAGGACGATGAAGGAACGCGCAGTCTTGATCGCGATCTTGGAACGCCCTGGCGGTCTTTGGGAGTGCTGTAAATACACTCGGTGGCGATACCACGATGTTTGCATTGGCCACAGGGAGATTCGCGATCGCATCGTGTTTTTCGCGTTCGGCACTTCCCCATGTCAACATCCAATGTGATCCAGCTTCAGTCTCAGTGGGGACTCATCTTACCTGCCAGCAAGACACAGCTTCCCGAACTCTGGGTCGTTTCCTCCCTTTCAGCTGTTGCTCGATGAACGAGTCAGCGCTCATGTGGCTGAATGTTAAAGTCATGTCGAAGTGCCAACAGTCGGAACCTGCGAGCAAAATATGTTCTTGGACTTTCCCAAGATTGAAACCTCAGGGAGGAGAGATCGAGATCTTGATCCCACGCAGAAGGAGGACAGAAGTGAAGATAAATCCAAGCTCCGGGATGCGTCATTAGTCACTCGGGCAGGACTCATGCCGAACGAAATCGGGAGCGGAAGAGAGTTGAGGCAGTAACATTGAGAAGGCCAGCAGAAGCCGGATGGAAGCCAATGGCGGGAAGGGAATGTAGCGTCGGGTTGACATCGGTCAATAGTGTCAATACCTCGAGTCCTTTTGCAGGGGGCGGTGCCTGCATGATTGCATTGGGAGAAGGAGCGACCACGAGAGATGACCGGAAAGTAACCCCGCGCCACCACCACTACCACCACCATTAGAGGCCTGCCATGCATTGCAGACCATGCAGAAGCATCAGGACATCTTCAGGTGGCTGGAGGAATTTCTACTGCAATACCAGCATTATTAATCACGGCCCATACATTGGTGTCGGCTCTTTCAATAGTAGCCATCCCAAGCGCCCTTGGGAACACGACATTCCTCTCTGCATCTCCTCGGGCAGAAATGCAACGAAGCTTTCCTTTTGTTCCACTGCATAAACACAGCCCCTGACACCACCTCCCCTCAAAAGCTTGCGATTGGATCGATCAGATTAAGCTTTTCCCTGCTTTTCCCAACTTCCCACGGCAAAGTGCGGGGTCTGACCCGACCAGCTGGGCTCATGGAAAGGTGGTCCGGAAAGGCCCCCGCACGTGACCTTCCATGCGCAACTTCGTATGCACATGTAGGGCTGAGCCTCAGTGAAGCTGCAGCTCTTCAAGGGCGGTCAAGAAGCAAGTCGATATTGCGACTGCTGCCCCGACGTCGACGTCGGCGAACGACGGAATACTCATCGGATTTCCATTGGCATTGAGCATTCTGGAGCAAAACACGTCAACCGGCAAAGATGAGGCAGTGCAGAAAGGTCTGTAGACTGGTGACTAGAAGAAAATGCAAAAGTAACGTGCCATGGTATTGTTAATATCGTCATATATGGAGTGGTGTGTTACAAACAGTGTCATCTCATGAACCCTAACCCTCAACATTGCCATGTCGTAAACACCCAACATGCAAGGAAAGACAAAAGAAATCTACGGTTTATGTTTGATGTTGTACAAAGATTAACAAGTCGTGTCTATCGGATCAAACCGAAACCTCCTTCTTGCCACCGCATCTTGGAGTCATCCGGACATTGAGCCCAGTCTGAGCAACCATCCAATGGTTTTGCACCTTCCAGTCGCCCTCAAGCGTCATCTATCAGCAATGTTAGCATGCGGTTTGATGTACTTTTTGGGAGAAGACTTACCCGATACCGCCAAAACAAAGTTGGAATCAGCTTGTAAATCTCCAAATATGAGATATTCTTCCCCAAGCACGTCCTCCGTCCAGCTCCAAACGTCAACAGACACCTCTCCATCTTGACCCTTCTCTCCCTCTCACACAACCACCTCTCCGGCCTGAACTTGTCTGCATCTTCCCCAAAGACCTCCTTGCTGCGGTGAACAACCCAAGGATTCATTCCCACAACCGTCCCCCCCTCAAAGTGCACGCCGCAAAGCTCCACGCCACCTTTACCCACCACCCTCTCAAGCGGCAGCCCAATGACAGGATGTAACCTGCCCGCCTCCTTAACGCACGCATCCAAGTACGGGAGACTTTGAGACTCCTTCCATGTGACATTATCCGATAGTCGGCCCTCGCTATTCGCCTGTGAAAGTTCCTCCATCAGCTTACCAAGACAGTCCGGATGTTTGATCAGAAAGTAAATGACGGCTCTCATCATGATGGCAGTCGTATCGCTCCCAGCCAAGACATTCGATGTCGCCCAAGCAGTGACGAACCAGTCCAGGATATCCGGGTTCTTCTCCTTGGCCTCCAGAAAGCGAGACATGAAGTCCTTGGTATTATGGTACGTGGTCGTTTTCTCTACTTCGCTGATGTTTGATCTTTCATGCGCTCTGGCGAGAGCAAACGCCACAATGGGGGAGCTGCCTTCGGGAAGGAAGCGCGCGAGAGGGTTCTTCGCCAAGATGTTGTCAAGCCAAGGGATCTGGCCAACCTTTTACACCGTTAGCGTTCAGGGAGGAGGGTCCAAGTTCCGGATATCACTTACCCATGAGGCGTACTTGAAGACCTTCTGAATACTGCCCATGATCCCGTCGACATCCTTTGCTTCATCAAGAAAACCAAGACGTTTGCTGAACGTGATCTCGCCCATCACGTCAAAGGCAAACCACTGAAGCCATGTCCCAAGATCCACTGTTTGCCCATCTTTGGCCGAAATTTCATCCAACTTCGTCAGAAAGAAACAAATAGTGGTGTCAACATGTGGCTCAAACTCGACTAGATTCGACATCGAGTATATATTGGCAATCGGTCTCTTCATAGCCCGGTGGAGGTCGTCATCCTGGGTGTTGAACAGCCCTTGGATCACCCTGCCGCGTGACATGGGCTGCATAACCTTGTAGAAATCGGACTAGTGAAACACATCTGTCAGATCTGCCGTCTCTTCTGTGTTACAGCGTCGGAGTTACCTACCTTTTTGAGATTGACCCCAGTACCATAAATCTTTAGGACCTCTTCTGGGTCGTCAATACTGATGCAGTTCGGCCCGAGGCGTACAAGTCTACCAAATCGGTCGTGCAGCTGCATATGAACATGATGTGCTTCGCCAGACCATGCCCATCTGAGCCTGGGGAGATTCGATATGGATGCGAAGAAGGGTCCAGGAACTTTCCGATGTCTTGCCCAGGATCGATATGTCAACACCACCACATATATCGCCCCAAAGACCAATGCAGCAAGTTGAAGGATCATGGCGTTTACATGAAACAAAATGTTGAATGTACCACAAACCGAAAACCTGCGTTATCAGGACTGCCGTGTGCTTGAAGACCATGCTCGGTTGATCAGTATTAAAGCATGCCGCGTACTGGTGCTCCGTCGATGCTATATTTCTTGTCTTGACTCAAGTCTTGGCGTTTCGTGGGGGGAACTGTTCTGCGGTCAGACCGACAAAATGCTAGCTGCTTTCCTGTCTGGGAAAATAAGACCCGGAGCTGAGTAGCTATGAGTGACTGTGCCGGTCCCATGTCACCTTTAAACATAGTGCACGGGAGTGGCAATGACAACTGCCAACATGCACCAAGCCACGCCGCCGCACCGTTTAAACCACGGGTCGTTCGTTAGCGCAATCCAGGCTACCGGTGCTGGGCACACCGATGGGGTAACGAGTAAACATTGCGTGGGATCTAGACTCGGAATAGGAATCCTTCTGGAAATGTCCGGTCCTACCGAGCGGTGACCATGTCAATGACTGATGTTTTGGTTCGGACACTGGCAGAAGGCAGGTTTTGACATTGATACGAGCCCATCTTTGACAGCGTTGATGGCTATTTCCGTAGTTGATGTTAAAGTACAAATGTGGAGCAGGAAGGAAAGCTAGAGCCAATGTCAGTAAGTGTCGTGGTGATTGTATAAGAGCCGTGATACCAGTGCACTTTACCAAGATCTCTGTCAAACAAATACCGATTGTACTGCTGCTTCCTTTCATTTGTGACTATTGCCTGTCTTTGAACCACCACCAAGAAAATGACAGCCAACACTTTGCTTCTCTTTGGGGACCAGACAGGGGAGGTCCTACCTTCAATACAATCTCTCTCCAGAAATGCTTCATCAAATCAGACCTTGGCAACGTTTCTGAGGAAGGCCACAGATAGACTCAGAAGTGCAGTACTTCAAGCCCCTGCTCACTATCGACGCTCCTTTCCAAATTTCACCTCTCTCTCCGAGCTCGCCGCCGCCGTGTCGAAACAAGATCACCCATCCCCTGCCTTATATGCCGCACTTCTGTGTATCGCGCAAATTGGCGATGTCATCATGTAAGATGTCCTGTCAAACAAGCCCAGCTCCTGAATGCTGACAGCTCAGATATCTCGAAAACAACCCAGGGCTCCTAGACGCTTCTAAGGACAGGCTTGCCATTGTCGGGTTATGTACTGGCCTTCTCCCCGCCGCGGTTGTCTCGTGCTCCAGAAACCTCACCGAAGTGATCGCACTTGCAGATGAGACTGTTCATCTTGCTTTCCAAGTCGGTCTTGCGGCATCAAAAAGGTCCCACGAGGTAGATCCATCCACTGGCAGCTGGGCTACTCTGGTCTCCCAGGTCGATATTTCTGCCGCTAGGGAAGCCATTGGCATCTTCAACCGCAACTCGATCCCCAGACACCAGGTATACATCAGTGCTGAGAGCCCAAACTCAGTGACGATTAGCGGCCCGCCTTCCGCTACCGAAGCTTTCTTCAGCTCCACCTCAATCTTCGGAAAATGCAAAAGAATTCCACTTCCCATTGCAGCGGCCTTTCACGCCGATAATCTTCAGCCCATTCAGCCCACAGTGCTTCTCCAGAATATGAACCCTTCTCTACACTCGAAACCTGTACAACATCCCTTTCTTCTGTCTCCTCATTCAGGCTTGCCTTATCAAGAGTCGTCATTCGGTAATGTTTTGGTGGAGGTTGTGGGTGACATCTTCCGGCATCCTATATTGTTCGACGCATGTACTGAAGGGCTTGCCAAAATTCTCTCATCCCAACCGAACCTTCTGGCCTTTGGACCAGTGAGCTGTGAAAAGGCCATTCAGCAAGCCCTGCACGGCCATGGTATCAAATTGGAGACTCCCAGTACTGCAACGACGCTGAACAACACTTCATCGATACCCAACGCCATAGCCATCATCGGCATGTCAGTCCGGCTCCCAGGAAGTGAGAGCCTAGAAGATTTCTGGCAAGTGCTTGAGGACGGCCGCAATCTCCACGAAAAGATTCGTCCTGATCGTTTCGATATCAACACCCATGTTGATCCTTCTGGCAAGGCCAAGAACACTAGCTTGACACCATATGGTGTGTTCATCGATCGACCTGGATACTTCGATACGAGACTGTTCAATATGTCTCCCCGTGAGGCTGCTCAAACAGACCCTCAGCAACGACTGCTCCTTCTGACCACGTACGAGGCTCTCGAGATGGCTGGGTACACTCCCAATGCAACGCCATCTACCAATACCAAAAGGATCGGCTCCTTCATGGGCCAAACAGGTGACGACTATCGTGAGGTAAACGCGAGTCAGAACGTCGACACGTACTTCATCACTGGCAACATTCGCGCCTTCGGTCCAGGTAGACTGAACTATCATTTCGGTTGGGAAGGGCCGAGCTATTCCGTTGACACAGCGTGTTCATCCAGCGCAGCTAGTATCCAATTGGCCTGCTCTGCGCTGCTCAGTAGCGAGGTGGACATGGCTGTGGGTGGTGGTGCTAACCTGCTCACTGCATCCGATTTGTTTGCTGGGCTAAGTCGGGGGAGCTTCTTGTCAAAGACTGGAGGTTGCAAAACCTTTGATCATGATGCGGACGGCTATGTTCGCGCAGACGCAGTAGGTGTCATCGTGCTGAAGAGGTTGGACGACGCATTGGCCGACAGAGACAACATCCTCGCGGTCCTTCGGGCAACAGCAACCAACCACTCCGCTGAAGCATCCTCCATCACTCATCCTCACGCCGAGACACAAGAGCGACTGTTCGATTCAGTCCTAAGCAAAGCCGGCATCGACCCTATCGAGATCGATTACGCAGAGCTCCACGGCACTGGTACCCAAGCAGGTGATGCAACCGAGAGCCGATCTGTGACCAATGTTCTTTCCCGTAACCGCCCGGCCGACAAACCCCTGTTCATCGGCACTGTTAAGCCCAATCTCGGCCACGGTGAGGCGGCCAGCGGTGTCACCTCTCTCATCAAAGCCATCTTGATGTTGAGTAAGAACATGATTCCGCCCCATATTGGAATAAAAGGCCGGATCAACGAGAAGCTACCACCGCTGGCTGACATGAACACCCGGATATCATTCGGTAAAACTCCATTCCGCCCCCGTCCTGGCGGTGATGGAAAGAGAAAGATCCTCATCAACAACTTCGACGCTGCCGGCGGAAATACCAGCATGGTCATCGAAGATCCTCCCATGTTACCAACAGAGGGTGTGGATCCCCGCAATCATCATGCCATTACCGTGTCTGGCAAGACGCCAAACTCCATCATGGGGAACAGCAAGCGTCTTCTTGAGCACTTAGACCAAAATCCTGACGCTCGTCTAGAGGACATTGCCTACACCACCACTGCACGCCGGATGCATCATAATCTGCGCAAGGCCCATGTTGCTTCTTCGATCAAGACCCTTCGGGACAGTCTGCAGCAAGCCATCACAAGAGAGACGTGGACAAAGGTCCCGGCCGCGCCCCCTCAAGTCGTGTTCCTCTTCACTGGCCAGGGTTCTGCGTATAGCGGCATGGCATCAAACCTGTTCAATACCAGCGCACCGTTCCGCGAGCTTCTTCAAGGCAATGACGATATATGCGTCTCTCATGGCTTCAGATCTTTCCTGCCCCTTGTAGAGGACAAGAACTTTGACATGACGATGGCCTCGCCGGTTCAGGTGCAGTTGGCAATTGTGTCCATAGAGCTAGCCATGGCAGAATATTGGAAATCTCTTGGGGTTATGCCGGCTGCCGTTGTTGGTCACAGCCTTGGGGAGTATCCTGCACTGTGCGTCGCTGGTGTCCTCTCTCTCAGCGACTGCCTGTATCTTGTTGGGAAAAGGGCAGGTTTGATGGTATCCAATTGCTCGCCTGGTACGCACTCGATGCTGGCTGTTCAAGCAGACCAAGGTGACACGGAAGCACTCCTGAAGAGTGTCGATGACGATTCCGGTATCGAGATTGCATGTCGAAATGGGCCTACGTCAATCGTCGTCAGTGGAGGATCGGATCAGATACGGGAGTTGCAGGAGAAGGCTCTTACCAGGGGCCTGAAGACAACAGTGCTCGAGGTACAGTATGCTTTCCACTCTTCTCAAATGGATGCCATTCTGGAAGACTTCTCGTCGGTTGCAAACCGAGTCAATTTCGCAGCACCAGCCATACCTGTTGCGTCGACAGTTTTGGGATCGATCGTCGAAGGTGCAGGAATCATCAGTGCCGAATATCTGCTCCGGGGCACTCGGGGCCCTGTGCAGTTCATGGACGCGGTCGAAGCGGTTAAAAGTCTGCAAAACTCCCCAAATCAGCAAACAGTTTGGATTGAGATTGGGCCAAGCCCGGTTTGTGTCGGAATGGTGAGGTCCATGGCCATGGAAGGAGCTGCTGATCAGCTCCTCCCCTCAATGAAGAAGGGCGAGGACGACTGGAAGATGCTGACCACATCAGTGGCCAAAGCTTTCGCTGCGGGGCTCAACATCGATTGGCGTGAATTCCATCGACCCTATGAGTTGTCTCTGCGTCTAACTGCGTTACCTCATTACGCTTTCGATCTCAAGAACTACTGGATTCAATATGAAGGTGATTGGGCTCTGCGGAAAGGCGACGCAGATGGCCTCCCTAGGTCTCCCGCGGCACAAGACCGCCTCACAAAACTCCCGTCAACTACCCTCCATCGTATCGAGTCCGAGGTCCGTGACAAGGCTGGTATCTCCGTCATTTTCGCATCAGATGCTTCCGAGCCGAAGTTGAACACCGCTCTCTGCGGTCATCTTGTCAATGGCGCAGGGCTCTGCCCTAGTTCTATCTACGCAGACATGGCATTCACTGCTGCATCGTACATCCTGGGCGACGCAGGGCTCAATATGTCCTTGGATGTCCGGGACATGCAAGTCGACAAACCGCTTGTTATTCAACCAGGGGATACGAAGCAAATTATTCGAGTGTTTGCGACGAAAAAGATTGGTTCCGACCAAATCGAAGTAACATTTGCCTCTCAGGATGGAAGCAGAAACGAACACCACGCCACGTGTAGTGTTGTATGCGGACGAGGAGAATGTTGGCAACACGACTGGTCCAAGACGGCATATCTAATCAAGGCACGCATCGAAAGTCTAAAAGAGTCCTCCAACAAAGGCCAAACGCACAGAATTCTCCGGTCAATGGTGTACAAGTTGTTTGCAGCATTGGTGGATTACGACACTCGATACCAGGGGTTGCAAGAGGTCTTCATGGACAGCAACCTGTTTGAAGCAGCGGCCAATGTGAAATTCAACACCTCTGACAGTGATGGCACATTCAACCATAGCCCATACTGGATCGATGGTTTCTCCCATCTTTCAGGCTTTGTGCTTAATGGCGGAGAGAGGACCCCTGCCGATGCTGTTTACATTTCCCATGGTTGGGATAGTATGAAGATTGTTGGTCAGTTGTCTGCTGGTAAAGAGTATCAGAGCTATGTCCGCATGCAAGATACAAGCACACGCGGAGTAATGGAGGGCGATGTGTATCTCTTTGAAGGCGATGTGGTGGTGGCTGTTTGTCAGGGTCTGCGATTTCAGCGCATCCAACGCTCGATTTTCGACCACCTCCTCCCACCGCCAAACAAGCCCTCTACCCCTTCGCAACCCATGCCGAGCCTCGGTGCCAAGAGGCAATCTTTGAACTCGCACATTCCGACAATCAAGGTTGAGTTGGTGGACGATGATATCGTGTCTTCGGATTTTGACCAGGTCCTTCAATTGGTAGCTTCCGAGGTCGGTGTTGACGTTGAAGACCTGGCAGACCACACAGTATTTGCAGATCTGGGCGTTGATAGTTTGCTGTCCATCACTATCACCGCCAAGCTTGGCCAACTATGGGGCAAAGCCATACCGGCGGGTCTTTTCACCGAGATTCTGACTGTTGCAGAACTGCGCCGGTATCACCTTGAAAACATTGATAATTCTGAAGACGACGACCGTGCCTCGAGCTATGGCGGAAGCACTTGTGGAAACGACATTTTCAGCCAGCCTCAGAGTCAGGCATACACTCCGTTTACCAACACAGGGCTTTCCATCGGCACTCCAGTAGAAGATCGAGCTGGAGCAATCAGAAAGATCATTGCCGCTGAGTTGGGAATGAGCATCGAGGAAATCGACAATGACGTACCTTTGGCGGACCTTGGTGTTGACAGTCTACTATCTTTGTCGATCATGGCTGCTATCAAAGCACAGACAGGTCAGATATTCCCATCCAGCTTTTTGATGGAATATCCAAGTTTAGCAGCAATCGAGGCTGCTCTCGGCCCTCGCCGAACACTACCAGCCCAACAGCTGTTCAAAGCCCTGGAAAAGGTGCAAAACAACAAGAGCATTCCACAGTCTGAAGCTGTCTTGCTGCAAGGATCGTCATCTTCACGAGAACCTGCCCTGTTTCTGCTCCCTGATGGCTCTGGGAGTGCCAGCAGCTATGTTGGACTGCCAAACCTGAAACTATCTGGCCCTGTGTGGGGACTTGACAGCCCATTTCTTAACAATCCTGAGGCATTCACCATTCCGCTGGAAGAACTGGCTTCCTCATTTGCTGCAGAGATTCGAAACAAACAGGCTCACGGTCCGTACCGACTGGCCGGGTGGTCCATTGGAGGAACCTACGCATATGAGGTTGCACTACAATTGTTAAGCCATGGAGAGGTGGTTGAGTCTCTGACACTCATCGATGCACCATGTCCGGCTTCCCTCCCGCCACTGCCTATCGAAACGATCTCATTACTCGACAAAGTTGGAGCGTTTGACGGTTTCAAGAACAAGAAGAAGGCGGGCAAGACATACATGAGGGAAACTGACCATGCTCACTTTGCTGGATCGGTTAAAGCACTGGAAAGATACAAGCCTGCTGCAATGCAAAATATTTCAACTCCACTGATTAAGTCTGTCACAGTGGTGTGGGCACGAGATGGCGTTTGGGACACGGTTGGGCCGGAAGTCAAAGCAAGGCATATTAAGGCACTGGGCCAAAAGAATGCTGCAAGAGACTGGATGTTGGACACAAAATCAGACTTTGGGCCGAACGGGTGGGAGATGTTGCTCCCTGGTGCTGAGATTCAGTGCAAAGTAGTTGAGGGCGACCATTTCACCATCATGAGAGACTCAGGGGTGTTGAAGCTTGGCGAGGTACTTCAAGGTACCATCGTCGGGCCAGCTCGAAGTTGAGCATCCTTCGAAGCTTTGTGGGAGGGGCGGGATGCGTCTCTTTTGTACTACGAAATTATCTTTGTTCTTTTCTAGATAGATCTCATCTCAAAATATCACTCATTACCTATGACCAAGGCGTTGTTTCGTGCTTGATGGGCTTGTCGTCCTTCCTCGACGTTGATTGGCTACGGAGGAGGCCTGCCAAGATTGACCGGTGCAAGTGCATTGCACCAAAAATAGGAGGCGGGCTAGCCATATTGTCTAACTTCCCTATCCATAGTGGCGCTAACTGCCTTGGGAATTTACACAACGCTGCATTAAAACACCTATTTTCCAGGGCAAAACCAACCCCCATTTCGTGCCAAGCTATGCAGCAATTCTTTCAACGCAGCTGCCACAACCACATTTAAACAACCTGTAATGCCACTATTCCCGTTGCCAAAGGCTCCGAGGAAAAGCTCAATTTGTAAAGGCTCAATTTTCAAAGCCTCAACTGACAAAGGCTCAATTGTCAACCTGCGATTCCATTCAAAATAGCTGGTTCGAGCCGCCTGGGCATGCGCGCCTGGCTCGAAGGCCTTGAATTTGAACCACCACTTGAACTCCCAATTGCGCACCCGGTGTAATGGCTCTTTGCGCTGGCAATAGGAAGAGCTGACTGACATTAAAAACGACTATTTTCCTATACAAAATGGCGAATTTTATGTGCATAGCTTCTCTTCGGTCAATTTTGAACCTATTTGCCGAACATAGTTAGCGCCACTACGGATAGGAAAGTTTGACAAAATGGCTAGCCCGCCTCAAAAATAGGCCTCTGAAGCGATCTGGTGGAGCCTTTGTTAGCGCTCTGGTGGGGAAGAGTGACCCGTTCACTGACATCCAGTCTTTCGCAGTTTCACCCTATTCACTGTGTTGACAACGGGACCATGGCGCGCCTAGGATGTTTCGGCGGCTGCTCAAACTACCAATCTCAATCTTGGTGGCGTCTCGTCAAATCGGTTGACTCTGTCGCGGCAAACGGTTACACGCGAATACTCCAGCACCGAAACACAGAATCGATCAGTCGCATGTCACTGTGTGGATGGTGATGATCCAAAACAAACCCTGCAATTCTTGGTCCTGCAAAAATGGAATATAAGTGACGGCTCCCAGACAATCGAACATGAGTTTTCATTGTTCTATTTTGTGATAGACTCACAAAAGCTGCTCCGTTTTCTTTTTTCTCTGTTTCTATTTTTCCTATTCAGTCAGGTGCTCCTATTTTCTCTCTCTTTTTCCTATTGTTGGAACGGGTGAATCAAAGGCGTTGTTCACAAGGGTTATTGTTTCACTTGTCTCCTTTGTGGTTCATCAACTGGATATAACTGTCATTTTTTCTTCGACTCGGAACAACCACCAACATCACCAAACGAACGGCTTACAGCAACGTGTGTCTGAGACAACGATCTTCCTTGACGTCATTTTTCCCTTTTCGACAATTCACGATACGTTATCTTTATTTCCACGAAAGTATTTTTCTTGACATCTATCAAAATGGTCGTCTTGAAGCTCGCAAAGATGTTCCTCCTGCGTAAGTCCCCCTTCTCTTCCATCCCTTGACATGACTTTTTGCTAACGACCTTTTAGCCAAGGGCACCGGACTCATCCGTTACATCCCCTACCTCTTCATCATCCCCGTCCTCGTCTTCCACGCCCTCGCCTTGACCGGCTGCGTGAGCACCTCCCCGGGGATCCCCAACATCTATGTTGTCTCCCTCCGCTCCGCCGAGCTCGCAAACACAAACAACACCGACCTCGACGTCCAAGTCCGGATCGGCTACTTTGGCATGTGCGGCATCAGCGAAGAGCACGGCACCCTCTGCGGCACCGTCTCGGGCCGCTCCGTCGAGGACCTCTCCTCGACTCTGTTCCCCGCCGCGACCGCATCAAATAACACCCTCCTCAAGAACGAAATCACCGATCTCATCACCACCGCTCAGGACCTCCAGACTGAGATCTTCATCTCCATTCTCGCCGGCGCTGCAGTCCTCTTCATCGCTGGCCTTGTCGCGCTCTTTTTCTTCAAGCAAGACAGGAAGAAGAATGCCACTGAGTGGTATGAGCAAGGAAAGTGGAGCAAGATTGTCAAGCGCGGGACTTATGGTGCGCTTTTCCTCTCGGCTGCCATGACGTTTGCCTCTGCGCTTGCCACGAGCCAAAGCGCGGGTGCGCTCCAGATTACGAGCGCGGTGATGGAGAATGCTTCGGTTTTGATCAAGACTGGGACGACGATTCAGGTTTTCCAGTGGATCGCGTTTGGGTTTGGGTTTTCATTTGCGGCGGTGGTGCCGTTTTTGGCGAAGCCTAGGGAGGAGAGTGGGAGCGGGGAGTATGTTGATAAGGAGGGGAATGTGGTTTGAGCGTGCAGCTTTGGGGGCTTAGACGTGATGCGGGCTCTGGGCGGGACTTGGAGCGCGGGAGGTGTGGTGGTGGTGGTTGTGTAAGATAGTGGTATACACCTAATTCTTGTTCCTGGATATATTTAGGATAATTGATGCTGATCATAATGATTATTTTGTGTTCATATTTGTTCTCATGTGTAAAGTTATGCCAAGGTTGTGAGAGACCAGCCAAGTCGATAAAGTCCAATGAGCGACCATGTGTTGCAGGGTAAGGCAGAGTGAGCGGCTCACAACGGCTCTCGGCTGCATATTTAAGGCACAATGGATCTTTCGCACCGCACGCATTCACAGTCTTCTACTCTTTCAAGTCATGGAGGGTTTGCGGAAGCTAGGCCATGAGGCCTCGAACAGAATCTTGTTCCATCCCAGGCCTGAAGAGCATGAATACATCATTATCGATTCACCCAACTCTGAACCAAGACGATGGGCAGGCTATCCTCTGCAAGATGTTTTTCTTACAGTCCAGCATGGCCCCCTTACTGACCCACCTTCACCAACAACCACGCCCACAGTGCCAGCACTTTGTTTTTTGTTTGGAAAAGCTGAATATCGACCACGAATCGGAGGATGATTTACCCACCCTCCAACATTAAACATGTCGCGGCATGAATTTGACCGGCTATGGAAACTATGGAATACGCCTGCGGTGACAGTCTCAAGTGGCAGGGAGTCATTCAAAAAGTTGAAAACCTAAGCAAATTGAACCCATGGTCACCAGATGCAGAGAAGGACGAGAGGACATTGGATAAGGCGACGTACGGACAGCAGGCAATTGGAAGGGCTCTTGTCAAGATTGAAGATCATATAAAGCAAATGAATAGCCTTGGGGCGGTGGTGAGATCGTTGGAACACGCCGGGTTTTGGGTAGATCCTCACGGGGATAGCGTCACTCGCATGAAGAAGGCGGCGCATGAGATTGAACAGCGGGTGGAACAGTGGCATTTTCGGTTTCAGGACCTCAAAGAACGGGGAAAGAACCAGTTGAACGTGGTGAGTCACGGTCCCGAGTGCATCCTCAAGTGTTGCTGAAGCAATGCTGACTTGTGTGGCAGTTGTATAACATAATCAATTGATGTGATACCGCTTCAGGCATCTCCATTGCTCAATGGGCGAGAAAAGACAGTCGGTCGATGAAGACGATTGCGGATATGACGATGTGGTTTTTGCCAGGGACGTGCATTGCAACTCTGTTTGCACTTCCTTTCCTGCCTGCACAGTTGGCAGCATTCTGGGTTTATTGGATATTCGCCATTCCCGTCACTCTCCTGATGGTGGGGATTCGGTATTCGTGGTTTTCAAGGACACTGGTTGGCACCAAAAAGCATTTTGCACCGACAGAGAAACAATCAAACCACAGTGCTGCGGTGGGGATACATTAGAAACGAGGGGACGACTCACCGAGCCTGGCTTCCACTCCGCATCCATCAAGCGCAGGATTTTCGGGAAGGATGGCGTGCGTGTGGTGGCAACAGAGTCTGAGATACCAGTTTGATAAGTAGATCTCAAGCAGGCAACTCTCATGCCCCTGAGGACATGTTACCACATGGACGACTTTGCTTGTCATTCTTACCTGTTATTAGACTGGATATGTAAATGCATTTCAAAGAGATTTTCAGTTTTTTCGATCATTCCTTCTAAGTTGTCAGCCAGCGACCGTTGCTCCTGCCAGACCAACTTGAAAAGTAACATCCATCCCGTCACCTGGCAAACAGGGAAGGAGTACTCATATTTCGCTACTTGTATTATAAACTGCCCACCATTTGGCACGTCCACCTTTTTTCAACGCCATCGGGCACCTATTCTTCAACCTGCAACTTACACCCCGCGGTCCACCCACCGTATCGCCGTCGTGTTTGACAATTACAACGACTGTACCATCATGGTGACGATCCCGTCTCGGAGTCACGGCGACGCGCTCAAACGTAAACTCGACGACCGCAACTCTGATCGAGATGACGACACCCAGCCCAGCAAACGCTCCACATTTGGTATCATCAGGGCGGCGGAGGAATCCCAACTAGTCACGGAGGAGTCCCAACCAGCCACGCTCGACACACTTGCCACTGAACTGCTCTGTCTTATCTTCCAACAGCAGACAATCACGTTCAATCAGAAGAAACGTCTGTCTCTGGTGTGCAGGCGGTTCCGCTTGATCCTGAGGCCAGTCCTTTTTCGCACGTTGGCATTGGGGACTGATGTGGAGGGGAGTGGATATGATTGGATGACATACCTTCAAAAGGAGGGACAGCACCAGTCGCTACGTATGTTTATACCGAACTGATATAGAAATCCTGCTAATTGTAGTTAGCTGCGCTGTACGTCACAATTGGGTCCTCAACCACATCGATCCGGTGCAAATCAATGCTTTCAGGGCGTGGACCCGTCGACAAATGCGGTACCTACCTACTTCTCCTCGCCATCCTCTGCAACAACCCCGACAGGAGCGAATTAATACGTTATCCGAACGTTTTGCAGACGGCTTACCCCCCGCCCCCATCGACCCGTTACAAGCCTCCAAGTCCTAGCCCAAATGCCTAATTTGAAGACGCTATCCATGGACGGCTTTGAAGATGAGTTCTATTATGACTCGTTTAAGTGCCGGCCGTTATCTGGGATTACAATGGAACACTGCTGGTCCGTTCTCTCATCGGTCCAGGTCTTGACAGTGAGTCCCCATCTTGGGAGTCTAATGTTCAGCGACCAACTTCATGCGCTCCTGATAAGATGCTGCCCCAGTGTCCAGACTCTTCGAATCAACATTCGCGACAATTCGTGGGGTGTCTTGATACGTGGGATGAGCGATGCTTCTGGGATTGGATGGCATTAGCACTGAAGCAGGCATTCAGGTTGTCCAAGCTCGTCGACCTCTAGATGTTTCAATTTGGCTACTTCGCCCAGCTCAATTCGGACATTGGAACCAGGGGGGAGAGAAAGATAAAGAAGTGTAGGGGCGGTTGGACTCCATATGATATCTATGGTAAGTTCGTTCTCTTTATAGTTGCCCATATCTTTCATGTCATGCTAATACGGCTCCACTTCAGAAATCCACAGATATTTCCCACATATCACTCGCCCGTCTTTTTATGGCAGCATTGATCTATCTATGATTGATGTCGATCCGGACGAGTCAGACGAGTCATACCAGCAGGATGGGCCATACGAGACAGATGAGCCATACAAGATCAAGGAGTTTGCCCCCATGTTCAAACGCTTCAAAAGGCTTGAACAACTGGTGATGACAGATGAGCCTATGATGTCTTCTTGTACGTTTGAAGACTGGTGGGGAATGAAGAGGGGGCGGTCGAGAGTGGGGCCATCATTGTGAATGGCTGTACCCACGTCTGAGCAATTGTGATAAACAATGGCTGAAATCAGCCCGCGCGATCTTTCAAGCCTGTGGAGAGCAGCTGACTCGGATTTCTTTCGTCAACAAAAATAAGGGAACGGAGTACATCAGAGACCCGGATGACGCCAACAAGCCTGTGGTGGCGCGTAAGTTTCACAACCAATTGTTCACTTATCTTACATATGCTATGTCTCGCGGGAAGGATGACAGCCCGATTCGGGTGCTGCAGTAGCCATCACATAGGAGATCATGTAGACTGTACCTTGGAATTGGGGCTTAATACAATAGGGATGCCCTTAAAACCTCTTGCTGGCTTGACATGGTACTGTGTGCATCACGGTATGGTATCGCATTCTGCAGAAGAACACAACGTGGTAAACATCATGTACGATGCTGTAAGGGCAAAAATGTATACATTGCAACATGGAATTACAGGCTCAAAGGACAGTTAATATATTTTACTAGTAATTAATAGACCTTTAAAGATTGTCGAAAGGACTTAACAACTTGGCGCAATATTTAGTATTTTATCCATAACGGGTCTAGGTAGAAGAGGGTGCAAGTCCAAAAGGTGATGACATAACGAGTCTGTGCCAAACCAGCTGAGGGAATTTACTTTCCCTTCATTCTTGGAAGTATGGCTTGGATTCTTGCGCCAATTCAGCAGGCATGTTTGCAGCTTCTGCTGTGGTTGAAACTAGCTCTTTGGTGCCGGGGATCCCTAGCTCAAGGCGAGACATTCACATCATGTTGACGATTTGGTTGCCTCACTGGATCCCATGGCCCGATCCAAGCTCTACAAAATTGCCAAAATGATGGGGCAAATCTGGAAGTATTCAAAATGATTAGGTATCATTGAAGCCAAAATATGGGTTACTACTCCTCTTCCTTCAGCCCCCCTACATGACCCTCAGCCCGGTGCTTAAACGGCCTCCACCTTCTTGTGCAACTCTAAAATCTGACCAAGAGTCAGCATCGTAGGCGACCGCGTAAACCCCTCCTGAAACGGCAGCCTCTCCTCTTCTGTCACTTCAAGTCAGCAAGCCCAATCATCATTTTGCTGATACGATAAAAAAGAACATACCAAACAGCACCTTGACCCAATCAGTCCGCGCATTCCCCTGTGTTCCCTCCCCAAAGACCATGAGATACAGACTGGTCTCCAAAATGGAGAACCTGTTCTGATCCTCGGTCAGGCTAAACTCCGGGTTGGAAGCCCTTGCGCTCTCCACTCTTTCCTTTCTGGCCGCTGCGGCAACTTGGAGGGGGATTTTCTCCAGTCCTCGAAAGTGTTTAAATACTGTTTCCCACGTCTCGGGGGAAAAGGAGTGGTTGTCGCCGAAAAAGACGTCTTTTCTGCTGAGGGAGGCGTCGTGTTCGATGACTGAGGGAGAGGTGGGGGGCATGTGTCAGCGTTGCTTACTCATGGGGTGGCAGGGGGGGGAGCTCACCGCCGTGTTTGTTCAGGTCGTCCAGGTTGAAGGTTAGCCAGCTGCCAGTGGTGGAGGTTTGGAGGGCTTTGAGGCCGACGATGAGGGTTGCGTCGGGGGCGAGGTTGACGCCCTCTTTGGCGGCTTGGATGAGCTTGAGGAGGGAGACGTTGGACCCATCTCGGGGAAGGTAGGCGTGGTTTGCGAGAGCGTTGACCATCGGACATGGGCTGCGTTTATCGGTGGCGGAAGGGGCTTGGAAGGCATGGTCCTGTTGGTGGTTGGTGTCCTGGTTGGGGGAAGTTATGAGGGACTCGATCGTGCTGTAGGTTGCGGTGAATATGGAGGAGAAGGATGTGATGACTTTGAAGGCGAGCGACATTTCGGCTTTGGGTGATGATGACTGGGGAAGTGATGGTTGCTTAGGAGGCCGGGAGGGGTTGCTGTTGGTGGGGGTAGTTGGATATTTTGGTACAAAAGATGCTGGATGGATGGGCTCGGAAATGTATCAGCAAAAGGATCAAAACAGGTCCGAGACTTTTAAAGGAGTACGATTTGATTTAATCCTCGCGAGCTCATGTTTTGGGATCTGAGTGAGATGCACGTGCCCTTAGTCACACACATTCAGCACCGTGTGTCTGAGGTGACATCTGACTGGGTCAAGTGCATGCCAAAATTATCCTAGTCTAGTGCTCACGCTGTGTTTCACACCGAGAAACTCATGTGAGCCAATCTTGTGGGTGGAGTTTCAAAGCCACCGAATCTTTGCCGCCAGCTGCAACCTGGAAGCTGTTCAGTCTCCATGTCAAAACCTTATTCCAACCTCCCTTGCCAGCCAGCCATCACTCATTTTATGAACAGAATAGCTCAGCAAGCTTGGCATTAATGGCGGGGACATGACAACCGAGACAACGGCAGTACTGCATTTAGAATGTACCAGTCAGTCTCACTGATCAATGTCATGTCGCCTCATGTCACTCACTTTCTGGGCTCCTGGTAGACTGCTCGCTGTCCCCTCATGTTCCACACACTCGATCAAAGCATTTTTCGTCGCCCGTTGAGGATTGTCGAGTATCAAAGCCGCTATACACTGCGAGGAATTCATCACATCGTGACAAGCTAATTCGGAGTCGGGACACTGCGTGTTTGACGCTTGAGCAGACACCATTGTGCTAAAGAAAAGAATTGCTAAACACCGCATTGTGAGGAAATGCATGTTGAGTGGCGGATAGAGTGACCATTGAGCTCCAAGCAGCCCAAACTTCAAGGAGACCAGCACCTGCCTTCTTTATAATTACCCCGCAGGCTTCATGCCACTGAAGATTGGACCACGTTTTTTTTTGCTTCAATCTACTAGCGAACTGCCACCCCTCAAGAGAGGATAATCATCATCAATCTACACGGCATGGAAGCAATATGTGCTGTCAATACGGCAACCAATCAGAGCCTCATGTCGCCCGTCCATTACCCCCGACAAGACATGTATCAACACTCCTGCAGCGCAAGATATGGTTTTCGTGCGGCTAATGTAGGATGTTGATAGATTGCGCTTCGGTAATCAATATCCCCTCTCAGTTACCGGGTTCAAAGTGACGGCATGTATACCTGGGTCCCGGGCATCGACAAAGGCCCCATACTTCCTTGACCTTTCGTTTTGTTCCCCGATTTTTTCTGGCCTCTGGGTTAAAGGTTTTCGCTCAAACATATCATAACTCAAAGCTTCTACATCCAACTGGCAAGAATGCGTGCGTCATTCTCGTTGTTGCTCCCCATCCTGGGGTTGCTATCGACAGGCGCCCACGCAATCGTTCGCTTTCATTGCAGTGCGCTTACAGTACAGCGCTTGGATCCTCTCGTCAACCCTGGGATGATACCCTCAACACACGTCCATCAAATAGTGGGCGGCGATGCCTTTAACGCCAGCATGGATCCCTCGCTCGACCTTCCCGAACTATCCACCTGCACATCTTGTCAGTTTGCCGAGGACTTTTCGAACTACTGGACAGCCGTGCTCTACTTCAAGGCCAAAAATGGAACATACAAGAGGGTGCCACAACTGGGGAACAACCAGTTTGAAAAGGCCAAGGGAGGGTTGACCATCTACTACATGCAGGATGCCATCTATGACAGGAATCAGAAGAGCAATGTTCAGGCCTTCCAACCAGTCAGTTAATATCTCTTCTGCCTGCCTTGGATTGTGCTAATCACCAGTGAAACAGGGCTTTCGCATGTTCGTCGGTGACCTCAATGCCCGGACAATCGAGGAAGCTGCCCGCTTCCGTCAACTCACATACGTCTGCATGGATACTTGGACCTCGCGCGCCCCAGAAACGATGGCCTTCCCGACAAGAAAATGCCCAGAAGGCATCATGACCTCCGTCCGATTTCCTACTTGCTGGGATGGCAAGAATCTGGACTCCCCCGATCACATGGCGCACATGTCTTACCCTGAGTATGGAACTTTCGAGAGCGGTGGTCCCTGCCCAGCGAGCCACCCTGTGAGAATGCCGCAGGTTTTCTACGAGGTGGTTTGGGATACCAAGATTTTCAACAATGAGGAGTGGCCTGAGGATGGGAGCAGCCCGTTTGTGTGGAGTTTTGGGGACGCGACGGGTTTCGGGACGCATGGGGATTATTTGTTTGGGTGGAAGGGGGATGCGTTGCAGAGGATATTGGATGCGCCGTGTTGGTTCAACACGAACTGTGCGAAGGAGAGTGTAAGTGTCGATTGGTATTGGGGGTGGTGCCTGAGCCCCTTTTGTGGAGACGAAAGAGATGCTGATGATGTGGGAATACAGAACAGCCCGTTGCAGACGATTGAGCAGATGAATGCGTGTACACAGCCTAGTATGGTGGATGAGGATATCGATGGGTGTAAGTTCCTTAGCCATTGCTGTTGATTGACACTAACGTTGAACAGGGCTTGACGAACTACCTGGTGGTTGGAAAGCGGACTATGGACATGGACATGGTTCAAGAGAATGAGGTGACGGTGTATTGAACCCGGTATATGATAAACTCGTACGACTAGATTAAGAATGTGACGATTTTGATGGTTGATTCAGATCAAGCGTACAGCCATCTTTTGAAACAGTCCTGGCTAATCACAAGTTCACAGCCTGTAAAGGGAACATACATTCTCGACACCCCAGAATCCCACAGCTTTAAACATTCCTCCGACTGCATCCCAGCCTCAGGCGCAAAGAGTCAACACAACATTGCTGCTGGCGCTGCAAACCCTGACCTGGCTGCCCGCGGGCGGCACACCAGCAGGCCAAACAATCTCCTGCGTGCAAGCCGGGTCAGCGCTCTTGACGGTGATCTTCTTGCCCACAAAGGCGGGGTTGTTGCCAAAGACGTTGCTCAGATCAAACCAGACTTGGTTGGCGCCCACGTCGAGATTGTAGGCAAAGATGGTTTGGGGTGTGCCGGGGGTGTAGAGGCCGTCGGAGTGGGAGGAGATCTTGAGGGCGCGGCCGCCCGTGTTGGGGTCTACGTGGAAGGACTCGGCGTAGTAGCCTACTGTGCCGGATAGGCCGTAGGGGCCGGTGATGTTGGTTCCGACTGAGAGGGAATTAGCTGGTTGAAAAACGTGGAGGAGAGAGGGGGATGGGGAATAGGTACCGGGCCAAACGTAGACGTTGGAGGTGCACTTGTTGTTTACCCGAGCTGAGCCGATGGCTGAGACGGTAGCTGCCAGGAAGGCAAGGGGGGTGATGAGGTTGGTGAGGAGCATTTTGGTGGTTGGGTTGTTGAAATTTGAGAGAATGGGATCTGAGATGGTGGGAGGTGATGATGAGATGAGAGGATAAGTGGGTGCTGGGGCTTTATAGCCGGCCTGGCGATCTTCCCATGGCGATGCGTTGACTTCGTGAACAGATGCCAACTCAATAGTTTGATGTTTTCATTTTCGTGTTTCCATGCTCAAGTCTACTGACAAGTGCTCAGATATTCCAGTCATGTTTCTATTGTGTAAGTGGTATTGGCGTTCTTGGTAACCTTGTAGAATACGAGCTGTAGCGGCCCATATTTCCAAGCCATCGAAGGCTACCCATGGCGGTCGTTGACTCTCAGGTGTGAACAGGGCGTCAAGTGATACCAATATTCCATGTTACCAATCCCTGATTCCGATCCAGAGTAACACAATAGTGCGGGGTGACAGGTGACACTGCTTCTGAGCCAGAAATAGAACACTTTGGATACTTTTTGTAGAGTCCTTTTAGTCATGTTAACGACTGTTGGCGGCGCAACACTATTTCTTACCAGCATGGCAATTGCGAACTCTGATCCAGCCCAATCTTGGGCCATCTCGCACGAATATGCAGATGAGCTCAAGGTGGTGGCAGTGCCTTTTGCTCAACGCTTCCAGGTTTTGGTTGTCTCCGAGAGCATGCAGTTGGCCATCTGAAAAGGGCAAATTTTGGTCTCGGGACTCACCAGAGGTGGCATCGAACTGGATACCCATTCTGGAGTCGGTTTCTCCGTCTTACAGATGGCTGGAGGATGATGTGAATAAATTTTGTAGAAGTTAGAGAACACGAAAACCCAGTTCTCGTATTATGCAAGGCCGCTGGGGAATATTGCTTGGCGTGCAGGTGCTATTCTTTTTTCCATTGACCTTCGAGTTTCGGCAAGCAACCCGACATTGTATGGGCCTTTAGTACAGATTTATACATGCATAAGCTTTCTCCAGTGCGACTACTCACAACGCCAAATCTATGTCACCGGCAACTGACTTTAGCATTGAGACTCTTAAGGGACAAGAAGTAAGTGCCACCACACCATTACATCCCTGTATTTGGACTATCTCCTGCTTGAGGCTCAAAGGGAACAGGAATTGGAGCAAACTCTCGACGCTCACCATGCTAATCCCCCTGTGGTCAGTCAAGCTCATGTTCACAGGCAGGAGCAACCCACTTGGCACCTTCCACACTCGACCAGCAGCACCTTCCTTATATATACCCCACGCTCGCCATCACTCTCATCAAACAAACAACTTGCACAGTAAGAAAGCTCTGTGGCGCAGTGGTTAACCGCGACGGGTGGCTGGCTCCTTCTGAAGAGTCACCACCAAACGTGGGTCGAGCGTAAGTCCAACCACCTCCCTCTGAAGCTGCGAGTTCGAGGCCCAATACTTTTTGACATTTTCTCTTTTTATCGGTCTTCAACCACCACACTTGCTTTTTTTTCGACCACAGATCCCAGCAATGGTCGTGACAATGATTGAGAAACGCTGCCAGACACTTCATCCTTCTTGTCGGCTTGATATTTTGCTATTTTGTTTACATTTACCACTGTCGTAACCTGACTGGAGATCGAGATCATCCGTGATGGGCTATTCTGTACACTTCCATTGCTTGTCTGCCGGAGGTTACTGCGGGGAAGATTTAGAGATAGATTGCTTTTGAATGTCACTCTCCTGCATCACATCACTCCCGTTGGCTGGGCATTTCGGATGCTTTCCATCAACCAATTTACCCACCAACCATTCCGGCTCCCGGATGGGTACCTGGATGCAAAGCAATTACAGTGAAACTGTCGTGATATCTCAACATCATTTGTGGTGATGTATAATTACACCCAGTAGTCTCACCTTATTCCCCTTCACTGGCTCACCTTCACCACTGACACAAACTTGGAAACTGACCATGCTTTTCACCACCGCATCCGCCCTCGTAGCCACCCTGTTTGCGGGTCTGGTGTCTGCCCAGACCCCTGTTGGCTTTACTCCAGCTGTGGAAGCCAAGTTGGAAGTCATATACGGCACAAAAGCGACCATCGAACCCGGAACAGGATTCACCAAAACAGAGACTGCACGACAACCCACCATTGGCACCAGCGATGTCGCGCTGAATGGCACATATGTCTGGCTTCTCATTGGTATGTGTCCATTTCCCTTGTACATGACAATACTGACCTCTCCCAGACCTTGACGTGTAAGGCCAACATCCTTCACCCTCCCAGACTCCTACTGATCCCCCAACAGCCCCTCCAACTTCCAAAACCCCTCCTCCGGCCCCCGCCGCACCAACCTCCACGCCCTCATCACGGGCTTCAAATTCTCCGGGCAGACTGTCTCTGTTGCCGGCGTCAGCAACCCAATCTACACCCTGACATCCTCCTCCACCGGTCCCATCACCTACGTCGGTCCTTCGCCTCCGGCAGAAAACCCCCCTTACGCCCACAAATACGTCAGCCTGTTGTACGAGACTCCAGAAGGCTTCACCGTGACAAGGCAGCAAGTAGGACAGACATTCGGCTTCAACTTGACCACATTCGTCGACACTGTTGGGTTGACAGCCGCGCCAGTGAGGGCGAGCTATATCAGTGTAGCTGCATAGGTGCTCCAAAACAACCATGTCTAACGAATGTTGTGGGGAGTTGAGATCACAGAAATGAGACAAAATCAAACACCACCCAACCCAGCCTCACCCATCCCGCCCCCTTGACCATCCACCCCAAAAATCCTGTTCAACTCCCTCTCCGCACTCTGATGCCTCGCCTCCCTCTCCTGACTCTGCTCCCTCTTGTCCGCCTGGTGCCACCTCTTCAAACTCTCCAGCTCACCCGTCAACGCAGCCTCCACCGCAACCGCAGTGTTCTGCAGTTGCTCAATCTCAGCCATTCACGTCGTGTGTGAGATTTCTCGCTGTTCTCAGGTGAGCCAGTTCGAGGATCTGTTCAAGTTCTTTTGCAGCAACTCTTCTGTCTCTGTAATTTTGTAGCATTTGATCTCGGCGATCAGGGGCCATATGACCGCAGCACGAGAGCCAGCTTCAGGGCTGTTTGGCATTTCGCTTGTGGTATTTTGCTGGCTGCTTGTGTATGCCCCTTGCTGGCTACTTGTATGTGTCTCCTGTTGGCTACTTGTATATATGTCGCTTGCTGGCTACTTGTGTTTGCATCTTCCTGGCTGCAAGTGCTGGCGATTAGGTCTGCCATCTTTGAGATCATCACTATTTTATTTTCCTAGAAAAATGCAACGAGCAAGAGAAAGATGAAGGCCTTTTGTAGACATTCAAGTGTGACTCCTTCATTCACAGTCACGGTGTAAAAGGTGTTGGCTGTCGTGAATACATATGCACAAGAACAACCATAATAGAGTCAACAATAAACAAGAAGAAGCGATCACCAAATCCACAAGCCACATATTGAAGACAACACAACGCGACTTTGCACACCAATTATCAAGTCAACATACCAAACTATCATACAATACCAAACATTTACTCCTCCTTCTCCTCCACCACATCCTCCACCACACGCTCCTTCTCACGAGCCGTCAAAACGTCCTCGGCCTGTTTGACCAAGGCCTGCATCCGCTCGTCCTCAGAAAGCACACGGACCAACTCCACCAAATCCTCCTCCTCCTCCTTCGTCTCAGCAGGGACCACCGCGCCAGTCTCCTCGCTCACGAGCGCTTGCTCGTCCGCGACCGGCTGCCCGGCCACGTTGATCTCGCGCTCCCCCGCGAGACCTTCCTCGTCCGAGCCCTTGTCCTCCACCGCGCGCAAGTGCTCAATCTCTTGTCCGAGCTTGAACTGCCTCTTCTCAGTCTTTCCCCAGCTCGGATAACGCCTATACTGGGCGTCACCCGGCAAAATTTTGGACAACTTCAAAGTCGCCCACTCGGTATCCACACCACCGTCCATCCCGACTTGGTGCAAGTTCTTCGCCAGCGCAGCAGAGTTGGCGGCAAACAACTCAATCTCCTCAATCCGGAACCACGAGATGTACTGGACGCGGTCGTCACCGGGAAGGGTCTCGAATACAGCGATGGGGGAGTGGAGGCCAGGGGTGTGCTTAACACTGGGGGTGTTATTGCAACCGACGAGGATGGGGCTCTCGTGTTTCTTCTTCTGCCTGATATATGGTTAGTGACTGTTGTAGTGTAAAGATCAGACCTACTTACCATTCGCCAGGGACAACAATGCGAGAGATATTCCCATACAGGCCAAAGATTTCCATGTCGGGACCATCCTCAAGGCCATAACGACGAAACTTTATGTTCTCTGTGGTGGCATTAATATTGCGATGGACCTTTTCTTCCTCCGTAGCCTCCTGATGCTGGGCAACAAGGGCAGCTTTCTTCTCATCGTACCCGGGGAGCAAATAATGCCTGGAATTGGTGTAGACAATGCCGTGGCTCTTCCACAAAGGCTGATCCTCTTCATGGACGATGGCAAAAGCAATGCCATCTGGGTTGCCCTCGCCGCTGTTAATGGTCTGAAACTGGTAAGACTTGGGGGAGTCGGGTGAGCACTTGAAGTATCTCAGCAACACCGAACCCTACAACCAACTCGTTAGCTGAGTTACAGAAAAGGAGGTGGCGACAAGGGAGCTGGCTGGTCACTGACGCTGACGGGGCCGAACCAGTTGCTACCAGCACGATAGCTGGGCGGGTCGCGGCGGAGGTTAAACCCGCCAGAGGCAGGTGAGGACGAAACATTGTTGATGTCCGAAAGGACACCCTCGGCGTTCTCGCGGATGGCGGTGAGGGAGGCGGCGTATCCGGCGCCGACGTATCGGCCACGGCCACGGCTTCCGCCACGTCCACCACCACGGCCACGAGAGCCACCGCAACCACCACGAGAGCTGCCGCCGCGAGGGCCAGGGGTGTTTCCGCGAGCCATTGTTTTTTCTTCGGGTTTGGGTAAGCGAAGCGGGGTTTTCGAGTGTCGTCTACCGCTGGTTGCGATCGTCTGTTGCCGAGGAAGAGAGAAGAGTCTGGGCAACAGATGGAAGAGAATTGAACTGGGTCAGGTTGCAAAAGAAAGAAACCAGCTTGGGATCTTTTCCTTTGCATTTTGAAGACTTCTGGGTCAAGCTGAAAAGGTTTTTCAAGGGAAAAGCTTTCGGCTCGCGGTATTGGCCAATGGATGACATAGAACCCACGAGGGGTAGCGGAATCAGATGTGTCAAGAACGGGGAAGGAGGAAGCGCCTGTCAGCATGCATAGGCGCCTTCCCGGTGAAGACGAAGTTGAAACAAGTGGGTTGGAAGGTAAAATCTAGTCAGGAGTTGACAAAATTCAGAATCCCTAATCGACAGTTGAAGTAGGCCACACTATCTAGCTCTATCTTTGTGCCTCAAATTAGGATGAATGAATGCAAGGGCAATTACGTATGCGAGGTTGTGATTTGGGAGCTGGATATTTACACATGTGAGGACTTCCTATGCTACGGCGCTGGCAATTTGAGTGAGAATGTTTGGTGGTTTATGGCATATATGTGACGGCCCAAAAAGTGAGGTTATTCACAGAGTACTAACAAAGCCGCTGCATCTCGCGGATAGGAGCCTCTGTTATTGAAACACACCTTGACACAGCAAGGCAACCTTTAAGTTCACACCAAGCAAATTGTAGAAACCTCATCTAGCATTTATCTTACACTCAGGGGTTGTGGCACACTGCAAGTAAAACCTCATCCTCGCTTCAGCAACATCACAACATCCTACAAGATATCCAAGGCTAGATGGCCGAGCGGTCTAAGGCGCCACGTTAAGGTATTGATCCTTGATTCCAACTCCACCAAGAGTTCCGTGGTCTCGTAAGGGGCGTGAGTTCGAATCTCACTCTAGTCATTCACTTTTGCTCCCGTGTGTGGTGGAGTCAATGTTCTTTTTGCTGTGAGTGAATTGACAGCATCATCCTTGCCGGCATAGGAGGTATCCGGACAATGTACTCACATTCAGGTGTTCACATGCTCTTCATTACAGGGAATTGCACCAACAAAATAAGCTTTCAAGTGGTGAAAGGTTTGACTGAACTCTTTTGCACGGCAAGCAACCATGGATATCTCATAACAATGCTACACTGAAGCTTGGAGCTTCACGTGCCTACATAAATGAACAAATTCGAGGCGATGATAGCCTCTAAGACGAAGGAACTTTTACAGCTTCGGGGACTCTGACTCCGAAGCGACCTGAAGAAAATAGCAAATGCCACCTTAGAACCGACCCCTCCAGCCGCGGACACCATGTTCCTAGAATACTGTCCCATCACTGTCAATCAAGATCGGTGGCTCTTTGGTGTTTGGCCTGCTGACTTCAGCAATCTCCCGGCCACCCTTCCAGCTGCCAGCTTCCAGAACTTGTGCGAGACTCAACTCCCCGCCAGCCAACTCCGCCTTCAAGACTCGGTTAACCTCCAAAGCCAGCATATCGAGGAAGCCCACTGTGGCACCCCTCCATTCGACGATAACATCATCGCTAGGCTCAAACATGGGCGCAACCTCGACGGCCTTGGTGCCTGTGCGCTGGCAGTATTCGGCGTAGTGTTGCAGACCCCGCTCTTGGTCCTCAGGCTTGAGTGTCATAACACCCATGTCGATAAATAGCCCACCGTTTCGGTACTCTGGCAACCCAGTCAGGAGCTCCTGACCAGCGAACTGAATCTTCATAATGCTCTGCATGGGTTGCATGAGCGAGTACGTAAGCCATTGGGTGAGCTTGTGGAAGGGTAGGATGCTCTCCCAGGGTGCAATGCCATTCGACTGGCCCGTGGTGTTGGGGAAAGGAGAAAAGGTGGGGCTGGTTGGAGATTGGGCCGGTTGGGGCATAGAGCTGCATGGCCAAGCATCACCGAGCGAAACACCATTGATAGCCGTCCGTGATGGCGGCCAAATTGGCGCCAAACCATCAATCAAGACGTTCCAGAGCACCGTAAGAGGCACAATGATCACGCTAGATGCTTGTGTTGACGGGTGCGAGAGGATGTGATCTGGTCATATGGTTAGCACACGACTTGGGTTCAGGAACAACCGCATAAAACATACCAAGCATGTTGCCTGGCCGGCCATCCTCGCCAAAGTACTCCGTGTTGTTAAGAGCCTCACTCAGGCGAATGAGGAGTTGGGCTCTGCCCTCAAGACCAGCCATCTCGTTGCCCGGCGTCGACTGAAGTCCCTGAGCCAGCTTCTCGACGGTCAGTTGTCGGAGGCCCTCCTTATCCACTTGGTACTTGTTTGCTGGGCTGCCAGAGAACAGGCCCTGTGATATGAGTTAGCCAAACGCCGCGATTTCGTCTTTGGAATCGACATACCGTCTTGAACATGTCCAAGGTCGCCACAGCAATGCCCTCTGATCGTCTGTATACCCGGCCATTCTCGACGCTCTTGTAGCTCCACTTGGTTCCAGCGCCTGCATCAAGCAGAACGCTCACGAGGAAAAGGTCAATCATGCGTTTGCATTTCTCCGTGTTGTCCACCATATCCTCGGGCCAAGTCGCCAAAAGATGGGCAATTCTGTCACGGCCACCAACGCCAAAATGCTGGTATCGGCCATGTGGTGGGATAGTGGTAAAAGGGGCATCGTAATCTCTCTGTGTTTACTTGCTGTTAGCTTCAAGTTCAACATGGTAAGAAAGCCACCCCGCATCGGGCGTCAAGCCAGTACAGCCACAACGTACCTTGATGATGTTGGCTACAAAAGAGACCACATCGGGAAACTTGCGCATGTCGACATCAAAGTGTCGCAGGTCGTTCTTCAAGGCCTTGGACCACAAGATTTGGCAACGCTCCCGCACAGCGCTTAAGCTGCGAAGATACCCGGCAGGGTCGAGCTGGGGGTCTGGTGGTCTCGGCATGTCGACTTTGGGAAGTGTGGGATTCATGCCTGTTGGGGAAAAAGGGGTCAAAGGGGTTCCTGGGCCGGCGGTGCTCGTCGTTCCAGCTGATGTGCGGTTGATGATGCGGGAGCTGGTGTTGATCGGGGTGACAATGCTCGAGGAAGCCGAGGTGAGGGAGGTTTTAGACTGGGAGCTGGCCAGCGCTGGCTGATCGTCGGCGGCCGCCTTCGGCGCCTTGTCTCTTCTTGAAAACAGGCCCATCTCTTTTGTTGTTTACGTAGCCGTCCTCTAAGTGGTCGGTCGGGTCGCGCAATCGGCCAGTGACGGGGCGGTCTGCTGAACGACCTGATTCGCGATTCGATGGAGGGGCTCGGGGAAGCTGTGTGCTGTGCTCGTGACGCAGTGGGGCAGAGACACGCAGCAACCTACTGACAGCTGTTGGTGGTTGTGATTGGGTCGGAGGGCCGTAATCGTCAGCAGTGCAGAATCTCTTCAGGTCGATGACTATCGGTGAGAGAGACAGCAACTGGGTTCTGAAGAAGCAGGAGTCGGGGAGGGGCGTTGTTTTGTTGTTCGCCGGGGGGGACACAGATTGCGGACCTCAATAGCCTTCTGCAGCTAGGGTCAGTAAATTCTAGGCACTTTCATGGCATTGCGGCCAGGACCCTTCCCATCCCAGAGCTGCCCCCCAACATGTGATGGATGGCCGTTGCTCAGAGCCTGCGAGGGGACTGGGAGACCGCCGTCTGTAGCGCCAGAGCCCGTGCGGTGGGCTCCGTGTGAGACCCGTCCCGCCATGCTGCAGCCATTTTGTGGGGTTGCCGATAGCGAGTGAGGGGTTTGCATCCATCAAAAAACCATCAACTGCGCGGGAAATTGGAGGGGGAATCTTCAAAACCAACAACGGAGGAAAGGGAAAATCACCCGTACCGAACCCGCCCAGAGTGTGATTCTGAACTTTTATTCCTCTTGGTCCTGGCTTCCGGGTATTGCTGCACCCGATACCTCAGCCGACAATTGCTGGCTCCAAAGATGTGGATTTCGCTGCAAATAATCCCAGCCAAAAGAAGGTGCCTATGCTGCAGAAGAACTTTTCATCAATCGAACGAGCGATGAGCTGATCGAAAAAAACAGCTGCCGGGACGTGCAATTGACGAGACAAGGGTGCCGAGTCAGGGGAGCTTGGGACAAGTCGACCCTTTTTTTTTTTTTCTTTTTTTTTTTTTTTTACCAGCGAAAAACAGCAATACCAGAGCGTTCTGCTCGCCCCAAGGGGACGGGTCTTTAAAGGCACATTCTGCAGCAAGTGACAGCAGCATCATGTCTCTCAACAAGCCTCATGCTGTTCCTGCAGGTTGTCACCTCGTCCGAGCCCTCCATCACTACCACCACCAGCAGCCATCTCGCCATGGCTACCCGACCCGTGCTGCCGCTAGCTTTCGTTAGCTGGCGATTAGCGACGGCGCGAATGATTTCACCGTGTTCGAGACCAGCTTGTGCCCCCACCGCCGCATCCACGGCGCTGGTCAATTTGGCGATCCCCCTGTCCCACCCACTCACCATCCCCGGGACGTCTTCCTGTTGGGCTCTCCGAAAAATGGCGCTGCCACCTGCGGGGCCCTGGAAGATCAGACCCCCTGCTGCCAATGCAAGGTACCGGCGACGAGGGTCTCCCGGACGAGCACAGCGTCAACCCGCCGACAAATGTCACCATGTCAACGGTCAGCTTCCCGCTTTGGCTGCATCTCCCAACGGATTGCCTGCAAGATAACAAGAACTGGCAGAGAGGCACAGGTTCCAATTCCTGAAACGGGACAATATTGACAATATTGAGCCACATCTCATTTGGCCAGTTCGGACGTGACGGAGAGAAATCCCGTCAAGCATGTCTTGGTTCTTTTCGTGGATCGAGATAGCTCTCAATTGTACTTGATGGACGAAACCTATGCATGCACATCACTTCTAACCCCGGCTTAGACTCCTGCTGGTTTCACTGCTTCATGAAAGTCGCATGAGCTGCAGCTTCGCAGCTCTCGAGCTGGACCAGAAGCAGATCCCCCACCCTCACCCTCACCCTCCAGTCAACTGGCAGCTCCATCAACATACATATACCGTCCGCAGCCAACCACCGTACGAGATAACTAATAAGCAATACCAAGTCCGGGGCGACTCAATACAAAGCATCCGCTGGCGCCGTCTATCACCTAGTTCTGTCATAACTCCAAAATCACAACCAAGCGGGCGAACGAAGAGAACAATAGAACAGACCCATCAGTCTGGTTGCTCCTTGTCGTTGGCCCTGGGCCTTTTAGCTTAGACGCACAAGAACCACTGAAGAACAATCAAGGAAGACTTCGTTGACCAGCCAAGAGGGGCCAAAGAAATTGGAATGGGCCATTCTTGTTCCTCGGTTGTCAAGAAAAGCGTACAGTCACGAGCAGACTGCCGAGGGTCTCACAGGACCCGATTACTATTACCAACCTCAACTGCCACTGCTACTGATGGCCAGTTACTTCCTTGGAACCAGTGTCTCAGTCTCATCGATATACACAAATTGTGTCTCTCACCCTCAACCGTCCTCTAGATTTCGACAGATCGATATCATGTCAACTGCCCAACTCAGACGCTCTCGTGGTCTCATCACACCAGCGGCCTCGGCTAGGATAACTCCTTGCCAATCTCCTCTCGATGGAACGGACACATCGTCCACCTCATCACCGTCACAGTCACAATCCTCCCCTCCACTTCTTCTCAAGGACCAGCTACCAAAAATTCTTTAGACCACTCAGATTTTCCATTACAGGCCTCTCGCCAAGCCAGCCCAGTGTTTGTCGGGTCCTCGCTAACACACTGTCGGGCCTCCAAGATCCCCGCCAATGCCACGAGGTGCAAAATATCGCTCGAGGCTCCCGGCGTTGGCGCGTGCCTGGTGCGGAGATTGGGTTCCACATCGAAGATGTGCAAAGCCTCGTGGCTCTCGGCATCTCCCACACGTGGTTCCGACCCACGCCGTCGCCGGGGCCCCGGCACCGTTCCGGCAGGCTGTGAGGAATCATTAGACAGTGGATGTCGTGGTGGATGCCTCCCCTTCCTTTGACGGTCCTCTTTTTATGAAATCCCGAACGACGATGTCCTTTCTAATCGGTCCGCGAACAAATGGGCTTTTTCTAGCGCCGTATGTCAACACTGGTGTCCTTGATAGGGCATCTTTGCTTGCCCGTTTTTGCCCAAAAAAAGGAAGGTTCAAACAAGTGTTTGTGTTCAAATGGCTTCACTGCCCCCTGAAACCTCTTTTTTCCCTTGTCGGCACTTGACGAGGCACCACGTTTTTATCTCACCCCGGTACCCAATGGCATCATTGTTATTAGTTTGATGACGCAGGGCTCAGCTGCTCCACCTAGATTATCAGTTTGGGTTTTCGCTCTCGCTTCCCTGTTGGGCATCCATAGCCTCCATAGCCTCCGGTCTGAGGGTAGAGCTCGATTGGTTGATGAGAGGTTCACGGACTTCGTTGATTGTCTCAATCCCTACGCCGATTTGTTGGAACAGAAGAAGGCATCAAGTCTCTCCGACGATATCGCCCTTGACAAGATTCTTCAGGCTTACCTTCATGAGGAGTAGTTCCCCACATTTCTAGATGCTCATTTCCTTTCATCGAGATCACACAAAATAAGGACAACATCAACCTTTCTTTTTTTCTCCCTTTTTCAATAGTCAGCGGGCCAGAAGCAGGAAGGTCGGCATCCCTTATCAAGATCCAGCAGATCTGAGATGATGGACAATCGTACTGCTTCTTTACCCGGGCTTTGTGATCATCACAATCCAGAAGGCTGTAGTTGCCTTTTCACTGCCTGTCAGTGTTGCTTATGCTGTGACATACGGAGGCTCAGTGGATGTACCACTTCCACGTTGAGCTAGAGAGTTGAGCTAAAAGAAATGCTTGCAGCTCTTTCCTATTGTGAAGTCAAAAGGCAAGGACTTGTTGATGTCCCCAAAATGTATTTTCAAATCCGCGTTGAGCTCAGTATTGTTGAATGAACTCATGCGTGCTGCAGCACCCCATAGCATGCCTCTGACAGGAACCATCCAACTCACATAAAGTTGTGGGATGTGTAGAGAACAACAAAACATACAACACCAGGGATTCCCCAGTGGTCACCCACCTGAGTACTAGTCTGGCAGTCAGTAGCTTATCTAGGGGAGAGCGGACGGGATCCCGAGTTTTCTACTGCTTATGGTTGTATGTGCTTTTATCAACAAGATTTGGGATCTTTCTAGGGATTGAGAAGTAGAAAGACAGTGTTGTTGTCTCTTTCATGAAGCCATGGGTTCGGTGTGGCTTGAAGGTGCCGATACGAAATGCCTTTCCTGCACTACTTTGCCTTTTGGGCATCTATAGCCTCCGGTATGAGAGGATAGTTCGATTGATGGAGAGCTTCAGGGGCTTCGTTGGTGGGAAGACATCGATCTTGTCCCACGATACCAACCTTGACAACTTGCTCTCCACATTTTCCCACATGTCATCGCCAATAATGTTATCAAGACCTGGTTGTCAAAGCACTCAAAATGACCTCAGATGAAGAGTTCGATTGTATCACAGATATACTGAAATCCGATTCACCTCGGGCCACAGACGTCCGGTCTGGCCTGATGCCTTCTGAGGATAGGATTCTGTCCTTGTAAACATAAATGTGAGATCTGGTTGTTTCCTCATCATTGGACGCAGCGCTCGACGTCCAAGTAAGCTCCGTAGCCCTCTCGGAACTTATCTTCTCGCACTCCCTCCACGCCCGCAGCTTTATGATGCGAGCCTCACTCTTTAGCTCTCAAACTTGCTCATACTTGCTTTTGTGCGACTACATCTTTTCTATACCTGCTTTTTGTGTAACTGTAGTTTTCTATGCTCAATCTGATACACGCTCATCATCATCATGACGATTTACAAAGATAAATACTCCAGGAAATTCCGTGCAAGATATTCTGGAAGATCATGTCTCCAGCATCCAACCAAGACACTTTCTTCCCCAACTCAATCGAAAAGTCCACACCTGAAAACACCCATCACGATGCACATCCAGAATCTCATCTCCTCCTCCTTTCTTCTGCTCCTTTCCTTCCCTATCTCCACGACCGCAACAACACCACGCCCCCCCTATCCCAACCGCACCCTAGCCGGCATAACCATGATCGACACCCCCATCGTCCGCGACGCCCAAGCCTACGCCCGACGCTACTGCTCCGACTCAACCTACAACCACATCATGCGCTCCTGGCTCCTCGGTCTCCTCCACCTCTCCCACGACCCCGCCCTCGCCTCCAAAATCGACCTCGAAGTCCACGCCCTCGGCCTGATCCTCCACGACCTGGCAACCAACCACTCCCTCTCCGCCCCCTTCGTCACCCCCAACCGGCGCTTCGAAGTTGATTCTGCCATTGCAGCAGCAGATTTCATCCGTTCACACCCCGACGGGAAAAAATGGCCGGGGTGGCGGGTTCAGAGGGTGTGGGATGGGATTGCGTTGCATGCCGAGCCCGGGTTGGCGTTGTATAAAGAGGCGGATGTTTTTGCGATATATTGGGGTAATGAACTGGAATTCTCGTGGGAGAGGCCCGGGGGAGAGAGGAAGGGGGTGACGGCTGAGGAGAGGGAGAGGGTGTTGCAGGAGTTTCCCAGGCCGACGTTGGAGGAGGGCGGGAGGGGGAATGTGTTTGCTTTTGTGGCTTGGTATTGTAAATACAAGCCGGAGAGCACTTATAGTGAGTTTGCCTTCCCTTCTTGTTGTTTTTCGGTAAGTGGGTGGGACAACGTGCTAACTTCTATGGCGGTAGATACTTGGATGCAGCCGTTTGGGGAGCTGCTGGTGCCGGGTTATTCGGCGGTGGGACATCGGGTTATTGATGGGAGTTTGGCTGCTGTTGGGTTGAATATGAGTGGGATTCTCAAGTGATGTGTGACAACGAACGGACACAGTGGTGGCTAGTTGGTGATTATTGTTGTTGATATTATCTTGACTCTTCTTATTGCTCTCGTTTGGTCGTTTCATAGCACAGGTAGTCAACTAAAATTCATGACCTCGACCAGTTTTGCTTGGTTCTTCTCGTTGAGGGAGGAGAGGGAGCGAGGCGGAGGGAGCGAGACCGATGCAAAGGAGGAGGGGGTCTGCTCTCACACCTGGATCAACCGCATTGAAGCCGCCTCATCAACGTCACATTCCAGCGAGGGCTTCCGGAGTTGAACAGTAAAGTTCTCTGCCACGGTCTCGTAGGACCAACTCGAGTATTCGTCAGCTCTGAAGAACTCATCCTGCTCTCGCGCGCTGATTGCACCGCTTGACACCGAGTCCCGGTAGCCTCCCCCGTTCCTACCGCCTTGAACAGAAGAATGATGGTAATCTTGAGCGTATCTGTCATATAGAAACAAAAGCGGCAGTAGGTCCTCTCGCCAAGTCGGCAGTTGTAGACGCTTCGTCCGTATGACCGCCACAACCCACGCCACAAAGCCAAGGGTCCAGACTGCGGCAGGGAGAGCAATCCAATACCATCGGACTCTAACAAAAGTAGCGACGGTACTTGCTTGGCCCTTGACCAAAAAGGCTTCTCCAATTTCTGTGCCGTTGGCAACAACACCCGAGTTGCGTATGGTTTTCGTCATGGCAGCGGCAATCCCGTCCATAACGCAGGAAAAGGTATCGGCGTTGACGCTGCCGCATTCGTTGGCGGTATAATTCGCGTTGAATATATAATTCATCATCTTGGACTGCTTACAGGAGCCGTTCGCGAATCCAGAACAGAATTCAATGGCTGTGTGGCCGTCGCTGGTTGCAGCAGAGCCGGGAACGACGTCGGTCACCAGAAACTGGGGATCAGGCCATGCCCAGTCTCGCTGTAAGGACTCACTCAAGCCGAAAGATAGGTTAGCAGCGGGATCAATGCCGCGCTCGAGACCCCATGGCGGCCGCAGCTGGTGGGCTAACCAGTCTGTGCCATTGGGGGGTGGCTCCGTGAATGTGTCTAGCAAGGTCTCCTTATAGACACCGTTTTGGACAGACGTCTCGAAGCTCAACACACACTGTTGCAGCGAGCACTCGGTGGCACTGAAGTTCGAGAAGTCGAGAGAAGGCCTGTAGGCACTGCTGAGGACGTATGGAGGGAGTAATCGGATAGCATGGTACCTCAGCCCATCTTTGCCGCCAACGAAGGTGATGTTCATAAAGTCTTCGAAGGTCGTGAGGTTGCCAACTTGACGTAGAGTGGCTGAGCCATCAAATAACTTGGCGCTACAGTATACCCCCTTCGGGATGCCTTGTCCTCCACCGGCGTCTTTGCACGTCAGATTGATCTTCGACGTGATATCGGTACACCGTGAACAGAAGCCCAGCGTAGCTGTCGGGGGCCAAGTGCAATTGCCTGTGCTGCAAAGGAATTGAGGCGAGTTTGTGTCTTGGGTCAGACCTGAGGTCAGCGCCAGCATGATGTTAAGTTCCAGAGCTGGGTCGGGGTAGTTTGCTGAAAATGTTGTCTCTGGTATTAGCACCGTATCTTTTGCTTGTACCCACGATGTGCCTCCGGCGAGAACTTACTTGAATAGTCGCGGCGCAGGCCGTGGGCGTCATAGACGATGCTACGACTGAGCAGGGCGACCGCGCCGTCCGCCGCGATATCGCCCGCCTCATACCGAACGAGATTCTGTGTGAAAGGACCCCAGAACATTCCGAACAAGAGAGCTAGCGACGCAGTGATAACGACGAATCTTTTCCGCTGATATCAGCATCTGGGTATCAGTGGCAGGGTGTTGAGCTTGTTCTCATCAAAGGGGTAACCTACTCAGCGCCCGCAGTCCAGAGAAGTTGGGCAACCCCTATCACACCTCCTCTCGCCTTCTGGAAACCGACGAGATCTGCCAAAGGCCGCGGTCGCTTCGCAAACCATATCCACTTGAGCTGTGCAATGGTCGCCTGGACGCCGAAGATGGTTCCAGCAAAACCCACATTTCCGAGGAGGGATAGCACGAAGTTGAGCGTGACCGGCCAGTCGGGCGCCAGCTGGTTATCGTACCAACGTAGAAGGGTGGCAGTGGCCCCTATACATAAGAGAGAGGCCAGGAACCCGAGGAACTCGAAGATCCACGTCTGAGAGAGCTTTGCCCATATCGATTTCTTGATGCTGTGGTGGTGGTACATGTCGTGGCGATTGCGGCGACTTTCTGGGTTTGTCTCCTCAATCGTGTGCAAAGGGCCGTATTTCCGCGGATCCATTTGGGTCTTCTTTTTGTTTCTGTGCTCTTGGTTCCAGCTAGTGAATGAAGTAGGCTGTACAAAAGTCTGAGTTTTTTGGGGGTTTGGGGCGTTGATGGACTTTACTTATTACAGTTTTTTTTGCACGGGAGAAAGGGGGGGGATACGAGGCTCTGTAGGCGCCCCCCAGCTTGTCTCACAGGCTGGTGGCTGGTGGCAAAGCATAATGCACGAGAATTATCTGCCAATTGTATTAGCAATTTATTCCGACGTACAGGCCGTATCTGGAAACCTACGTTGGGTTTGGGGGCCCAAAGGAGGCTCTGCGAAGGTGTCGAGTTTAATATCTACTGGTTTGTTGAACATGGCCCATCTCCCAGGGGTGACCAATCAAGTCGACCAGGAAAACACGGAAACCACTGCAATCGCAACAGCAACATGAATTAAAGATCCCATTACCCATCGCCCCATCATCTATGTATACCACATCGCCCGCATCCCAACAACTCCCCTTACCACTACCATAGCTAAAGCCCAGATCTAGCTCCCTCCATACGTATAAGCCACCCACCTTTTCCCACTCCAGGGTAGTCATGTAATGTTGTACAAGTACATATGTACATAAAAATCAACCGCAAAAGCAAAATAGGCTTGCTCCAAGCCGAGCAGAACAAGTCGAAAGCAAGATAAAAGCCGATGGGAACAATGTAAAAAGGACAAGACAAGATATAATAATACTACCACCACCAACGCCACCATTTGAGTCCGCTCCGCTAAGGTCACCAACGCACCGCCCAAAAAGTAAACTCCTACAGCCTTTTTGGTGTGTACATGATTCTCCGCTGGCCAAAGAAAGCAGGAAAATAGAAGCAAGACGAATCTCGTCACCGAACTAGGTGATCACTACTGCCCCAGTTCTATGAGTGAAGCAGCCTCGCCTCCATGGTCGTCCTCCATGTGAATATCCGCATCATGGTGGGCATGATCGACGGCGGCTTTCTTATCCTCGTCGTCATCCTCATTGACCAGATCAACAAACATGCTGTCGTCTCCATCGCCGTCTCCTCCCATGCCGATGCCAAGGGGATCGTTATCCCGAGGACCTGACGAGCCAGCGTTGGCAGCAGCCGTAGGATCCCAGATTTTGGGACCAAACAGGTCCTTGGCACGTTGCTTGCCGGTCTCTGTCCGAGACAAGATCTCCATAATCCTCGTTCTCCCCTCATCGGTGGAGAGATGCTCGTTCAGTTCCCGGTCATCGACCTTGCCCTCGATCAGACGCTGCTCAAAGTGCTGCGTGGAGCTGTCACTCAACAGGAGGTGGGGCCCTGTTGGGAGAAAGTAGGAAGAGTGATTCGGGTGAGAGGACGAGTCCAGGCCGGCGCTGTGGGATGATGAAGGATGGTGGTTGGGCGGCATCGAGAGACCAGGGGTTGACGGTTGAGCGGACGAGTTGCGAGAATAGAATGGGTGGCCAGGCGCTCTGTGACTGGGACTTGCGGCCAAAGCACCTCCGCCGGCGGCAGCAGCCGCAGCAGCTTCGGCATTCTGGGCCTTGCGCTTGAGGCTGTTGGCCTTGCCTTTCACGCTCTCGGGTAAATCGTCTGCATCATCCACTCCGTATTGAAGGAGAAGCTTCATCAGTTTGGTTGGCCTGGGCTTGCGTGTGCTCTTAGAAGACTCAAGTACCGGGGGAGGCTCTGGGGCAACAGGGCACCACTTGTGAAGTTCTTGTCGGAAGAAGTTGGTCTCGTACGCCAGGAGGATCTCGGCACCCTCAATCTTGCGTAGGTAAAAGCGCTGTGTCTCTGCCTCGGACGCTGTCGAGACCACGGGGCTGCAAAAGCCAGCGATGTGGTTGCGGAAGTTCTGGGCGTTGTCGATGATCTTCTTCAAGACCTCTTCCTCATCTGGCCGGAATGGGAGGCTAATAATCTCCTCATACCACTGAACCAAATCTTCAAGTTTGGGACGAGCGGCATCGCGTGGAATCTTGACACGCCAGTCGCAAATTGGACAAGTGTACTTGTCATCTTCCTTGACCTTGCCACGCGCGATCTTGAGACACTTGCCGTGATACCATTCATGGCAGAGCTCGCATTCAATCATCATGCCAGCCTCGGTACGGCGGCAGATGCAAAAGACCTCCCGGAATTTGGGATCGTCCCACCGATTTGTCTTCTCCCTTTCTGACGGACTTGGCTCTCTCGATTGGGGCTCAGCGGGGACACGGGGCTTGTCGTGAACAAAGTCGAAACAGTCCACGTTACGGTCAAGAACGTACTCCATGTGCGACTTGAGAATGTGCAAAGGAGCGTTAGTCTTCCCAAACAGCTTCTTGCCTTTTCTCATCCAGTCCTCGTGCCGCTTCTGTTCCTTCTCGAGCTCATGGATGCCAGATGGCTTGGCTTGAAGTTCCTCTATCTTCTTCATCACGTCAGCCATCTCGCCATACTTTGGCCGTTGTCGATAGTCGGAGCTGTTGAGGCGCCTGTTCAGATCCTCTATCTGTCTTGCAGCCTCGCGCTGCTTGTGAAGCTTCTGTTCCACGGCAGCCAGGGTCTCCGGTGTGACGGGCAAGGCGTTTTCACGGACTTGATCCGCAAGGGCTTGCAGTTGGGGATAGTGAACCACCTCGGCGTTGATGAGGTCCTGTGCCGTCTTCTCCCACAGGTGACCGGCGGCAAGCTTCTCCGAAAAGTGGTTCAGTTGGTCGTTATATGGCGGGATTTCAAGGCGTTGACCTTCCTCAAGAAGAAGACGAACATCGTTCAGTGTCATGCTGGTTCCAATGCTATCCCGGGCTCTGGCATTCCATTGCTCTCGCTCCAAAAGACGCGACAGCTTCTCCACCTCGGGAATGTCCACGTTGAAGCTCTGCCCCTCTTCAAGAAGTTTCTCGACCCGCTCAATATCATGGTCCGTGGTAAACTCGAGGAGACGGACCGCGTCATGCTGGAAAGTCTTGATCGCATCAGCGCGTTCTTGCAATTGGAGTATCTCCGGACAGTCGAAGCCAATCCTTTCAGCTTCGTCTAGGAGACGGTAGATGTTGGCGACATTGCGCATCTCTCGCTCTTTCGAGTCCTGGTAAGAACTGCCGATTGACTTCCTTGTCCCGATTTGCCAGGCCTTCTCATTCTTGCGCCGGTTCTGTTGCTTCCGAACTGTGTAGTTGGTTGCCTCCTCAACCCAAGTATTGCACCGCTCAACAAAGGCTCGGAGGGTTGGGAGTGAAGGCAGTTCGTATGGGATCTTCTCACCTTCGCTGAGCACAGCCCGCAGAGACTTCAAAGAAGGTTTGGCTTCCTCGTCCAGGAGTTTCTCGTACTTCTCCTCCCATGCCTCTGGGACATTGGCGCGGTCGGCCACCTTCTTGTACGTCGCGGCCATGAGTTCGTCCGTCTTGCGGTAGTACAAGACGTGGTCCTTGCCGAGGTAGCGCTCGGAGTCGCTGTAATCGCAACATGGGTGGCTGCCAGCATGCAGGAGACACAAAACCTTGCCGGTTTTCTGGCAAACAAATCTCGACAAGTACGTGAAAGCCTTGCAATAAAAGCACGAGGACTCTTCCTCGGGAACATCAACGTCCTCGATCTTGAAGACTAGCGGGCATTCAGGGTCGTTCTCTCCGTTGAAGACACAGCGATGATGCTCAACCGGGTGCTTTGATTCGAGCCGTTTGGCGATGAACTCGTGCTTGCCTGTGAATACCTGTCTTTGGTCGAGTTCCCGTTCGTGTATTCTAGCCAACGCAGGAGCCAGCCACTTGGCGGTCTGGATCGTCAGTCCCCCGTTGGTGATACCTTCCGCCGCGGTCCACAGGAGCTCATCATGCGAGAAACACGGTTGCCGACGGAAGGCCTGCAACCTTTCGACACCTGCTAGCCCATAGGGCTCCCAGTCGCTGGGAGCAAAGTTCACGGCCTCATTGAAGTTGAACCCATGGTTGAAGCCGGCGTGGTAGGCTTGCGGGAAGGTGATGACGAGCTGTCCTGCGCGTTGATCAAGCGCATAGACTCGAACACCGGCCTTCTTCAGCTGATCCGGGGTCAAAAGAGTAACAAGCTGGAACAGAAGGTCTGGCTGCGTCTCGAAAAGCTCCGGGACGGCCTCCCTCATTGCATTCTCAAACTTCTCGGCATCATCTCCGGGGATCCCGTACCAAGTCTTGGTGGCTCCGAAGTGCTGATAGTTGGCCGAATACGCGTAATGGTCTTCGTTATGCCAACAGAAAGTGGAGAAAATCATGCCGACGTAAACCCACGGAACTGTCATGCCGGAGATGTCAGACTTGATATGGCGGAAGAGACTTTCTGGATGCAGGGGTAAAAGGTTCAGGTTCCAGGGATCGGTTGAATAGGGGTCGGTGGGGTTCTTCTCGATGGTCGGAAATCCAGAGCCGTGGGTTGTGCAATGGATATCAGCACCATATTCGACTTCCACCGTCTCCTCCAAGTCGGCAACTAGGCGCCAGAACTCCTGTTCGACGTCGTCTTCGGTAACTGGTCGATGGCAGTTGAGGACAGGGTCAAAGGGCATCTTCTTCTCGAAGTAACCTTGCTTAAAGTTGGCCGCCTTCTCTTGGAACTGTTTTAGCGAGTACAGTCCACCTTCCTCGAAGCCAAACTGGCCGTCGCCAACAAGACAGCGGGGGCAGTTCCATTCTGTCTCCGGCTTGACTTTAACTGGCGGGTCAAGGCAAGCGCCATGGTAAGCATGCTCGCAGGACTCGCAAACGAGCAGGAAGCCGTCAGTCTCGTGACCTTTGCCGCAGGTCTCGCATCGCTAAGAGGGAGTCAGTGCCTTGTGTCGACATCGAAACAAGGGGGTACGCGGTGCTTGACATACCTCACCCGAGCCCAGAGCCTCATCTCGGGGTATCCTAGGAGCCGATGGACGAAAGAGTGACATGTGCGAACCCGCTACAGTGGGAACATTACCTGCGAGTCATTCGAGGTTAGCACGGACCAGTCACCGCGAACAGCTTCCGAGTGGGGCGGCGAGAAAAGAACGGAGCGAATGAGGTACGATGGCGGACGACTGCAGGTGGGCTGGGTAACCCCTCGACTGCCTTCAAGCGACCATGTCTGGCGAGCGGCCAGCGTCAAAGTTGTCGGGGTTGTTCAAAAGCAAAAGGGTGAGGCTGAATATCAAAGATGACTTACCCTTCTTCAGCCGTTTGCTGCTTCTTCGGCTGCCATCAACATCGTCCTTGTCACAGGGCGAGTCCTTCTCCACATCGTCGCAACTAAGTTGTCGCTTGAGTCCGGCAGGGCCAAGGGATGAAGGTCGGTATTCTGGTGTGTTTTTTGAGGACGCGAGCGGCGTGCTGTACTGTTTTGGTGTGGAGAGACTCTTGTTCTCCGAAGCCACGTTTTGGGGTCGGTTGATACTCGTAAAGCCGGAATTGATGGCAGTGAAGCCTCCCGAGTTGGTCGCCGTGAAGCCTGATGAGACCTGTGGTGTGCTAGCTGCGGGCGTGTCGGACATTTGGACGTCTTGGTCAGTCTCCTTGTGGCCGTTCATGGTCGCCTGTAGCGCGTCTGTCGCATGTCTGGCCGGCGACTCGGCACGGAGACTTAAGGGCGTGTTGACATTTGACCGCTTCATCGGGCTCTGGGCTGGGCTGGGAGTTAGAGGGCCGCCATACTCCAGCTCTAGCTGCTGGTAGACGCCAGGTTTGGCGGTCCGTAAGTATTCCTCATAGGGGCAGAGCCACTTCTGATACGAGTTCTTGAGTGAGGTGGACAGAGACGACATTATTTTGCCACTGTACCCCAGGTCACGACCAATCTCTGCCCACTTCTTCAGCTTGCACACCTTCTCGAACCCACCGCGGGCCTCGACGGCTTTTTTGAGCCGGTACAGGTCCAGTGGTTTCTTGTCGACGTACGGCCATCTCGTCAAGTTCGTGTTACCTTGTTGTTTGTGGAATTTCTGGAGCGCGTCCAGGTAGGTGAGATTCGCACGGGTGCCTGACGAGTCACCCTCAGTATGACGCTCCAATGAAGAAGGGGGATTTAGCTTGAGATGGGGAGCCTTACTGCCTTCAACAGAATTGAGCTCCTGTTTCCGCGTTCGAAAATGAAATTTCTGAGTGAGGCAGTCGTGTTAGCGGGTTTACAGAGGAAAAGCTATCTGGCGAAGTTGTGGCAGGCAGGATCTAAAACTGGGACGAACCAGCAAAAAATCGCGATACCGCTTCACAAGGTCACCCACCTCTGTATTGATGGCGAATTCGGGGTTCCAAGAGTCTGGTGGAATGATTTTGCAGAGACCGTATTCTCTCGCCTCTTTTGAGATTTTCCTGATGTACTCGAAAGGTTCTTTCCATTCCTCCTCCGTTGGCTGGTACGTCGGCGCTTCCTGCAGCCCGTGTGGCCTGTTCTTCTTCTTGAGGGGCTCCTTGCACATGGTAGGTTGCCCGCGGCGCTCAACTGACGACAGGTCGAGAGGCGCGCTCTTCATGGAGCTCAGCGGCACTTGAGGTTTTGGCGGGTGATAGCCATTCCCGTTGACCTGCGCCGCTTTTGACTTGGCCCCGTTTGCGATGGAAGCTGAAGGCGTGGTCATGGCGGGAGAATCTTTGGCATGTGCATTGGTGCTGATCGTGGTGATGGATCCGTTCGACACGCTGGCGGAGGGGACCGATACCATGCTCGCTGTGGGTTGCTTCGATATTCGCCGTCGTGGAGCGTGTAAATGCCAACGAGGCCGGAGGGCTGTATCGAGCGAAAGGATGTGAAAGTATATTTAATCGTGGTGGGATTGTGTATTAGAACTGGTGAGTCAAACAGAGTGGTAGCTTCGACGCATCGTATGGCGTGGATCTGGAGAGTTGCGACGAAAGGTTAAACTATCACGCGCCGACTTGCAAGGCAAGAGAGGATGGCTTGAGCAGGGAAGGCCCGAAGCTTTTGAAGGCCAGCTTGATTATATAAACTTTCTCTCACGTACCATGGGGCGCCGGAAGTGAAGTTATGGTAAGAACTACACGCGCTGTTGCTCTGTTTTGTCGGTTCAAAATTGCGTGCAACAGCTGCAATCATGCCAGCGACTCTCGCCCAGCAGTGGAGGCTATGATCTGTTTCAAGGTATTTCGCAACAGGTGCTGGGAGCTTGAGCAGCGTGCGCCGGGAAGAAAGGAGAGGTCGTGTGAAAATCGGAGAGTTTCCAGGTTGTGGTGAGGAATTGGGGCCGACACGCGGAGGCGGCAACGAGGTGAAGGGATATTGAAGATAGCCGGCTGTGATGTGAGGAAGGAAAGAGCTGGCGGAGACGGGGGACAAGCGGGTGGTGGAGGGAACATGGGGCATGGATGGGGACGACGGCGGACGGGAGACGTTCCAAAAAGGCGAGGTAGGGCGGCAGCTGTCGGGACGATTTTGGCTGGGGAGGCGCCCAGGCGCAAACCTTCAAGTGGGTCCCTTCCCACAACTGGTCATCCTGGGCCTCACTTCGACTCCATGCATAACTATCTACGGAATACGTGCCTCGAGAAAAGAATCTGCATATGGCACGCTCTTCTAGAATCATCACCCTGCGCAATTCTCATGCCGTACAGCCAGTGCACCCAGGTGAGGTTGAGGCTGAGGCATCGAAATCTCAAAATGATCTCAGGTCTCCTCTTGCAGCTCCACCAAAAAACGGGAGGATCAAACATCCCACCAAGCTGCATGTCCCACTTTGACAAGCCACAATTTGAATGACCTGCAAAAATTGAATCGCATCTCTTCGTACAAGAAGTAAGAGATCAGCTGTCATATTTCCAAGCTTGATATGCTTTACAAATCCCAATCCGGGGTCCTAAACTGCAGTGATAGGCGCGGCACGCACAAAGAAAAGCTGGCACAGTGTGGCTGCGATGCATGCGGGCACAATCTGGTAGGGTCAGGTAAGGTCGTACAGACCAGTCTCCAACATGGGATAAAACCACACCAGGAAGGCGGCAACTCCTGAAATATCGGTCTGAGCGGGCACAGAGAAATAAATAGCGATATCCGAGCTCTCTCCAGCATCCAACCCACAGTTTGTGTGCCACCACGGTACTGACAGTCATGATCGCATGTGGTAGGTAGGTGGTCAGCATTTCAATGGCTGAAGTGGGCACATGAATCATACATTATGCCCCCCAATATTTGGCAGTCAAAAACAGTTAGCTGGAGGGGCTAGTAACCGCTGATAAAAACGAGCAAAACGCTGCAGAATCACAAAAGCAGTGCAGGTACACTAGACTCGGAAGGGTCGCGAGCCCTGATGAAGAGGGCGGGGTATGCAAGTCGACATGCTGTTGGAAGCAGTCCCGTACTCGGCAATGCGACGGTCTTATGAAGATGGACAGAAACAAGAAGAGGTGGGCAGAGATCTGATATCGCGCCGGATCCAAAGCAATCCTATCCTATGGCTGGCCAATAAACGAAGGCTTGACGTTCGAGCAAGAGGTGCCAAGACATCTGGGGGTGGCACACGCTTGGGAGACGGGGGCCGTCAGGTGCCACTGGATTTATGTAATCGTCCGCTCTGTGTGAACTCAAGTGCATGAACCTCTTATTAAAACATCCCGTGTTCAAACCCATTGCTATCCGACGCCAAACTGTTAATTCCTACTGAAGAATTCATCCGTGTAAATCCAAGCCATATATACAAGATCCGGGTATCATTTCATTGCCAGGTGCTGCCTTGCCTTCATCCAAACGCCATCCCCATGTCCAACAGCCATGTAAATAGTTGTATGCTCCAACCTCTTCAACCATCCTCTTCACGAGTTTCCTTCGTCTTCGCCGTCTTTTTCCTTGGTGCCCTTTTTCTCTTCACCTTCAGCAAATTTTCCACCTCCTTCTGCCCCCTAACCCTCAACGTCAACTCCTTCATCATCGTCCCCCAATGTACCTCACCCTTACACCTCGGACACCTCCCTCCCACCGGCAATATTGCCCCCTCTCCACCTCCCTCCTCGCTTTTGAGCAAATACCTCCCCCAACACCTCAAATGTCCCACCCCTTCACACCCCTCATTCGAGCAAACAGCATGTAGTCCCCCCTCCTCAGGGTCAATCTCCTCCTTGCACACCACGCAACTCCCCTGCCTCTCAAACTCAAAGATATCCTGCCCCTTCGCCACATACTCCTTAAGCGGCGCATAATCCAACGGCAAGCCATATATCCCCCAAGTCGGCACCTCCTCCCCTCCCCCATCCCCATCCAACCCCTCCCCTACCACACCCAACGGTTCCGAAGCCGACGCCCTCGCCACCACAGCCCCCTCATCCTCCCCAAAATCCGTCACAACCGGTAAACTCCCCCTCAACTCCCTCTCCACCTTCCCACACCACCTCCCCCACGCAGCATGCACATCCCTCTTAAAAAAATGCACCCTCAACGGCCACCTCGCAAAACTCGGCACCGACAACAACAAGTGCAAGTTTGACAGAATCGAACTCAAACTCTTCGGCGGTCTCTTCGGCTGCCCATTCCTCTTCCGCTGGGTAGAAAACGCAAGGCGAGATTCAGAGGGTATGTGCAATGATGTGTGTGGGTTTGTTAGAGCCCATCTACAATACCAAAAAAAATCAGTATCTTTACCCAAGGGATTACGTGGGGAAAGCTTACTCAAACTTCAAAGCGGCAGTTGAGCTGGCAAAACCAGAGACCAAAGCGACCATCTCCCACGGCCGGAGGGAGTTTCGTGATGTGCGCACTGCTCCGCCTTTGACGACCCCGTTGTGCTGGCTCAGGCGGCGGGGTGGGTTGGGTGTTGAGCCGATGTAGAGGGAGGAGTGGCGGACGGTGGAGCGGAGGATGTAGACGCAATAGAGGGCGGGGATCGGTCTGGGTTGGGGGGTCATTTTTGATGGTTTGATGATGCCGCGCGGTATCAGTGCATTCTGGTGGTAAGGATGTGTTTTGCGCCAAACTCAATCTCACCGGGCAGGCGTAAGAAAGGAATGCGAAAATTTCATCAACAGGCTTAAGAGTTCCCACCCCTGGATAATAATAATAAGGCGGGATGCAGAAATCACAGATTGTCGTTGATGGAATTGTCCGAGAAGCGCAATCTCGAATTCCTTTGTTTACCTTTGGTCACCGGCAGACGTCGGTCCCTGGGGTGACGTCGCTCCGTGCAGGGCTGTTTTGCCCCTCCGAAGTGGGTCTCAAACTGACAGGGGTCCAATTCCCCGGAATATCAGCGCCAAGAGCTGTTCAGACTTCAACATGGAGAGACCCCTTCGCCAGGCAAAACAAAGTACAAGATAATCAAGCAATTGCGAAATGCTGGGTATTAGCTAAGTCTACATAATCCTGAAACCTTGCATGCGATAAAAACTCCGGTGAACAATTTTCCCAACCCCTCTGCCGTGCGACTACAACAGACCCTGCTTCTGAAGATCAAGGTAAACCTTCTCAGGCATGACATTGCCCTCAGCATCCTCCATCTGCACAACTGACCCGTCATCCACATGATGCTTCTTCTCCTCCCTTTGGATCTTTTCCCAGAGCCTCATGGCCTCTGCAATCGAGGTGATGTCTCGAAACAGATAGGTATTCGTGATGCCGAGACGCTTCAAGTTCGTGATGTGATTCGTCTCGTTGAAGTGCTTGTCGAACGCGCGACGGCCTCTGTACACGAAGTTGCCACAAATCTCGCAGGGAAATTCCTGGCCCAAGCCGTGGAGACGGTAAAGCCAGAAGGGGATCGGCTTGCCGTCCCAGGCCAGCGGAAGTTTGAGGGGGTTGTAGATCTTGTCGTCATCGTCGTTATCCTCCTCCTCTTCGGGCGCTTGATTCTGTGGGGTGTTTGACATGTTGTAAAAGTTCTCCAACTCTTGGGCGCGTTCGCGCTCTGTCATACCCTGCCGTCGCTCCACGTTCACACGAGTATCGTCCTTTTCGGTACTCATGGCACTAGTGAGCTTCCTGACCCTAAACTCTCTCTCGGCAACAGCGCGTTCCCTCAGACGATGCGCCAGCGCAACAGGCGCATGGCTGTCTCCAACAGCAGCTGTTTCCTCCCACTTGGCCAAGATCTCGGCGGCCTTGATATGTTTCCGCCCATTCAAGTGCCCCTTGTAGACGTTCTCATTCTTGAACTCCTTCTCGCAGGCCTCACACCACACCGCCTCAGATGTCGAAAGGTTGCGCGACATCGCGTTCTTCTTGGCTGCCGCTGCTTCCTTTTGCCACCCCGGCACCTCGTCCTTCTCCCATGCCGTCTCAAACTCCTTCTCCCAGCCCTCATACACCTTGTCAAGGTTCTCTAGTGGGCGAGTCCGTCGCATAAAAGACTCCAAGTATGAAGCAAGGTCACCCAGGTACTTGAAGTAGTCGTCCGTCAACTTATCTGCCCGCTTGATTCCGCCCTTCCCTGGCTGAAAGTCGTCAAACACCTCGAGGTACTGCAGATAGGCCAAGCGCTTCGCGTTTGGCAAGTTCAGGTACGCCTCGTGGCAGGTGTGCAAATCGAAATATCGTCCATATGCTTCCTCGCCCGAGAACATGCTCTCCACAATGTATGGCTGATCGGGCCCCTTCCGCGGCTTGTACCATTGCTCTGAATTCTCGGCCTGCTCGCTGGGGTAGTTCCCGTGGTGCTCTTTGATCTTGTTGTATTGGGCGTTGAACTCTTTGAATGGATCACCGGAGCTGATGTCCAAGATTTCTTTTGATCGTTCGCCGGCTTTATCTTCGTAGAGGGATAGGAGGATGGCCGACTGTTTTTGGATCTGGTCGAGCAATTGGGAGACTTCATGGTCACGGTTCAAGCGATCGCGGATCTATAAAGATGTTAGTATCAAGCGTGAGGCGGTCAACGGTGTTGGATGGAGGCCATCCCGACATACCTGTTTTGGTTCATCGCCCATGCGATCTGCAATTCCCTGCTCGAGGCGCTCCAGGTCCTCATGGATGTATCTCTGCTCCTCCAACAACATTTTGGTCGTCAATATGTGTCTCGCTGGGGTTTTATGTGGTCAGATAGAGCAACACTGAAAATGGATTGCAGAATATGGAAAGCTCCAAAGCTCGAAGTTGGTTGTTATCGATATCTTTTTCGGCGCCACCAATTCGCAGCCAATTCATATGAAAGCACGGACGCACGGACGCACGCGCGCGTCCACGCGAGCTTGTCATTTTCTGCCGGAGTTTGGCCGGGGAAAAAGTTTGGGTGGGTCGCGCTGTTCTTGCGCCGCCCCACAGTCCAAGTTGTCGCGCCGCCTCAACTTTCAGCAGCGCATTCCACTGGAACTTTTGTTTGAGCTTGCTTCAACCCACCTCAACCACATACGTCCATCAACCATACACAGCACCCCATCTCTCCCCGTTTGCGCCAACTCGAAAATCAAGATGGCTGAAGGTGGTATTGATCGCAAGGCCGATGAGAAGCTCACGTTCTCGACCTCGAAGGAGGTCACGGTCCACCCAACTTTCGAGTCCATGTCATTGAAGGGTAGGATCTCCAAGCTTGCGAGGCTATGTTGATCGTCAAGACTGACTACTGTTTCTTTACAGAGAGTCTCCTTCGTGGTATCTATGCCTACGGCTACGAGTCGCCGTCCGCCGTCCAGTCCAGAGCTATCGTTCAGATTTGCAAAGGTCGCGATACCATTGCCCAAGCCCAATCCGGTACTGGTAAAACGGCAACTTTCTCCATTAGTATGCTCCAAGTCATCGATACCGCTGTGCGCGAGACCCAGGCTCTTGTCCTTTCACCAACCCGCGAACTTGCGACACAGATTCAGAGCGTTGTCATGGCGTTGGGTGATTACATGAACGTGCAGTGCCATGCCTGCATTGGTGGAACAAACGTGGGCGAGGATATTCGCAAGCTCGACTACGGCCAGCACATCGTATCCGGCACCCCTGGCCGTGTTGCCGACATGATCAGACGTCGCCACTTGCGCACCCGCCATATCAAGATGTTGGTTCTGGATGAAGCCGACGAACTGCTCAACCAGGGTTTCCGGGAGCAGATCTACGATGTGTACCGCTACCTGCCACCCGCCACTCAGGTTGTGGTTGTGTCCGCTACTCTTCCCCACGATGTCCTTACCATGACGACCAAGTTCATGACCGATCCCGTTCGTATTCTCGTCAAGCGTGACGAGTTGACGCTCGAAGGCCTCAAGCAATACTTCATTGCCGTCGAAAAGGAGGACTGGAAGTTTGACACCCTGTGCGATCTCTACGATACCCTTACCATCACTCAAGCCGTAATTTTCTGCAACACAAGGAGAAAGGTCGACTGGCTGACAGACAAGATGAGGGAGGCCAACTTCACTGTCAGCAGTATGCACGGTGACATGCCACAAAAGGAGCGTGACAGCATTATGCAGGATTTCAGACAGGGCAACAGCAGAGTGTTGATCTCGACCGATGTGTGGGCTCGTGGTATCGACGTTCAACAAGTCAGTCTGGTCATCAACTACGACCTTCCCAGCAATCGTGAGAACTACATCCACCGCATCGGTCGTTCGGGCAGATTCGGGCGTAAGGGTGTCGCTATCAACTTCGTGACGACGGAGGATGTGCGCATCCTCCGCGATATCGAGTGTGAGTATTTTCAATTCCCATTTGGGTCGCAGTCAGCTAACTGTGTCTAGTGTATTACTCCACTCAGATCGACGAAATGCCCATGAACGTGGCCGACCTCATTGCTTGATTATGGTCGAGGATGGGTCGGTTTTCCATGTACTTCTACTGTCAACAGTAGACCATTTCGGCAAGTCAGGGAAGGGCTGGCTTGCCCCGCGACACAGGGTCCGGTAAAAAAGGTTGGGAGGAAAGGGGCCTCAGAATATGAAGGTAACGTACCTTCCCTTTCGCCATTATTTTTTCCGACGGCATGGCTGACTCGGCCGGAATCCTAAGCTATGCGAGAATGCAAATTTACGTACCATTATACCACAGCGCTACCAATAGTGTCAAATTATTTACTCCGGAAAGGGGTGATGCACTGGGATATTGGATGTGTACCTGTCAAACCTCAGTGGTCACTCTTGTGAAAAGGGATGGCGGTCCATTATCAGGCCAATGTCAGCGATTACATTGTGCATCAAGAACTCTGTGCCCTCATTTCTCTGCTATTGCTTGCGACCCCCCCTTCTCAGCCTCCACGATGTCCCTCCCCTGCAACTCTAAACTGTCACTATCCCTCTGACTCTGGTACATTGAAATCCACGTCTCCTTATCTTGATCGCCCACCCTCCGTGAAGGCTTCGACCCAATAGTAGGCGGATTCCTTCCCTTTTGCTCCGCGACTCTGCCAGCGTCATCAGGCCCAGCTTCATCCCCTGGCGTTTCCAAGCTGTCGCTATTGGACCCGGAAAAGAACCTCGGGAACAGCTTACTGACCAACGGCTTGAGCGTCATGCAGCACGCGCAGGCGATGGCGGCGTTGATCTCGATGCAGGTTAGGTAGGCGATGCTGACGTTGTCAAAGGTGAAGTCGGAGCGAGAGTATTGCTCGATCAAGTCCCATAGGCGGACTGCCGATATTGTGCAGACACTACATGCCCATTAGCCAAATCACAGTGTTGGGTAAAGGGGGAAGTGGCGTACAAGAAACCCAAAGCGAAAACACCGTATAGCATGGCCTTTTGTTTTGGCTTCATTTGCAGGTTGGCGATTATGGGGAGGGGGAGGATGTATAAAAGGATATCGGTGCCGATGTGGAGGCCTGTGTTCCCTAGCCAGAAGGGGCGTGGGTGGCAGTAGGCGTTTGGGTAAGTTGCTTTGTCCCAAAAGGCGGGGAGGGGGAGGCAGGCGGTTAGAACGGTGGTGAGGGTCCAGAGGCCGTTGGTGAGGATGACGATGAGGAGGATCAGGTGGACGTAGTAGCGGGCGTGGTGGTAGGTTAGGAGGCGGAGGTAGAGGAGGAGGAGGGAGAGTTTGGTTAGGAGGAGGGTTAGGAGGTAGTAGAGGATTGTGTACCAGCCTGCCTGCAAGGGGGGGTGTTAGTGGGTGGAACTCTGGGGATAATAGGGGTAGTGGGAGTGGGTATGGGGTTGGGAGAGTGCTCACCCTTGCCATTGGGATGATGAGGTCGGGGTTGATATCTAGTGTGTGTTTTCCTAGGCCGTAAACCGCTTCTGGATCTCGATTTGGTTAGCAATCAGTTAGCTGGGGTGTCGAAGGGGTATGCCTACGCTCAATCAGGCCTGCACATGTTGCTGCTGCAAAGACCAATGCCAGTAGTATAAGCCAGTCTTCTGCTCCGAGGATGTTGTGAAGTAAGATCCCTCGAGTGTAGAACCGCAGTCCTACAAATGTTGCTCCAATAACCCATGTGATCACGGCACAGGCGATGATGTTGACCTGGTAGGACTCATCGGGGTTGGAGGTGAGATTTGGAAAGGTGACATCGCTGGGAGAAGACATTCCTCAAGTCTGGTCTGGACTCTGTTTGTTGATGATCTCAAAACAGGTATGGTTGAACATTCTCTTCCTAGTATGGCGGGCTGTTTGTTCTTGGCTGAGAAATACTTGACATGATGAGTTCAGGTTGTGACGAGACACGGGGTTGGTTATGAGCAAGAAGATGGCTGAGCTCAGCTTTTGGTGGTAATCGCCTATGGCTTGTGTCACGTATGTGTTGAATATGGAGATCAATGCTTGAGCACCATCCCGGTATTGGTTGTTCCGTCGATCTCAGGGTGTGGTTGATCCCGCTGAGCTGGTGGAATGCGGGGCCAGCCGCGTCCGTTGCGAAGGGGGAAAGAGCGACCACTCGGCCACGCCTGCCCGTCATAAGCAACAAGTTCGCTCCTGCTTTCATCAAAAACAGTCACATTGTACTATGGTTGGTCAAGTGATCAGCGGTCTTCTTCAACACGAAACCATCACTTGGTGGGTAATACTGCGGGTTCAACTCCCAAGGTGGGCGCTCTCTCTTTTACAACAAAAGATTTTCTGGCGGCGTAGTCCCCTATGTTCTCAGAGTAACGAGGCCACGCTGAGGGTTGTGGCTCTGGGGGAAATGATCAATCTCGTGACTTCTTTTTGCAGCTTTTCTCCTCATCTTTTCGAGTTATTTCAGCTAACTGTGGTTTCCATGTCCTTTCACTCAAGTTGGTTGCCGGCCAAGTACTTCTCCAGCTTCAAGCGTGATATGGCCGACTTTCGACACCAATGCGACCTTACCTCCGTATCCCAATTTTGATCAGCAATCAGATGCAACGAGTCTAGCACCCTGTAGTCTATCTCTTTTGAGGCGGGAAAACAAGAAGCCTTTACCGCATGAAAGTCGTGATAGCCGTGCGTGTTTGGCATTGAGAATCCCAGCGATGATCCGGCTCGACAAAGCATCCGATGACATGCGTGCCAGCCCGGCTTAGGGGCCAGCATCACAGATAACATCGAGTATCCTCACATAAATCGATATTCTGCAGAAAGTAACTTATGCATAATATAAACGGCCCTCGTCCTACCGATCCATGTTCTTGGTCATCCACGGATGCTTGACAAGCTCACAGCCGGCATACGATCCGCCGGGCTGATTTTCATCATGCATCCCAGGAAATCAAGGAATAGATTTATCTCATTCCGCCACAGTCCGCACCACCATTTTTCGTGCTCTAATGGTGGCACACCTGTCGATTTGACCCCCTTGATTCGTCCCTCTCCTTCGAATATGCTATTCACGGTCTCGGCATCTCCGTGAGCAAGCAGTTCTTTAGGAAAACATCCAAAATGGTTTATAATTCTCGCTAGGTGGTCTTTGAGCTTATAATACCCGTCAGGTGGTATCTATTTAGAGAATAAGCGTTGGGTCGCTTCTGGGGTCGACGGTGGTGTAGTATCCTACTACGGAACGGTTTAGGATCGGAGTGTATTTTGCCTCGGTTCGGTTTTGTGTTGGGGTTGGGTGGTCGATGGGGAATTCAGACTTGATGAGGGATGTATCTTGGAATTTGATCATGATGTTGGGTTGTCTGATATCTAGTAGATTTTTGAGGATTAAAATTTGGTGTTCATCGATTGTTAATCACTGAACTGAGGCTTACCGGTATAAATGACACTGCTTGCGTGGGCAAAATCAAGTACGAGTATGAGCTGGCCAGCGAACTTCCTCATCAAGGGGGTGGGAATGAGGTACTCGCGGAAGTAACTAGGGAAAGTGGCCCAAACACGAGGCATATCCTCAGAGTCCTACGCGGCTATTATCTTGGCAGTTGGCTCAAGTCCGCGCTTATCTTGACCAATGTGGTAAGATACCAAGGCGAAGATGATATCATCGTCACTGATAAGAATTTGAGGTTTCTTCGCCGTCAGAATTTGGCAAAAACAAAGCCCAAGCCTCTGCACAGCTCAGTCCTCGGCTTGAAGCTGCAGCCTGCTTGGTCAAAGATGACAGATGGTAGCTTTCATTCTTTCCCCATCAGCACAACGCTGGTAGGAGCCCAATCATATGATAAGGTGGCAGCTGGCTGTTGATATCCTCGTTCAAAAGGCATGTCACGTACCACAACAGGATAAACATTTCTCTTCAAGTCACATTGGAACAATGTTCCACCGCTGACAGAACACAGAATCGTGGCGATCGAATGATGGATCAGCGGTGAACTGCAAATTAGGAAGGTGGGATGTGAGGAAGAGGAAAGCCGCAGGTCAAACTAACTGATCTCAGCACGCTATACCGCACACTTCACCGGCTCGACCCCATTCACTCGGCCAAATAATCGGTGCTCCGACTTCCACATGTCCGGACAATAGATCTCTCCTTAGGTAGACCCTTTGAGGAGTCTGAGTCGCCCGTCGTCCCCTGCTGACCATCCGGGAATGACTTCCCCGCAAAGCTTATTTGCGTAGACTCTGCCCCGCTCCCCTCCGCCCTGTTGATCCATGGGCTCGTATGGTTGACCATGGCTGATGGCTCACATCCGTTTGAAGACACCAAAGTAGACAACGGGACCATGGAGGTGAAAGCTCAGAATAGCAATGGGCTCGCGCCTTCCGCCGACATCTGAGACAGCATCTTCGCCCATTGGCTCAAGAGACGGGAGCCGGCAGTCAACTGTCTTGTCGAACTTGGCATCGTCAATCAAGCATATGCCAAGGCGCCTGGCAAGCCACAATGGCGTGCTTGGCAGGTTCAAACTTCTTTTGGCAGCCAAGCCAATTCTACATGACGTCCTGTCATCAACACTTCAACAGCATTCGCGCCGCCGTCAAAAGTCCGGCGCCGTTGATCCTCCACGCCCTACATGCAGCCTTCTCGCCGGATTTTGTGGGCTCCCCACATTTGACCCCTCCTCATGGTCACACTCGACCCGCCCACCCATTGTGCGGTCGGCAAGTAAGGGGGGAGGGGGGAGGGGGGGAGGCATTCATGGTTTTCGAGAATTGTGATTTCATCAGGCACCGCGTGAGCGGCAACACGCTTACTCTAATCATGTCTGACCTACCGCCCTACAAAAGAATGCAGGTCTCTTCCCCGGTCCCCTGAGTTCCAGATAAGACGGACACCGGTCGGTCTCAGTCCGATAGTCCTGTCTTTTTCCCTTCCCCCACATATTTCTCTCTTCGCTTCCCTAACCGCACTTGACGGGAATAAACCACATCCATGGAGTCAACGCATCAGCCAGCTGATCCCATCGCCAAGGGAATTCTTCCTACAGCAAAGCAAGGCGTACGGGATTTATTCAACTTCAAGCAACGAATCGTCGTCACAGATCACCTTGGTCATACAAGGACAGAATGGGCGCGTCCGATCCCTCTCAAGAACCCCATCAGCCTGTTAGCCCAGTTATCAGCGCGCGATTGGCTCTTCTTCATCGTCGGCTTCGCAGCCTGGACAGCAGATGCCTTTGACTTCCACGCTCTTTCGATTCAGCAAAAGAAGCTGGCTGATTACTATGGCACGACAAAGACCGAAATATCTACCGCCATCACGCTCACACTGCTGCTTCGATCAATAGGCGCGGCGATGTTCGGCCTCGCTGGTGACAAGTGGGGACGGAAATGGCCCATGGTGTTCAACATGATTGTATTGGGTGTGTTGCAGATTGCCACAATCTACAGCAGCACTTTCCAGCAGTTTTTGGCTGTCAGAGCCCTGTTTGGCTTGTTCATGGGCGGAGTGTAGGTTCTTCTCTCGTTGCCCAAAACTTTGACCATGTGCTGACCACCGTGTAATAGCTACGGCAATGCTATCGCCATGGCCCTAGAGAACAGCCCAGTCGACGCCCGCGGCCTCATGTCTGGAATCCTCCAGCAAGGATACTCGCTCGGATATGTGTGCGCTGCTTGTGCCAATCTGGGTGTTGGTGGCGCGACGGAGAGCTGGAAGACAGTCTTTTGGATTGCCGCCGCTATTTCTATCTTTGTTGGCCTCGTGCGTTGTCTCTTCCCCGAGTCTAGGCAGTTCATCGAAGCTCGCGCTGCTGGCAAGGCGCAGGCAAACCCCTCTGCGTTCTGGAAGGAAACGCGGGTGATGCTTGCGCAAGAGTGGAAGATGTGCGTTTATTGCATTATTCTGATGACGTGGTTCAACTGTAAGCTTTATTTCCCAAGTCGTTGGCTGGGTTGGTACTGACACATGCCCTGATAGACTACAGCCACACCTCCCAAGACAGCTACACGACATTTATGCTGACGCAGAAGGAGCTCGAGAACGCTGGAGCCAGTCGGGCAAGTATCATCATGAAGGCCGGCGCTTGCGTGGGAGGGACCATCATCGGGTACATCTCCCAGTGGTTCGGCCGCCGCAGAACAATCATCGTCGCGTCGCTCATCAGCATGGCGCTCATCCCTGCGTGGATTCTCCCCACAGATGAAGGCGGTCTTTCAGCAAGCGGCTTCTTCATGCAATTCTTTGTCCAGGGTGCCTGGGGCGTGATTCCCATCCATTTGAATGAGCTCTCGCCACCTGCCTTCCGCTCATCCTTCCCAGGTATCACCTACCAGCTCGGCAATATGATCTCCTCCCCATCAGCGCAGATCGTCAATGCTATAGCCGAGAGCACGTTTGTTGTGAGTGCTTCTGGGAAGATGGTGGAGGCGTATGGTCCCGTGATGGGCATCGCGACGGCGATTATCGCTTTTGGGATCGCGACGTGGGTTGCGGTTGGGCCGGAGAAGCGCGGGAGGGAGTTCGAGAAGGTGTTGCCGGCGGGGATGAATATTATGCAAGAGGGGACAAGGGCGGATGATCTTGAGTCTGGGTCGGCGAGTAATGATGAGGGGAAGGGGGGGACTAGTGAGTTGGAGACGGTGCCGACTAAGGGGTTGAGTGAGAAGTAAGGGGGTTGGTTTGAGATTGGGAGGCTGATCTATTGGTTGGAAACATAACTTTTGTGTGATTGGCGGGTCGGGGACAGGGGGTTTCTTGTTTGGATGTTGGATTGACTGGTTTGGGTTGTGAAGTTTTTCTCTGGGAAGGAAGTTGGGGAGTAGACAAGTCGTCTACCTTACAGTAGCAGGGCGTCAGTTACATCCGTCTTTCCTGTATCAAGGCCTGATCGCACCCTTGATAATAGGCCCTTTTCTCAATGGAATTTTTTGGCTTGGAAATGCACCACTTTTGGCCGAGGCTTTGCTGTGGAGCCCACTCACTTGAAGCTATTCCCAGTTTTTGCAACATTTACCACACAGCCAATACTGAGTGCAATGAGGCGAAGATAGTATCAAAATATTCGCAATTACTAGGCTTAATAAATGGCTAATTTTGGTATTTTGCTTTCAATGTTGAACCCACCCAACTTTGGTCCTTTGGCCAAAATAAAGAGGTACGATCAGACCCTGCAGTCTCTATTATTTGGTAGAGCGTGCAGACCATGGGCACGTGCACCTCCAGTACTTATTCTCCCGATCAACTGAATATTGGCCCCTTACTTGTCTTGCACTTAACATTCATTCCAACGTCATGGAACTTTTTCCGGACCAATCTTTTCATACCCATCCTTCCACTACCATGGTGACAACCCAGTCGCAAACGCGCAAAGAGGTCGAGGCGACAGCGCAGCCTCGAACGCGCAAAAGGTAGTGAAATGCAAGTTCGACGATAGCAGCCTCGCTGACAAACCATCCTCCATACCACTGAACACGCTCCCAGTCGAAATATTGCGACTTGTTTTTGAGTCCGGACCACTCTCCTTCGACGATTACAAAATGGTCTCACTGGTTTGCAAGCTCTTTCATACAATTCTGAGGTCATACATTTTTCGCACATTGGTCCTGGGCGTCGACGAAGAAAAACCCGGCCGCGAATGGATGGTTGATCTTGCAGGAAAGAACAAACAACTATCTCGAGGTATTACGTAAGTCTGCCATAAAACTCTGAAAAGTGCCTTCAGAACCTCACAGGCAAGTAGTCGGAGCATTGTTGTATAGCACGTGGAGCGATTATCGTATTTGGCGTGTCAAGTATCACCCTCCAAAACAGAAAGGGGAAAAAGATTGGAAGCCCCGTCTTGATGCTCCACCTGCTGTCGATCCTTGGCTGGCAATGCGTGTACTGAGCGACATGCCTGAACTTTCGACACTCAGGGTGGACGGTTATATGTCGAATCCCGCGTGGGCATACACCTTCGGCTCACGGCCCATCGTTCCTTTTCCTGGCTTGAGTCGCCACTTGCCAACGATGCCATCAGTCCAGACCTTGTCAGTCTCTCAAAACTCGGACACTGCTGAATTCAGCAGCGAGCTGCTGAGGCTCGTTCGATCTTGCCAGAACCTCACCACGTTACGCATCGACTGCCAATCATATTTGGAAGAAATGAAGTAGGTACCGTTTTGGCCAGTTATAGGCTCGTTCTTGAAAGAGGCTTCGGCGTTGGATAGCTTCGAGGCTCTTGAATTGTCCCGGTTTGGATTCTTCCAATGTAGTAAGCTGCATGTGAAGAGATGCAGGAGCGGCTGGAGCCCTAGCGACATCAAAAGGTAAGGCCTAACATATGGTCTTTCAAGTGTGGAACGACCAAACCAAGGTTTCTTCTCTTTTTCCAGCAAAGAACTCCTGGAATCGGGAAGACAGGTATGTGTTCAATTGTGAAAAGTGCGGCGACACTAACACACAGGCCCTTATCATCTATTCATTCCCTCTTTTCCGACATCTCAAAACTATCGATTTATGGCAACCTGGATGTGAAGTGGACATGGCATGGGCCAGGGGAGACACCCGAACATATGGTGTGGGAGGAACCTGAAGAGGGCCAAGTCCAACATATCGAGCAAAGAGCATGCACAGTCCAGGACTTCATTCCGGTGCTCAAGGAATTCAAGAACCTCAAGCAGCTGGTCATCACCGACGAGCAGATGGCAAGATCTGAAGTGATGGACCTGCCTAATGTTGAGAAAAGTATGTTTGAATTGCTGAAACATTTTCGCTGAACATCAGAAAGCTAACTCACTCGGGTTCTTGCAGGAGCGGCTAATGCTCATGAGGAAGTGACCCGGTTCTCCAAACTGGTGTTGAATATGCCAGAGGTGACGATCCGGGAGGCCAACAACCAAAGCTGGTGCGGAGCTTCCATAACAAGTGGTTTGACACATTGACTCTGGCGAGGGCGTGGCTGCAGGGCATGGAACTAGGGCCAAAATGGTGGTGGGCATAAAGGAATGGTCTTTGGCGGTTGTTGGGGGTGCCTTCGTAGAGACTTCGCAACCGCAATGCAAAATGAATCCGAGGTTGCCACTCAGGATAGGACTCTTCGAAGGAGTGTTGATGGGTCTTTATACATAGTTGACAGGCATTTAGAGTAACTAGTAACTATGCCTTGAGTATTAGAACAAGATAGCGATAATTTAATCCTAGTGTTTCATCACAAGTCTCTATTCTCTGCTCACATGATAGCTCCCCATCTCCAACGTTTTCTACAGGATAAAGCCGACAAAGACTGAATAGAGACCATTTATGTATTTCACACCACAACACTGAGCCATAACTTCAATGCCCTCTTGCTATCGCCTTTGCTCTGACAAAACCCCAAATAAATGCTTAGGGCCCACGGCTGGGTATAGGTCACAGGTAAAAGATTGAATTGTCGGAGGAGGAAGAAAAGAAAAGAAAAAATGAAATACACTGCCCACGACGTCCTCATATACCCAGGGCGGTCAACAAGTCAAGTCAAGTAAAGTCGAAGGCCGACTTGACTTGACTTGCCGCCCAGGTCCTTGACTTGACTTGAGGTCCTCACCGGCTTGATTTGACTTGCCGACTTGTAAGCCTTCTAGTAGTCTTTCCGGCCCCGATTTTTGGTAAAAATACAGGGGCCAACTTAATACATTTACCACTATAAACCTAGCTATTATTAATATGTATAAATTTAAAAAAGACTTTTTCGGGCCTTGGCAAACCGGTACGTTAAGCCTACCCTGGATTTGATTTGACTTGCGCAAAAGTCCGGCCAGCTTGACTTGCCTTGGCAGCTTGACTTGTTGACCACCCTGTATATACCTCCCAAACCCTCCGGACTTCCCCTGCAAAGCGTGCGAAATATCCACCAAAACTGTCCGAACCTCGTCGTATCTCCTTCAACCTCCTGCCTCCCAAGTCAATCGCAAGCCACGTCAACCGCCAAACAACCCTAACCCGGATATCATCCCATAACGATAAATTCCCACTATGATGCTTCTTGCAATGGTTCTCCAAGCCCGACTCCTTCTTCACCTGTTGGAGCAGGAGCCTCGGGTGGCGCGGGGGAAGCAAACCAAGGAATCTCTCCAGGGTGGAACCGCTGCCAATCAATAAACCCCAACCGTGCGGGAGCTCTTCCCAGCCATGCCATACTATCAACCAAATCAGATCTCTTATAAACCCTCGCTCTGCAATAGGGACACGTGTTCCTCATCCTCAACCAAGTGGTGAGACAGCCCTTGTGGAAGGAATCGTGAGAGCAGATTCTGATCTGTGCTCCCTCCTCGCCTTCCTCGACGTTCTCCATGCAGATAATGCAAGACACTCCTTCTTCCTCGGGGTTGATCTCTCTGGTGTCCAGGGCGTTGGTGATTGCTTCTGGAATGTCTGACGGCGGGATGTAATGTCTTCCGGCAAGGTACGCATCCATCTGCATCATGTTTTCCGGTATCTGCTCTTGAGGGATGTCGGTAGGGCTGGGGATCAACCCGTCGAGGTGATGGTCGACGTTTTGATAGAGGATGTAGTACAGCATGGCGTGTTGCCAAGTCATGAAATTTTTGTTTCCACCGAGGGCCGTGTAAATGGTTGGTTGGGTCAGCCCGTACTGATGGGTTGGATCCCTAGTGAATGGTGGAGTCGTTTGGGTATGGAGCGCTTCGATGCGGGGGGAGATGACCGGTGCATAGAAAGGCGAGGTGAGAAATCTCTCTGCGCAATCCGGGGTACTTGAGCCGACGTGTTGATCGGCGAACTTTGTCATCAGCATGCCAAGAGTCGGTCCGACACATGATGGTCGGTTGATGACGAAGAGTCGAAGACCCATGAGAGGGCCGGCAGTGACAAGCATGTGAAAGATATCGCCGGCGCGTGTGCGCTTGATGCTGATGGCAACTTGTAGCATGGACCTTGTCTCTGGAGGGTACTGATCGAAGCCATCGTAATATTCCTGAATGTGGTTGGGGCCGTCGCTGTCGTCGTCGTTGTCCTCATTGTCATCGTCGTCGGCGTTGTTGTCATCATTGTCGTCATTGTCATCGTACATGTCACCAGATCGCATCCAGGCTCTATCCGAGTCATCTTGCGTCGACGCGTTTGATTGACGGTCGAGGGATGGTGGGGGTACTGATATTTCCTGTAGCAAGGCTGCTGCGCGGGCCAGTCGCTGTTGAAGGCGCTGAAAGGCTGGCCCATATGGTTGTAGTGAAACCGACATGGTCTTGGAATTTGGGCTTTGATAAGTAAGGTACCACGCAAGGAAATGCGGTTGATGTTGTCCAATGTTGTTTGTGTTGTGGTTGGGCTCGCTTGTAATCTGACTGGATAGATTCAATTGAAGACTCTTAGTGGGGAAAAAAACGGAAGAGGTGAGAAAAGAATAATCCAAAGGTTGCGTCCGGTTTTATAAGGTATGCGGAAAAGTGAAAAGTGATAACCTTTCGATTAAAATCTTGATTTTGTGCTCAAAACCTTCCAGTACGAGGACACCGCAAGGTTTACGCTCAAAGCTCTTACTGTTTGGTGGCGTACAGCAAATTTTTAATTTTTTTAGAGTGTTTAACGTTCAACAGGCGTTTTACCTTGATCAAGCCACCAATGCACCGAGGTTTAACTCAAGTCGGCGTTTGTTTTGTGGCAGAGCGACGACTTTTCCCAGTGAGCTGCCATTCATAGTGTGGATGGCCAACCAAACGGCCGCAGACACTGTATTCTTCAAGGTTCTTTCAACCTTCAACCTTGTATGAGTGCAAACATCCAATCCTACCCTTAACGCAACAAAACTGCTCCATTTTGGCACTTTAAGCATTCGACAATTTGTCCCTTACGATGTGCTTGCGGGAGACTGCCACATGACCCCGCACATCTGCAACTCTTTATTTACCCCAATTCAGGGGCTCAGGGGCTTCATTGTTAGTGGGGTCAAACGTCCTTGGCAACTGGCAACCACGAGAAGGGCCTTTGAGATCTGTAAAAACAGGGGAAAAGGTGAGATTTGTGCTGGAAAGACGATAAGTACATGATTCTAACTAGATACGCCGATGTTGAATCGACCACGACACCATTTTCAGTATCTATGTACTGGTAGTAGACATTAGAACAGGTAAACCAAAAATCGGAGTGTAAATGATAAAAAAATGCATGATGAGCAACACAAGAAGAACAAATTGGAATTGTTTGATCATCGATGACATGCTCAGTAATGTTGAGATTCTGAGCAGCGACCTGATGCATAAGAGCGAGCAGCAATGCCAGCACAACTGGACACATCTAGACCTGGTTACCGTTTTCGGTCATGTCTTGGTCAATGCCACGAGCGTTGGATGTCCAGCCAAAGTCGGCGCCATATCCGGGGAAGTGCTGAAGACTATTCCACGGTTCAGAAACGGGGGGGTAGACACTGTGAGCCGGCTGGGAAGTAAGTCGAGCTGAGCGTCTAACTGGGCTGGCACGGGAGCTCATGATGAAGGAACTACCACCATTTGTGGGTGGCTCGTCGGGAAAAGCATAGATGCATGCTGAGGTTGGAGGTAGTGAGCCATCCTCCTCGGCCGTTGTGAAGTCCTCGGAGCGCGCAGGAGTGTTGTCATCAGCGGCTCTAGGTGCAAGTTTCCGATACCTGTCGTTGGCGAGGCTGATGGCCTGTTGAGTCCCTTGCGCGCCTGTGTTGAGATGCCTGGCCTTTTGTTTCCCGTCCTTCTTCCGTTTCGGAGCTCCAGTCACATGGGTTACTGTGTTTCGATTTGTAAGGTATGCGGACTGAATGTTTCTTATGGCAGTGTCGGTGCCTAGGTTAGGGGGTCCGAAGTGGCCGGCAAGCTGATTCATCATATCCGTCACCTCGTTTGACTCGAACACCTGGCAAGGTTCGTAGTCTGAATGAAAGAGACATTAGCATGGACAACAAAAAGCAGAACGTAGTACTACCTACCAGAACTGGGAATGTTGGTATCGTCGTTGAAAAGAAAGACCCACAGCCTCGGCCATTCGTGTATCTTCGTGCGACCTTTTCTGTCCCTGAGTTGGTCTACCACATACTGATTGATACCGTTCTCAAAGCCCTGGCGACGATGACTTGGTAGTTCAGATGGAGCCAGAACGTGCTCCTTCTTGATATGTTCCCTGCACAATCCTGTCAGTGAAAACTTGCAACAAAAACAGAAAAGCGTAACGTACTTGACATCGGTGAGATCGCGGAAGCTCTTTGTGCATTTGGGATACTCGTGGTAGTTGAATTTCCTTTTATCCCATTTACGATAAGGACAAGCCATCGGACGGTTTGATGGCGGCGTTTCTTTCCCGTCGCTGCGACGCCGATCGTCGCCGTCACCTTCTTCGTCCTCTTCTTGGTCATCATCGGCTGTAGAGTTACGCTTGCGTTTCATTCTCTTCGTGGCTCGTGTTGTGATGGCCGACTTGGTTATCGAGTTCGAGGGCTGATTATCGTGTTCTGTACGTGAGGAGTCTACGGTGCCACCCGCGTCGCCTAGCTGATCTGTCGTGAAGCATGCCTTCTCATGAACGGCCAAAGCAATTGAGAGCTCAATATCGGATCGATGGCCTGGCGGGTGTGAAGAGTCAGGGTTGAGAGTTAACGCGGAAATCTTCGATGACAGGCATGTCAGATAGTTTTGATTGGCGTCCACGGGCTTTGAATCGTGACTCTTGGTCTTTGCATATGATGGCGTTTCTGGGAGTCGACGAGGAATACTATCCTTCCAGTCCCCGGCCAAAGCGACTGAGAAATCAAGCCGCTTGATGTTGTCGTTCGTGCTAGTATCGGGGCATGAATGTCGGCAGTTCTGAGTAATGGAAGGCGCGTCATGGCAGCTTGTAGGATTTTGAGAAGGTTCTGGTGATCTTCGATGTGAAGGTGTCTGGTCAACTGGTAGTGAGACCATATTAGGCCAGGATGGCATCGCCGAAGAGCCAAAAACACGTTCGAGCGGGAATGACTGGCTTAATGTCGAAACTGTGGTAGATGGGCGCAAATCTCAGGGCGTAAATATCGGGGCTGATAAGTGGTTTTGGCGTACAAGCAATGGATTGATGGAGGGCAGAGAATGATGTAGAAATAGGAAGAACAAGAAAGACGTCCGCTCTCTCGAGCTGTCACTACGGGGGATGACTGCCATCCTTCTTGGCCCCCAGCCTCAACACAATGTACGCCGGTTGAGGCTCTGTCCTTTGCCACTACTCCACAGGCGCCAGTGTCTCTGAGACAATACATTAATACGCATGGTTAAGGATGAGGCTGGTTTCTCGGTGGCTTCCGGGAACTTGATTGGTTTATTGAACATGAAATGAGGTCTTGACGCATCGCGGAGGGCCGATGTAATCTCTTCGCTGTAAGGCGGCCGACAGAGCGGCTTGGCTTCCCGTCAAGGTGTGCACGCAGATACCAACATCCTCAAGCCCAGGTGTTAGATTCACCGACATTCTCAGCGTGAATGTCAGCTCTGTTGACCTTGGTGCAGCATGAGTCGTCATTGACTGGTGTGATCTGGAGCAGTGGATATCAAGGCCAGCGACGTGTCTGTTCCTGGGTAGTATGCTGTGCAGCTGCCACCGGCACCTGCAGGAATCCCGGTCAACTGCGCCTAGTTTGATAGCAGAAGCCGGACCAAGACCGCTAGCCACCCGATTTCCTACCGGCTTGGTATCGGAGTGCATCAGGAGCTTGAAGTAGCATGCTGTGTCACGACGAATATAATGACAAGCGAGATGAATATGCATATCTGACAGCTCGCTGCAGAGAAAACAGTGCACAGAACACGGGTGCGAAGGCTATTCGCTCGAGTCTTCTGGCTGGTTGTTAGGGAGGTTATGACAACGCTTATCCGGAGGTGGTTGGTTTGGCATTGGAAGAACCTGGAGTGGTGCGAGTTACGGTAGTCCAAGCCTCATCCGCTAGCTCACTGACCCTACGCCCTACGCGTTAAGAAGCGTAGTTCTTTGAACATGTTGCAAAACGGTAGATGGCGTGCAGGAACCGCACGTGTAAATTATTGTTAATTTTTCTCGATCTGGCTTGGGTGGTGTTTCGCAGGCTGGTCATGCAGATCTGGATTCCCAAGTATCGATAAAATTATGGAGCTTGGGTCCGTGCATACTCGGTACCTGCCAGCACCATCACGTACCACCTGCAGGCTTCCAACTGCCAAAAATTCGTGCTCGGACCACATCAACCACCCACCGAGAGCAGCCCCACCTTGCTTAGCGCGCCTTCACCGCGGCCGCTTTTGCTCACCACAGCGACCCAGAGCCACCGCAAGCTGCAACCGCAAGACTTCCAACGGCGGCAGATCACCACATTCAAACATCACCGCGTCGCAAACATGGCTGCAAACGATTCCAATCCAAAATTGCTCTGGAATCCAGAAAATGTCAGAGACGTGGCCGATTCAATAGGAATTTCCCTTGGTGACGAACCGCTGCGAGTGCTGGCCCAGGATGTCGAATACCGGATCGGCCAGGTCATCATCGAGTCGCTTCGCTTCATGAGGGCCTCCAATCGCACCACCCTGACTGTCCAAGATGTCTCCAATGCCATGCGCGTACTACAAGTCGAACCATTGTACGGTTATGAATCAACCCGACCCTTGCGCTATGGAGAGGCGAGCCTGGGACCCGGCCAGCCGCTGTTCTACATCGAAGACGAGGAGGTGGATTTCGAGAAGCTGATTAACGCGCCGCTACCGAAGGTCCCTCGGGATACAAGTTTCACCTGTTAGTATCGTATGCGACTTGTGTGATTCACAAGAAAACTGACCTTTGTTTGCTTTAGCACACTGGCTTGCCCTCGAAGGCGTCCAACCCTCAATCCCCCAGAACCCAACCACCGCCGAAACATCCTCAAAGGACCTCCTACCAAAGGGCCCAGGCGCCAACCCGGCCCTGGCTGCCCTCGCCGGCAATGACAATGTCTCCTTCCGACCAGCCGTTAAGCACGTCATCAGCAAAGAGCTTATCCTCTACTTCGACAAGATCCAATCCGCCATCCTCGACGATGACCCTGATGAAGAAAAGACCCGATTGCGCATGGCCGCCCTGGAGTCCGTCCGCTCCGACCCAGGCCTCCACCAGCTCCTCCCCTACTTTGTCAACTTCATTGCGAATCAAGTCACGCTCCGCCTCGATGATCTCTTTGTCCTGCGCCAAATGATGGAACTCACCGAAGCCATCATCCAAAACCCCAACTTCTTCCTCGACCCTTACGCCAGCTCCCTCGCCGCCCCGATCCTCACCTGCCTCATGTCCAACAAACTAGGCGGTATCGAAGACGGAACCGACACAGTCAAAGATCAGTACAGCCTCCGCGAGTTAGCCGCCAGTCTCCTTGGTGTTCTTGCAACCAAGTATAACAAGAGCAACCGCCAACTCCGCCCCAAGCTCACCAGGACATGCCTCAAGTACTTTATGGAACCCAACCGTCCCCCGGCCGTGCTGTTCGGCGCCATAAGTGGGGTCGCTGCCGCCGGAGGGCCGGAAGCAGTCCGGATCCTTATGCTCCCCAACGTCAAGAGCTTCGACCAGGCCGTCCTCCAACCCCTCCACGACAAGGGTGAGGCGCATAAACTCGAGTACGAGATGTTGGTAGGCGGTATCATGAAGGCGATCAAGGGTGCTGTCGGGGGTGACGTCAAGCCTAATGCCAATGGCGTCAACGGCGTGGATCTCGAGCGGGAAGCGCAGCAGATTGTCGATTTCCTGGGGGAGACCATCGGGAGAAGGGTGCTCGCGCTGGCGGACCACACGCTCAACAAGGCGATCTTGGAGGTACGGCACTTGGAGTAGGAGGGGTTGTTTGGTTGGCTTTGACTCCATCATGATCATCATAATCATCATCACATTCGGGAAGGGGTTCTTCTCTGGCTTGGACAGCGCGGCGTTTGGTGTTTATGGAGATTTCGGCAAAAAGGAGAAAGGTTGCTAAACCGTTGATATTTGATTCTGCGGGTTTGTTTTTGGGGTGGTCAAAAAGAGCCGATTCACAACGAATCTTTATATCCATGAAGAAGGGGCCAACATTGAATCATCTTCAAGCCCTGGTTTCTGCAAAAATAACGATCAATGCAAGTATAAATAATCTTTGCATAATAAACAAACAGCGACAAAAAACATGCTCTGTTGTGGCTATACAAATGGTGTCCTGGCTTCGGCCGTCTATAACCTTTCCCCCTCTCCTTGCCAGTGTTACACATTCTGCAATTTGACTCCCCCGCTCTGCCTTCTCCTACTCACACACTCACCCCCTATCCTACCCTTGGTATTTTCCTGGTCTCTTCCCCCACCTCACTGCCCCCCCAGTTTTCATGATTTGACCTCCCTTCCAAATAGAACTTTTGCCCGCTATTCACACACATTTTAAAGGAAGAAAGCCAAGTACAGCCCGCTGACCAACGAAGCGCCCCAGATGTACCACCCCCCCTTGACAATCTGCTGCCTCTTCATGAACATGCCCAGGTCGAGGGCGAGGTGGCGGACGCCGTTGAAGGCGTGGAAGGCAAAAGGCCAGGCGACGAGGAACTTGACGCCGGACTTGACGGCAAAGGGGAGGGCACCGAACGCGGAGACGAGGGAGGCGGACTCGAGGTGCCAGCCGAGGAGGGGAGCGGCGAGGTAGGCGGCGCCGAAGACGTAGAGGCCGCCCGAGAGGCCGGAGCCGGTGAAGCGCTGCCAGATGGAGCCGCCGAAGAAGGTCTGCTGCTTGTCGTAGATATCGAGGTGGGGGGAGACGGGGCGGTTGAGGCGTTGGGCGTCTAGGATGGAGCGGGCTTCGGTGGCGGAGATTTTCTGGGTGGTGGCTTGTCTGGATTCCGGGGGGGTTAGGTTGGTTGGTTCGTATCATCGTGGGTTGGAGGGGGAGGGGAAGTACCTCGTTTGCATTTGGGACATGGCAGCCTTGGCAAAGGTGGATGTGAAGACGGCATTGGGGTTGGCGGCGACTGTGAAGGTTGCGGAGAGATGATGTTAGCGATCGGTTTGGTGGTGACGACGTCCTTTCATGTCCATGCGATATCTTCTCCTCCCAAGTTCCCGGTTGTCCGTGTATATCGATCCAAAAAAGAAAACGCTTTGTCCAGCAGGATAGTGGGCTGCGTACCTCTGCGGAGAGCCGTCGTGCCTGTCCGTTGGGCAATCATTTTGTGTGGTTTGTGTGTGTGAAAGTGAACTGGCGGCAGAAGCAGGTACCCCAATGTGTTTTGAGCAGAGAGAAGGTCAATGATGCTGTCGCGAAGTTGGCAATTGAGAAGCAGTCGGGAATCCGACGCCTCGAACCCGGCAGGTGTCGGCACCTCGGCTTGATGCGACCAATCACAAAGCAGATGATTCGAATGCGGGATGAGGTGGACCGTGCAGCTCTCTTTTGGCTTTTTTGAAAGGGAGCACGTGACGCTCCAACGCCCGGCCCCACTTTGCGACATCAAAATGCAAATCTGCGCGCCAAAATTTTACTTGCCTTTTCCTCTTTTTCTTCTTCAGATAGTATGGGAGCTCAGCCACAGCGTCACTGTTTTGCGAGTCGGTGATGCAATATAGTGGTAACCTCAGACGCTTTGGTGTCTACGGGTGCCCAGAGAAGAAAGAGATCCGTCGTTAATCTCAGTCTCCAGTTTCCTCAGTCTGGTTGCTGTTTCAAAAAGAGATCTACATGTCATTCTTTTGTTTGTGTGTTTACGTTTGTGTTCGGCTTGGCGCTTTTGGTCATCGCTTGGCAGTCGCTGTCATGTCGCCAATGTGTGGAGTGGTGGGTACACCATGGTCACCTCAACGCTTGGCTCTAATACTTGACGGGCCGTCTTTGTTCGTTTGATAGAACGTGTTCGCTGCATACTTCCAATTTTATTTGGCACCTGGATGATAATCATCAAGTATGGATGAAGTCTTGAATGAGCCAAGCTTTTGAGATTGATATCTGCTGAGCATGAACATCGCTTTGGCAGAGACAACCCAGCTTCTGCAAGCCCAACGAGTAGTTTTTGTGGAGGCTCTCGCATCAAGACCGTCACGACAACATTTGCATTCATCAACATATTGAATTACATTGCTTCAATCAACATGAGCAATGACTACTGATTCATCTCTTTCACAAATCAGAGGTCAGAGTAAAACGACGGCCTCTGTCCTATTAAAAGTCTGCACATCCATACAGTTGAACCCTCCCATTCCTGATCCTGAGTGTCGAAGATCGTCAGCGCCTTGGCCTTTGACATGCCCGGCAATCAATCTATTCTGCTGATGCATAGGACCAAGCTAAGCTTAACCCCCTTCTCCTTCTTCTGATTCTTTGGTCGAACCAAAAGTTAAACGACGTCCTTGGGCACGGGCCAAAGCAAGGGGTATATCTTCCTCCACGCTCAGTAACAAGGCCACCCCATAACCCTGAATATTGTCAGCGCCCTGATCTTCAGTTTTCACAATGATACGCCCGTCAATTAGTCAGATTCAGCTGATCCAGAGGTCCAGCCTGTCACTGAACTTGACCTACTTCTCCTTCTTGTGATTCGTTGCTCGACCTCCATCTCAAGAATGAGCGGCTCGAGACCCGATTTGGCGTGCAATAGCTCAAGAGCACCCGGCTGGTCGATGTATGCGCTTAAAATGATCCGTAGACACGGCTTCTTGACCGGGGGGGTGGGGATATCGATCCTGGTGATAGTTGGGAAGTGATCCAGGTATAGCGTATCCAAAGATGGATTGATATATGCCTTTCTGCATCTCTCGCCGGACTCATTGGTGGTATGGTTGACATATCTTGACCAGACATTACACTCATAGTAGTGCCTCAATGTCTCCTGTCGGGTTTCGCTGTTGATACGCAGGGTTACAGGCAGCTCGGGGTAGTCACGGATTCTGCCAACGCCAGGGCTAGAAATTGTGATGGTTTTTGGCTCCCATGTGTGGCGGTAAATCATGAACCGAAGTTCGAGTGGAAGTGTATGAAGAGGCGTGAATGTGATCGAAGTTGAAGGGTCCGCTGCCGTACTGTCTCCTGCTTCTGGAGAACCATTTGTTGTGTTGCCCGTGGTGTCGTCAGGTGGGGCACTCATCTTGGGCGAGGGTACCAGGGGGGAATAGGTGTTGATAAGGGCTTGAGAAGACAGGAAGTATTAAAGCGAGAGTGCACCCATGTTGGCAGTGCAGTTTGAGACTAGGTCACATCTGAAGATGACACCGATATGTTTGAAAGTTTGATTCTCGAGTCACAGCCCGGCTGTTGATGTAGTTGGTAGGTTTGGATATGCTGATAAAAAGCCAAGAAAACGAGATAGCGTGAAGCCTAGTTTCTCAAAATCGCCGAAAATCGCGAAACAGGAGCACGCCGCAAGAACATCAGAAACGGTTGAGAAACCGATGCTCTGGGTTGAGGTGGATGAGTTGACGTTGGAAGAAGCTACTGGGGTCGCCGTTGACAATTTTGATTGGTTAGTTCAACGTCGAATCGCGTGCGCACCGACACCCGCCCGATATCCGAGCCCGGCGCTGGGAATGGTGGAGACCAATGACATGACCGCCATCAGGTCTCACGAGCACGCAATCGACTAAGGATGCATGGCAGACAGATGACTCTGAAGAGGCTTCAGATCACGACTTCCGAAGATGGCGATATCTCAGTATTGTAGACCCAATATATTGGGCTATCTGCCTTTCGAACCTGGCGCTTTTCTTCTACCTCTCCCACTCAGCGCGTTTTTGGCTTTGAAGCGGTTTGTGCACCGGACCCTGCGTTAATCGTTACGTCGACACCGGTTCACCAACCTTGCAGTAGCGCCGCCTCTCTGCACAACACATTAGGGTTCCTTCGTCCGAGGAACTCGATTCTCACTCAGAGCCTTCCACCATGGCGGACGCCACAAGTTACAAGAAGCCGCCCGTCGACAACGACACGTATTCCGACCATGTCGACAGTGAAGCCGCCAGCGAGGTCTACGATGAGAACGGTTCTCTACTCAGCGGAAAGACGGGGAGCAGCCTTGGATATGGAGTCCCAGATTCGAGAAAAATTGGTGTCACAGGTGCTGTCTTCTTGATCCTCAACAAGATGATCGGCACCGGCATATTCTCCACACCGTCCAGTATTTTCGCTTCGACCGGTTCGGTTGGCATCAGTATTCTCTTGTGGGCAGTCGGTGAGTTGAGCGGTTCCTAGTGACTCAGCTCATGTTTGCTAACAAAGCACAGCGGGACTTCTCACTCTGTCCGGTCTCAGTGTCTACCTCGAATTTGGCCTTGCTATTCCACGCTCTGGAGGCGAGAAGAACTACCTGGAACGTGTATTCCGGAAACCGCCATTTCTCATCACAAGCGTCTTTGCTGTCCAGATGATCTTGCTCGGGTTTTCTGCTGGCAACTCTCTTGCATTCGGTCGATATGTGTTGCTAGCATGCGGTCACCCTATGCCTGATGGCTTGGTTCCACGGATAATCGCCGTCGCCTGTATGACATTCGTCGTGCTCCTCCACGCAATCAAACCCACATGGGGTCTGCGACTTACCAACGCACTCGGGGTCTTCAAGGTGCTGGTTTTGTTGCTCATTGTCTTCGCTGGATTTGCGGCATTGGCAGGATACCGCTTGATCCCGGACCCTCACAATTTCGACAACTTTTGGGCCATCGAAAAGGGGGATGGGTATGGCGGTGGCGGGGCCTATGCCTATGCTACCGCTCTCCTGCAGGTTGTTTACAGCTACAAGGGGTGGGAAAACGCCAATTATGTCATGGGAGAACTCAAGAATCCCCAGAGAACACTGAAAATTGCGGCGCCTCTCGCGGTCATTGGCGTTACCGTCCTGTATGTGTTGGCGAATGTGGCTTATTTTGCGGCTATTCCGAAGGCCGAGCTGGCAAAGTCCGAGGTTATTGTTGCTGGCCTCTTCTTCCGCAACATGTTTGGAGAGAGCGTCGCCGCCAGGAGCTTGCCGGCTTTCGTCGCCCTAAGCAATATCGGGAATGTTCTCGCCGTCAGCTTCGCCCACTCCCGTGTCAACCAGGAGTTGGCAAAGGAGGGAATCCTACCATGGAGCAACTTTTGGGCTTCTACCAAGCCCTTCCGGACCCCTGCTGCAGCGGTATGTTCTTTTCCAGTCTGACTATTCTGACTGATACCACTCGAACTTTACTGACCACCTGTACAGCTGTTTTTGCATTGGATCGTCACCGTTATTGTGCTCGTTGCACCCCCTCCCGGCCCGGCCTACAACTTCATTGTCAATCTGTACACATACCCAGGAGCATGGATCAACACCATGGTTGCTGGTGGGCTTATTTACCTGCAGTTCAAGAAGTCCGAGAACTGGTCGTCGCCGTGGCGCACGTGGCTTCCGGTCACCATTGTGTACCTCCTACTCAACATTTTCCTCGCCATCACACCCTTCATCCCACCAAACAGCGACTGGAACGCCGATGGCTATCCATACTACGCATTCCCTCTCGTGGGAATTGCCATTTTGCTGCTGGGCGTGGTGTATTGGGCGGTGTGGACCAAGCTTTTACCAAAGCTTGGTGGCTACAGTATTGTGGCGGAGACGGTTATTGATGAGACGGGCGAAGAAGTGATGAGATATCACAAGGTTCCAACAACAGGTCCCAGGGAGGCGACGGCGCAACCGCTCCTGTGGGACGGAAATGCCAGTGTCCATAGCGGTTATGGTTCGCTGTGACGATGGCGTGAGGACATGAGCGTTTACGAATTATGAATGAGACGATGAATGGGACATGACATAAGGACTGTCTTTGCATATATATGGCGCAGGGTTTACTTTCAACGGCATAGCATTATATTATTGGCTGGGTACGGACTTTCAACATCGTTTGGGCATGGGACGGGATAACGCGATAGAACTATTGGAAGACAACAAAGATTTCAACTTTCTTTCTCTGACTGGCGACTCTGCGCGTGCTCTGTGTGTTGACGAGAGGGACATTCTTCAGCGATAGCGCCCCGACACCCCGTCATTGCGTGGAATAGCGTGTCGCATTCCATCCTTCTATCACCATCAAGTTCCACCATAATCCATAATTAATCCTGATGGAGTTGGCACTTTCCAGGTAAGCACCTCCTTCCCGTCTGCATCACACACACTCAATTTATTTTCATCTTTCTGGCCAAGCAGTCAGGCCGCATTGCAGCATGGCAGTGCTAGATTGCACCGCATCCATCATCATCATTCCTCAATGGTCATCACGATTCATCCCGCCTTGGAGGAGGCATGAAACATGGTGAGCCGCCCCAGCAACCGAACACTACTCATAGTCAAGCATACAAATGGACGGCGATGCAACTCATCATCCATGCCAGATTGGTCGAGTGGTCAGCAGTGGCGCATCTTTCGGTACGGGATTCCGAGATCTGCCCAAGCATCCTGGTTTGCGTGGCTGTCCAAAAGCAGAAAAGCACCGAGCGTCAAGCCGTGTGTGTGAAGATGTAAATCGCAGACTAACCGTCCCGTGGACTTGAATCTCGGTTGTGGCTTCGGCATATCACGATCCGTTACCGCGATGGTCGACCTTCCTTCTAGACATGTAAGTAATCAAGTCACACGGTACAATACGTCATTTGACGGCCGGCTGTCCCGTGTCACGACTGCCTGGCTTCATAATATCTCACTGCCTTTTCCTGCCATGAACTAGGGAAGCGCCCCAGTCCACTTCGGCCATTCTTCCCGCCGTTGATATTGCGCGCGGGTCTCCTTTTATATTAATTCGACCACTTCCCACCAGTCGTTGGTGCAGGATCCGCTCATCATGTGTGGGTTCAGTCACAAAAGAGCGCAACAACAAGCTCCGTCTTGACAAGGACCCAACCCCATATTAGCCGGCAAATCGCAAAGCGAGCGGCAACACCACACAACCACTGACAGTCGAGCGGGAACCCAGCAGCGGGCCTAGACTGGAAAACCTGGGGCAATCACAAATGAACTGGAGAATCTGGGGGAATGTCGGCTTGTGTATCCCACCCGCCCCGCCATGCAACGGCAGAGCAAGCCGCAACCATGTAAATGGAACGTCCCTAAACGGCAACCGATGTAGCCTTCCCACGACTATCTCTACCTTTTAAAGACTCAGGCTCATCTTCCACACCCTCACTCTTCTCTTTTCCTGTCTCATCACATTTCTTGCTCTTGTGCCACCAGCCAGCCAAAACCAAATTCAAAATGTTGACCTCCCTCATCAGCACCCTCGGCCTCCTCGCCGCCGGCGTCAACGCCCACGGTGCCGTCACCAGCTACATCATCGACGGCAAGACCTACCCCGGCTACCAGGGCTTCTCCCCGGCCAACAGCAAGAATGTGATCCAGCGCCAATGGCCCGACTACAACCCCATCACCTCTTGCAGCGCCTCCCAGCTCCGCTGCAACGGCGGCACCTCGGCCACCGAGTCCGCCCCTGTCCAGCCCGGCTCCAAGGTCAGCGCCGTCTGGCAGCAGTGGACCCACTCCCAGGGCCCCGTCATCGTCTGGATGTACAAGTGCCCGGGCGCCTTCAGCTCCTGCGACGGGTCTGGCTCCGGCTGGTTCAAGATTGATGAGGGTGGCTTCAAGGCTAGCAACGGCGTGTTCCTCGACTCGGAGAACCCGTCTGGGTGGGAGATTGCCAAGCTTGTCGGTGGCAACAAACAGTGGACTAGCACTATTCCTTCGGGGCTTGCTCCTGGAAACTATCTCATTCGCCACGAGTTGATTGCCCTTCACCAGGCCAATGCTCCTCAGTTCTACCCCGAGTGCGCTCAGCTCGTGGTTGGCGGGTCTGGCTCGGCTCAGCCGGATAGCTCTTACAAGGCTGCTATTCCTGGGTACTGCAAGGATGGCGACTCTAACATTAGGGTAAGTTGTTGTCTGCGAGGGAAGTTGAAATGGGATAATGGCTGACATGAGTATGATAGGTCCCCATCAACAACCGCAACATTCCCCAGACCTATGTTGTCCCCGGCCCTCCCGTGTGGCGCGGTGCCTCCAAGAAGGCTCGTGACTTCTCTGCTTAAGTGGTTTGATGAAAGTCCACGGGATGAGGATGATTAGTGGAAGACAATTTTGGGTACATGCCTTGGTTTCCTAGCTTTGACTTGAGCCATGGTAGCATTTCGCCCGCTTTGATTCATGTCAATCAACTTTTGTATATAGCTCTTCGCCAATTGACACAATGTCTTCACTGGTTACAGACTGTTCACGTTTGATTTCTTTGGTGAAAGGGACAATCAACAAGAATCCCCTTTGCTTTTCTTCTGATCTCGCGACTATCCAAAACTGTCAACCATCACCTGATTCCTTCTGAAGTTGCCTGACTTGTTCCATCAGCACATCATTTATTGATAGGTGGATAGTTTACATCGATGGAAACAATAAAAGTTTCCCATGGTTGAAAGGCGGGTTAGATGCCAGCATCTAACCGTCTGATTTGACAGGACCATGACTGATCACCATCGTTCCCTGTGTCCTCTTCCTTGCTCTTGTCCTCTTGATACTCGTCCTTTGTGGCATCTTGGTAGCTGTGAACTTCACAGATTCTTCTCTCAACACTTTCCTCGTCATCGTCGTCGTCATTATCATTATCTACCCCGGATGCAGTCGATTCATTGTTTCCCTCATCTTCGGGCACTACATCCAATTCATGCGTGGGATACCGGTGTATGCGCCAGTTGAGTGCGGAGTGATGGCACTGAAGCAAATGCAATAGTCTTTGCAAGTATAGCACGCGTAGTACGTCCCAACTACCGTCTGAGTTGCACAAATAGTTAGTATGTGTGTCCTTGTAGATAGTCCATGCAGAACCTTACCAGCAAACAGGCTTCACAGCGCAGCAAGGTGCCCTTGCCGCCAATGAATCTCATCCTTTCTCGGCAAACCATTCTGTCGTATTTGATGCTGGTGATCCACCACTGGCGTTCGCTGCGCCCCATGGATTGAAGTTCATCCTCTGACGGCGTGGCAAGACTGACAATATCTTCGCTGTGGCCGTAGCTGAAGACTTGAGCGAGTTGGTAAGCTGTCCAGGAGCGAAAGGCTCCTTTGCCTTCCACCAAGCGGCTTGCACCGCACCGAAGAAGTTCTCGGACAATGTCGGCCAATTGGGTAGTTTCTGCTCCCCAATTATCATCTTGGCGCATCGCACAAAGTAGGGGGGTCCATCCATCGTGGTCGACTAGATTGACGAGATCTGGATTGTGGTTCAGGATGTATTTGACTACATCCAAATGTCCACCCAACACGGCCATGTGCAGCATGTTTGCGACCCAAAAAGTCTTTGGTATTGAGGCTGGCTCCCGCTTGAATAAGACATTCGATATAGGGGACGCCACGATATGCGGTGAAGTGAATTGGATGACGGCCCATGCCGTCGCGAATGGTGACTTCCTGGCCCAGTTTGATCAGCTTCTTGATAATATCCAGCTCTGCACCTCCCAAGATTGCCGCGCTCAGGGTGCTGCCGATCCAGATGGCTCCGCGCTGTAGTGAAAACTCCTCTCTGCCCGTCTTTAGAGAAAACCGGTCGCTGTTGACAGAATAACGCAAGATGGGCTGCTTTTGGCCATCATCGTCCCCTCGTTGAAGGGCAGGTGGCTTGGAAAGTTGTTCCCGGTTTCAAGTTGTACCTGTTAGTTGATACTAGATCCATACTCAACCAAGAGCTTTACCCATTCAAGACCCAGACCCGGCTCACGGCAGGCAATGTGGAGGGAAGAGCCGCGAAGACCCGTGCCTCCCTCATTGACATCAGCACCTTCCTCAAGAATCAGGTATCTTGCAACCTCCAGACTTTTGACCCAAAGGGCCTGGGAGAGAGGGGTGATGCCGTCCTCGGCCACGGCATTCATGGGATACCCGCGCTTAATGACGAGCTTGACCATCTCGACCGTGGTTCTCTCCCGAATCCAGTGAAGTGGCGTGTTCTCAGAATCAGTCTCGTCATCAACCTTCAAGTTGTAGAGAAACAGCTTCTTCAAGAACTCCGTGTTTGGGGTGTGTGGACGCAGAAAGCAACCAAGGGCGGCATTATCTCGCTCCCACCATACAAGGTCGGATCTGCTCCCGCATCCAACAGATCCTAGAAGAGGTCTTCGTGACCATCTCTGATAGCAAGCCACAACATCGTGCTTCTGCTCCATAATATGTTCACATCCTGTTTGTGCTTGAGAAGCTCTCTGGCAGCATCAAGGGCAGAGGAGCGAGTGACCGGCTCAATATCTTCAGACTGCAGATACTTGAAGTCGTTCTCTTGAAAATGGCGGAAACATCTATGTTTGACCGCTTGTCAGTGTTGACAGCTGTATCGAATTGCCGCACCATGTGAATTTTGCTTCCTGAGCGATGTTACCGTTAACATGACTTCAAAATCACATGGTGCTTTATGTACCTGAGCAAGTAAGCAGTCAACCGCTTGACCGGTACCTCTTCTAGGGTTATCAAAAAGAAAAGTGTTCCCGTTCATCTAGAAATTGGGGGCAGAATTGACTGACACAAACAGAAGAGTTTCCAGAAGAGCGGTCAATGCCGTTCATAGAGAAAAACCGGGCAGTGCCTGGCTCCATGACAAACAACTTTATAACCCCCCCTCCCCCACCACTCACAAAGTCCCATTAAAAGCTCTGAAAAACCCCAGCGGAAACCCATCCGCCATAGCCTGAAACCCCGCCACGTTAGGATGCAAATGATCCCCCCCATCAAACTGCCTCGCCAGCTGCGCCCGATTCCCCGGATCCCCAATAATCTTTGCAAAATCCACCGTCGCGTCAAACGTCCCGCTGTTCAAAATCCACTCATTCACCTTCACCCTCGTCTGCTCCCTCGTCGGGTTGCTATAGCTCTGCCCGCTCCCCGTAAACTGAGTAATCGTCCCCCCTATCGTCTTGATCCCCGCTGCTTTGCACTCCCTAACAATCTGCTGAAACGCGCTTTGCAACCTTGTCGCAATGGAGTTTTGAGAACCAGAGTCGGTGCCACCGCCGCCGATGTCATTCACCCCAATGAAGATCATGACATATTTCACGCCCGCTACTTGCAAAGCGTCGCGTTTGTACCGGGTGAGGAGGGTCGGTCCCAGACCGCCAGAGAGAACGGTGTTACCCCCCGCAGCCTGGTTGTTGACGCCGATGTGGTTGATTCCCTCTTTCTGCATACGTGCGATGAGCAGGTCAGGCCAGCGGTTGTTCCCGTCGTCGGTGCTGCCTCTCCCGTCGGTGATGCTATCCCCCAGGATCACAAACGCGGAGTGATCCTTTGGCTTCCAGGCTTCGACTGCGGACAGGAAGTACCAGTGCTTGGTGTTGGCTCCCCCGGACAGGGTGGCGGTGCTGACGCGGTTGCCGGACTGCATGTGCGAGGTTGTGCGGCTGCCAGGGTGGCCGGTGATGCTGCTGCCTGACTGGCCTTGCTGGGAGTAGAGGGAGACGGCGATGTTGGTCTGGGGGCCGACGGAAAACTCGATTGGGTCCGTGTACGCTACCTGGCCGCGGGGGACGACGATGGAGGAGGAGCCGTTGCGGAAGGTGAGGGGTTTGAGTGTTGCGGCGTCGATGCCGGCTACTCCGGCTTTGTTTCCGGCGGCGAGGGCGATGGAGGCGGCGGTGATGGGGAGGTCGCTGCCGCCGAAGGTGTTGCTGATTTGGATGCGGAGTCTCTCGGCGCCGATGGAGAGGTGGAGGGTTTGTCTGATGGTGGCATCGCGGAAGACGCCTCCGTTGGTCTGTGAAATGATTGTGTTAGTTTGGGCCGGATTGCGACACTGAAGAGAAACATACGAATTGCGAAGGTGGCATATTGTTAGGCTCAACCAGCTGAGGCATGGAAGTCCATGTTGCCACCCAGTGATTATCCTCCTGACGAGAGTTGAGTTCTCTCTCGTCCAACTCGGCGGTTGGAATAGCAGTAGCCCATCGTGCTGACACCAGCAGCAACGAAGAGGCAATTCTCGCCCACGAAGAAAGCATGGTGACCACTTGAGTTATTAATTTAGTCAAAGCTAAGAACACTCGCCCCTCCAAGACCTGGTGATTGTTGAAATGAGCATTTTGAAGCTCTTATACAACCCGCTGGTCCCGCCGGCGGATGATGAGTCCCCGAGGTTTAATTGTCGGTGCTAAGGAGAAGCTATCTAATTTAGCCACGAGGCAGAGTAGTACGGGGCCCAACAGATCCTCGTGCGGGCTGCGTAAGTGGGCTTAGATCGTGGTTATTTACCCAGCGGGAATACCGTGGCGGGCTTGGGTGATGCGGGTGATCTGCTGTGTCGTCCTTTCTGTATCGTGGAAAATCTGTGGGGAAGCGGGAAGAACAATGGAACCGAGACCATGAGCATTATGGTGGCATGTCAGGGGTAAATATCCCAAATCCATCCACACTCGAGTTTGTTGGTACTTCAAATGCATTGCGGACTTGAGGTATGGAATTAAGTTCGCGCCGTGTATAGTATTGCAAACTCAAACCCAATGCCGAACTTACTTCCTGGCCAGAACCCTTCGAGCTTTCTCATATTCATTTCTTCCTCTTGGTAACAATTGTCTGAACATTCTTGGGCTGATGGAACCACCGGTTGATCAGAGTCCATTCCTTCTTCGGGTCCACCAACTCGAAATCGTAATCGCGGATTAGTTCTGGAAGGGCCTTGTAGATTTCCATCATTGAGATCTGTAGTTTACATTAGCCAACTGTGCCCCAGTGGGAAAAGAGGTATATGCTCACATTCTTGCCCAAGCACATATGGGGGCCACCACCAAACTATTTCCAACAGAGTCAGTAACAGGAGCTAATAAAGGGTAAGTTGGGTCAAAGACTCACATTCAGCATGTGTCTCTCCAAATCAGCAGCATTACGACTTAACCACCTCTCCGGCACAAACTCATCTGCATCCTCTCCAAACACACCTTTATCACGCTGTACAATCTGAGGGTTGCATCCAACTTTCACCCCAGGAGGGAAGAACTCTCCCAGGAGCTCAACCCCTTCCTTGGGGGTGTACCGCGGGAACGACAGACCAAGACTGGCGTGGACCCTCATGCCCTCCTTGCAGCAGGCGTCAAAATAAGGCAGCTTGACTGCATTAGCATACCTGACTCTCCCAGACGAGCTGATCCGACCCTCGGCAACGGCCGTATCAATCTCATCTCTGAGCTTCCGGTAGGTTCTAGGATTTTTCGTGAGGTGATAAAGAACTGAGGTGATGGCACTAGCCGTGGTGTCGGATCCCGCGATGCTGTTGTACAAATGTCAGTATATTCACGCAAGTCAAAAGCGAAATTAACCCACATAGCGGTGTAAATCTCCCCTCTAATCTCCGGCGGACCAAAGTTATCCAAATCCCCATGCTCCTCCATCACTCGGAAGAAGCTAGCCAGCATATCATCCTTCTCCATCACGCCACCGCTCTCCTCCAGCTCCTTCTGTCGTTTCTCAACAGCCTCAACCCCCGCATCTGTCATCGTGTCCATCGCCTTGACAGCTGCCATCGCACCGGGGACGACAATAGAGGTCATCAAAACAAGACTGCGCATCCAGCGGGGCACAAACGCAGAGGCTGCCATGAATAAGATCAGCACGTCGGTCGCGTTGATCCAGCCCCTGTAATCCTTTTTGGTCTCCAGAAAACCAAACGGACGGCTGAAGAAAAGGATGCCAATCACGTCAAAGGCGTAGTAGCGAAGCCAGAGAGCCATGTCAGTTGGCCTGCCAGACTCGCTGGCGTCCTTGACACGTTGATAAAGAAGTTCGATACACTCTTCGATGGCTGGCTCGTAGCGGCCGACGTTGGTCATGGTGTAGACATGGTTGACCAGCTTGCGGCGCTCGCCGTGGGACTTGGGGTCTATGTTGCAGAAGTGCTCCGGGAATCGGGCTGTTTAATGTTAGCGTTGGCCGGTTTGTCATGATATTTCTGTTACATACACCATGGCATTGAGAAAGCCGAGTAAAACTCAGTCTAATCCTTATTGTTAGCAAAATCCTCTTACCCCTAGCACTCCAGGTTGAAAGGTATGGCAAACGTACCTTGGTAAAAGTTGTCCCGGCTCCATAGATGGCCTTGATAACGGTTGGGTCTGAGATAGACACCTCGTTCTCGGCGATGCGAATGATGGGACCTGAGTTGTTAGCTAACACCGTGTCTTGATATCAACAAATCAAAGGACAAGGCACTCAACTCACCATGTTTTTCGTGCCACTTTTTCAACGTGACCTCTAAGTGACCTGAGTACAGCTCCTTGATGATCCACAGTCTCGAGAAAGAGGCGAGAAAAGGACCCGGGTATTTGGAGTAGGGATGTAACCATCGACAGTAAATGATCCACCCAACGAACCAGGTGACCAGACCACCTAGTAATATCGACATGACTGCCATTACTGCCGTCAGTGGGTTCCGAGCAAAGTCAGATGATCAACAGAAGAACTGGAACTTTTCCCCATCTCCCTCGTCCAAAACAGCGGGCTCAACCTCCTGTTAAGAGGACTGATGAGCGGGCATCACTCTCGCCAAGATCAAACCCTAACTGTCTTACACACCCCCCAGTTCGGAGGACATCCTGCAGGGCCCTATCACCATTATATCGCTCCACCTTCGGCCTGCAGGTATCTTTCCCCTCTCCTGGTAAAGGTCTTGGCCCGCGTCTGCAGAAGATCTCGGTCAGGTTCGGAGGGTTGCAACCCAATGAGAGCTCACATGTCGAAATGGAAGCTGATCTTCATCGACATAATCGCCAGCCAGCTGGACGAGCTGGTGTCTCCTCACGGTCAACCGGGCGTCAATATTGCGTGATGCTCGACACTGCATACGAGCGGTTGGTCTGAAATCGCTCAATCATCGACAAGCCAAGGACGGGATACAGTTCTACTTGGTGTTGTTGGTGGTTATCATTGAGCCTTGTGTAACCACGCAAGACTGCCGGGCTGTGCCACACCAGTCCGCCGCCCAATCACAATCGTCCGCTTGCCATCCGAGAGACCGGAACTGGCAAGGCCCTTCTGCAGCATCACATCAAGTCAGTGGTTTCGAACTCTCAGAAGGGTGTTCAGTGTCGATAGTGTAAAGGTGCCATGAATTCCTCCTCCCCGGGCCAATCAACGGTGGCCCATATATGAAAGAACCTCAACTGGAGAACTACACTACTGCAGTCATCAAAGGAGCTCCCGCCACTTGATGGGCCGATATCCCACGATTTCGGCCGAGCTGTTTGACCCCGCAGCGCCAACACGGACGATGATACTGTGCTGCCTGAGCATGCGTCGCTGGGCCGTTGAGAGCTGTTTGAGGTGGGAAAACTTGGATTGTCCATGCCATTGTTGCTTCTGTTGGTAGCCAAAAGAGAACGTTCGAGTTGCGTTGGGTGTTGTGCAACTCCAGGGCCTGATCCCAGGAAACTTAAGCGCAATGTCCGGTGCCAAAAGAGTGGGGGAGCCGGGCATTTGTGTAACCATGGAAATGTAGAAAAGCGGCAGAGAATGGACTGGTTCAAGAGTAGCAGTGAGTAGTACAAACGGAAAAATGATCTTCACACCAAACGCAAACCCCATCCTTGCCTTGCAACACAACTTCACGCCCCCGCGTTTCTGCCTTGTGGAGGCATTCCTCGAGGGACACAAGGGTGGCCCTTGAACAAAAAGTCATGCACGCCAAGTGACAGCTAAAGAAAAGAGAGGCTTCGCAACCTCGGATATCATTCTGTGTGTAAGTAGCCCAATTGTACAGTATTAAAAAAAAAGGTAAACAGAAAAGACCTCGAACACAAAACAAACAGACCAGCCAGCCCCCAAATCCAGGCCAGCAAACGCAAAATGCAAACGCTTGAAATGCTGCCGATATTGCGGTTTAGTGCGAACCCATAATCTCGAAAATGCTCGACATGCTAGCCTTGGGTTTCAGGCTTCCACCCATGCCCATGCCCATGCCCATACCCATGTTACCTCCTGACAAAGACCCAAAGCCCATGTACGGTGTTCTGGTCGGTGATGGTTCGAGAAGGTCCAGGCCTGGCATCATCGGTTCCGGCTCGTCGTCTGGATGACGGAAAGAAAAGATCGAGCTCGACAAGCTGGGGAGGGGTGTTGTGGGCGAGGGCGTCGCCGTTGAGGTTTCGGACGATGACGAGTCGTTGAGGTATGCCAGTAGAAGAGCATGAAGCTCGGCCGTCGCAGTTGGGGAGAGAATTGTTGGCCGGTCGATTCGCTTGTAGGAACGAGGTCGGGACCCCAGTGCGGAGCCGGTTCCCGAACGTGCCGAATGGACCGAGAGGGGCCGGGTGGCCGTTTCGTTTTCGGGTAAGGAAAGCGTGATCAAAGATGGGAGCTCGGGTCTGGAGGAAGGCCGAGGGGACTCGTCGAGCGAAGGGAGACTAGTCGGTGAACTGGAAGGAGAAAGAGCGGGAGGAGAGAGCGAGGGACTGGTCGGAGAAGAAAAGTCGAGAGAAAGATCGAGCGAAGTGGACGGGAACGAGAAGTCCAGCGGTTCTGGTTTGTCTTTGAGTGGTGATGATATTATGGACTGCGGCCTGGGTTGTGGTGCCATGGAGAGCCTCTTGCTGTGCCGACGCTCCAACTCGGCCTGCAAGTTTCTGACGGGAGACGAAGCGCGCTCATATTTCTTGTTCGGTCTGCTGGGCCCCTTCTCGAACAAGGCAATAGCTTGGGAGACGGGGACGTTGCTTTCAGTGGTATGGTTGAGGTCGTCGAGCAAGAGCGAGAGGTCGGCTTCTTCGAGATCGCCCAACAGCTCGAAGACTCGGTCAATAGACGAGCGCGAACCGGTGCGCGCGTGTGTCGGCATCTTGAAGTATGTACGTGGTTTGTCGTAGTAGTGAATGAGGCGGTATAAAGAGCGGATAGAGCGCGATAGGCCCAAAAGGAAAAGCAAGTAACAGAAAAAGGCAGAGGGGAATATCAACAACGAAGGGAGCTCACGAAGAGCATCATGACATGGCGAGGGTTGAATTTGAATGGTCCCGAAGCGTAAAATGACCAGAAATTGGGACAAGACGCGCCAGCTGCAACGCCAATTCGCCAATTCAGGACGGTGGATCCCCCCGCAGACTCTGGCAGGGACTCAGTGGGCTTTTGGGCGGGCTTTTTGATAGCGACACTGTGCGCTAGCGTCACAGGATCCCAGCGCCCTGGCCGTGGAACCCGGGCCCGTGCTCCAGGAACGGCACACGATGAGGTGGTGCCCCTGAACAACCTGCACGGAACGTGCCATTCAGTTCGTCATCGCATCATTCGAAACATATCTTGTGACGCTCTCTCATCGCCGCCACCCCCAACACCCCCTCTGAACATTATCTATCTTCACGAGCCGTCCAGTGAGTGCTTCTTTCTCTGGTTGACTGCGACCGACTCTCGCTCGTCTCGGGGACGTTTCGTAACCATCGCTCTCCCTACCTACTTCAGGCGTCATCCCTCAATGGTGTCTGTGTTTGGGAAGAGCGGTTTGAAGACGTTAATGAAGGGAGTTTATTGCAATACCGACGCTGATCATGGAACAGTTGAAGATGGCGATCAGGTACATGACCTTTTCAGCATCCGTTGGATCAGTTGATGCTCCAAGAACCTGGAAAGCTGCTCAACAAATTCGATGTTGATAGGCAGGCCAATGCCATCTTTTATCGGCACGATGGTCTGGCGAGGATGACCTGCATTTGTTAGCGGCGGGGCTGTCGGTTAGCGTCTACACGCAACCTCCATGGTCTTCCGCTGCCTGCACCACATGGAAGCACCAGCACAACGTCGGCCCATTTTGGTTCTACTTTACCCAACAGCAACTACACTAACAAGTGGGATTTCAGTAGCGTAACCTACACTTACACTATGAGCTTAGAGGACAGACTGCCTGCTTTGTTCCCAAATACCATGGACTCGATACCCGGTCTATTGGACTCGGGGACCTGAGGCGGAGCAACGATCTTGGACTTCTGCGAGATATCGGGGATCAACAGACCGCCAGTCGCTCATCAAGTTAGAGTGTGCTCGAAACATGCAAGTTGGACGCATCATTGCTCACAATACACCTTCTTGGTCACGAATAGGAGGCAAACTTTACGTCTTAGTTGGACAGTGCCGTCTCAGTCGGGGATGATTGGAGTGCTTCATGGTAAAGGTGGTGGTCACAACAGCTCCGCTACAAGCTACACCTTGCTGGATCGATATGCCAAACCTGGAAGCGGAGTCCTGTCTTGCATTAGCGTGGGCTTCCTGGCCAGTCATCTCTGGATGATGTGCGGGAGTGTGGACTTACACAAGTGACGGACAGATATCCCCTGGCCGCACTAAGAACATATGTCAAATCATGAAGCGCTCCATTGCCAGAGCCACAATGCATGCAACCTGAAAGAGATCTCGGTGTCTATTTAGATCTGAAATCCGCACCATCGGCCCCGCTGCTTACCTTCCGCCATCGGCTACTCCCTCCGCCCAGGCATGGTATTGGTAATCGCAATAGCTAACACGAAGGACCATGTCTATTGTTGGTAGCACATCCCTGAAATGGGGACAAGTATCCCGCAAACACCCGCGATATGCGGGCATTTGCATGCTCACCGTGTTGCCAACAAGTGGCTGTTCTATGATAGATCATAGAGCTCTCCAACTTGAAATGCCTATAGATATCCGACAATTAAACCATCCTTCTCACCAGTCTTCCTTTTCCTTGTATCTACCTTGCTTGACAGGTACTGACCCTGACTCTACCAGTATGACGCTACTGCTATCTTTCAAACAACACTTCACGTACCAGCTCTTAGACTACCTAACCATACAGAGCACCATCCTTCTCCTACTTCTCGGCATATCAACCTACCAAGTTGTACACTTTCTGCGAGCAAGAAACAGACCACCACTCCCAACCAGTCCGCCTGGTGAGTTTCTTCTTGGACACTACCGGCTAGTCCCTGAAGATGCCGCTTTCAAAAAGTATGCAGAATGGTCAAAAGAGTATAGTACGTTGCCACTTTACGTTACAACCCCTCACAAAGGGATCAGTACCCGGTTGGGGTCTCTGACAGTATGCAGACAGCGATGTGCTCTTTTTTGAGACCTTTGGGACGAAGTGGATAGTATTGAACAGCTTGGAATCGGCAACAGAGCTGCTTGAGAAGAGAGGATCAAATTATGCGGATCGTCCGCGATTTGTGATGTTTGAGGAGTAAGTTCTGAAAACTAACCACACCTGAGTACCCCTTTTCAACACCCACCTTGATATAGAAACGCGGATACTTGGATCGAAAAGGGTTTACAGAATCAACATCGGTAATCGAGCTTTCAACTGATGGAGCCAACACACAGAATGGGCTGGTCCCCAACTCTCACATGGCTTCGCTGGGGGCCAAAATACCACCTTCACCGCAAAGTCTTACAGCCCCCTTTTGCCAAGTCCAAAGTAGGGCAGTATCAAGACTACCAGCTACGAGAGGCACTGATATGCTGCAAAAGCATGCTCGACGACCCGGAAAACTGGGTTATAGCCGTTAGACGGTTCGCAGTGGCCATCGTTTTGAAGATATCCTACGGGCTCAACGTCGATAGCCCGGACAGCCAGTGGATTAAACTGGCGGAAGAGTCAGCCGAAGCGATAGGTAAATCAGGGCCACCGGCAAGTTCGATCATGGATCGATTTCCTCTCAGTATGCTTTTTTCCTTCACTGGCATGTTGACCGTTGATACCTACTCATCAAATTTCCAGCAAGATACCTACCAACATGGCTACCCTTCATGGAACGCCTCCGCTACGCCCGAACCTGGCGCCACGCAATAGAAGACATCACCCGCCTCCCCTTCGAAGCAGCCATGTCCTCGCCCACCTCCCCAACCAAAAGCTTTGTCCACCACCGCATGGCCATCCACAACTCCAATCTCGAACGGTCTATCCCAAACGACTTCACCATCGAAGACATCAAAGGCGCCGCCGCAACGATAGTCATAGCAGGCAACGACACGGTATTTTCCCCTCCCGTCCTTTTCCCACCCCCTATTCTAACCTTTCCAGACCGCCGCCACATTGATGCTCCTGGTATTATACCTCCTCAAAAACCCTCACGTCCAATCCCTCGCCCATTCCGAAATCTCCTCCCTCCCCCATAATCTCCCCACTTTCTCCTCCCTCCCCTCCCTCCCCTTCACCCACCTCCTACTCCAAGAAACCTACCGCCTAAACCCCCTCTCCCCCCTCGGAATACCCCACTCCTCCATCCAGCCGGACACCTACAAAGGAATGTACATCCCACCCAACACAATCATTTACCAAAACATCTGGGCCATGAACCACAACCCCTCCATCTACTCCGACCCCGACGACTTCATTCCCGAACGGTACCTCCCCGTTGACCAAGGCGGCCGAGGTGAGCCCCTGCCACAGGGAAATTTCGGTTTTGGGAGGAGGGTCTGTATAGGACGACATCTGGCGGAGAATAGTCTGATGATAGTTTTGGCCACGATACTCGCGACGATGGAGATTGGCGAGCCGGAGACGGGGGAGGTGGGTGAGGAGTGGAGTTTTAGGGGGCAGGCGTACGTATTTCCTGATGTGAAAAGGTGGGATGATTGCTGACAGGAAACAGGATTGTAATGCCGTTTAGGGCTTCGTTTAGGCCGAGGTCGGACAAGATGAAAGAGTTGTTGGATGAGGCTGTTAAAAAGTTGGATGAAGAGGAGGGGGAAGATCGTTAGTTAGTTGGGTTATCGTGAAGGTGGTGCTCGTGGACGTGACCCAAGTATTAAAAAGTATTCTAGCTCGTTGTATCGACAGTAACGCTCCATATTTACCGGATCCCAAGCCCGAGCCATACCCAATATATGTACAAAAAAGAGTATGGCGCTCTGCACCGAGTCCAGTCTGGTGTGCAGAGTCCGCCGGGTATCATTAGTTAAGTGTAATATTTCCCCTGAACTGAACAAATGAACGCCGTCATAGCTCATGATCATCATTATCGCCCCCTGGGACGAACGAGTCCCCTGGCCCACCAGTCCCCTCGTAGCCCTGCATCGTCTTGCAGTCAAGATAGTTGTTCTCGATAAACGGAGTGGCGATTTGCACCCCGTAGATCTCTGTCCACTCCTTATCTGCCCCTTGGAACAAGGCATTCGTCCTCGCCTTGACACTACCCAGCACAGCCCTAGGTGCATATTCCCCAGTCGACATGGTCGTGTTGAACAGTCTGATCATGTTGTCGCATGTCGTACCATTGGCAAAAGTCGGCTGGTTGGTGATGTTCTTGAACAACTCCATCGGGTACGGGCTGAGGTTCAACGGAAGGCGCTTCATTTCCAACTCGATAAACTCGGCCGAGTTCACGCTTGAGCCCTTGAAGTGCGTGGCGCCGTTGGGTAGTGTCTCGTAGGCGTCGCAGAGAGGCTCGTACTCGGCTGGAGAGACAATGGTACCATAGGCTCGTGATCCATCCAAAGCAATGTCGTTGGTAGAACTGATAAGCTGCGCTGGTGCCCATCTGAAGGAGGAATACCCATCACCCATAAAGTCGAGGAACGGAAACTCGAACCCAACACGCTAAGAATAGTTAGCTAACCCGGACCAATCGTCTTTGTATTTGAAACAAACACACCGAAAAGTCCTCTATCGTGATGCCATATGCCCTGAACTGAACATCGTGATCGTGGGCGGCTTGCAGCATGACAGGGTACATGCCCTCTGGAAAGTCTGGCAACAAAGATCGATAAGCCCCCTCGAGGATCCGGTACTGTGGTGGGATCAGGCGGCGAGCTGACTCGAGGGAGATAGGAATGATGGCCAGCGTGGCATTGAGAACTCCGGTTGCACTGTTTGGGAATGATTCGGCGAGTATGTTCGGGAGGTCTTGCGAATAGCATACGCCGCCATTTGCCGGAGCTGACTTCCCAAGGCTGAGGAAGAGTGATGATAGTACCAGAACAAAGGCGGCCGAGATTGGCAGGATAGAAAATGGGAACGCCATGTTCGATCAATGCTGCTTTGCCGATGATTTCCAAGGGCTGTGCAAAGGGAAATATGAGGGGGACGTAGCGAATCCAGACAGCACCCGCTTACCACCACACAGGACTCAACCAAAGTTGAGTAGAAAAAAGAGCAATATTAAAAATCAATCGCAAATGACATAACAAGAGGGAAAGAAGAAGACCCAAAGGAGTGTAGGTTCATGAGATGCGATCACCCAGACCTTTTGAGTGAAGTGCACTTCATTGTCCTGTCCCTCCCATTGCCCCTGGGCGGATGGGCGCTGGGCCCGGGGGAAGCAAGACAAGCTCCATCCGGGATCTGTTACATGCCTCCAACCTTGACATTTCGGACGGGCCAGTACATCCGTTTCGGAAGGGGGTGGATGCGAGACCAGCTCTTCCCTGACGGGAGTGCGTGGGCCAAGACCAGATCTCCAGAGTGCCCTTGGGGTGCCCCCCTGTCCACGTGCACTCCCGAGAATGGCAGTTTGGGAACATTTCACATGGCCCACGGGACTGGCGACTGGCACAGCGAATTGGATGGGAGCACCAACACACTTGGAGGCGCGGAAGTCAGCGTTGCCGAAGGCTAACAGCGATAGTGGACGACAACTGGCGACCAACAGCCTGCTGCCCGCACGCCATGAGGAACATGAGGGAGATGCGGATAGCGGCCTAAAATGGGCAGAAAGAGAGAGAAAACGGAAAGTGGGCGTTACGCAGGGCGGGAACACCCAGTGTCGTGCCTAGGAGATCAAAAAGAAAAGGTCCCTGGGCCTCGGGGGTAGGCCGTGTTTCGTCCCGGATGCTCAGTGTTCCGGCGCACGCCGCAAGACCCTCCAAAAGTCAGCCCGCCAATTGGAGGTCATCTTTTGCCGTTGTTCCGGCGTGTTTCTGCGGGATTCTCGGCGGCATCATGAAATATCGATTCTTCGGCATGTTTCGGTGAAAACAATAGCGCTTTTTGACATGTCGTCAATCTTTGGTGGTGTTGTTGAAGTCAAGACTGAGATGCGTGGTCAAGGTTGATGGGCAGGTGGGAGATGCAAAGATGCGGGAGGTGCACGGGCCACTGAAGACTTGGAGCTGCCTGGCTACATCGCAGCTGCAAGCGGCCCGGCGAACTCAAGATCCGTTCTTCGTTGTGGACGGCAAAAAAAGACAGCGCAGATCAAAATCTCTGTTTCCTCCACGGGATGAGGAAAACAATCCATCAAGAGAGGATATTTTGGGCAATTCCGATATGTTACCCTCGCGCTACACGCCAGTTGTCGCCTCTTTGTCGATCTGTTCCAGAAGGTGTGAGGGCAATGTTTCAGGAACGCTACAGATCCCTCACCTCCTGTCTGGCAGCTGTCCCGCAGCCGGTGACAACTGTCTTCAAGGTCCACGAACACTTCTCCCCAGCTCAAAACACACAAGCCACTAGTCCGGCACTTGGTGGACCGACAAGACAAGAGTTTTGCTAGTTCGTCTAGTGGATGTCGTTTAGCTATTTTAAGATCTTTATCCAACAAGAGACAGCCCGGGAGATCCCAGCGGAGTGACATCCCGGAGCCGACTCGCACCAACATGTTCGGACGAAGGCTGTGATCAATCCACCATGCTGAACCAGGTGTTGACTCTAATGGGCGGGCATCATGGCATTGATACGCCAATATTTCACTATCACTATCCTGATTCTCACCCTCATCCGAATCTATGGCTTTCGAGATATCAAAGTCTTTAGGGTCCCGCATGTCAGGCTCTGTTCTTTGGTTGGAGGATACTTCTTTCACGTGGCTATCAAGAGTCGCGAGGCATAGCATCACTCTGTTGGTCTGTTTGTTAGAGTGACCGGGAATAGGGGCATTGCGGACTTACTGACCACAATATGTACTGCAGCTCAAGGCAGATGACACTCGCAAGACAGTGGTCTGAAGGTCAAATGGCCTTGTGAGGCGTTCTCAATGATGGATGAGGCATCTTGGTACAGTTCGCGTGACTTATCAGCGTATTGATTATGAATTGGCAAGCAAACGGTCCGAAACCCCCTCAGCACCTTCAGTTAAGCACGTTACACTGTTGAGTTTGTGCTTAAGATGGATACTATTTCGTCTGTCGGCAATCGGACTTGTGGACCCAACGAGGATCCCCAAACAGAAAATGACCCAGATTCATATCACTCTCTCTTCATCTGTTTATTATCTCGAGGTATGAGGTCTCACGATTGACAAGCCTCCCCACTAAAAATGGTATCATGACCTAGTGAGAAAACTCGTGCCACCATGAATGACGCCCTCACAAATCATCCGGCCCCATGTGAGCATGGCATCACAGGCCAGCGATGAAGTCGGCAAGCTTCTTGAGTGAGTATATAGACTCTCCCAGTCAACCCCTTACAGCTAGAACTCTCCTCGTTCCAACAGTATTCACATCCATACAAGCACACACCCAGAGCCTCGACACAGTTCATATCAAGAGCATTCCTCATCTTCACACCCACACTCACATCAAACCAACTTTTTCTCCAAGGAGATTCACCAAACACAATCAGCAATTTCACCATCACTAAAGCAGCAATGTCTTCCGGCGGCGGCGACAACTATACCTACAAGGGCAGTCACGGCGGCGGCAGCTCTGGCGGTTACGCGCCTGCCATCCCTACTCATCGAAAGAAACCACGCTCTCCCGGACCCCACCAATGAGGAGGCCTGGAAATTTCCTGGTCATAACGACGGCAATGGTGGCAACAAAGGGCAAGGGAGGTCACGGCGGCAACAGTGATGGTAATGGTAATGACAATCGCCAGGGGGGCGGGGGCGGCAGCGGTGTCAGGACCTAATGTGGCTGGAGTTGAACTCTCAACAATAATGCTTAGGCAGTTCGGGGTATTCGCTGGGAATGGACTGGATCTCTAATAGAACTGGCACATTTTGGTGTTTTGGGGTAGTTTTTGGTGGGTGAGGCAGATGCAATAGTTTTCTTGTCGCTTGGAAGGCAGTTGATTTATTCTCAGAATTCGCGTTTGTGTGCCCTGATTATCAATTTTTCAATGTCGAGATGTGCGCATTATCGTCGTGATTGATGTAGGGATATAGTTTTGAGACAGTGTATGACTAGAGAGTGTGTTGCATATGGGCGGTGTTTGAATACAACATCTTGTATTATATTTCATCACGCTTGGTGATTCGCAACGCTGATTGGCTGGAGCTGAAAGGGGTTACCGTAATATTCATGGTTGTACGCCAAGCACCTGAAATCACAAGGTTCACAGTTATTTTTCTTTATGTTATTAGGCCGCCTTAAGGATAGCTCGCTATGACTCGGCTTGAAGAGGAAATGATCAATTTCACGACTCATCTATAAATTCTGTGTTCAAAGCGTGTCCGTAGACAGTGTTCTTAAAAATTCCTTCACTTTACCCTCCCATCTGAACTTCGTTTGCGAAAGTCGACATCATGGACGCCGGTCGTGGAGACTTCATGGCCAAGTTTTTCGGCGAGATCATGCCCATGATCGAAGCTGCCCGCCCTGTCGCCAAAGTCTCAGCGCGTTTCGCCAACCAACGAGCATATAGCAAAGGGACCACCGCCGAGGAGCAAGAACCCAAAGATGGCATCCTCACCACTCTGTCCCAGATCAAGGCAACCGGATCGTTCGCGTCGTTCAAATCTGTCTTTGACCCTTTCGAGCGTCGTCTCGTTGTCAAGAACGTTGGGCCAATCAAGTTCCCAATTACCAAGTTATAGACACGCCAGTTGATCAAGAGAGCTCGTCAGGCCCCTTACGACAAAGGCAACAAGACCCTCGTCGACACCAGCGTCCGCAAGACGTGGGAACTGGATTTCGCATTTGGAAGACGCAGACACAGAAAAGAGCGAGATCACTTTGGACCACTCACCCGGCCCGTGGAAAGCATGGCGTGAGTTCAGTAACGCAATGCTCAAGGACATTGCCACCGACTTGGGCATTTCCACCACCTCCGGCCAGTCCATCTATGCGGAGCCATACAAGTTGCTCATTCACGAGGAAGGCGCCATGTTCAAGGCGCACACCGACACGGAGAAAATCCCCGGCATGTTCGGCACCCTCATCATTTCTCTCCCGTCAGCCCACCAAGGCGGTGACATTGTTCTCAAATACCAAAGCCAGACCACAATCTACAAAACCTCCGAACACAAGCAATCCTGGGCCTGCTGGTACTCTGACGTCTCTCACGAAGTCCTCCCAATCCACTCAGGCTACCACATCGTCCTAACCTTCAACCTGGCCATCAGATCCGCAGGTCAAACCACCACCATCCCCCGTCCCATGGCCCCCTGACTCTTCTCCCAGGCAGAACCCCTCCGTCGGGCAGTCACAAAGTGGCTCCAGGAACCAGCACAACCCAAAGCCCTGTTCAACGTTCTCAGCTACACCTACACCCCCGCCTCCCACTCCATGCACCACCTCAAATCCCTCGACCTCCTCCAAACCCAAATCCTCCACCACCTCTCCACCTCCCTCCCCTTCAGCCTCCACCCCGTCGCCCTCGAACGAGAAGAATACGTCACCTGCTCCTACGACTCCGACTGCGAGCTCCCAAGCGGTAAAGTCCGGCGCGTCAACCTCAACGCCAAGCGCCCCAATCCCAACATCAAGCCCTGGCACGACCCAGATGACATTATCAGCGAGGAGCACAGGATCAAGTGGCTCGTCGATCTGGACGGCAAACCCATTGAGGGGGAGGACCTTATCTTGACAGAGGGGAATACCCTTCAGAAGAGACCGTTTGATAATATTACTGGTGAGGAGACAGAGTGGACGGGGTACATGGGGAATTGGGGACCAGAGCGACCCATTTGTATCGTGTCACGGCGTTGGTTTTGGTGGCTACGGGGACGGTTCCTGTTTCTGTGGATGATGATGACGAGGAGAATGTCACACCGGGCGTCGCGGAATCTGGGGCTGCGGCATCTGGTATTGATGTACCAGCGGCTGCTGCTCCCGATGTTGCCACTCCCGGTGTTGCTGCCACCGCCGAAAACGGTAGGCATATTCCGGTGCCCGTTCCTCCCTCACGCATGGTTGGTGCAGTTCGCCCGAGTACCATGCGCAACGGTTATGTTCCCCTTGAAATAGTCAGAGACGCGGTTAAGCGCGCTCGAGAGGAGTTGGGCATGGAATCCGTAATCATCGGCGAAATGCATTTTCCTTTTCTTTTTGGATATCAACACATGAATTTGACAACAAACAAAGCATAAACTTCACACACCTACACATAGAACTCTAATTAGAACCTTTTCACCTCCATATAACAGTCTCCCTCATTTAGACTTTTTACATCACCCACAAACCTACTTTACCATTTCCATGACATATCCCCCTAAACCCTCTCTCTCACCACACCCCCCGTCACATTCGCCGGTCCATCCCACTGCAACCTCCCCGGCACCCTCTTCGCAATAACCGGCACCCAAACACTATCATACAGCCCCGGCCCCCCATCGGCCGCCCTACTCCCCGGCTCCAAACTTCCCAACTGCCTCTGATCCGTACAACACGGGCTATTAACCCCCCAAAACGGCCCCGCCGCCCAAGCCGTCCACCCAATATACTCCTCATTCTCCTCCATATACCCCAGCATCCCCTCCAACATCAGTTTACACTCCGTCGTATTCGAACCCCCAAACTCAGTAACAAACCCCTTCAACCCATGCTCCCTCAACCAACCCGTCACCCCCGCCAAGTTCGCCACCGGATCCTGCGTACAAGCCGTATGCCCCCCGCTAAAATCCTCATCCAAATACTCATGGATATCCACCGCCAGGTTTTTAATCGGGTCGACAAGTTTGTGAATCCATTTGCTGTTTGCCTCGTCACCTCCCTTTGTCCAGTAATGCCCACCCGACCAGGCGTTTCCTGGAGTCAAAATCATGTTGTTTGCTCCCGCCGCGCGGATTGCCGTGATGGCGGCTTGGAGGTTGGAGAAGACGAGCCGGGAGGGCATGCTATGCGGTTCGTTCATTAGACCGAACAAGACTTTTTCGTTGGTTTTAAAGCGGGAGGCGAGCTCGCCCCAGAAGGCCGCAAACTGGGCTGTTGTCGCGGCGGTGGGGTCGGAGGTGTTGCCTATGACGGAGCCGGAGAAGGGCTGGGAGGAGGGGTCGTTGTAGCGCATGTAGTTGTGGGGGTCGAGGATGGCGTCTGTTTCTGAGGTTAATGATGGTGAAGGAGAAGGGGGGGGGGAGGAGAGAACATACAAGCGCCCTTGGTGATGGTGATGTAATCTATCGCCTCTTTAAAGTGCTCAAAGTGAGTCTCGTTGAACTTTGCCCCGAGGCCGTAAGACAAGGGGCACATCCTCTCAAGGAGAAAGGCAACCCGGTGGAGGTTGACCTTGTGGCTGTCGATCATGGTGTCGACGCCAGAGGTGGAGATGAAGGCGTAATCGACGCCGAAACGGCCGGGGAGACCGGTGCCGCGGGTTTGGGTCGGACTCCAGGCGCCGAACTCACCGCTTGATTGGGCGACGCCGGCGAAGTAGATCGTTGCGGATGTTGCTGGCAAAGCAGCAAGAGCTGCCAACGTTGGCGAGAACTTCATTTTCAATCAGTACCAAGAAAGATGTCTTGTTGCCGAAAACTGACGAGTCCCGGGAAGGAAGCAATCAGTGAAGAAGGTGTCCGACTTTCAAACATTTTCATCGTGCTTGCCACACGACCATATAATTTTAGTAGTAGCCGCAACGAAGCGGGATGAACGAGCGGGTGCAATCTATTTTCTGGAAAGCTTGACCGTGAGCCGAAGTCGATCCCCGATCTCCCATCTACTCGGGGCATGTTGCGGCTGTTCTTGTCGAATGGACGCCCGCTTATTGATGTGATCTTCAGAGGACAATCAATGGGAATGCGAGCTTGGCAAGGATGTGGTGATAACGGCGAGTTGGGAATGGCGGTTTTGGCTTCTGCCCTCGGAGAAATATGAAGCGGGCAGTCGCGAGGGCGGAGGGAGCCTTTCCGGGTGTGGGTAAATCTGCTGCGGTTGCCGTTGACGCGTACAAGGAGTGGCAGAAAACATCATCGTCACCATCATCACCACCACCACCAGACATAGAGTCAATCAGGACAAAAAAATAACAAAAGCTCACCGGCCAACTCCGTAGAGGTGGCCGGCTACGAAACCCTCGGTAGGGTTTTCTTCGTAATGGGGGGGCGGTCGAAGGGGGGTCAAATTCCTTGAAGGCCATCTTAAAGACAGGGCATCACTGAGGAGTCGAACTTAGGCGTTCACGGAGCAGTGCTTTCATACCGGGCATTGTTAGTTGCCTAATCCGGGCCACCTATGTCTTACCCGCTGAGCCATCTGACCATTCCAGTTACCAGATGAGTGCGTAGGTGGTTGCTGAAAGCTACTTCCAGGTTGCGGGCACTGATACATATACCGTCAGACACTGTTGCGCCCTCGTATGTCCTCCACGCCACTCGCAACACAAACGCTGGTCAGTTTTCATTGCAGGTTGCTGCGGGCAAAGATCCTGACTGCCTTTGTGTTTTATCTCTATGAACCTGGCTACACCGAACCCAGTCGTCGACTTTCAATCTCCCACAGCTGCATTGCGCCTCAGACCTTTCGCAGAGACCCAGGCCCGATCTTTCGACAGACTTTAAGGCCCAGCCCGATTGGCATTCGGCGCAGCCTCACTCCAAACCGGCCCACCAGGAGCCACATATTGTGTCTGCCCCTGCTGAATCCTCCACAGCTCAGCCAAGATCTATTAGAATACCTGTCAGCCTCAAATCCGCCACCAGCATACATCGTCCTCAATAGACTTACACCAGGGTCTTCGGGCTTGTAAGCACCCGGCAGAGCAATTCCTGCAGGCAATTGCGTCGTCCCACCTTGTGTCACCCGAATCTGAGTGCAGCTTGGATAGAACTGCGCGCCCATCCTCGTCCCTGCAACGTGCAGGCCCAGAATCTCGTGACGAAGAAGATATTCACCCGGAGCTAGCTTCGGTGGGATAGTGACGGACCACTTGGCGCCTTGTTCGCGAAGGAGGTCAGAGGCCCAGGGCGGATGACCTTGCGGGTTGTAGGAGAGCTGCTCGATCTTGACCCAGACGTTGCCGGTGTCGCCTTTGAAGGTCTTGCAATCGTTGTTGGCACATTTGGCGAGGTAACTGGGAAAACAGCCGTTAGGCGAAGATGGGATCAGTGTTAGAATGGGGAAGCTTACGTGAATACGGGGCCACTGTGGGAAGATCCCCATTGATCCCAGTTGAAAGTTCTAAGACAGTTGTGGTAAGTTGGGATGGACTTTGACAATAGACAAGAAATACATTAGCACTTACACTTTGTCACCAGCCTTGAGCTCGATGATGCCCTGAGCTGGAATATTTCCACCAGCACCACACCTGGCGTATCATCAGCGGCCTAAAAGTCAAAGTCAGAAGTGGGAGATGGCTTGGACATACGTGATATCATTCGTCGTAAAATCGGGCACCGGTCCATTGTTGGCAAGCTGTCGTGCATAGCGGACAGGAGGAGGGTTCACGTAGTTGTCCTGTCCAACCTGCCACGCGAGATAGTTCTTTCCGTCCACGGTGATGCTCTTCAGGAAGCCATGTCCTGATACAAGGCTTGCAAGGCCAACGACCAGGGCCACAGTTGAAAGAGGTGTCATTTCTGTGATGTTAACGTCAAGACCTGGGATGTCCTTCAACTTGAGCAAGGAAAAACCTCAGCAGAAGAACTTGATCGAGAGACAGTCCTCCTTATACCTGGATCTTCCTCAGTCCAAGTTGATCCATGTCCAGGAATTGCTGTCATTCCCAGTGTCAATCACAGATCAAAACAGGTCAAGTCCATATTTTGAGACAGTTCGAGAGAGTTGATTGGCCAAGTCACTTCCTAACGGAGTAGCTCTGTCCGCGGTCGTCAACGCTGTGTTAATCACCGACAAGTAGTCTGAACGGCTTACAGCCAGCACCTGACATGTTGGGACGCGGCGCTTGGGTGGCCGTCATTGGAGGGATTTCTTGGATACCGGGTAGCCTCGTTCCCTTCACCAGCCGCAACCGCCACACCCTTGGTGGCGGCCTTGGCCATATCACGATACGCTTGGCAAGAATCTAGTGGTGAGAGGTATGTGTAGTCAAGAGGTGCTCTGGTCATAAGAGGACCACCGATATCGAAACTCAGAAAAGAAGTCACCGAGCAATATTGTCATCCTGATGAAGATATCTTGTCCTGGCACGCTGATGAAATTGAACGCCGGGACGGTGGTCGTTAGCTGAGACCACTTTCGGTCAAAACCATCAGTCTTTATGATATCATCATCTCAAGGTCTTCAACAATCCGTCAAGGCCATAATGAAACACACAATGAGCTAGCAAGCCGTTGTACCGTCTACTATAATCGCCGGTCAGCGTTCAAACTTGTCAGGAGATGTCAACCCCAGCTTGTGCTACACCAGATGATGGCTACAAATCGCGCATATAGGTACTCGTCGTTGGCCCGAAAAAAACGTACCAAACATGCACCTTCACCCCCCTCTCAACTTCTCGAAGATTGGAAAACGGGCCGGCCTGATGCCAGACTGGCGCGTGGATGGTTCGTGGAACGCTGAAGATGCACGGCGCCAAGACTTCAAGTTGGCGGACACATTGATCCACACTTGACGTGCTGTGGGGCCATGTCTCCACCTTCCCCATCCCCGCAATCTTTCGTCTTGAACCAAACAGAGGGCGGCGTCGACATGCAGCCAAGCTCGCACAAAGCATCTTCAACATGGAGCTCGTGATGGAGACTCATCCGTGATCCTTCCTCGGGATGGATGGAGTGAACCCCACGGCAACCCACCTCGTAAACCCGTCGCATCCGACCCGAGGATGAAGCATGAGATGCCGCCGGGTATTCTGCCAGCCATAAGACGGTTGATGGCAATCACGGAACACGCATCGGGACATCAAATCGACCCCTCATCAAGGGCGGGGTAGCACACGCCCCCCCTAAGAGGCACCGTGCAGTGCAGGAAGCAGGGACAGATGGAGTGGAGAGGAACTGAAAGGGATGTTTAATACCAATGACCCCTCTGCCTGCCCTCCACTGCCCTGTGGGACAAGAGAAATCTCTTTCCTTCCACTCAATTCATTGTTTTGACAGCAGACGACCAAGTGCTGCTGATGTTGCGCAAGCACGACAGACAGGACCGTGAGACTCCTCCAACAAAGCCTCCGTCCCACACCCAGTCGTCCACGTCGTCCTCCCCTCATTGCGCCTGCTCCGCCGACCTCGCTACCTACCTTTGGTGTCATTGTTGTCAGAAGCCAACCTGCCCTGAATGTGAACAAATGACCCAAAGATCCTCGATCTGCCTCGATAGCGTAACGGGTCGCGCGCAGACATAATGTCGAGGTCCTTGCTCCAGCCGGCGCTGGCTTGCAACACCGCGTCTTGCATGCCTCGTCCCTACCAACACTCGCGCCCCGTTGAACGCGCCTCTAGGCCGTCATTGACAGCAGTAGCTCGTGTTTTCGGTGAGCCGCCACGCTAGACCCCCACGCCCAACCCTTGAAGTTTGTTCCTTTTCATTTTTGTGAGCCATTTGAACCTAATTCGACCTGACAGACTTCGCCCCAGTCCGCGCTGGCAATGGCAGCACCGCCGTGATCTCACAAAAGGCGTGGCACAGCACGAGAACTGCCGGAAGTGATCGGCCGAGTTCGGCCTCGTTGAGTCTTGCTCTCCCGAAGGCTCAACCGCTCCAGCTCGTCCGCCATGCCTCCGTTTTGTCCGGCATCCCGGCTAAGCCGTCGGCAAGGAGCCCAATGGCAGCGTACTCCACCGAGGCAACGGCAGTTCTGCCGCCGACCACCCCGTACTCCAAGCTGACTGTGGGAGTGCCCCGCGAAATATACCCAAACGAGCGCCGTGTGGCTCTCACCCCTCAGAATGTTGCCCTCCTGCTCAAGAAGGGCTTCTCCCAGGTTCTTGTTGAGAAAGGTGCTGGTGCCGAAGCCGATTTCCTGGACGATGCCTATGCCGCCGCCGGTGCTACCTTGGTTGACGATGCTTCTGCTGTCTGGAAAGGTTCAGACGTTGTGCTCAAGGTCCGAGGGCCAAGTGCGGAGGAGGTTGATCTGACACGAGAAGACCAGACCGTTATCAGCTTCCTTCAACCGGCCCAGAACAAGGCACTCGTGGAGAAACTCGCGGCTCGCAAAGCCACCTCATTCGCTATGGATCTTATTCCCCGTATTTCTCGAGCTCAGGTCTTTGACGCCCTCAGCAGCATGGCCAACATTGCTGGGTACAAGGCGGTGCTCGAAGCATCCAACAACTTTGGTCGTTTCTTAACTGGTCAGGTCACTGCTGCTGGTAAAATCCCGCCCTGTAAGGTTCTCGTCATTGGTGCCGGTGTTGCTGGCTTGAGCGCAATTGCAACTGCAAGGAGACTCGGTGCAATCGTTCGTGGATTCGACACTCGGCCTGCTGCAAGAGAACAGGTTCAGTCGCTTGGCGCCGAGTTCATCGAAGTTGAGATCGAAGAAGATGGCTCTGGTGCAGGCGGTTACGCCAAAGAGATGTCGAAAGAGTTCATCGAGGCCGAGATGAAGCTTTTTACCGAGCAAGCCCGTGAAGTGGACATCATCATCACCACCGCCCTGATTCCTGGAAGACCTGCGCCCAAACTCATCACCAAAGCCATGATTGAGATCATGAAGCCTGGATCTGTTATTGTCGATCTTGCTGCTGAGGCTGGTGGAAACTGCGAAAAGACCGAACCCGGAAAGCTGATTACCTACAAGGATGTCAAGATCATTGGTAAGTCGTGGCACGGGAGCAGTACCCGAGGTTGCTCGTGACTAAAGTAAGATAGGTTACACCGACTTCCCCTCTAGGCTACCGACCCAATCTTCAACTCTGTACTCGAACAATATCACCAAATTCTTCCTGTCCATGGCACCGAAGGATAAGGAATTTGGCATCGATCTGAAAGACGAAGTCGTACGCGGCGCTATTGTGACACAAGAAGGCCATATTCTTCCGCCAGCACCCCGACCAGCACCTCCCCCTGCTCCCGCCGCTGCCTCGACTGCCGCAAAAGAAACTGAAGTCGTAGCACTTACACCATGGCAAAAGGCAACTCGTGAGGTTTCTCTGATCACTGGTGGTATGGGCTCGGCTGTCGCATTGGGCAAGTTCACTACTCCCTTGTTTATGGGCAACGCCTTTACCTTTGCTTTGGCCTCTCTCATCGGATACCGTGTTGTCTGGAACGTCGCTCCTGCCTTGCATTCACCTCTCATGAGTGTGACCAACGCCATCTCTGGAATGGTCGGCGTTGGTGGTTTGTTCATTCTCGGTGGAGGATACTTGCCTGAAACGATCCCTCAAGTCTTTGGTGCCGCCTCTGTCCTGCTCGCTTTCGTCAACATTGGTGGTGGGTTCGTCATCACAAAGCGCATGCTCGACATGTTCCGCCGTGCTACTGATCCTCCCGAGTACCCGTGGCTTTATGGAATCCCGGCCCTCGTGTTTGGAGGTGGCTTCATCGCTGCGGCCTCGAGCGGAGCTGCAGGCCTTGTTCAAGCTGGCTATCTTGTGAGCTCGATCCTTTGCATCACCTCTATTTCGGGTCTTGCATCGCAAGCAACTGCCCGTATGGGAAATATGCTGGGTATTTTGGGCGTCGTGTCCGGTGTTCTCGCTTCCTTGTTGGCAGTCGGCTTCACCCCTGAAGTTCTCACTCAGTTTGGTGGTCTTGCTACGATCGGAACAATCTTGGGCTTCCTCATCGGCAAGCGCATCACCCCTACCGATCTTCCTCAGACTGTCGCTGCCCTGCATTCCGTGGTCGGCCTTGCTGCCGTCTTGACCAGTATCGGAAGCGTTATGGCTGATGTCACTGACCTCTCGATGCTTCACATGGTAACTGGCTATCTTGGCGTCCTCATCGGCGGTATCACCTTCACCGGATCGATTGTTGCCTTCATGAAGCTTGCCGGTAAGATGTCCTCTAAGCCGCTTCGGCTGCCAGGTCGTCATGCCGTCAACGCCGGTCTACTCAGTGCGAATGTGGTCACCATGGGCACGTTTGTCACCATGGCTCCTGGCGCCCCTCTGATTGCCGCCGGTGCCCTTGCTGCCAACACCGTACTCTCGTTCATCAAGGGTTACACCACAACTGCAGCCATTGGTGGTGCCGATATGCCTGTGGTCATTACCGTCCTCAACGCATACAGCGGCTTTGCGCTGGTCGCCGAGGGCTTCATGCTGAACAACCCTCTCTTGACCACAGTTGGAGCACTCATTGGCGTCTCCGGTTCCATTCTTTCTTATGTCATGTGTGTTGCTATGAACCGTTCACTTGTCAACGTTCTGTTCGGAGGAATCTCGGCGCCCACCACCAGTGACTACAAGATTGAAGGGAGTGTGACACAGACCAATGTCGAAGAGACAGCTGACGCCCTCACCAATGCCGAGTCCGTCATCATTGTTGTTGGGTATGGCATGGCTGTTGCCAAGGCGCAATATGCTATCTCGGATATCACCCAAATGCTTCGGTCCAAGGGCATCAAGGTCCGCTTCGCCATTCACCCCGTTGCTGGTCGCATGCCGGGCCAGTGCAACGTCTTGCTTGCTGAAGCCAGCGTTCCGTACGATATCGTGCTGGAAATGGATGAGATCAATGACGACTTTGGAGAGACGGATGTAACCCTTGTTATTGGTGCCAATGATACAGTCAACCCGATTGCTTTGGAGCCTGGTAGTCCGATTGCTGGAATGCCCGTCTTGCATGCGTGGAAGAGCAAGCAGGTGATTGTCATGAAGAGAGGGTTGGCTAGTGGATACGGTGAGTTTGATGGGACTCTTCTGTGGCTGGGCCCGATGACTGACGATTGTTAGCTGATGTCCCCAACCCGATGTTCTACATGCCCGGCACGAGAATGCTGTTTGGCGATGCTCGTGTGACCACTGAAGGTACGACCCTCTCTTATTGCTCCATAATCCAATCGCTGACAAAATCTTGCTACATCTAGCCATCAAGGCAGCTATCGAAACTCGCTTCAAATAAAAGGAGGGAAAGAAAGAGGGTCGTTTTCTGCGCTGCTTTTGACTTTTCTTGCCTAAAAAGATACGCCTTCATTGCCCGTATATACGTCCTGCAACAACCCTTTTTCCTTATAACCTTTGCCTTGTCTTCAGAATTGGGAATTTTGCTTTGCTGATAGAGCAAGAGAGCTGTCGATCTCTTTGAGGTGTTGCATTTGCATGCATATGCGTTGGTCTGTTAGACATGTATGCGAGAGAGTGAAGTAGAGGAGATGACAAGGAAGACGTCCGTATCTGATTTTTTAATCAATGCTATTTTGACAAAGCAGCATGGCTCGATATGCGACATTTAAAAGAGAAACAAACAAGGCTGGGGACAAGTGCCTCCCAGGCGCGACTTAGACCCAATAAGTTGGGTAGGCTGCGTGACTGCCACAACCTGAGTGTAAAGGACTTTGTTGGGGAAGGAGCAGTCGGTCTTGTGGAGGGAAGGAGCACTCGGTCTCGGAGACAAGGATGTGCCCCCACTGGAATAACCAGCGGGAGCACAGAAAATAGCGACTACAAAGCCAGCAGCTTAGGCTTTTTTTTCTTCTCTTACTCTTCGGCTAGCAGCATGCTCATCGACCCTTCAACCACCAGGCTTTTGAAAAGGCATCGCAGTTTCTCTCTCTCTGCCTGACTTTCCCTTTCCCTCACCACTATGTCCCCATTTTACCGAGACCCACTGACGACACGATGCCGCCCAAGAGAAAGCGCGCTGAGGAGGAGCAGGATGCTGTCGAGGGCCATTCCACCGATTCGACGTCTGGAGACATCTTTTCGACTTCCTGTCACACCCTTTCGACTCCCCATGAAGACGTTCCAACTCCCCATGAAGACGATCCAACTCCCCATGAAGACGTTCCAGCTCCCCATGAAGACGTTCCAACTCCCCATAGTATCCTTTCGGCTGGTCACACAAATTCAGTCGCCGACATCCTCTCGACTGATGGTGCCCTCTCGACTCCTCTGAATACCACTTTCAGCCTTCGCAAGCTCCCCATCGAACTTCGCTTCCTCGTCTACCACCATACCTGGGAGCCTCGTGAGGTGACCATCCGTAAGCCAGGTTTCAAGAACAACTTACCCGCGACGCTATTCGTCGACAAGGAAAGTCGTCATGAGACCTTGAGACATTACCATCTGTATATTACCAAGTACATTTCCCAAGTGGGACGCATGTATGGCTATATCAATCCCAATCTGGACACACTCCATGTCCGCATGCCTCGGACCTTTCCGCCTATGCGTCACCCTCTTGAGATATGTATCCCAACCTTGTTGGAGATTGGAAAGCCGGTCCTGAGTGTTTGCCTGAATCCGGGCACAATGGACGAATTGCCGGCCAAGAAATGGCTTTTTGAGAGATCGGGGCTCAGGGGTATCATTGCGGAGGTGGATATTGCTGCAACTCGTCCACCTCGTGGTCCTAGGTACGCTACGATATAACCAAGATCTAATAGCATTGAGTTTTTTTTCTTGCAAAGATTACACCCTCGGTTGATTGAACGGTGGTTGCGGATGGCTTGTCTCTTGATCAGGGCCTACGGCTGGTTTCAGGTAACAGAGTTTGAGTGATGAATCAATCGATGCGAAAGAGCAAAAGAACAACGAACAACTGTGCTCACCAAGAAGTCTTCTAATACGTTGACTAAAAGTCGATCGGCTCTCCCAACAAAACAGGCTGACTTTGTATTTTTCTCAATTCTCACATTAAACTTTCCAGTCTTTAAGCGTCTCAGTGATGAGAAGGCATCATAATCGACCTACCAAGCCTGGATCTGGATATTGTTCCATAACAGCCATGAATGGATGGTTACGGCGATGGATCAAAGTAGGTATACTATGGAACGAGGGATTGATGTAGTATTTTTTGAGCAGACTACAAGGGCGTTGTTTAATGACTGCATATTGGTCAAGTTGGTAGCAGGCCTATGGTAGGCTGGGTAGAGTGGAAGCTGAATTATGTGCTCTTTGGGTGTGTTAGTGGTTATGGGATGCCCCATTTGAGAGCTCTTTAATTGGTCAAAAGGCTTGTAGTGTAAATACATGCTTCACATCAATTGTCCGGGTTTTTAATATCAATGTGTGAAATTCTCAGAGGCCTCGATCTAAGAAAATGCATCCCTACTGCCCCCTTATTTGCCCAACTGTGCATGCCATGTGCTCTCAATTACCTTTTGCATTATTATGCGATTAGCAAACCAAACTTTGTGCTCTTTCACGACATTTTCGTTTTCCCGCTCCACTTCCTTTCCCTTTCCCTCTATCCTCCTTTTCAAGCAAGGTGACGAGCATAGCCTAGAAAGAAAGAATGGGGCAGATACCAAAGCAAGAGATGGAGAAAGGCCCCATACCGAACAATTTCCAATTGGGGGCAAAGAATCGACTATACCCAAACCGAGTAGTACCACAAGAACAAACAGGCTGCTTCTGTGAAGTACGTGGGAAGGCGCCGAGCATATCAAACCTAGACAGGGGTCTATTCACCAGGGAAAAATTTGTATGTACATTTGTCATGCGCTCGTGGCGACTCTTTCTCCCAGCCAGCCTTGCTTTACCTAGGGGCGGCCACGGGCTGCCATGACTGGATCTTGGGCTTTGTTCTGAGATAATATCAGTTTTCTGCGATATGATGGAAATGATAATGAACAAAGAAAGCTCCTTACGTGCTATATGTCTTGAACGCAGCTCTAGTAAAGGTCCTGTTAGGGATGTGCTCGGTGTTGGCCCAAGGGCGGTTGGCAATGCCGGTGGCGGTGGTGATGGGGTCCTTGTTGGGAGGAGTGTCGACAGAGTAGGAGATCCAGGCGTGCCACAAGGGCTCAATCTGGCCACTGTCGCAGAGCAAGTTAGACTGATGTTGCGATGGGACCATTAGCGAAACCTACGCATCGTAGTCGTGCTTGGCATAGTCAACCCATCTGGAGCGGACTGCTCAAGTTGATCAGCACTTCAACCAATGTATATGCCGGAGATAGAAGCCTAGAACATACGGGGAAGTTCATCCATGTTCTCGTAGAACTTGTTGCCGAACTTGTCGACACCCACAAGAGTACCGGCCTTGGTGTCACCTGCAGACTACGTCAGTCTCCTCCCATCCTTCCGCCCTCCATCGTCCATGTGCTTCGAGGCGTACCGATGTACTATTCGTCGGGGGTCGAGGCTATGTTAGCTGTGGCTGAGTAGGCGGGGGACTCGAGGAGGGGACGAACGTTGAGTTGATGCCAGTATTCCTAGAGTTGCGCCTGAGGTTAGCTACTGTATTCAGGTGTCTCACGGGTATTGGAGGAGCAAACCTTGAAGCCAATCTTGCGCAGATTGCCGAGGGTTCTGGAGAGGTAGGACATGATGGGCAAAGGCGAGCGCGGGCCAATTGACCTTGGCTGGATGTGGTGATGGTATCAGTTGAGGATTGCGGTCGTTGCGGCCAAGCCCAGGCAAGATGGGAGCTCGCTGCCGAACTGACGCCAGTGGGCGGGATTGTGGACCGGCGACTCCCGAGCCAATGGGAGAGCTCCAATTACCCCCTGCCGCCAAGCCCCGCGTTCCCTGCGTCAGTGCTCTTTTTCGAGATTGTCAACGGTTCCAGGTTGCACCCTATGAACCTATGGACTACATAGCTATCAGCTCTTTGATCTTCACCCTCTTCCGAACCGCCGTCGATATCACCACCTTTCTTCTCTCCAGTCCCCAGCGCTTCTCGGCTATGCTGACCAGGACTGCCTCACGATGTTCGACTAAGCTTCGGGCCGCCCTCCGACAGCCATCCTCCGGGTTGCTAAACAACCACCACAATGCCGACGATTCTCGATGCCCACAGCAAACGCCACTCCCGGCGCGCAGTCCGCTGCCACTTCCAGTGCCGGAATGCTGTCCCCGTTTGTCAGCGAGCTTGACAAGATTGCCCCATCATTCAGGATCAACGGATCGCAAATTCGGGTTCTCCAATCGCCAACCGAGTTCTACGAAACCCTCAAGGTTGTCTAGCCCCGCCGCCCTCTAGCAGTCGTTGGGCTCTGACTCGGAAACAGGACAAGATTCGCAATGCGGAAAGACGCATCTTCCTGTCGACACTGTACATTGGGAAGTCTGAGAAGGAACTGGTAGGTCTTTGTAGCTTGGATCGAGCTTTGCCCTGTCAGTATCTGACAAGTCCAAGATCACTACACTCCAAGAGGCGCTGCGCTCCAAGCCGAACCTCAAACTCAGCATCCTTACCGACGCCCTGAGAGGCACACGCGAAGCCCCTGATCCATCATGCGCATCACTTCTGGCCCCATTGGTCGAGGAATTCGGCCCAGATCGCGTTGAGATCCGCATGTACCACACACCGAATCTCACAGGATTCAGAAAGAAGCACATCCCGAAGAGAATAAACGAAGGATGGGGTCTACAACACATGAAGCTGTACGGCTTTGACGACGAGATCATGATGACCGGCGCCAACCTGTCCAACGACTACTTCACCGACAGGCAAGATCGCTATCACCTGTTTTCGTCCAGGGACATCACGGAATACTTTTCCAATTTGCATGATGCCGTATCGTCACTCAGCTTTCGCATCGACCCATCCGACGCCCCTTCCGGCTTCGACATGGTGTGGCCCAAGGACAACGCCCCCCCATCCCCTCTGGAAGATCACAAGCAGTTTGTCAGAGAATCAACAGGATTGCTGGCAGGTCTCATCTCACCCAAGACTGCGCCGCTGACCGCCAATGACTCCACGCCATTGGAAAAGCGGGATACATCTGTTTACATGCTCGCCCAGTTCTCGCAATTACTGTCGCCAGACACATCGACAGAACTCCCGGCCATCACGCATATTTTGAGCACCCTCGCCGCCCCACAATATTCCAAGTCATCTTGGACATTTACCGCAGGATACTTTAACCCTGCCCCATCGCTGACCAAGCTCCTTCTGTCAACCGCATCGCAAAATAATACTGTTATTACAGCTTCACCGTATGCCAACGGCTTCTACAAGTCTCCCGGCGTCTCAGGACTGCTACCAGATGCGTACACACTGCTTGCCCGGCGCTTTGTGCGCGCAGTTCATGAGAAGAAGCTGGACGCATCTACGGTAATGAAAGAGTGGAGGAAGGGCACGGTTGGCGAGCCTGGAGCTTGGACGTATCACGCAAAGGGTTTGTGGGTGACTCTACCAGACAACAATGGTCCATCCATAAGTCTGATCGGTAGCTCCAACTACACTAAGAGAAGCTACTCGCTGGACCTGGAAGCCAACGCTCTCATCGTGACGGAGAATGAGAGTCTGAAGAAACAACTGGCCAACGAGCAAAATTGGCTGCAAGAAAATACCACGGTGGTCACCCGAGAGGACTATGCCAAGACTGAGCGCCGCGTCGGTCTCAAGGTGCGCATTGCGATGTTGATCGTGCGGCTTGTGGGAGGTGCTTTGTAAGGAACTGGTCTGGTGGAGACTTGATGTGTAGGACTGGTGTAAGAATAGGAGAGGCAAACGATACCCAAGAATACGGATAGAAGGATACTTCAGCATCACAGTTCAGATGTCAGCTGTTTGGACGGATGGAAGTTTTATGTTTTGTTCAATGCTGAGCGAGTGTGCCCATCAGACTCGAGAGTCTCTGTCGTCACGCCGGACGATGGGGTATGTATGCAAAAGTCACCACATCTTCGATCCTCCCGCCCCGATTTCCGACATCAAAATGCGCTGCAATGCAAACCTGAAAAGCAGACAACCGATAAACGCCGTTCCCTAATACTGATTCGCATCTAAATCATCCCGGACATGACAAACATCCCCATTTTTGTTGGAAAATGCAAAGACAAAAAAGATCGTCTCCCGAAACGCCCCCCCCTGTAAGTCTCATGCAGTCCCCATTTTAAAGAACGCCGGAAAAGTCCACCACAATGGCATTGCGCCACTGAGATGATTTTTTGGAGGATGCTGTTAACAAGTCGAAGCTTTTGGGACCGATCGTGGGGGGTCCGGCCCGACAGCTTGGGCCCTGCTGACCTGACTGGGCCGCCACGCTACATCTCCCGAACCAACCCCCACCACAAGCGTTCCAGCGGTAGCTTCAGATAATCTTCGGTCTATCTGGTGGTTGTCGTTCATCCTCACAAGTCGATCGGCATCCTGATCTTGGCGTTCGTCGTCCATGATCTTCTCCTGCTTTTGACGAGGGGGAGCGCTCGCTGGATGACTCTGATGAAAGAGCGGGAGAGGCTCCGCTTGAGGGGGACGGCTTGCATCATGGTGGTTTTGTTGTAGATATGGTTGGAAGGAATAGGTCGGCCAGCGAGGTATGGAGTCTCCACCGGAGAGATGAGGAAGAGGAGGGGATATGGCAGCTCCTGCTGGACCACTTTTGGTTCTCAGTTTTGAAAGTTGATGATCGACATGATCAGAGGTGGTCGCCAGGACAAGAGACGAGGAGGTCGTCGAGTCTTAAGTGGTGAGTGTGGTGGTGGTAGTGTTGTTGTTGTTGGCGGATCGGAGTACCGGCGAACGACCCATTCACCTGTTTCCCAAGCAAAGAGGAGGAGGAAGAGCACCGCTAAAATTAGGGCCCTGTCGCGGGTGGCGTAGTCTGTTGCGTCCGCGCCCCTTTTCTTGGTTGTTTCGTTTTGCGGGATGTCAACGCAGAGATAAAGGTGCTGCGCCGCTGGCGTGCTGTACCCACAAGACCCAGCGATGGATATGAAACGGTTTCGACTGTGCAATTTTGTAGTTCAGCCACAAAGGTTGTTCTGGGTTGGGGTGAAAGGTCCTAGATAGGGCTAGGGATCTCAAGGTATTGCTGGTGGGCTTGAGGCACAGGGGAGCTATGGCCCTTGATGAGGTCTGCGGGATCACGCAAGAGGGGGCGCGTTGATATGCAACCTTGTTGCCCTTGCCAGTGCGGTAGTGGAACGGCTCGCATTTAAGATATGAGACATGTTCGGAGTTTTAACTTTTGGAGTTTCTTATCAGGGCCATTCTCGCGGGCCGAAGCTTTTGGTGGATGACAGACCACCGTTATCACCGATGGGCTGTCGCGGGTCCGAGCCATTTTCCAACCTCTTCCCTTCCCCGACTCGAACATCTGAGGGTTGGTCAAGATCGGGGATCTGGGAAGCCAAGTAGACCAATGTGTGTATGAGCGGCTTCTGCTCGAGCTCAGACGCTTGAGCTTCCAACGCGTCGACGTCCCAACGCCCCCGGACTAGCCCTGAGTCAAGAAACGTGACTTCGGGGCTGGCGGCCCAGACGGCGAAGGACCCGCATGAGGGCGGGATATAAATGTCAGCATGTTCTCGATATCAGTCCTTGAATTACTCACAGAATACCACCTCTCACACAACAGCATTACCGTGCCTGCCAACCACAACATTCTTCCACAGCTTCGTGCTGGTGAATGTGCACCTGAATATCGTCAACGTAGAAGAAGATGATTGCTTATTCTCCTACAACCAGAGCCAAGATTGCTCGTCTTGTATCAGTTATGGCAAAACATGTCATCATCTTCTTTTACGTGGACGATATTCCTGTGCCCATTCACCAGATACGGACGTTGCCTCGGTATATCGTCGTCTTGTACCATGGTTCTGTGACCTGGGATTGGGCAGATCAGTTTCTACACGGTTGTCGACATCACACTCAAGATCCTTCATGAAGCCCAGGAAGATGCTTCACTTGTGTAAAGTCCCTTGCAAGGCATGTGATCAATACATATCCCTACTTCTAATCACACTTAACTGTGTTGTAAATATATATCTAAAATCTAGGTAGTTATATGCATCCATCTACAATTACACAACCCCCTCATCCAGAAGAACCAATCGTCACCCTCCAACCACCCCACATCGCCACCCCCATGCTCACCATTATACACGCCATCTTCTCATACCACACTAATCCCCAGTGGATAGCCAACACCTTCGCCACAACCCCAGCCACAATCCCCATCCAAACAATAAAGAACCCAAGATCAAACCACGCCTTCCTCATGCCGTCCCTCTTTGCCCGTTCCATATCCCCACTCGCCCTCATCGACGTCCCCCAGCCATCAGCTGCCATGGTCAGCATGCTGTAAATCTGCACCGCCGGCAACGGGACGTAGTAAAAGAACACACCCGGCACGATCCACCTCACATCTCTGAGCCTCAACCGGTGTGTGTTCCTCACAAAATTATACATGGTGCTAATCAAGATCCGAAAGACAAAGTCCATAACCGATATCTCAATCAACTGGTGCCCAGTAAAAAAGAACCACATCACCGCCAACGCTCCGATCGCCGGTCCAAACTCCCGCTTCACCATCCCGTAGAACAGAAGCGGATGACTGACGAGATAGACCTTTGGCCTGAGAAGCGACTCGATATGCGTTGCCCTCGCCCAGCGGACTTGTTGTCTCAACCATCGAGACATTGTGGTAGGGGTGTCTGTTGCAGCCAGGACATCGGAGGCAAAGATTACCTTCCATCCTCTGAGTAGTAAATTAGTGGTGAGATGCCTGTCTTCGTTGACAATCATCCGCTTGCCAAAGGCGATTTGCGTATACCACGGCACCAGGATCGCCGGAAGGGCAGACAGACGAAATGCGGTGCTGGGACCAGACTGGCAGTCACTTGTGCCGGTGCAAGCTGGTGTTGAGCGGGTGAGGTAGAGCTCGCCCCAGTAGACCGCTGAGGCGAGGTTTGTGACGGCGGTTTCTCTGTTGTTGTGGACGACAAGCCCGGAGGAGGCACCGCCTGCTTTGAGGTCAGAAGCGATGGTGTTGATTGTTTTCTCTAAGGAATCTGGAAAGACGATGGTGTCTGAGTCGGAGGACCAGAGGTACTCGATGCCGAGGATGTCTGAGATGACAAGTGCAAAGACGTAGGCTGTGAACATTATTCCCTTTTTGTGCATATGGCGTTGCTTCAGACAGAGATGTTTGATACCCTTGGGACCGCCAATGGTCAGGTCATGTTGTCGAAGGATCGATCGGGCTAGGTCGAGACAAGCTTGCATGGAAATGGCATTTGCTTCGTCTTCGTTGACAGGAATTCCGTTTTGACGCTGGAGAGCCATGGTTTTGGCACGGATGCGTTCAGCAATCTCACCCAAGGGCTCTGGGATCTGGATGACGGTGGAGTTCTCGGGAAAGACTTGGCAGAAGACGTTGACCATGTCTTGGTCTTCTGCCTCGTCGCCGTCGATGCCTGCAAGGAAGAAGGTACATGTCTTGGCTGACTTGTAGCTTTGCAGTGCCCGGGCATAGAGCGATGGATCCTCACGCCAGCCAACAACTGCCGCCATACAGTCCGCGTTGGGGAGGCATGGTTGAGCTTCCAAGTGACGACCGCTCCATTCTTTCTTTTCGTCCAAGTGTTGGTCGAAGCTCGGTGTATGCAGGGAACGAGCAAAGTCTTGTCGACGTCCTTCGACGATATAACGGTTGATTTCTGTGAGAGCGATAGTGATGACGATGTCTAGCGTTACGGGGTAGCGACTGTGGACTGTTGAGAAGTAGTAGATGGGTAGGGATAATAGGCAACCCAAAATATTCAGAAGTAAACGAGAGGCTGAAGGGGGATGGCCTTGCACCACTGGCTCCCGGAAGTCGTCGTTCTTCTCCTTTGGTGACATCATTGGATCGTCAAAGCGAGTGATGCTGGCCAACAAGAACTCCTGAAAGAAGATGTGTATCGTGAACAGACCAGGCTGGTCAGAAGACGGAGGGGATAGCAGTACAAAAGGGAGAGAGCATAGGCATATCTCTACATCTAAGCTGTGACTTACCGTGTCACACCGTAGAGGCCAGCTCGTATGCCTGCCTGGAATCCGACTTCGGCTTCCCCTCTTCAGATGACAGAATCTGTACAGACCCCGTAGCTGGTGACCCGGGAAGCCATCGTGGTCGTCAAATTAGGACTTGCCCGGTGTGTGAGCAAGTGGCGGCTCTGGAGGCTGCAACGTCCCATTCAGCCAAGATTTCCTATGTGGCTTCACGCGGCTGGTTTGCGTCGTATCCATCAACCTATCGGTAAGGCCTTTTGCTGCGCCTTATTCCAATGAGCCGCCCTCCGAAGAGTGTGCTTCCAGCCCTTCTTGAAATCGGCGAATCCAAGAGCTGGCTGCTTTGTGCACCTACAGCTTTTACTGTATGTCTCGTACGTTGTGGAGGCTGTGGGCACGAGTGGGAGTCTGTCCAAAGGTTGCTCGGTATCCAATTGTCGGGTATTGAGACATTGAACAAAGAGGCAAATAGAGCATTGTGGTATGGCGGTCTATTTTTCCAGAAGAGCATCGTGACAGTGTCCGGTGGAAAAGAGCGTTCCAGTTTGCGCCACACAATTATTGTGGGACCGAGGACGACCTCTCAGTGCTCCCGGCTCAGCCCATAGGGCATTTAGGGCATGTTACATTGGGGAGCACAGCGCATTTAGCCGCAGTTGCACGCCGAACCCTCGGCGCACTCAACTTGTAGAACCAACAGCCCATGAGCACGGTCATTCGTCTGGGATCTTGATCTTGAATCCTGGTGAGTCAGAACTTTGTCTCAACCTTATGCTTATATGGCAAGCTAACCATCATCAGATCTCAAGGTTGTATTCGGATCATGTCCTGAGCCTTTATGCGGGCTGCGCCGTAGAGTCAACTTCAACATGATCCTCGGAATCCCGACCAAGAGTCGCTCGCCGCCTATTCGCTTCGAGTCTTTGTGCAACACGTCGTATCGGGGTCACAGCCTCCACAAAAAGGTCGGTGTATGGGGACATTCAGCTCACTCGAAGCTGCTTGGGAGCGCCATGGATGCCTTGGTTGGTCCTGGTCCAAAGACTTTAGACTAAATATTACTTCGACTGATCTTGAGTTCACCGCCTAGAGGCTTTTAACGAGAACCCAGTTTTTTCTGTTTGTCCAATTTCAACATCCAAACCTACGTTACTGAACCAGCATCATGGTTGTGACATACAGGAACAACCGGCTGGTGCCAGCTATCGTGATATCAGCGTGCCTCTGGGGTATCTATCATCTTGTCGATGTCAAAATTCCAAACGAAAGCTATCATAGCGTCATACTTCCAGACTGGAGAACGCCACCATCACAAGTCGGTCATGATGTCGACCTTGATCCCCATTCACATCCAACCATCACGGCATGGTCACCACCACCACCAGCAGTTCAAACTCCTGATCCGACAAAGAGCCCAAATGGCAAGCCCAAAGACAGTACCCTGGCACCAGAAAACGTCCTCTTGATCATGAAAACGGGCTACACGTCTCTTTGGAAACGTCTTCTAATCCACCTCACCACCTCCCTCTCCCCAGACCGCATCCCCCAATCCAACTCGGTCATCTACTCCGACGCCCCCTCCACCATCGGCACCTTCAACATCATCGACGCCCTAGAAAACACCACCCACACCCTCAAATCGAACCATCCCGACTTCGAAATCTATCGCCAACAACCGCTCTACGACAGCCACAACGCCTACGTCGAAGCAGCGGGTATAGAAGGCGACAACTTTGGCCCCGCGGGTGGTTGGATCATCGACAAGTACAAGTTCGTCCCGTTGATGCAACACGCTGGGAGGAACTACCCCAACGCGAAGTGGTATATCTACATGGAAGACGACACTTATCTCTTCCTCACTAACATCCTTGCCTACCTGTCCAAGTATGACTGGAGGAAGTCGCATTACCTGGGCAGCTTCGCCGGGAAGTCGGACGTAATTTTCGCCCATGGCGGTGCGGGCTTTGTCATCTCCCGCGGAGCGTGGGAGAGGTCCTTTGGGCAAAACGACAAGATGGCCGCGGATTACGAAGAATACACGGCCGCCCACTGCTGCGGTGATCAAGTCCTGGGTCACGCGCTCAACAAATACGGGGTCAAATTCGGGGAGAATAATGGAGACGAAAGGTTCACCTGGGGCTTCAACCCTGTTGTGCACTGGCGATTTGGATTTGAGAAGTGGAATTGGTGCGAGCCGTTGCTGAGCTGGCATAAAGTCCATTCAAGAGATGTGGCGAGATATTACCAGTTGGAACAGGAGTGGGATTTTGAGAAAGACGGGCCGATCAGACATGGGGACTTTGCGGAACGGGTCATCCTTCCTGAGTTGAGGGCACGGAATAATAGGGCGGAGTGGTGGGATAATATGTCGGGGGGGTGGCAGGTTAGTTCGGGGAATAAGAATGATCCTCCTGGGCCGGAGGGGAAGGGGTATGATGAGGGGAAGTGGAAGAAGGCCTGGGAGTCGGTGGGGGATTGTGAGGAGGCTTGCAAGTCGTGGGGGGATTGTGTTCAGTGGAGCTGGGTGGAGGATTTGTGTAAGATGGATAATAAGTTCATGATGGGGCAGGGGTATGCGCCGGCTATGATGGAGAGGAAGACGGCGTTAAAGAGGACTAGTGGGTGGTTGACGGATAGATTGGAGGGCTGGAAATGTGCATAGGTTGTTAAAAAGCCGCTGTTTTCTTTACTTTAGGAATTATTTGAGAGAATCATATACAGTAAGCGTATCGACCTCAGATCTGTTCTTGAACCCTCTGACATTCCTCTTGTATTGGTGTCATAGGTCACTGCCGCTGTTCCACAAACGCTTATGGGCCCGTAATGCAACGCCTACCTAGGTAGCTCGTGTTACTCAGAGCAGATTCCGGGTCAATCCTTTAGATGGACCTAACGCAATTCTAGAAGGGACAAGGTTCCAACGATGATTTCTGTGTTACACAAGGATGAAATATGACCGGTGATTGCTGTCTCAGCAGTGACACAGAGTCAAACTGCGTTGTAGTGTATGTTGGATTAATCAATTATTTAATATAGCCGCCACGAGGTTCGGCAATAGCAGATTATGTCTGCTACGCCTCCCCAAACAGTGCTGTCTATAAAGAGACGCTATCATCCCGTTGATTCCATAATTAGTCTAGAGCTTGGCCTTGACATTTCGCTAGCCAGTTAGCCTTCCTCGATGATCATCATGAAGCTCCTCCTCACGATCACCGGCCTCGCAGCCCTTTCCACCGCAACACCAACCTCGCCTTCCACACCAACTGGCCGCATTAAGGACCCCTGGGGAGACTTGATGACCATCCTGGGCTTCTACCAACATCCCGAATGCAGCCATGAAGACCCTTACTGGTACATGACCACCAGGCTCGGCACGTTCCTAGCCGTAATGGACGAGACGGAAGGCTGCCAGAATGTGCCGGACGTATGGGGCGATGTGAGAGTCATCAAAGTGGAGCGTCAAGATAGGAAGTGCAAAGGTAAGCAGCTATTTACGGCCTCTGTCATCTCAAGTGCGGCACAGAGGTAATTTACATGCCCGGTTTTCAGTAACGGTGTATACCAACCCCGATTGCAATCCTGCCAGCGGAAGCGGGATCCCTATTCCAGAGGAGACTTGTGTTCCCTCCGAGCCGGAAAAGACTTGGAAGAGTTTCGCTATCAGAGGCTGTTTGGATTGAGGAACATGTGGCTTGGTTACCAGGGTGGCCTTCAGAGAATGTTTATACACAGACAATGTATGAAACTGCGTTACAACTGATGTCGAATAGGCAAGAACGACATTGAAAACAAGCTCCAGGCCCCCAACGTAGTCGCACAGGTCTTCATGATTCACCATTGATGGATGCAGACAAGTCCTGCTTTCGGTCTACATACGGACCGCGAATGTAACCTTTAACCGACTCGTTTCGCCCAGACTTTCTTCCGGCTGAATCCTTCAAGGGGACCCAAGCACGTTCTAACATGAACGAAGCTTGAATCTGATATGTAGGTAGGTAGCATCTCCATGTCAACCAACTACCCTAAGTGGCTGATGACCAATTCTGTAACGGAGGGAGAGCCTAGAATGGAAGAGTGTGTTGTAGCTGGTATCCTGAGAGCTGTCTATTTTTAACATAAGCCCCTCACAAACATCCCGTCGGCGTTTTGCACAATGTCCATGCTAACAATGACCAGAGGCAGCGCCGATCATAAATAGAGAATTCTGCCCCTTCCATACCATGAAATTCACAATCAGGCAGCGTTCACAAATAGCAAAGTTATTCATCTCATTCAGCATGAAGTGTCTCCTCGCAATCACTGGCTTTGCAGCCCTCGCGATAGCAACACCAACTCTGCCACGGGCACCAACGCCAACAGGTCAAGTCCCCTCTCCACCAACAGTGGCCCAGCTTGGCTTCTACCAGAACCCATCGTGCAGCCATACAGGCACATACTGGTACTTTACCTACTGGCGCTCACAGTACGAGGCTCTGCTGGAGCAAACTGGCGGCTGCCAGAATGTATCTGAGCCAATGGGGGGCTACGCGACGGCCATTCAAGTGGAGCGTCAGGTTGTGGAGAACTGCAAAGGTATTTTTATTCTCTTCTGTCGCTCGCATCTCCAACCTGCGAAAGGTTCCGCACTAGGTACCGTAACTAATGCGGTTTTCAGTAACACTGTATTCCAGCAAGGACTGCGATCTTGCCAGTGAAGCCGTCGTTGCGATTCCCGGGCCGATGGTTTGCGTTCCTGCCAAACAGGGCAGATCTTGGAACAGTTATTCGATCAGAGAATGCTCGGATTGAGAAGGACTTTTTTCTTCGTGGATTCAGGGGGTGGCTTCAGGGGTTGAAAAGGGGGGCTCATAGTGGGGCCATCAAGCCATGATGACATGACGTCAGGCTCGTCTTGAGATGTCTGTCTCTAATATTCCGTTCGCCATTGTCAAATTGTCAAAACGGAGTTTACAGTCTTTGGATGTCGAAAAGGTTCTTTTTAACTCCACTCGAAATGTTCTAACGCCGATGATGATGCCGTGAGATTTTGATTTGTCACAATCGGACCTGAATCCACCCGCTTGCTCGGTTCTACATATTTGGCTCTCCCCGCTTTTCTTCTTCTTTCCAGTACTGTTAATGTGACGTTTGTTGATATCATCATCTGAGAAATTTGCATACAACAACTTATCAACACCGTTCTGCTTGAAATATTAGAGAATATCGTTCAAAATGACCGCCGGCAAGAAATGGATTCTCACAGGCCAGGAAGGTTATGATACCTCCCTTCAACTGGTCGACTCGGACATTTCGACCGACCAGCTGGGACCGGATGACGTGCTAGTCCAGCTTCAAGCTGCCAGTCTCAACTATCGTGATTTGGTCATTGCCAAAAGCGATGTTAGTTTTCGCTCCCAAACACCACCGCGTAAAGTCAACACTAACTTCCTGACAGGGCGGAGTAGCCGGCTCCATCACCCCTAACGTCGTCCCTGGCTCCGACGGCGCTGGCATGGTCGTCGCCGTTGGGTCCTCCGTGACTGGTCTCGGCCCAGGCGACAGAGTCATCACTTACCTCGCCCCAACCCTCCCACCATCAGATGAAACCGCCCTCCCAGGCGCCGCCGAGATCTTCGCTGGTCTTGGGCAGAGGGTGGACGGTACCCTCGCCAACCAGATGCTCATCACCCAGCATGGCGTCATCAAGGGCCCTTCCAACCTGACGCCCGTCCAAGCCGCTACACTGACCTGCAGCGGTTTGACAGCCTGGAACGCCCTCTTTGGAGTCTCTGGGAGAGAGATCAAAAAGGGTGACTGGGTTCTTGTTCAGGGAACTGGCGGTGTTAGCATCGCCGCTTTGCAGTTTGCTGTTGCTGTTGGGGCGAATGTCATTGCTACTACTTCTTCTGAAGAGAAGGCGGAGAGGCTGAAGGAGTTGGGGGCGAGGCATGTCATTAACTATAAGGAGACAGAAGACTGGGGTGAGGCGGCCAAGAAGTACACTCCTGGTGAGAAGGGCGTGGATATGGTGGTGGATGTTGCTGGAAACTCTTCTTTGGTGCAGTCGCTGGCGGCTGTGAGGACAGATGGGATTATTTGCTTGGTTGGATTGCTTGGCAAGTTCGATGCTGGTACAATCCCGATGATGTCTGCGCTCTGGAGGCCTTGTATCGTCCGGGGTGTGCTGTTGGGTAGCAGGAAGCAGTACAGGAATTTGGTCCGGTTTGTGGAGGAGAAGGCGGTTGTGCCGGTGATGGATGATGTCGTGTTCGGGTTAGAAGACGTCAAGGAGGCGTACAAGAGGATGGAGGAGCAGAAGCATTTTAGCAAGATTGTTATCAAGATTGAGGAGTAGTACTTGGGTACCTATAGAGTTGTTATCTGAATCTACCTACAACGAACATTGCTGAATGTTGTTGGTTTGGCAATTTCCCGATGGATTGCGAAGCTGAAGCCGGCATGCGTGATCCGAAAGTGTAAATCGCATGGGTGTCGTGGTGTAGTCCGAGGGCTCGGGTTAGAAAACAAGGTCAGCAGAAAAAGCTAACCCAGTTTTGCAGGTGAAGCCTAACGCCAAGTGAACAGAGTTGTATTCACACAGCGTCTAAGTGGCCTACCATCAAGACAACCAGACCAGCACTTTCGAAGGATTTTGGTTCAACCAGGAACTGAAAGCTGTCGCCCTATGCTCAGCTTCCCCAGAGACGTCGGTGAGGCTGCCTGAGCATCATGGTCACTGATATCATCGTCATAGCCTCACATTGATACATCAAAATGGACTAGAGCTTCTTGGCTTCTTCATCGGTGAAGAGACTCGAAACCACGTTGGTCAAGTATAAAGATCAATAGACCATCCCGCCATCAACCATCTTCTTCTTCACCATCAAACAAAGACTTTCTATCACTGCAAAGCATCATCGCATCGTTACCAACACTTCTTCTCTAAGTCTGCAATCTCAGCAATTCATCTCTTCACCATGAAGCTCCAATCCCTCTGCGCCATCACCCTCGCCACCCTCACCCCCCTCGTCACCGCCAACTTCGACATCTACATGGCCGAAGAAAAGACCACCGTCGGGGGGCCCCAGGTCTGGCCCATGTGGCACATCTTCGACACCGATCCCACCTGCGACGACCTTGCCGAAAACCCCAACTACCTCGGCAGCGACGACGTCTCTGGCAACAAAGTCGGCGTCCGCTGCGATTCTTCCTCCGATCCCTTCAACTGCGCTGTCCAGCACTACCCCGCTGACGGCATTGACGTTCTCGAGATGAACTTCCACAGTGACCCCCCTGTGTACCACTGGAGTAAGTGTGGTCCTTCCCCCCATAGGTAGCAACGGTGATAGAAAACAGAGGCTTACATGACGATGGTAGCTATTTACAAGGATCGCAACTATGACATGTACGGTCTTGATGGGAATGTCTATGGGAACTGCTTCCCCTTTCCTGGGTTTGAGTACGAGTGCGGCGATCCTATCCTTGGCGGGTTTACTGGTACGCGCAAGTTTAGGTGCTTGACCGAATTTACGGCTGCGCAGATCAAGGCTGCTTGGGGTACCAAGAGGAGTGTTCCGTTTACTTTGAAGGAGGCGGAGGGGGTGAAGGGTCGGAAGGTGCAGAAGTGGGAGGCTTGAAGGACTGTTTCGGCTGTCGTTGCTTTTCTGCTTTTTCGAAGGGGTTGAAAGACTTGGAAGGGGAGGATCGTCTGTTGATTGGTGTTTGATTATTGACTTTTTGATGGGGACTTTTGATTCTTTTTTGTTTCTGATATTGGTTGCTGTTTCTTGATTTACACGTTTCTTACCTCCATAGTGGAAATAACTGGTTATTAGACCACAGGTACTGGTATTAAGTAGGTATTCAAACGTTTGGCTTCATAACTGTGTGGTCAGAACTATCGAATGTGCAATACCAACCACAAACTTCCCAGACCAAGACAATCCTCTGTTCAAATACTGGAATCTTACCTAACAAGCTGTGAACTGAGTAACTGGCAGTCCAAAAAGTATGAAGCATACCTCGAAAGATAATTAATAGGCCTTAAAAAATAATTCGCAGGCCTCAAAAATCCTTAATAGGCCTCAAACAACAGCCGAAAGGCCTCAGAAGATAGTAGGTAGGTTTGAAAGGATAGTTAGGAGCCCTGTAAAGAGAGTGAAGATGCCTATTGGCTTTTCCACATGGCATAAGTTAATATTTATCATGCCTATAACTGACTTGCAGCACCATATATCCTGTCCACGACATGCCTAGTTGATGCTAGGAGCCCTGAAAAGACAGGAAAAGGGCTATTTGCATTTTCGAAAGGTATAAGTTGATAGTTCTCATGCCTCTAACTAACTTGCAGCACCATGAATCCTGTCCACGACATCCCTAGTTGATGAACTGCTCAGAATCCTCTCCCCACGACCTCCGGCCCCCTTTCTGGCCATGTACGCCCCCCCCCCCCGGCCAACCAAGTCCCATCCTCCTTTCTGATAGCTTTGGTCACCATGTCCTGAGCCCAAACACGCTCTTTCCGCCCCTCAGCGTTCAGCGCTGATCATTGAGATGGAGGCAGAGAGGGCACGGGAGTCTAAGCAGAGGCTAGACGAAGAAGAAAAGAACAAGGAGGCTGAACAGGCCAGCAAAGAAGAGCAGTCGCGAAAGGCAGAGGAGGCCGGCCAGACGAGGGTGGAATCAGTGTCAGAGAAAGAGCCACTCGCTGCCAACCGATACCATTCCCAAGACTCAGCCGACTACGGACATCCAGTCTGACATCCAATCAGACGTCTTGAAGGGCGCAATAACTCCAGGACCTCGTCAATCCAGACACCGAGCGGTGGAATATGTCAATGGCTTGGTAAAATCATTCAGCAGCACAAAGAAGAAAATCAAGCATGTGATGGGGTGATGAGTTCGACATTCATAGAGACAGTTCCATCAATATATCCTCCCCCTTTACCACCCCTCAATCCTCCCCGTATACTCCACCAACCTACCCCCCTCCCTCTCCCTCGTCGCCCCATTCACCACCCCAAAAACCCCATCAACCGACTCCTCAATCTCCAAATTCGCCTGCTCCAGCCCAAAAGAACGCGCACCATGATTCCCCATCTCAGTCCTTACCCACCCCGGGTCAATAATAAAAGTAACCAACCACTCCTCCTCCTGATGAAGCTTCATCCCGTACCAGTTCAACATCGTCTTCGTCGGCGCATACGCCGCGCTCGGGATAGCCAATCCACCCTCCAACAAACCTGCTCCTGACCCCATGAACGCATAGATCGGTTTCTTCTCCGGGGTTGTTTCCTTAGCAGCGAGGAGCAACTCCCGAGTGGCTTGGAACAGGGAGACAGGGCCGAGAACGTTAACCTCAAAGTGCTCCCTGATGTCGGCGGGGTTGACGTCCTTGATGAGGGGGTAGATCTTCGCGATGCCGGCGTTGGCGATGACGGTGTTGAGGTAGGTTATTTTGTGGTCGTTGACGAGAATTTTCACTGCCTCGGCGGCGGAGTCCCACACCGAGGCGTCGTATGGGATGAGAATGACGTTGGTGGACGAGTCTCTTTTCAGGGTCTTCAAGGCTTGGGAGCTGGGGGAGGAGGGATTGCGGACGAAGGCGATGACATTCTGTTGTCGTTGTTAGTGGCTGACTACAGAAAAATAAAGAGGGAAATGCGTACATGGTCGGGGAGCTGGAGGTATTTCTTGACGAGGCCGAGACCAAGACCACGGTTGGCGCCAGTGATGAGGAAGTTGGTGGGTGGTGACATGGTGTGCTTGGGATGTTGAGCCCCAATTGATGATGATCAAGTGAGATCTAGTTTAGTGGACCGAGAGTGAGGAATGTGAAGTTGTTGATGCTGCATTCAAAAGTTGAGAGATGAAACTTGGGAATATTTATATGGCCTCGGAACTATCGAGATTACAAATTCTGTCGAGGATTACAGCGGGTCAAGGTTGATAAGGATTGTACGACAAGTTCCATTGGTAATCCAGGGCCCGGTGCACACCATTACAAAGACGTCTCCACGGCACCGCTGCGGCACAGAACTTGTGCTATCACCGCAGTTGGCCGTGGGGACGGAAATAACATTCCAGAGAATGCCCAACTCCCGAGTCCAAAGCAAACTTTGTTGGGTGCAATCATGTTGCATAATTCAATCTAGATACCCTTCATCTTCTCCCGCATAAACTCCACGGTAGCCTCCCAAGCCTCCTCGGCCGCCTTGAATCCAGGCACTGCCGTGAAGGCATGGCAAGCACCGGGGTAGATCTTGACGATAGCTTCGCTCCCAGTTATCATCCATTTCATAGCCATCAGCAGAGTATCATCCAGCAATGGGTCCTCGGTCCCGCACAGGAACAATGCCGGCGGGAGCTTGCCTCCTGGTGCACCCTTTGCCAAGCCCCTCATGTCGCCGTAGATGGGCGATATCTGTGGGTTTCGTCGCGCTTCAATCGTCGTGTTTGGGGCGTAAGCCATTGCGAACCCCAACATCTTTGCGTTGTTGACAAGCAGCCGTCGTTCGAAGGTGGTCACCATGGGTAAGTTTTGGGTAACATCAAACCAACCATAAGGAAGGATGAGGCCGGCAATCTTGTGGTTCGGGTGGGCGCGTAAAAGGTGAAAGGCGGTTGTTGCAGCCAGATTACCTCCAGCCGACTCGCCACTGATGAAGAGGAGCCTGGCACCAAAAATATGTTCACCCTTGTCTACAAGATATTCGGCAGCGTCGATGCAATCATGGACCTGGGCAGGCCAGGGGTTTTCGGGAGCGAGTCGGTAGTTGACAGAAAGCGCTGTAAGCTGGAAGGTGTTGGCGTACTCTCTGAGCTTTCCATCTTGGCTGCGCGGTGTTAGTTAAGTGTGGATGGTAGCGAGGAAGTGGAAAAGGCTCACTGTTGGTGTGTGCCCATTACGAAGCCCCCACCATGGATATGGAGGAAGAGTCCCTTGCTGGGCTGGCCATTATCGGGGGTGTATACGCGTAAGGCGATATCTCGACCTGCATCTCGTGATGAGACAACCACGTCCTTCGCCGCCGGGAGGTAAACCGGGGCAGCGAATCCGGTCTTGCCATTTTCACGCATCTCACGGAACTTCACAGGACCGACTTCTTGCCATGTTGGGCCACTGGAAGTCGCCCTCTCTATGAAGTTGTTAACGCCGATTGTCTCCTCGCTCACATTCTCCAAGGAGAACTTGGAGGCGTCGATGGTGATATCACTTGTCAGCGGCATGGTCATAGTTGGAGGAAAGTGTGTTGTGTGAATTCCTGAGATATCTATCAACAGCCTTGGGCTTGCCAGTTAAATACCTGCGCGACGTGAAGGAGGGGTAACGGTAACCGCGATCTCCGAGGCTACTGGCGCTACCCGAATGTGAACCAACAAAGGTGAAGGAATCAATATTGCTCTGCGAGTGGAACGACATATTAGGCAGACAACTTGCTTAACCCCGCATCTCGATGTCTTTGGGAAGGAAGGTACTGTTCAGCCAGCCCCACCTAGCTGCTTCGACACACACTATCAGTTACACACTATGGATACCTCGAAAGCTGCTCAACAAACTCCAACTCATGGGGCTCCCCTGACTTTTCTCCTCCGGCTGAACCGCCTTTGAGCTGTTGCCGATTCCATTGGCCTTCAACCATTCCGGATCGATATTCTCGAGGCTCAAATGCGGAGCGACGTCTGCACCGTTTTTCGGTCCCTGTCTGTCCTGCATCGTCCAGCCCATACCCAGGTGTGCCCAGGGGTTCTTGTCCATGTACTGGAACTCAAAGTCCTCATAGCGAGGTTGCTCAATGACTTGCTGGTAATGGAGCGAAGATCCGGGCCAGATGGCGTTGACACGGCCAGTTTCGTTGTTCTTGTACCCTGTCGTGTGACGAACTGTCAGTACCGTAACTAATTGAGTATAGATGTCCAAGAAAACTCACAGCTGCGACATTCATCCGCCCACACGGTGTGTTTCACCCACTCCTGAACATGCTCGTTAAAGCTGTCAGTGATATCTTGCCTCGGTACCCAGCTGCGAAGGTTCTCATTCTGCGTCTTCTTGATCAGCCTGATCGCGTAGTCTGACACGGAATGCAATGGCGCCATGACGCTCCCGTTTTGGATAGGCCAAGTTGGTCCGATGAAGGTCATGAAGTTGGGCATGTCGGGTACCGCCAGCCCAAGATAGGATTCGGGAGCAGTTGCCCACTTGTCCTTCAGGTCAACGCCATTCTTGCCTACAACCGGGAACAGAGGCCGATATGTATTGTCGTAGCCAGTGGCACAGACAACCGTGTCAACCTTGCGCTCAACGCCATCGGCCCCCACCACACCGTCTTCTGTACAGCTGACCACAGCGGTAAAGTGTACATCGACATTATCTTTCTGGATGGCTTCCATGTAAGGATCACCAGGCGTGATCCTTCGGCACCCAAAGCCAAACGTGGGGGTGAAACCCTGCAGCAAACGTTGATCCTTGATAATTTCCCCCATACGCTTGCGGAAAAAGCCAGACGCCCCCTTCTGCGCCATGGAACCACTGTAGAAAGCGCCCCAGGTGCCATTCACTTCGCTCTCGATAGCCTTGGCATGGGAAACAAGATGGCCGGGGTTCCGTCTGAACTCGTCACGCTCCTGCTGCGTGTAGATCTTGGATGGCGTGCCCGAGTTGCCGGCCAGGACTCCAAACCAGATACCCGTCCGGACAAAAACGTCGAGGTGCTTTGTGTAAGGCTGCATCCCAGGAACTGTTTGAACCGATGATGCGCCGGAGCCGATGACAGCAACGCGTTCATTTGCCCATTTGTCCTGCTGGTAGTCCTCGGGCCACTGTGCGGTGTGGACTACTCGTCCTTTGAATGTCTCTGTCAGACCGGGGACATCGGGCCACTGCATTCCTACTTGGTTAATTTCCTCTCTAACCCGACGTAACAAAGATGGAGCCGTCTTACCTTTGGAGTGCTCAAGACACCTGTCGCATGCAACAACACATGGCAATGATCCTCAAACTCACGAGGTTCTTGCCCTGGTATTTGCTGCCGTAGCTTGACGGTCCAGATTCCCTCCTCCTCACGCCAGTAGCAGCCTATGACCTCGGTGTGAAAGGACATGTATTTACGGAGATCAAAAGTCTTGCAGACCGTGTCGAGATATTTCCACAAATCATCGGAAAAGGCAAAATATCGCGGCCAGTCCGGGTACTATAAGCAGGCACCCACGTTGTCAGTTTCAAGCAAGACGGGCTTGGAAGCAAGGACCCTCTCACCAATGCAAATTGGTACGTATACGCATGACTTGGAACATCACAGCCGGCACGTGGGTACTTGTTGGTGAGCCATGTTCCTGGACATCGGTTAGTTCCGAGGCCGGATAGGGTAGAGAAGCTGAGTCTGACCTCCAATGTCTCGGTTCTTCTCATAGATGACATGTTCCACGTTCTGGCAGTCTTTCCGGATACGATATGCCATCAAAATACCAGAAATACCGGCGCCAATAGTCAAGACTCGCAGTTTCCGGTTCTGAGGGTCGTTCCATGTCAGGTGTTGGGGGATGTTGTACACCGGCGCCTCTGCTGCTGGCGCTGGCGAGTGGTTCGGCTGTTGACCCTCGGGGGTTTCTTCTTTCAGGTAAGGGGCCATCGAAAAGTCTCTTGACGAATCTGTACAAGGGCATTGTTGCGTTCATCTTGGGCCGGCAAGCTGCTTTGTTAACATTTTGAGATCCTGCCTTCTCGCCCTTGCTAACGGAAAGCGGGCCAGCCCGTGTCGGCCCACGGGCAAAGTTCAGCTATCAGCCGGTCACCGAACCTTCGGCTGCATCTTGGTGTGGTCACACAAAGATGGCAACACCGCGCCTCCGCTTCGGCTGACATAAGGTAGCTGGCGCATTCAACAAGAGGGGCTTTGCAACAAGGGATTCTCATGCCCACTATTCACTTCACAACACATCTAACCGCTACCTTACTCGTTCAACATCGCAGTCAGCAACCATGGCCGTGCCCCCAGCTCCCAAGCCCCCCAGCCTCCTAGGCTACCACCGCATCCTCTCCCCCTTGGCCGGCGTCCGCGTCTCCCCGCTTTGCCTGGGCACCATGAGCTTTGGCGAAGCGTGGAAAGGCCGTCTGGGCGAGTGCACCAAGGACACAGCCTTTGAGATCCTCGATTGCTTCTACAACGCCGGCGGCAACTTTATCGACACGGCCAACTTTTACCAGGATGAGGACAGCGAGAAGTGGCTCGGCGAGTGGATCGAGGCTCGCCAGAACCGCGACGAGCTCGTCATCGCCACAAAGTATACCATGCCCTACCGCCTTCGCGGCCATGAGAAGATCAAGTCCAACTTCCAGGGCAACCAGGTCAAGAGCATGCGACTGTCTCTGGAGGCGAGCTTGAAGAAGCTCAAGACTGACTACGTCGACGTGCTGCTGGTGCATATATGGGATTACACCACCAGCGTCGAGGAGATGATGCAGGGGCTGCATCACCTTGTTTCGAGCGGCAAGGTGTTTTATCTCGGAATCAGTGGCGCTCCAGCGTGGGTTGTGGTCAAGTGCAACGAATGTAGGTCCTCCTTTCTCTGACACAAAGGTCTACGCCCAGCTTCGAGCTAAACAAGATGGAAAAGATGCCCGCCACCACGGCTTGACAAGGTTCAGTGTCTACCAAGGCCATTGGTCCTGCAGCTTCCGCGATATGGAGCGCGAGATCATCCCCATGTGCGAGTCCGAAGGTCTCGGCATCATGCCATGGGGTGTTCTCGGTCGCGGGCAGTTCAGGTCATCCGAGGACTACGCTCGCGAGGGCCGCAAGATGGGCCCCCAGGACGAGACGCATCGCCGCATGACTGCGAAGCTGAGCGAGCTTGCTGAGAGAAAGAACACGGTTCCGACTAGCATTGCCCTCGCTTACGTGATGCACAAGGTGCCCTACGTTTTCCCCGTCCTTGGTGGTCGGAAGGTCGAGCATCTCAAGAGCAACATTGAGGCCCTCAGCATCGAGCTGACCGCCGAGGAAATCCAAGAGATTGATAACTCTGAGCCGTTTGATCCTGGCTATCCTCTGAACTTTTTGTTCGAGACCCCAGCGCAGAGATACCGGTTGGATATGTCTGCGAGGCATATTTGGCAGTTGACATGCAACACCAGGTTGGAGACAGTTCCAAAGCCAAGAGTGAGTTATTCATGCCGTTTCTCAACCGACTAAAGAGAAGTTACTGACTGTTGATATAGCCCATTGAACCTAAGCAGGGGATGAAACAGTTTGATTTGTAGACTTGGATTGGGAAACGTGGACAGGATGGAGCACAGATCCTAGATACTTCGATGATTGAAAACGCAATATGGTATTCCTTCCCAGCTGAACGCAAACTAGGTACGAGCAGTGTGACGTCCACTCAAAGCCGTGTGGTGGCAATTGTGACATGAGTAAATTCATGAACATGTTCCATGTCCAGACCGTCTATAGAAATAATAGGCTTGCATCCACGATGGGCCTGACAACAAAAGTCGATTGCAAGCGAGATCCTGATGTCGGCGGACACTCCCCGATAAATTGCCTGATGCAGAATCATATCGCCGTCCTGTGGTCGGCTTTGGCTCTGAAGCACCCCGAGCGGTTTCTTGAGCCAGTGAACTCTCGAAAGCCCCGTCGTCGTGAATCGGCCCGGTCACCAAGGCACACAGGTTCCCGGCACCGGTGCCCGAGGATGTACGCTGTGGGTCGTAACTCAGGCAAGGCTATAACTCTCTGACTTCTTCTAATCAACTTGCCTGGTACACTCACCTATCACTTTACTCATCACTCTATCTGCCACTCTATATTTCCCACCACATCCACGCCACAATGACGGAAACCACCCCAACCACCACCCCCTCCTCCCCACCATCATCACCAAAAGACCCCTTCCGCCTCGACGGCAAAGTAGCCCTAGTAACCGGCTCCGGCCGCGGCATAGGCGCAGGAATAGCCCTCGCCCTCGCCCACCGCGGCGCAAAGCTCATCATCAACTACGCGCACTCATCCGCGCCAGCCGAAGCCCTCGTCTCCGAAATCAAAGCCCTCGGCCCCGGCTCCGACGCCATCGCCATCAAAGCCGACGTCTCTGACGTGGACCAAATCACGGCGCTCATGTCCCAGGCCGTCGCCCATTTTGGCAAGCTCGACATCGTCGCCTCCAACAGCGGTGTTGTGTCCTTTGGTCATTTGAAGGATGTCACCCCTGAGGAGTTTGACAGGGTTTTTGGCGTGAACACGAGGGGGCAGTTTTTTGTTGCGAGGGAGGCGTATAGACATTTGGAGGTGGGGGGACGGATTATAATGACTAGCTCGAATACGGCGAGTGTGAAGGGGGTGCCGAAGCATGCTGTTTATAGTGGTTCTAAGGGGGCGGTGGAGACTTTTGTGAGGTGTTTGGTATGTTTTTCTTTTTTTTTTTTTCTAAATTCACAATTCACGGACAAGGATGGGGAAAAGATGATGTTAACAACTGGGTCTGTCAAGGCCATCGACTGCGGAGACAAAAAGATCACCGTCAATGCTGTCGCGCCTGGGGCGATCAAGACGGACATGTATGCTGCTGTGGCTCGCGAGTACATCCCTGGTGGGGAGAACTTTACCGACGAGCAGGTTGATGAGGTATGATATTCCTTTCGCTCTCTGTAACTTGAGTTGTACTAATCCCATTTCTTCTCTCTCAAAACAGTGTGCAGCTTGGCTATCGCCCCTTCAGCGGGTGGGACTGCCTGACGATGTTGCCCGCGCGGTGTGCTTTCTAGCCTCGGACGCTGCCGAATGGGTCAATGGCAAGATCATCGGCATTGATGGTGGTGCGTTTAGGTAACCGAGTCGATTGTTGGTCGGGGATTCAGAGATTAGTAAGGGTGCTGCGCGCATTTCGGTCACCGAAGGGTGGTGTGATCCCCGAGTAGCAGGATCACACCAAGCTTGAACACCATTCGTGCCCGCATTTTTAATGTGTTCTCCCTTTTACTTTCAGAATGGGAACTTTGTTATGTTGCATTTCTGCGCCTATATGCTCGAAATATCCAAGAAATCGGTTACAATGACATACGTACATAGCGGCACCAGATTATGACCCAATTGTGCCCCAAACCCGTCGTTGGACAAGACTATTCACAAAGGGGCTTGATCATTATAGATAATCAGTCCTACCAAAAGCAGGCGACGCAATACTTTGCCATTTATCTCCACACGGTGATGATGTCACAAAGCCACCTTAAACCCCCTAAAGCACCCCTGAACCCCTATTCACCCCTCTTCCCAGGAGGAACATTCGCCATAGCCTCCTCCGCCAACACCGGCCTCCCCGCCACATCAGAAAAAATTGGCTGCTCATAAACATGTAAAAACCACTTCGTACACGCCGGGTGTGCACCCCGCCACTCCCCGTCCAAAAAGAACCTAAATGCCCCAGCAATAATCCCCGCGACAAACAGATCAGCAAGGGAGAGTGTTTCCCCAACGAGATAAGAAGTCGTCTTCGCAGCGAGGTGGTCCTCGATGATCTGAAGCCTCTTGAGTGTTGCTTGCCTGTTGAGCTCGACTTCTTCCTGCACAAAGGGTGAGCGACCGATCAAGGGGTTGAACCACCCGCCGAGGGAGGGGAGGATCTCTGAGTTGGCGAAGGACATCCAGCGGAGGATGCTGGCGTGGTTTTCGGTGTTGCCGGAGCCGAGGAGGGGGGTGGTTTTGTCTTGGGATGTGACTGCATATGAGGGTTAGTAACGCGAGAGAGAGAGAAGATAGATTGGGTGAGAGAATGTACTGTAGATGGCAATTGCTATGCACTCGGACAGGATGAAACCGTTTGCGCCGACGAATGTGGGGATTTTGCCGAGGGGGTTCAGCTTTAGGTATTCTTCTGGCGCCTGTTGGGATGAGGTGATTGTCACGAGGTCCAGTGGGAGGTTGGAAGCTTTGGCAACTGCCAGGATGGCTGTTGAACGGGGGTTGAACTGTGGTCTGTGTCAGCGTTGTGGTTTGAAGGTATTGCAAGAGATGAACCATCATACAGGGCGCGTGTACAGGATACCGAAGGCCATGATGGAGAAGTGTGGTTGGAAATGCTAGCAAGTCAGGTGCTGGCAAGAGCGCTTCCAGGGTGAATGGCTTAGCTGCGGAGGATGCCTAAGCAAGACTTGATATCAAGTATGAGATTGATAGCTAAGCTAGGTAGCCTGGGCACATTCTTGTTCCTATATCTATTGGTAGATGCAGTGGTCCCCGATTGGATCAGATGCCGACTGTCTCGTTCCGACATCCCATAACCACGGCCCTCAAGCTCTCCCGGTCCGTGAATATATCCTCATCCTCAGCAACCTCCGGCAGCGACATAATGGGTACGAAATCTCTAAATGCCTCTTCGCTCGCAAAGTTTATAATGGCAAAGCCATCAAAGTTGATATTTTCGGGATTTCCGACCAACATGTTCAAGGGGTACGTAGGGCTCGCCGAATCCCGAGCAAGATAGTGACGGGTGTGAGACAAGGGGAATCGGGGGCCGGCGAGAGACTGGAGCAGAGGGACATGAACATTTTCCCAGTGGTCCTTGAACTGCTCGGGTGATATGTCTGACTTGCGGGTAACGAAGATGATGATTGTATATGGCTTCGAGCTGGAAGACATGGCGGCGGCTGTGGAAAGCGACGAGGGCTCAAGGACCTGATGCGGAGATAAAAATTGGTTGAAGAAAAAACGCAGTCTCCTTGGTTTTGTCCCGAAGTCTCGGTAAGTGCCTGCACGTCTTCGGAAGCCGACCTGCGCCACATGCGCACAGCAGTCGGACTTTGAACCGAAAGGTAGCCACCCTGTACCACCCAGAGATTACATTTGTTCTACCTAGGGTGAAACGTCTAGATCGCGAGGGCATTACTTTTCACGTTAGGCTGGGAGATCTTCTCTGATTTGTCCGGTGAAACGACCATCCCACAAACAATAGTAATCACGATGTATGCATCACAGGTTTTTGTGCTTGGTGCCATAAGTGCCCTACTCCTCTTCGTAACGAGATTCTATGCCGCTCGCAAGCAAGTATGGAAGCTGAAGAGCGCCAATCTCGTGAGTTCTGGCCTGACACCACGCCCTGCCCAGTAAGCTAATCTGTTTTGGCAGCCAATGCCAGAGTTCAATCTCACGTCTGGTCACTTCCTGGCTTTGAAGGAGACTGTCAAGACTCTTCCGAAAAACGCAACCCTGCACACGGTCATGATGCAACTGTCAAAGAAGTTTCCCTCCGGAATGTTCTACATCAACATGTGGCCTTTTAGCGGCACGTGGCTTGTGGTGACGACGCCCTTGGGAGCTTCACAATGTCAAACTCTGAATCTTATCAAGCCATCGATTCTCACAAAACCACTGGAAACCATCGGCGGTGGGCCAAGTCTGATCACCATGAATGGAGAGACGCATAAGAAATGGCGTAGTCTATTCAACCCAGGATTTAGCCCCAGCTATCTCGTGGGGCTGGCTCCGATGATTGCGGATGAAGTGGCTGTATTTTGCCGTCTGTTGAGGGAACAGGCTGGGAACAAGAACGCGGAGGTGCTAAAGTTGGAAGATCTGACATTACGCCTAACAGTTGACACGATTGGAGCCGTTGCTCTGTGAGTCTAGCAAAGGTTATTACCACAGAGCCGAATGTCTGCTAATGGCCATGCGTGCCCCCTGCAGAGACACAAGGCTACACCATCAGACAAAGGATAGCCAACTTGCTCTGGCACTTCAGCGGCAAATCGAATGGACATCATTCGGGACCACCTTTAACCCATTCAAACGCTACCTCACCATCCGCCCCTTGGTGCTGTGGTACAACAACCGCATCATGGATCGGCTCATTGGCCAGGAAATCGACAAGAGATACACTGAGCATCTGCAGGATCAAGGCTCAGGTGAAAGGCGCTCCAAATCCGTCATGTCGCTCGTGCTGGCTCAGTTCCTAGAAGAAGCCCAAGTCAAAGGCGCCCCGCCCCCTCTATCCGAGTTCAAGAAACTAGTTGCGCCCCAACTGCGCGGATTCCTGTTTGCTGGCCGAGACACGACGAGTAGCACCCTTCTCTATTGTTTTCACCTCTTGGCTACGCATCCCGAAGCGCTCAAAAGACTCCGCAGCGAGCATGGTGAAGTCTTTGGCGACAGGCTGGACGCGTCAAAAGCCCACCAGGCCATTGTAAAGGAACCTCAACGGCTCAACCAACTGCCGTACACGACAGCGGTGATTAAGGAAGCGCTTCGGCTGTTTCCTCCCTCTGCGTCTCTACGCGAAGGCCGCGCTGGAGTCGATCTTGTGGATGAGAAAGGAAGGCGGTATCCCACCGAGGGATGCAATGTGTGGACGCTGACAGTGGCGCTGCATCACAATGCCGTTTATTGGAAGCAGGCCGAGTCGTTTGTGCCAGAGCGGTGGTTGGTGGGACCCGAGGATCCCATGTACCCCGTCAAGGGGGCGTGGAGGGCATTTGAGCTTGGTTCTAGGGCTTGCATTGGGCAGACGTTGGCGCTCATGGAACTTCGAGTTGCGCTGGTGATGACACTCTCCGAGTTTGATATCACTCCGGCGTACGAGGATTGGGATAGGATGCATCCGAGGTCGGATGTCAAGGTGGTGAATGGAAATAGGGCTTATCAGGCAGAGAAGGGTGGTGGTGGTGCGCATCCTGCTGATGGATTTCCTTGTCGGGTTACGCTTCGCGACATGGATGGTAGAGAGGGTGACGTTCAGGGTTAACGTACCATTCTTCAGCTTTCCCATGTCAAAACTCCATATATTCAGAAATACTAAATCATCTTTCTTATTCCCTCTCACTTGGAACGAACGGGTGACAAATGCCCATGACTGTGTTTATTTCTTAGCATGACCTACTGCCCCTGAGCTGCCCCTGGCTAACCCCTAGCTAACCCCTGAATCCAGGATCCACTATCCACAAGATCACCAGCCTCCTCAAACAAAACCGGTCGACGCATTACACAGGCACCATCACCTCACTTTCCAGCCAAAATATCAGCAGCAATCTTCTCCGCCAATGCGTACACCGTCCCCATAGGCTGCCCATCAATCGCAAACGGGAACGCCGACGCATCCACCACCCGAACACCATCCACCCCCAAAACCCTCGCATTCGAGTCCACCACCGCATTCGGATCATCCCTCTTCCCCATAGCGCAAGTCCCCACACCAGCGTAATACGCATCCGACGTCTCAGCAATATAATTGTAAATCTCCTCATCAGTCTGATACCTCTCCCCAGGCAGAATCTCCGGCCCATCAATCACCTCTTGCATCGTCTCCGACGCCACAATAGCCCTGCACCGGCGAAACGCAGCAACAGCCATCTCCTTATCCCTCGGATCGTCCAACCAACGGGGATCAACAATCGGATTCTGCGCCGTATCAGTACTGTTAATCGTCACCGACCCCCGACTGAACGTCGCCATCAGCGCCGCCGACATGCTAAAGTAATTCTTCCCATCATACTGTGGGACAAACGTGTCGTCCAAGGCAATGTAGGAAAAAGTCGGCCAGTCCTCAGGGAATTCTTTTTCGATATCTGCCGCCGTCGAGTCCTTGAGCATGCCGGGCTGGTGCTTCTCAAAGGCAAAGTAGTCCTGCCCGGGGTTGGTCAGCAGCCCGGTGCGGAAGTTGTTGTACTCGTAGATGGACCGGGGGAGGGTCTCCTTGCTGCCCATCAGCTGGCTGTGGCTTTCTACTTTTACCGGGCTGGTCGGGCCGAGGATGATGGTGTCTTGCATGTTCTTGCCGACGCCGGGGCGGTCGGAGAGGACGGGGATGTCGAGCTTCTCGAGGGTGTCCCGGGGTCCGATGCCCGAGACCATCAGGAGCTGGGGGGAGCGCATCACGCCGGCGGAGAGGATGACTTCTTTTTTGGCGCCAATGGTCCACTCGAAGCCGTCGGTGCTCACCTTGACGCCGGTTGCCTTTTTCTTGTCGTCGAATAAGATCTTCTTGACAAGGGTGCGAGTGTAAAAGTTGAGGTTGTTGCTCTCGAGGAGGGCGTCGTGGAGGTAGGAGGTGGATGCTGTCTCGCGGCGCCGGGTGTAAGGGTTGATGGTGTGCGTGATGTAGGACCGGCCGAGCAGGTTGCCGTCGGAGAAGCCTTGCACTTCGGGAAAGCCCAGTTTGGCGAGTGCCTTGTCCACCCAGGATGAGATGGCGTTAGTCCAGTAGGGGTAGGCGACGTGGACTGGCCCGCCGGACTCGGAGAATGCAGAAAGGTTGTTGACGGCAGTGGCATTGGCAGGTCTTGGGTTTGTGTTGGGGCCGGAAAACTTTACGCTTTTCTGGAAGTACGGCAGCCAGTTGTCCCAGGTGTATGCATCGTCACCGACCTGCTCGGCCCATTTCTTATAGGCCCCTTTTGAGCCGCGGTGATAGAGCATCGCGCCGCGGGCTGTGCTGCCACCTAGTGTCTTTCCCTGCATGTAAAACATGGCTCTTTTGGCGAGACCCTACAATGATGCGTTAGCTCTCCTGTTCCTCTGAGTGTCCGAAGAGAGGGTGTACATACTGGCTGTGGCACAGTGTACTGATACCAGTCAAACAAGGGGTTCTTCACGTGGCCATTATCGAAGAAGTAGTTGAACAGATACATGGGCACCTCGGTCATATTTCCCCCCTCAATCTCGTAGAAACCGCCTGCTTCGATCACAGCCACCGAGTTGGCGTTGTCTTCGGAAAGTCGCTTGGCCATCGCTAAGCCAGCAGTGCCCCCGCCAACAATCACGTAGTCGAATGATTGCCCTGGCCAACCGTAGGGCCCGAAGTGCGAGCTAAGCAAGTCTTTTGCCTGGATACGACCATCCATGCGAGCTTCATCATGATTTTTTGTCGTGGTGAACAGGGACGAGACTCGAGGAATAGCATTGAAGGCAGAGAGATACAGCGGCTGCTGTGTTGCAGTGGCAATGCCAACGCTGATTGTCCGCGACAGGGCGACGAGGTAGAGTGGCAGGGATCTCATTTTGAGCGTCAAGTGGGTAGGTAATGTTAACAGTTCGGCAAAGCTGGAATATAGTTGAACACTACTAGTGAGATCAAGTGAATCTATATAGCCAAGAGAGTCGCTTTTGGCTATGTAGGTACCTACCCATCTCGGATTCCAATCTGTTCAATTGCTATATGTCGGACCGTACTGTGCCTCCGTCTATCGGTGTCCAGCTTTGAGGGTGTATACCCTAGTAGGGTTCGCTTTCCGGAGCCAGAGCGAGCCGCATACCGATGGTGCCGACTTTCGCGATGGCCGTTTGCAGCTCTGTATAAAGTTGAACCCAGTGTCGCTCCCAATGTCGTTCGGTCAACGACGTCTTGCTGAAAACACCTTCACACGAATAATCGCACACCATGGCCGGTATTGGAGTCGAGGCAATCGCAGTCGTGACAGGATGCTTCCTCTCGGGTAAGGATCAACCCCGTCCTGAAGCTACAAGCCGACAAACTAAGCACCTGCGCGCGCAGGAGCCATCATGAGCGTCTTCCTGATCACGATTCCGGTGCTCATCGCAACGACAAAGGAGCCGGCAAAGTTGGTCAACCAATGGAGACGTGTGTATCTCAGCGGTCACGTCAAAGGACCGGCCATAGCAACAACTACGGGTCTCGTCTACGTCTATGCGGCCTGGAGCAAATACGCAGCCGGCGAGCCGTGGCGTGTTTTTGCCCTCGCCGGAGCGACGACGGTTTCCATCGTGCCTTACACCTTGACTTTTATGCAAGGGATCAACAATGCGCTTTTCCGTGCCGATGCTCTGACTGGCAAGGGAGTTGAGCCCTCGTGGGCCGATGCCGAGACGTTGGTGCTTCGATGGGGCCGGCTTAATGCTATTCGGGCGTTGATTCCTCTCGCCGGGGGGATCATTGGACTTTTGGGCACTTGCCAGGTGTTGTCATTTTAGAGTACCTAGCAGGAGTGTCAGGTGTCAGAACTGAGAATATGGTGTAACCCCGCGATAAGGAAATGCATGTGGTCAGCCTGTGCCGCCCCCCGACAGTGCTGTTCTGTTGGCATTGGTCGTTGTCCAGCAAGAGACCCGGCCTCTTGGCTCCCCGTTTCGCTCCCCGATGTGCATCTTGGGCCGTTGTGTAGTCCACCACGGCTAGATATAGGGTACACAAGATGGTTCCAATACCTCGTTGCGTCCCGTCAACATTCTACACGTAGACGCTAAAATCGAACATCTTGTCATAACGTGTAACAGCATGGGTCCACTACTGCTCTTGGTTGGACTGGTGTTCCTTTACCCCCTTTACCATGTCATCTACAATCTTTTCTTCCACCCCTTAGCCTCCTACCCCGGCCCCCTTCTCTGGCGGGCAAGCTCCTTCCCATGGAAGCTCACACTCCTCCGCGGGACCATGCATCACGATCTGATGCGATTCCATCAAAAGTACGGCGACACCGTCCGCCTCAAGCCCGATGAAATCAGCTACGCAAACGCCCAAGCCTGGAAAGACATCCACGCACACGTCCCAGGTCGTCCGGAATTCCTCAAAGACCCCGTTCGCCTCCCCCTGGCACCCAACGGCATCATGAGCATCCTCGTCTCCGACACCAGAAACCACGCCCGCTTCCGCAGCTTGTTCGGCCACGCTTTCAGTGACAAAGGCCTGCGCGTCCAAGAGGCAAACATCATCCGCTATGCCGACCTCCTGGTCGATGTCCTCCGGGAAGTCGCCGACACGGACTCAGCCATCGAAATGGTGCGGTACTACAACATGGGCATCTTCGACTCGATCGGCGCCCTCTCCTTTGGTGAGTCCTTCAACAGCCTGGCCGATCGAACCCTCCACCCCTGGGTCGACGCCATCCACAAAAACCTCAAGAGCGTGGCCATCTCGCACGTCTTGCGGAGCATGGGAGTCGAGTTCCTCACCCCTTACGTCCTCCCCGAAGAACTGCGGGGGAAGCGCGCCGAGAATTACAAGTACGCCATCGAAAAGGTCAACCGCCGGCTGCAAAAGACGGGCGACCAGAATGACTTTTGGGATCGCGTCATCGTCAAGAGCGGCGACGGGAACGAGTCCGGCCAGGGGATGAGCCAGGGGGAGATGCTCAACAATGCCGCCGTGATGGTCGTTGCCGGGTCAGAGACGACATCCTCTGTCCTCTGCGGCGCCACATTTCTCATGTGCAAATACGTCAAGTTCGACAAGGCAGCGCACGAGGTCCGCTCGGCGTTCAAGAGGTCGGAGGATATCACCCTGTTGACTGTCTCCCCTCTGCCTTACCTCACTGCTGTCATTGACGAGACCCTTCGCATGTACCCCGCCGTTCCGGGCCAACCACCGCGCGTCGTGCCCGCGGGAGGAGCCATGGTTTGTGGCAAATTCATCCCCGAGGGCGTAAGTGCTTCCTTTCTCTCTGCCCACCTACCTACCTCAGAAACACAATCAACTGATGACTATGCGGCATAAAGATGCGCGTCGGTATAAGCCACATCGGCACGTATTACGCCGACTACAACTTCACCAAACCTCACGAATTCATCCCCGAGCGCTTCATCAACAAGGATGATCCGATGTTTGCCAACGACAATTACGCCGCTTACCAGCCGTGGTCTGTCGGGGTGCGCAACTGCATCGGGCGCAACCTTGCCTACGCCGAGCTGCGCTTGACACTGGCCAAGTTGCTGTGGCATTTTGACCTTGTGCTGGACGAGGCCAAGACGGGAGACTTTCTGGACCAGAAGATCTGGTCCATCTGGGCGAAGAGGGAGCTGTATGTCAAGCTGTACTCTCGCAAGGACTGATGGACTGGTGGACATGATTAGGGCGGTAGTAACTTGAATGATAATCAACCATGAACCCCTTATATCATTGCGTACTCTGTGGTTTTAAATACAAGAGGCTCAAACAAAGCTGAAGCAACCTGTTGTTGAAAAATATGTCAGGAATTGATAACTGGACAGAAATAATCCCATGTAGAACTTCACCAAACAAAAGAAATGAGAGGACGTCTTCAAAGTGATCAGCAGGCTAGGTGCACCTATTCCTTCATCTGCTTCAACAACCTCAACAACACCCCACTCCCAGTAACCCTCTGAACCATCTCGATATACTCTCTCTCCACCGAAAAAGGCCTACCCACCACATTCGGGATCCACAGGCCCACCAACTCCTCCGGCCTGATGTCCGCAACATGAATGCTCTGCGACAAATAGGCCCGATAGTCATCAATCTGCGGCCGTAGTGCCCTTGAGTGGAAAGGGATGTCGATACCCGTCAGAGGGATAGTGGCCTTTCCACGTCTAAGAGCGTCTGAGCTGGAGAGAAGTTGAGCACGGGGAATAAGACCGCGCACCAAGCCCCTGAGTGTGGTTATGTCAAGCCTTTCCGGTTCAGGTTTTGTCGAGAGGTCATCGCAGGCTTTGCCGAGGATCCAAAGCGGTTGGAACTAGGGGTATATGAGCAAGAAGTGATGGCGGGGAGGGTGAAGAGATGAGGAAGAACTGACATGACCGGCGCAGACATACTGCTGGGAGCGAATGTTGTAGTTTACTGTCTCTAACAAGAGGCCTGTTTCCTCTGCGATCACTTGCACCAGGGCTTGCAGGTGATCCTCCCCGAAGACTAGGTAAAGCAAGGCGAGTGAGAACTCATTCAAGGCTGCGAATTGGGGAAATGGGGCAAGATACCTAGGCTGATCCGTGAAGGATCAACAGCAACCATGCTGTAATCCGTCCTGTCACCTGCATCACGGGGCAAGGCATTCTGCATCTTCAACCCGCGGTAGTATATGAGCGATAGCAGGCTCTCAAACTGCATGAACGACGTGCAAGCCCCCAGAGCGGCATATTCGCCAAGTGAATGTCCTGCAAAGCGTGCGCCTGTCTGAACAACGCCTCTGGTCCGCAAATGTACATATTCTGCCATCTCCATGACAACTAATGCTGGTTGTGCGAACTGTGTTGACATGAGAAGACCAGTCGAGTGGGAGAATGTGTACGACTTCGACCGTGTTGTCAGGCCGCGCAGGATTGGCTCCTCTCTGCTGTCCCCGCCAGCTGTCAAAACTCGTCGGGTCATTCCGAGATACATATTTCGAATGTGTCGTCCACGGCTGCCTCCAAAGTAGACGGTGAGCGTCTTGGGATTGTCTTGAACGATGTGCCTGAGCGAGAACCCGTAGTGCATTCTCAGATGATCCTCTGCTCGATCCCACAGCGCTTTTGCCTCGGGCCTCGTGGCGTAAAGTGACATGCCCATGCCTTTTTCCTGACCTCCTTGGCCGCAAAAGACATATGCGGTGTCAGGCTGCTCAACATCTGCTTCGGCAGCGAGCACCCTTTCCCCCGTTTCGTCGTTGAAGGTCTGTATACTGAGAATCATCCTGCCATCCTCCACAGCAACATGTTGCATCTCGACTCTCAACCTGTCGTTTGGTCGTACCATGGCCTCGAAGCTTGCCTGCCAGCCTTTGAACCGGGTCCGGTCCGTATCTCCTATAGCCCATTCGACTGCTCGACGGACAATCGCTGACGTGTGCATCCCATGAACCACTGTCCCATGAAGACCAGCATATCGAGCAAACAAGGGGCACACGTGTATCGGGTTTGTGTCATGCGAAACAGCTGCGTAAGGGGCGCTTTCGGCGGGTGCACGTACAAGAATCGGCGTGACACCCGTCCATCCTGGATTCTCCAGCTGTTGTCGAGCAGTGAGAGGTGATCCATGTCGGCGGAGAAAATCCATGATTGGATTACCGAGGCAAGAGTCTTGCTCAAAATACACTCGGCCGAGTTGGATAGGGGCTGAAGTGTCGCTCTGCTCTGCCAGAGTCACGACGCCGGACACCTGCAGCAAGGCATTCCCATTCTCGTTGTCGTGTATGGTGTGAGTGGTGAGTTTGAACCTGAGTCTCTGTCCAATCAGGTCGGGCGGCTGTTCGTCAAATATCAACCATTTCCGGCTTATCAGAAGGGCATTCTTGACGGGCGAGTCAACATGTACCACCGCCTCCGGCTCTCTCACTGAGGTGAACTGTTCCTCGGCGCCTCCTTGTTCGCCACGCAAGAAGAATTCTGTCTCGATGGTGACCACCCGCTCACCTTGCCTTCGGATATCTGCAGAGATTTTGACCAGCTTTCCCGTCGCCGTCGTGGCCACCGCCGTGATGCGCGAAAATGCCTGTACCGTATCCCCAACCTGCAGCGGCCTGGCGGATGGAGCGTAACGAAAGGATATCGACCGGTGAAGAAGCCGCAGTAGATTGCAGTTCAAACCTGGGATCAGAAGGGGCTTGGTGAGAGCAGTCCACGCCACAACGATGCAGTAGTCGAGAGGAATAAGAAGACCACTGGGGTTCCACGAACGAAGCTGTGCTCCGCTGCTTCTTCGGATGACATTGATGTAATCATAGATATTCCGCTCACAGATAATCATTTCGTTTCCGGTGAACTCGGAGCTCAATCCCGTAACTTGAGGAGGACCTGGGCAAACATCGTGGATCCACAGCCGGTGGTATAAAGACTTTACGGTTGCGGTGTGTGTCGAAGCATTCTCGTAGAGTCTGCAGCCCTTGGGCCCCTGGTGAACCTTGAGCGGGAACTTTACTTCGGTCACCCGTTTCGTGGCGACAGAGGGAGAAAGGATGAGTGTGACGACGATATCTCCGATGCGGTTGTGGGTAATTTTGAGACTGGTACGTGGGTTTTTCGCTGTTGAAGAACCCGGACTGAGAACAATCTCGTTAAAACATGAGTCCTCAGTCGCCCGTCTCATCTCAATCGTATCACGAGCAACGGGGAGGAATGCCGTCTTGATCGGATTTTGGCAACGAGAAGTACCCCTGAAAATCCAGTCGTCTTCCAGGCACTTTTCTGCCCATGACCCAGCAACATTGACTATGTGCTTGATGAGCCTCTCGGTCTCCAAATCTTTGAAATCCTTAGTCAGTTCCATCCGATATGTCACGCCATGAGTTGTCGACAGGACTCCAGCAATCGCGGGCAGGTTAGGCGTCATCGGTGCTGTAGTTTCTGTAACCAAGCTCATGGGTGTGGGCTTGTATCCCCTTTCCAGCATCATCCAAACATGCGCCTGGCAAATGGAGTCGAGTATGTCTTTGGCGGACTCATCCAAGGCGGTGCAGTGTCGAACGGCAACTGGCCCTTGAATCACGCAGACGCGCTCGGCATCTTGGCCAACGACGGCATCAATGTCCTCAGACTGCCACAGCGAGTCCTTCTTGAACCAAGTGAGAAAGTGTTCGTCGAGCACTGGGATAAAAGGGACCGGCTTCTGGCCTCGGCGACGAAAGAGTGCCAGAAGTAGAGAGACGTCCTCGGGATACAGTGTTTCGGAGGCACCAGTTCCCAGTGTCTGCTCAAATAGTTGGACAATATCATCCGGCCGAGAATCAGTAGAACCCACATCCGAATCATGCCCAAACCTTTCGTGTGCCAGAAGGATGAATTCTTCTACCAGAATCCGATAAGACTCATCAATCCATCGATCCTGGTGGTGAACATACATGAGCTGACACAGCCGACGTAAAACGCTCGAATAGGTCATATCTCCCAATTCAATGCTCCTGCCACTGCAATCGACAGCGAACCATGGGCGGAAGTAGTCTTGGTTCAAACGATCCGCAATCTCATCCTTGTGGTGGCGGAGATACTCAAGGCGCCTGGTCTTGTCCTTGATGGAAAAGATGCTCTGATCAAATTCCTTCCACAGCATCATCCCACGCGTGGCGAGAACATGAATGGGCTGGCCCATTTCCGACTCGACGGTTATCACGCCGCCCGTAGGTTTGTCGAAAGACTTGTGCCACTCGCCGTCCTCGACTCCTCGCGCCCTAATTATTAGCTCTTTGGCTTGGGGGGAAGTGTGGGCTTCCTTGGCCACCATCATGCGGCTGCCGAGGAGAACGCCATCCACTGGCATGGGCGGGTGTCCAAACTTGTGAGCCCATTCGCCGGTCAACAGCGGCAATGTGTCATTGCCGCAGCCGAGACCGCTGCCAACTATTAAGACAATGTTAGGAGATCTCCTTATCTGGCCGTACATGGCCAGGAGCGGTTGGTGGAAGTCCTCCCAAGAGTGGTGGCCGCCAGCTCGACCACCGGTCCATTGCAACCCGATACAGAACTCTGGGTACTGCTGTGAAATAGCAATCACCTCCTTAATTGCCCCAACGGAGCCGGGCTTGAATGAAATATGCCGCAAGCCTGGGATGGATTCGATGTATTCTTTGACCACCTCTGCTGAGGGTATGCCTGCGCCAATGGTGATACCGTTGATGGCAACTCCATCACCCGCTAAGCTGCGCAATACAGATATCTGCCAGGAAATTGTTTTGGGATTGGCGTAGAGCAGGTTGCAAGTGATACCTCGTTGCGGAGAAATGGCAGCAGCAAGGGTACGGAGGGCATGTTCGAACCCCTGTTCGTCCCGGTAGCCACCGCCAGCGAGCTCGATATGGTAGCCAGAGTTGATCACCGTGGCCACAAAGTCCCAGGCGACGGTCGTGGGTGTCATACCGGCAACCATGACAGGAGGGGCGCCAAAGAGTTTGGTCATTCTTGTCTCTAGCCGGGCCACACCGTCCTCGTCCACAACCAGACTCGGGGCAAACTGATCCTTCCAGCTGAGAGGCGCCCATGGCAATGTTAGAGATAATAACTCGTCGCGGCCGCTCGGTCCACCCGAGACAGACCTGTCTGACACTTGGATCACTCGCAGGCCAGTGCCTTCACTTTGCTCGTTTATCAGACTGCCAATCTGGCCCGGTCCAAAGTCTAGCACGTGTGTGGTGCCGGTCGAGCTGAGAGTGTGCGTGACCTGGACCCAGTCGACCGTGTCCACCGTTATGGTACGAATGATGGTGCGGAGTAAGTCGTCTGACTGAGATTCCTGGAGATTCTGTGCCGTATGTGTATGGTAAACTGGTATAGCGAAGTCATCGCGGGCGAGGGCCAACTCCAGCAGATGGGACCGCACGCTGGCGTCCACATCGATCAGATACGGGCTGTGATAGGGGCTGGATATCGGGAGGAACTGTACGCCGACGGTCGGTTTGCGCCTACGGTACAAAACTCTGGTCTGGTCCAATCCGTCGCGAGCCTTGATCTGTCGAAGTTGGACGCACAGGCTACGAAGCGACCCAGGTGGACCTGCGAGAACGAACTTCTCCTTTGAGTTTACCAGAGCAATATGTACTGAGTTGCCATTGCCGAGCGCTCTGTTGGTCCTTTCCAAACGTAGTGTGAGCTGGTCTTGACTCAGACCTGAGACCGCCAGCATGGACGACGGATAGCCCTCTTCATGTTCGACGCAATCTGCAATAGCCGCGGCAGGCAGGGCGCAAGGAGGAGTAGCGTAGTGGGACTCCAAACCAATCCAAAAGGAGATGCGGAGAGCTTCATCGGAGGCTTGATAGAAGGACGACCAACTATTTGCTTTGGCAACGACCACGGCTGCCAGAAGCCCTTGTGAGTGACCGGTCACAGCATGAAGCAGATCCCTGAGTTGGCCAGGACGCTTGCCGAGAGCCTGGCATGTGATGCAGTATTGTGCCAGACTGAGTAGGGTGTTGAGAGGGAAGCTGATGGGAGAAAGAGCAAGGCGATCTTCGGAGGGTGCCAACTCTGGATTGTCGAGCCAGGCTTGGAGATGGAAACCTAACTCCTGGTGAAAGTCGCTCTTGTGTGGTTGTGATGACAGCTGGGACAATGTTGCCGATGCATTTTCCGTCAGAGTCCTGAGGTTCGGTCCATGACGCTCGACCAAGTCCCTGAGGTCACTTAATGCAGTCAGATTATTGTGGCCCTGGCCACCAAAGATAGCACATATTCGAGCCTTGCCGGTTTCTGCAGTTTTGAGGAGAGCAGACGAGTTCGCTCCGCCCTCTGGTGAAGGGTCGGTTTCATGGGCCAAGATTGCAGTCATGACGACGCCAACAATAATTAATCAACAAAAGAGATCGAGGCAGCAAGCAATCGTGTCGAATGGTTTAGGCACATCCAATGCAGGGGAACGAGCTGAAATTTGCATGTCTTTCACTCCATTGTTAATTCGGCCGTAATCGGAGTGCGAACATTGTGCTCATGCTTGCTCGGCCACCGTGGTCAGGCAGATGCCTACCAGATAAATCGCGACCGCCTCGATTCAACTTGTCATTGGGGCGGCGCACGACACTTCCGCATCTGCACCATGACACTTAAAACAATGAAACAAAAAGCATTGGACGACAGAGACATTGCTCACCAGCTGCTTGTTGAGCTCCTAGTGTAAGACAGCCTCTTTTCTCTCCTTCTCCTCATTGCAACAACTAATGTTTATCCCCAGCCACCAATTTGCCTTTCCGGTAAGATGGTAAGCTCATGCCTTCTCTAACAATCCAGGGCATTGAACATCTAGGAAACTCATATCAGTATACAGGACAGACACGCAGGACAACTTGCTATCTGGCAACGATGCCGTCGTTCGATTAGTCGAGCTCGGACCGTCGAGGGTGTTGGTGAACATGGCACAGAAGACGATGCTACGCAAGATCGATTCCGGAGAAGCACCGGCCGGCCGTTCTTATCAGTTCTTGGCTAGTGCCCATGACCAGAGGGAGCTTCTGTACCAATATGACCCTCCACTACAGCCCTCACCAGTTGAACTACCACCACCACCACCACCGCCGCCCAAGCCACCACAGCTCACCCCACAACTCCCAGTCCAGCCAGCACCAGGGACGGCGCCTGTCAAGGATTGCGCTTTGTCAGGGCTCGAAGTTGTGCGTATTTTGATCGCACGGAAGCTCATGAAGTCGATGGAGGAAGTACCAACTTCCAAATCCATCAAGGATCTATGTGGTGGTATGTTGTGCTACCAAGTCATGTTACTTCAGTACTGACATAATTGAAGGAAAGTCAACACTGCAAAATGAGCTAGTAGGAGATCTTCATGCTGAATTTGGCCTTCTCCCGGACAGACCAGAAGACATTCCCTTGAAGGACCTTGGCATCATCCTTGACCCAAGCCGGCCACTGGGAAAGGTTTCATCAGCCCTTGTCGCCAGACTAATAGCATCCAAAATGCCTGGCGGTTTCGGTATTGCCTCGATCCACAACTACCTCGAGCAGAGGTTGGGGCTCAGCCCTAAGCGACAGACCGCCGTGACCTTGTGGGCTGTCGCTGCTGAACCAACATCACGACTGCCAGACAACCAAGCAGCCGAGAGATACTGGGATCAGATTGCACAGGACTATGGTGCGTTCTGTGGCATCAACCTCCAACCTCGAAGCCAACAACTTCAACAAGCATCCAATGACGCCGCCAGCGCCAGGACAGTTCTTGTTGACTCATCAGCGTTCAACCAAGCCTCGGAAGCTCACAAGCGGTTAGCCACGAAGCAATACCACGCCCTTGCCGAGTATCTAGTTTTCAGTTCTTCAGACTCTTCAAGCTCTGATAAGAAACTCGTCACAGACCTGCAGCTTCAGCTTGATACCTGGTCAGCGGAATTTTCTGACGAGTTCTTGTCGGGAATTGCACCCACCTTTGATGCTGGAAAGGCGCGACAGTACACATCCTGGTGGAACTACGCCCGGGAGGAAGTGCTCACACTGTACCACAGTGGTCAACTTCACGACAAGATGACAATGGAAACCCTCATCAACCGTCTCGCAAGCCGAGCTAATGGACCACTTTCCCTTCTGGTATCTCATCTTGCAGAAGAATGTCCCTCGGAGGTCTTACGCGAGCTATTTCAGCGGGTAGTGCGTGCAAGTAATGCAGGAGTCAAAAAGCCTCCTGTTGCTCGGCCCATGTGGCCAACAGCTGGGCCACGAACGATTGTGACCGAGGACGGAGATATCGGCTATGTAGAGATTCCTCGTCCAGGCTTCTCTGGACCTGCGGCCTACGGAGACTACCTCTCTCACCGACTTGCTCAACCTCGGGAGACCGGCGATTCCCCTGTTATTCGCGTCAACGCTGCTCATGCCGATCATGAGGAATCAGATTGGACCAAGCTGTTCATCCAAGGAATATGTGACGCTCTCACAACCGGCGTCTCATTCTCAGAAAAGTCCATGCTCGTCACCGGTGCAGGTCAGGGTTCAATTGGCAGCGAGGTCATTCGCATTCTACTCGCAGGTGGCGCCCGTGTTATCGTCACCACCAGCAGGGAGCCCAGCACCGTAGCTGGCTACTTTCAGTCCATATACAGGGACCACGGTGCCAAGGGCTCGGAGCTTCACCTGCTTCAGTTCAATCAAGCCAGTTCACAGGACTGCGAGAGGCTGATAGACCACCTGTACAGCCAATCCTGGGACCTAGACGCCATCCTTCCCTTTGCCGCAGCCCCCGAAGGAGGTGCAGAGATGGATGCCCTATCCCCGACCAACGAGCTGGCACACCGATTGATGCTCACCAATGTCTTTCGTCTTCTGGGCCGCATAGTCAAGAACAAGCGTCGCTTGGAAATCGCGTGCCACCCCACTCAGGTTGTGCTCCCATTGTCACCGAACCATGGTATCTTCGGCGGTGATGGTCTCTATTCCGAATCGAAACTGGGCTTGGAAAGCCTGGTCAACCGAGCCCGCTCCGAGTCTTGGTCTGACCAGCTGTCGATATGCGGCGTGGAGATTGGTTGGACTCGATCGACGGGCCTGATGACGGCTAATGACGTTCTCGCTGAGACGATCGAGAATCATGGGGTGTTGACCTTCTCGGCGCAGGAGATGGCGCTGAATATTGCCGTGTTATTGACGTCGAAATTTGTCGATCTCTGTGAAGATGGGCCTATCTATGCTGATTTTGGCGGCGGCCTCTCGACCCTGGGTAGTTGTCACGCCATTCTGTCCAAGGCTCGAGAGGAATTTCGGCTTGCCGCTGATGTTGCGCGAGCTGTCAAGACCGAGGATGAACGCGAGCAAGCGCTCCTAAAGGGCACCAAGTCCAGTATTAAGAGACCTTTCAAGCAAAAGACGATGCTTCGAGTGGGCTTTCCGAAACTCCCAGATACGTTACCAGACCATGACATTGGTCGTTTGGTGGACCCCGCAAGAACCGTGGTTGTTGTTGGCTTCTCGGAACTGGGCCCATGGGGCAATGCCCGGCTACGCTGGGAGATGGAAACTTTTGGCCAGCTAAGTCCTGACGGGTACGTTGAAATGGCTTGGCTTATGGGGTTGATACGACACGTTGATGAACCTTGCAAGGGTGGTCATTATGTTGGGTGGGTCGATGCCAAAACAGGGGAACCGGTCGACGACAACGACGTGCGGCACAAATACGGCGAATTCATCAAGGCGCACACCGGGATCAGATTTGTCGAGCCAGATACGATTACAGGCTATGACCCAGCCTGCAAAGAGCTCTTACAAGAGGTCGCCGTGGAGGAAGACCTCCCTCCCTTTGAGACTTCTCTCTCTACGGCTGAGGCCCTACAACTGAAGCATGGAGATAAAGTAGTCATATTGCGCCTACAAGGGAACTCTGATAGTTATCAAGTTCAGATCAAACGCGGTGCTACCATCCTTGTCCCCAAAGCCGTTCCGTTCCCTTGGGGTTCAGTGGCAGGCTTGCTGCCGAGTGGATGGGATGCTGCCAGGTACGGCATTCCAAAAGACATCATCCAGCAGGTGGACCCGGTGACGTTGTACACTTTGTGCTGTGTCGCAGAGGCCTTTTACAGTGCCGGAGTCCCAGATCCAACCGAGGTGTTTCAGCACATTCATCTATCCGAGCTGGGAAACTTCATCGGTTCATCCATGGGCGGTGTCCTCAAGACCCGCCATCTCTACCGCGACGCCTATCTGGACCAAGATATTCAGGCAGACACACTCCAAGACACGTATCTGAACACCACGCCCGCTTGGATCAACATGTTGTTGCTGGGTGCAGCTGGACCCATCAAGACCCCAGTGGGGGCCTGTGCCACTGGCCTAGAGTCTATCGATTCCGCCATGGACTCCATAATGGCAGGCAAAACCAAGATGTGTCTTGTGGGAGGCTACGACGATTTCGGAGAAGAGGAGTCACTCGGATTCGCCAAGATGAAAGCCACAGTCGATGTGGCCGCGGAGCTGGCACGGGGCCGCCTGCCCTCGGAGATGTCACGGCCGACTGCAGAAAGTCGGGCTGGGTTTGTCGAGTCCCACGGTTGTGGCGTTCAGCTGCTCTGTCGTGCCGATGTTGCACTGGAAATGGGACTCCCCATCTACGGTGTCATTGCCGGATCGGCCACGGCTGCCGACGGCATTGGTCGCTCGGTGCCCGCACCTGGCCAAGGTATCCTGACCTTTGCTGGCCAGGCAGAGCAGCACATGCCACTATACACTCAGCTGTCCATCAGAAACGATAGCTTTTCCTCTGGCTCATCTTCTGAGCCGGAGCTATGGACCCCTGTGAGCGAAAAGGCTGGCTCAAAATCAACATCTTCTTCCATAGGGGCGGCTTTGGGGGCTTGGGGCCTCACGATCAATGACCTCGACGTGGCCTCGTTACACGGCACCTCTACCAAAGCCAACGACCTCAACGAGCCTGAGGTGATACACAAGCAAATGACCCACCTGGGCCGCACCGATGGTGGACCCCTCTGGGCTATCTGCCAAAAGTCCATCACTGGTCACCCAAAAGCGCCTGCTGCCGCGTGGATGATGAACGGATGCCTGCAGGTCCTCGACAGTGGTCTTGTTCCGGGAAACCGCAACGCCGACAACATCGATCCTGCCCTAAAGGCATATCACCATCTGTGCTTTCCCACTAGGACTGTCAGGATGGCTGGTGAAGGGCCCAAGGCCTTTCTGCTCACGTCATTTGGGTTTGGACAGAAAAGCGGGCAGGTTGTTGGTGTAGCACCGCGCTTCTTCTTTGGCTCGTTGCCTGCCAGCAGCTTTGCAGAATATTGCGGCAAGACCAAAGCAAGGCAGGCAAAGGCTGATAGGGCGTTTGCAAAAGCGGTCATGGAGAATCAGGTTGTGAAGGTGAAGACGGAGCCTCTGTATGTCAAAAGAGATGCGTCCCGTATCTACTTGGACCGGTCGTTGAGGGTTGGGCAGAATGATATCACGGGAGCGTACCAGTTTGCCACTGTCTCTTAGTAGTTGTTACCAGTTTCGTATTATCGGTACCCAGCTTTAATTGTTCACGCATTGGTTCAGCTTCAATGATGATTGCCATTCTTCTAACCCAACTGTCTAGTCACTGGCCACCCAATGAATTCCCTTGAACATGTTTCCCCAGAATACCTTTTGATGCTCCGCAAGACTCTTGCAAGGGAACAACCACGAGTAGTGCGGATAACCAGGATAAGCATCGTACAGAACCGCCACGCCAGCTTCCTCAAGACTATCCTTCATGAGCCTTGCGTCATCTCGCAGCGTATCCGCCCCAGACTCGGTCACGTATACCTTCTTCAAATCCCCGAGGCGGGGGTGAAGAAGAACAGACAGATATGGATCCTCCGGCGTGCCACCATACGTGTCCAACCAGGATAGCATCGCCGACTTGCTGTTGACCGTGTACTCGTCATTCTCGTCATACGAGGTATAACCCTCCCTCTTGTCCAGCGGCACAGCATCAGGGTGAACCGTCACCGGAGCCAACGCCACCACTCCCTTGACCCTATCCCGCATACCCATCATCTCAATGAGCTTCAGCCCGACCCCAAACGCAAGATTGCCACCGCTAGAAGTCCCCATCAAGGTAATCTCGTCAGCACCAAAGTGATCGAGGGCCCAAACGGCAGCAGCCACCCCGTCGTTCAACCCAGTCGGGAACTTGAACTCGGGCGCGAGTCGATACCCGACGCTGACGATCCTCATCTGGGCATTCTTGCTTAGGGCGCGGGCGAAGCCATCTTCTTGCTCGACGCTGCCCATGACGAAGCCGCCTCCGTGGAAGTAGACCCCGAGAGGGAGATTGGCGTCACTGGCGTCGTTGGGGGTGTAAGTCCGGACCGAGAAGTCGCCGAGATGGACTGTCTCGGTGATTATGGTCGGGTCGGGGGGAGGGAAGCCGTATCGTTGCATCATTTTGCTGATGAGGATGTTCCATTGCTGCTTGGTTTCGTCCGTGGAGCCGGTTAGATGGGGTGCTTGGCCGAGGTCGGCGATGAACTGGCGGGATTGGGGGTGAATATGGGGGCCCTTTCCCGATCATGTAGGGGTGAGTCTTACCTCGCGATAGGGTTTTTCCAAGCGGGATTCGGCGTTCATTTTGGGCAAAGCGGGTGGTAGACAGTGGGACAGAATGAGGAAAAAGGGGCAGCCTTGTCTGACCCAGGATCAACTTTGAGTGGAATAGGTGCTTTTATGGGTCGGTGGCCGAAGGGTTCATCCAAGTGCGGATAGCGCACGGCGTCTTTAGGTGTCAATAACTCCAGCAACCTTCGGCCACCGGGGTTTTATACATGTCAGTTATTCGGGTCAAGATGTTCATTGCCCTCGCCCAAAGTCAACCCTTCACACCTAGCAAGTCAATAAACGATTACGAAGCAATCTTATCAGCAAGCCAGCCAACCAACCAACGATGCCTGTTTACCACGTTGCTCTTTTCAAACTCAAACCAGAGGCTGACCCCAACAAGGTGAAGCAGTGGCAAGCACTAGCTGAGGGAATGGTCGGACAAGTACCTGGTAGCACCAGCACTCCATGCATCTCACCGAGGAGGATTGCTAACAGGTCTTCCAGGCCTTATAGGTCTTCAGGCAGGCGCGCCCATTGCCTTGACGGCACCCATGGCAAAGGGCTTTGACATGGGCGTGGTGGTGCACCTGGATTACGTCGAGAGTCTGGCGACCTTTTTTACCCATCCCAGTCATGAGGAGTGAGTTGTTCTTGTGTCCACTCCATTGATAATCAGGTATTTTTCCAAGCAAGGGTTCCTCTAATTCCAGGTGTCAATCAGGGTCAATGAACTGTACAAAGATGTTTGTGAGATGGGTAGCACTATTGGATATGACATTGAGTTTTAGTTTTAAAAGTTTGCTGCTTGCCAATGGGACGCTACACATTGAGACTACCTAGGTGCCGTGAAACCACTCTGTGTCATACCTACCTACCGGAGTTAAAACCAATCATATGTGTAAAAGAGATAAGGCACATCAATGATATTCAAAACTCTCACGTCAGTGTCAGCCCAGGTGGCTAAAGTCACGCATCAAACCCAGCCTCCCTCCTCCTCTTCATAATCGGCCTCAGTTGATCCCCCGCCCACCCATCCTCATAGTCATCCTTGAGATCAAACGTCCCCTCAGGCTGAATAGCCAGTGCCCGTCCTGCATTTCCAAGTCAGCATAGTTCCCCTCAGATTTGAAAGCAAAACACATACCATGCACACCGCCATCAACCGCACAATAACTCGCAGCCTCCACACAAGCCTCCACGCTCACAAAATCCAACACCCTCGCCATATCAACCCCCCTAGCCGCCATCGCATTCTTAATCGGCGCAACAAGCGGCGTGTCCACAAACCACGGCGCCAGCAAATTGCACCTGACGCCGATATCCAGCGTCCGGGCGCGCGTGCTCCTGAACAAACCCCGGACGCCGAATTTGCTGGCGGGGTAGGTCGATGCCTTGGGACTGTCCATGTACGCACCGATTGAGGCGACCAGGATAAGTGACTTGTCCGGCTTTGCACCTTCCGAACCACCAGTAGGAGGCAACAATCGGAGGTAATACAGCGCCAGCCAGGAGCTGTAATAAACCCCAATCAGATTCACCTCTATATTCCTAATGTTTGGCTTTGCAGGGTCGGTGTCGAGGCTGGGCTGGCCGGCGGCGAGGACATGGTCGACTTGGTTGCCTGGCATGAAGGCTGTGCCGGCGAAGGTGGCGACGATGTCGAGCGCTTGGGTTGGGGAGGAGGTGATTGCTGTTTTGAAGGCTTGCACTTGCGAGTCCCAGTTTGTGACGTCGCACTGGACGTACTTGATGTTGTTAGGTAGGGAGTCAGGGGGGGTTTGGATGTCGGCGATTGTGACGTGGGCTCCGGCGGATGCCCAGGCGAGGGCGGTGGCGAGGCCGAGGCCGGAGGCGCCGCCGGTGATGAGGGCTGATTTACCGCGGAAGGTGGAGAGGTTGACGGTGGTGGAGATGGGGTCCATTTCGACGGGAAAGGCTGGGGGCGTGCTGGTGGGTGGGATGATGGGGTTTGTTCGTATGAGGTTCGGTTGACTTCAAGTTATTCTTTTTGTAAGAACTAGCGGTGCCCTGATCATGCAATCTATGCAAACACGTGGGACGGCCTTCTTCTGGTTGGTAGAAGCTCGGGGCCCGGAGGAGGGTTGATGCAGGTTCGGAGGGACAAAACTAGAACTCTAGCAACCTCGAGTATCGGGCCCTCTACCATCTCTTGTTTGCCCCTCTCACTGTGAAAGGACAAAAGCCCTTCATGATGGAGCTCGTCACACAGTACATCCTTGCTGTAAGTCACGCTTTGTGAAAGATGAAGAGCCAAACAGATACTGACCAACCCACGGCTCCTTCTCCTAATCCCCATGACGATAGGATTCCATCGCCTATACTTCCACCCACTCCGGAACCACCCAGGACCACGATTGTGGGCCGTCTCACGTCTCCCCTGGCTCTACAGCACAGTCAAAGGCACCATTATCCAGGACCTCAAAGCCTTCCATGAACAATATGGCCCCGTAGTTCGAGTAGCACCCAACGAGCTATCATACACCACCCCCGCCGCAGCAAAGCCAATCTACCAGTCCAACCCGGAATTCCCAAAGGACCCCATGCACCTCCCCCCCTTTCACAACGGAACACCAGGCATCCTCGCCGCGGACCACCAAAACCACCGGCGCTACCGCCGCCTCCTCTCGGGAGCCTTCTCCGACCGGGGAATGCGCGCCCAGCAAAACATGATCCAGCATCACGTCGACCTGCTAGTCTCACAACTCAAACAGGCGGCGTCACAAGACAACAACAACAACAACTCGGTAGACATGTGCCAATGGTACAACTGGACAACATTTGACATCATCGGCGACCTCGCCTTTGGCGAATCCTTTGGCTGCCTCTCCAACGCGGCCACGCACGAGTGGATCGCGTCCATCCAGGGAAACGTCAAGGCCATCCCCGTCATCAACGCCATCCGCCGGCTGAGGCTGGACTGGATCATCCCTCTGATCGCCCCCAGGAAACTCCTCGCCATGCGGGCTCGCAACGCAAAGTTCACCGAGGACAGGGTGGACGCCCGGAGAGGGCTCGGGACAACGACGCCACGGGGTGACTTGTGGGATGGTGTGATGGAGGGCATGTCTCGGGACGAGATGATCAGCAACGCCAGCGCCATTGTCCTTGCGGGGAGCGAGACCTCGGCTACGCTGCTGAGCGGGTGCACGTGGTTGCTGCTGCGGAACCCCGAGGTGCTGGGGAGACTGACGGAGCATGTACGGGGGTCGTTTGGGGATGAGTCGGAGATTGACCTGATTAGTGTGGGGAAGCTAGATTACATGCTCGCTGTCCTGGATGAGGCTTTGAGGTTGTACCCGCCTGTTCCTATGCAGAGTAACCGCGTGGTGACTGGCAAGGGGGGGGGTTCGATTGCGGGTGGATGGGTTCCTGAAGGGGTAAGTTTGTTCCTGTTCCCCAAAAGGAAACATGACAAAGCAACTGGTAGGCTAATTTGAAAGGACCTGAGACAAGACCTCAGTGGCACTCCAGCTCTACGCGGCATGTAGATCCAGCAGTAACTTCCACCGGCCGAATGAATTTCTCCCTGAGCGCTGGCTCGGGGGAAAGGACGGGGGTGCCTTTGCCGATGACCGGCGTGAGGTATCCCAGCCGTTCAGCATCGGTCCCCGCAACTGTATCGGCCGCCAGCTCGCCTACGCCGAGATGCGGCTCATCCTGGCCAAGATCTTGTGGCACTTTGACCTGAAGCTTGATTGCGCCAAGATGCAGGGCCGCGATTGGATGGGGGGCCAGGGGGTCTGGATCTTGTGGGATAAGCCACCGCTCTGGGTGACGGTACGTCCCAGGCCGCGTTCCTGAGTTGCTTGGGCGTGCCGCGGAGGATTCAGTGTGTGAGTGGTAGTGCAGTAGTAATGTGATAGTGCCCACTCCCTCCCCCCACCTGAGCCCCTATTCAGATAGCAGAGGGTGAATTGTGAGGGCCTTGTAGGATCGATAAGCCCATGCGTGTCAGTGCAAGGGATTCCCTGCGAGGGATTCCCTTGTCGGGGCTTGTACCGTAATGACTACCCTTTGCAATATCACGTCAATCCCCATCGACCGGTTAAGGCTTTGAACGTAGCAGTCGTGCTGCAGAGTTGTTGTCGTACATACATGAGGTATCTACATAGTACGTGGTCCAGCTGGCTGGTTTGATGGTCCCACAAGATTACCTCGGCATGAGATCTAGGTATGTGATTGCTGTCCCTTCCTGTTCCAAGATAGGTATGCAGGTGAGAGGCGTTCGCAAAGTTGAGCGGCCAATGGGATGAGTGAGCCACCATCTACAACCCACCGGTTAGGCGTCCCCGGTGAGGGCCCTATCACCCAATCGACCCATCTTCATATCCTTCACCGCTTTTTTGGTGTAAGTCGTCTGCTGCTGGTAGGAGGAGATACGCCGTGCTGTGCCGTGATGCTGCAGCCGGAAGGATTTAAGGATGGCAAAGGATAAAGTCTTGTTGTATGTGGCCCACTTACTCAGCTGAGCGTGGTACGACAGGCGCTATCGTTTCTTCAAACGATAGCGATCCGCAGTTCGTTCAATTGGAAAATGATGTGATGATCGGCTTGGAGTTGACGTTACAGTTATGTCATGGTGTGATACCCCGCACTCTAGACCTGCTGTCAGCGAGCACAGTCTTGCCCGCTGGCATGAGGATCAGACGATACAGTAGGTTTCCAGTATGCCTCTAATGCTGCGAAGAGTTCTGATTCACCATCACCATTTGATACAATGCTATCAAAGATATAATGCATCAATATAGATTGGCCACTGGAGAATCAGCGCCTAAGATCATCATAGGACTGATATCGAATCTCCAGCGCCACAAACGGGCTGCTTGGGCATCGGATCTCATCCGTGACCACAAACCCTCCCGAGCTATCGCGGATACCGTTTAGGAGGTCCACCACCTCTACCTTTTCCGCGTGGCGGCCATTGGAGAGCTGCAGCAGGGAAATATCCCGCAGCCGTGCCGTCGCCTCAACTTCAACGTCCACCGTACCTGGAGGCGGGAGAACCAGGGCCGTCAGAATGAGTCGGGACCCTGGATTGGCCCGCAGCACATCGACGTGTGCGGTAAGCTCTGCAGTGGCGTGGATGGCGATAGTGCTCCACTTGAGGGATGGGGTTGGAGACGGGAGGTGTAGAATGTAGATGGCGGCGTTCCGTACCGGTTGCGAGGTCCCTAGAGACCGTTTCTGAAGGGTGACCTTGGCATTGTGATCCGAGTACCCGATTCCGGGGACCGGTGGGAGGGCGGCAGGGAGGTGGGGGAGACGGGGTAAATCAGAAGAGGAGGGTGTGGTGGTCGAAGGAGCTTCATACATTTGTACGATGAACTGGAGTGTCGGAAACAAAGCCACCAGGCCAGCCGCTGTAGCGAACGAGTGAGCGCCAACCTGCGATTGGTGGTCAGAGTTATTGTAGTTTCGCTAGTGGGAGATCTCGTGTGACCAGCTAGGTGGGTGTAGGAGTGTAGCAGGGGTAAGGTAACTTACGTCCACCACCGTGGCATTTCCCAAGCTGCCCCAGTCCACCCGCATCAGCACATCGCGGGTGCCAGCTTGGTCACCGTTTGTAACGGATTCGAGATAAGTGCCAAACTGGCGCTGGAGTCTGGGTTGTAGCTCAAAGACACTGGCTATAGGAACGCCGGTATCAAAGGCAACTGTGTAGGCAGACTGATCGGTGCGGTCTGAAGCTCCGTACTGCCTGGTGGCAGTTGCCATCTTCAACGAGGCTGGGGCAGCGGTGCCCGAAAGAAACATGACGGCGTCGAGAAGTGCCGGCTCGGTCACAAACTGCGCCGATAAAGGGCTGTGGGCGACATGACCCTGCTGGGGCTCCTGAAGGAATCCCGAAGTGATCATCAGGCGGCTGACTCGGAATAGCTGACCCTCTGGCACGCCACAGATATCGGCCACGTCCTTGAAAGGAACAGCATCGTCGAGCGGGATACACGCCAACACCTGGAATTCGCACAGCCATTGGAGACAGGCAACCAGTTGAGTCTGCCAACAAGGAGAAGTCTCAGCTTTCCGAAATACCTAGGCTTCCAAGGCTCGTAACAGGAACCTGGGGAAACACGGGCATGGTAAAAAGTCGGCACGGGTGGGACTAGAGAGACAAGCGGGTAGAAAAAAGCCGAAACCGGGGAGATAGGGAAAGAACGATACGCACGTGAAGGGCTAGGCCCCGAAGGAAATCGCTAGGTTGTCGCTGCATCACCTGTTTCCAACAGACTTGGTGATGGTCAGAGATAATGAGTTCCCAGACCGTGACTGGGAAGTCTTGAGATAAGTATGGGGGCCAGTGGCACCAAATTCTTAGGATATCAGGTGCTCGGCAAAGTGATTAGGTAGGTATTGAAGGAAGGTAGGATTCCGCTCCGCACTGACGGCGACCTCGGGAGGCTAACAACGAGGAGAGAGAACGGTTGTTTGACAAGCCATATACTGAACAGCCGTGGGGTCTCAAGTCGATCTGGTGAAGTCGTGTGCGGGTTAGGTAAACGTGAAACATATGGTTTCCGAAGGAAGCTGGGGATCAAGGAATGGAATTGGTGGAGGACTAATCGGAGGGTGTTTCCCCTAAGAGGAACGAGAAGGGATCTTCCGGTCGCTACTATGGGTGATATCAGTGGTCTGGACCCGACAGTCGTATGGCTGGGCTCTGTGCTCGCTGTCAACTCGGTTCATGCGATTATTGTTTTTTCATGATCCTGTGCAGTTCATTTACCAAACGAAGGGGAACTTACAGCGATGGTTCAGTGTAAAGCGGCTCGACCCAGTGGCGGTCACTAGGCCGGAACAGGAAGGTTGGCGAAAACGCAAAGGGTACCTAGACGAAGTTGGGGTGGTGGGGGTTGTGATTCAAATCGAGTGTAAGACACTAAGTAATCTGTCGGACCTACTTCCCTCCGTCGAGGATTTCGACCTTCCAATCTCTCAGTTGGTCTCTGATATGAAGGGTCTCGATACCTACCTGCTGTAAAAGCCCGTCTGACAGACTGTGACAGCTGCTCATAGGGTATGGTGTCACATTCCGCATTATGCAAGCAGCATGTCTCATAAGCCTCCGAGTATCTGCTGTGGCCCAGATGCACGGCCAAGTAGCATTGCGTCTGCAGTTGGCTTTGTGAGAGCGGGGTTATTATGTGCCATAGACAGATGTGTAATGGACTTGAAGCTCGAGCTCGCTTATCAGAGAACTACAGGTACCTCACTGGTGAAGCCGTTCTATATAGACAGACGCTCTCACCTTCGTGAGCGGCATAACAAGCTCGACGTCAGGTCTGTGTAATCTTATTTTACGCACCTTTTTTCGCGGTAATGCTCGACAAAACAGCTCCGAGTCCATCGTCAGCCGGCCCACCCAGCGCTCAGAATGCCCGGAAGTTGCGGGATAGCTGCACCGAGTGTGCGAGCTCCAAGGTCAAGTGCGGCAAGGAGAAACCCACATGCTCACGGTGTGTTCGTCGGGGGGCCAAGTGCACCTACATGGCGTCAAGAAGGACAGGACGAACCTCGTCCAACGCGTCCAAAATTGCTGCCGAAAACAATCCGAACGGCGCTACCATCGATGTCAACAGCGGCACAGGCTCGGCCCGGAATGAAAGGACTGAACCATCGAGTCCAGTACTGCGCGTGGGAACGCCCTTGAATACACAGTCCACGACGATGACAACGACGACAACAAACACCTCCGCCGCCGGGGACCAGCAGACCCGCCACAGCACCCCAGGCCCCGGGCCCGAATTGGATGCTATCGACCCCGAGCTGTGGAGTTCCATCATGTCGCCCAGCGGCTTGATCACGTGTGACCCGGCCAGCCTCTCACCCCCCTTAACAAGCATCGGCACCGATGTCGGGAGTCTGTTCGACTTGGACTTTCATTCCCCCATGGTTATCGATTACCCGGTGGCAGACCAGGCAGGCGGCGGTGAAGGCCGGCCGGTATCGGATCTAACCAGCAGGATCAACGCCTCGGTCACCGATCGTGATGTCTTTGCCTCTCACCATCTGACGTCCGAGTTCGACTGGTCCGTGGTTCAGAAACCACAGTGTTGCTTCTCCATCGCCATCGACATCCTCAGCCGCCTGTTTCCGCCGGCACCAGCTGGGTGCAAGCATCCACCAGCGAGCCAGGTTGACACACCCAAGGCACGCACCATCGAGTCGGTCATCTCGGAGAACAAGCAAACCATAGAGTCCCTCGCCAGGCTCCTGGATTGTGATTGCTCGACAGACCAGTACCTCATATCGCTCATGACGCTCATTGCGCTCAAGGTCATGGGTTGGTATGCTGCTGCGGCCGACGACGCTGCCTCGGCGCACCCTGCCGCCTTTGAGTGGCCGGGCTCCCAATCTTCGTCCCGCTCCAGATCATCTGTCTCGTCGGGCTCTGTGGCTTCGGGCTCCCTCGGTGAGCAGGTGTTGCGGCTACCTACCATTGTCGGCAACTACTGCGTCGCTGGCCAGCACCAGGGTCGCATGGCAGCTCAGCTCGTCCTGAGCGAGCTCCACCGAGTGCAGAAAATTGTGAACGGACTGTCATCGCGGTTAGAAAGCATCCGCCTGCGTGCAGCTCAGGACGGCGGTTCCGGGGCTAGCTCTGGGTCGAGCAGTGTGGGCGATGTAAGCGAGCAGCCAGTAGGCGGTGCTCGTGCCGGGCCCCTCTCGGTTCCAACCTTCACCCAGCTTGAGGATGACCTGAGAAAGCGATTCCGGGTGTTGTCGTCGGAAACGATCAACATCCTTCGTCGCGCCTAGAGGTTCTATTCCCCATCGACTGCACGTGTCACGAGTTATGACTTGGCGTTGGCGTTGGCGAGTTTTCAGGGGCCTATGATGTCTTTGTTCCAATCTCGCTGTTTCAGTGTTGTTCACTGATAAGATATAATAAATATCAGCAGAAATCATCGTCATTGTCTCATCAATGACTTTTTGTGTGCGAGTCCTCAAGTCGTGCGACTTCCAGAGGTCCCATGCCAAGCCTAACCTGTTAGCCCCCGAACTGTTTTTCCATTCGGTCCAGTATTGTGGAGCCAAAGCATTGGTTCTAGGGCCCCTGACGGATTTACTGTAGCGGGGCCCGACTTGGCTGTCAAGGCAAGGACTCAAGCTGGCTCATTGCCCATCATGCAGTGAGCAAAAAGATAACAGTCCAATGCAGGTGCAGTACACCCCTCATCAATCAAAGCTCTCAAATCTTGGGCGAGGGATCTCCTGAACCATGGCACAATCTCTTGGCAATTGTTTGTGACCGCGGTTCCTTGGGACCCCCGCAACGCTAAACCAAGAAGGAATTGGGGTCGATTCCTGTGGGGTCGTAACGATGCGCTAGCAGGCGCTAAATCTTATTTGTACGACACTCATGATCATGATCAGTCACTTCAGTCCAGCTCAAATTGTCACAGACCGGTGTGGCAAAGCAGCCAGTGTCAGTGTCCCTGCATTTGCGATCCTGTCTCATACCCAGGAACCCAGGATTCAGGAGCAGAATATTATTTGTAGCACACTCGCTCATTGTATGCTACCCTCTTCGCGCAGGCTGACCACCCACCAGGGCCACCACCATCAGCTCGTATGCATTGTACTCATCCTGGCAGGGTGTGGCCGCATCCGCGTACTCGCTTCCATATTTCTCACAATTGGCCCGCTCTAGGCGTGCTATCACGACCGTTGCTTACGGGGTGTGCTACCATCTACAGCCTCGTTCTGTTTTCGCTCTCTCATGCATGTGTGAGACATCGGAGACCCTGCAGCATCCTAAACCCTCTACCAAGCCAACTTTGATCCATCCTCATGCAGCACAAACTGGCCAGACGTCTTCTCCTTGGTCGCTTCGTCAATCTGTCGCGCAAGAGAGGCCCGGCACGTCAGCAAGTGTTTTTCCTTTGCCCACCAAACAAAGAAATAGCTACATACCCGCGCGCAAATTCCCGTTATGCTCTCCTCGATCGTGGTAGGCGCTTTGCTTCGGCCCATGAGACGCGCCCCCTGATCTCCCATGTCGGTTTGAACATGACTACCCAAACCGATCAGTTCAGCCTTCGGAAAAGTTAAACGCCATCATGAAAAAATATCTTACCCGGGATCCACAATAAAAGCCACCAGCCACTTATTCTCAAAGTGAAACTTTCTCACCAACCAGTTCGCCGCCAGCTTGGACACGCAGTACGCACTCAGCGGGACGCGCGCGTACTCTTCCATCCCCGTGATGGTGCTCAGCGGTGCCCCGACGAGCACAAACTTTGCGTTTCCCGCCTTTGCCGCCTGGAGCAGGAGGCGCGTGGCCTGGAACAGGAGCAGCACCGAGTACGTGTTGACCATCATGTGATTTTGCAGGTGCTCGAGCTGCATCGTCGAGGCGGGGCCGTAGTTTGTCGCAATGGCGGCGTTGGCGATGACCACGTCCAGGTGGGTGATGCTGTGATTGGTCTGGAGCTGCGAGGCGGCGGCCGAGGCGTCGCTTTCCGAGGCGCAGTCCAGCTTGACGACTACGAGGGACGAGGTGTCTGCCTTTGGGAGAGACTCCAGGGCGGCTGACTGAGTCGCGACATCACGCACGCAGGCGATGACGATGCTGTCGGGGCGGAGGAGGTAGGCGGCTACGAGGCCTTTGCCGATGCCTGTGGTTGTGTTATCATTAGAGATGCAAAATGAAGCAAGATGGGAAGCAGCAGTACCTCTGCTGGCGCCAGTTATCAGATAGGTCTGTTTGTAGTTTCCTTTGCCGTTGATGCCGTTCATGATGGCGGCCATCATGTTTGTCTGCCCTCCTTGGCAAGTCTACGTTCAAGTCTGACCCGAGTATCCAAGTGCTTGGGAGGTTTTTGTACAGCCAACGCGGGCGATAGTTCATTCCCGAATCCACAGCATCGGCATCCGACCAAGCTTCCCCCGGACTACATCCGGCAACTGGCATCTGTCATCGCAACGTGCGGGGCCATGCATTTTTGAGAAACAGGACGTTTCATTTTGTTGCGTATGCCAAAGAACGACAAAAGGTGAATATCTAATTACATGTTCTTTCATATCATTGATGTCCTGCTCTCAAAAGGCACCGACGGCTTAGTTCCGCTTCGGCGCGGGGGCACCGTCCAAAATACCCAGTAGTACGGCGCCAACGGCGGTGATCATGGGCGCATACCCCCAGTGGTTCCACTCTCCCTGCCCGTGACTCCAGCACACAATGCCGTCAACCACGGCAACACCACTAGCGGCAACGAGGGTCCAGCCAAGCGACTTCTTTGTGCCGAAGAGGGCAGCAGCGTAGATGGCCACTCCCATAAAAATGTCGCGCGCACCATACACGGCCATCAAGCTGTCCACCATCTTGGCATCGGCAGCGGACGCCGGGGGAGCGAACTCGAAGAAGGTGAGGGCATGTTGCGGGCGGAGGATAGCGTTGATGCCAAAGCCGGTGAAGATGGTGGCAAAGGCGTGGGCAGCATACTGCAGAGCGGAAAGCTGAGAAGGGGCCATTGTCAATTGTTCGTCTTGTGATTTGACTGCGATTGCGGGTCAGCAAATGCCTGTCAATGACATTTTTAACTTCTCTGCCCAAGTTACGTACGTGTGATGGTGTGACTCTTGCGATGACTCGGGCTGCTGTGCTCAGTGCGAGATGGAAGGAAGGTTTTGGGGAAGAAAAGGAAGAAGCGGGGAGACAGTTGGACAGTGCTACAGCTGAAAGTTTGGAGGCAGCAACAAAGCTCCAATGCCGTTTCGGGAAGGCATGCAAACTCACTTCCCGTCCTTAGCGGCAAGGTGCAGCGTCTGCCTGCCAGTGTAACCACCCTCTTACAGCAGGCTCTTTGTCTGGTGGTGAGCATTTCAGCCCTAACCCTTGGGCATCCGGGCACCATCGGTGATTCCCGCACCATGCTACCCTTCCTGCGCCCACCTCTGCACTCACGTGCTGGGTCTTAACAACACTCATCGGTCAGCGAAAAATTCCAACCCCGAGCTCCCTCACTGGTACTCGGTGACCGGTCATGTTTCTGTGCCACACAGCCTCTCAGAGGGTGACGCTTTGGCGAACGCCTGAGCTGGCACACAGCTACACCCACAGCTGTCACTGTCATCTATTTTGGGACAAAGGCTGCTTGTCTAGGAAGCCACCTACCTGTCAAACGCCTGCTGGGCGTATCACCAGCCGCCGGCGCTAATTGCCTACCTACTGCTGCGTAGTGTCTGACTGCGGACAGCACACATAATGAGTATTTCAGCACCGTCCAAGGTGGTACCATGTCTCAATACTTCTCTCTCCATGACAGCCAAGTATACGATATTCTGAACCGCCATCAGGCGTTTCCTGCCATATCAGGAAACCATATCGTGACACGGATAAACCTTTGTATCCGGATGGGGATATTTCATAGACACATACGGCCAGATCTCGCATGACGCGAAGTAAGACGGGAGATTACCACTTGTGCATATACCACGCAGCTGAGGACCCGAGGCAATGGTAGGGAGCCTTCTATGAGGCTTCCTCTGTCAGGGGCACCCTCCTTCGCTCAGGGGCAAACCAATCAACAGAGCAGCAATCCTTCAGCCTCCACGTGGTGTAATATCGCTTGCTGTGCTCATGAGGCGCTGCATGACGGCCCCCATCCATCCAAGACCATACTCGGTTGCCCCGAGCATAAGCCTGCCATGAGGCGCGGCCGAACTAACGGGTGATGGCGTCGTCCTTGAGGCGAAGAGGGAACATTCCAGCAATGGGAGCAGGCCTGGATCACGATGGCTTGGATGGATCACGATGGCTTGGACTTGAGGCAAAGACTCAACTGGGGAAGGGGATGAGACGGACTCGAGTACTTAAAGGTGCCTGGAGCTCAAGCGATTCTCCCCATCATCATCACCACCACCATCACCACCACCATCACCATCACCATCACCATCACCATCACCAACAGCTTCAGGTTTTTACACTGGCAAGATCCGCCACTTCCTGGATGCTTAAGCCGAACGTTTGTTTCCCAGATACCTAGCTAGTGGTCTTGCCCCTATTCAAAATGTTGGGCATTCGCCTGGTATCTCTGCTGGCCTTCACTGGCTCAGCCCTCGCAGAACTCGACTTCTCCAAGTGGAAGACTCGCCAGCCCGGCGAGCTCCGCGCTCCCTGTCCGGCCATGAACAGTCTTGCCAACCACGGCTTCATCCAGCGTGATGGCAAGAATATCACCGTCGAGGGCCTCACCCCTGTCCTCAAGGAGGTCTTCCATCTCAGTCACGAGCTCGCCTTCACCGTGTCTCAGCTGGGCCTCTTTACGGCGCTTGACCCATCCAAAGGTGTCTTTACTCTTCAAGACCTCACGGATCGTCACAACGTCTTTGAGCACGATGCTTCCCTGTCTCGCGAAGATGCCAAGTTCGGCGGTGACCAGTCTGTTCTTCATAAAGGACAGTTCCAAAAGTTCATGGATCACTTCAAGGGAGAAAAGTACATCTCCTTCGAGGCCGCTGCTAAGGCCCGCTATGCCATGGTCCAGGACTCGCGCAAGAGAAACCCCGACTTCACCTACGATGTCACGCACCGCATCACCAGCTACGGCGAAACCATCAAGTACCTCCGTACCATTGTCGAGCCCTCTACAGGGAAGTGCCCGGTTGACTGGATCAAGATCCTTTTTGGTAAGTTGCCACCTGTCAGCCCCCATGCATGCCTCTCAGCCCAACCTGCTAACATGTCATCTTCAGAGCAAGAGCGTCTTCCCTACAACGAGGGCTGGAGGCCCCCTACCAATGAGCTCAGCGGCTTCAGTCTCGCGAGCGAGGTTTTGGAGCTGGCTTTGATCACTCCTGAGAAACTTCCCGTCGATGAGTGCTTGGGCAAGGGCAAGGGTAAAGGAAACTGCAAGAGACGGCGCAGCTACCTTGGTATCTAACAGCTTGTAACAACACACCATGTTCATGACACATTGGTTTCCCTTTTCACTGTACCATATACTTACTTTTAATACATTACAAAGGAATCGCAAATTACTCTCATTGCCCAACTATGTCCCGTCTGTTACCCCTTCATTGTGATTTCTAGCCTCCGAGACTTCGGAACACCAGCAATAAAACTATCCACCACCACCATGCTCTCTGGCGTAGCAGAAGCGGCAAGCTTGGCTCCCGCACATTCCCGGAAAAACATGGCCGCAGCCAGCCGCATTTCGATTCGGCCGAGATGCACCCCCAAGCACTGCCGGGCACCGTACCCGAACGGGTTGAACGACATCTTGGCCCGCTCCGACAGCTGCTTACCCGGCAGCCAGCGGGTATGGTCAAACACATCCGGATTCTCCCACGCGACCGGATCGCGGTGCAGGCTCCAGTTCTGCGTAACCACCACTGTATCATCCGGGACATAGTACCCACCAAGCGTGGCTCCCCCCTTCGGCACACTCCTCGGCATCGACCCCGGCGCTGCGCCATACAGCCGCAGGCTCTCGTCAATAACCGCGTTCAAAACCGGCAACCCTTCGCACACCTCATCAGTAATCTCCCCACTCCCCATCCCCGCCACCTCCGCCTCAACCTCCCTCTGCACCTCCGGCCGGCTGAGCACGCACCAAAGCAAAAACGTCAACGAAATAGCCGTCGGATCCGACCCAGCAAGCAACAAAGCACCAGCATCAGTGACAATATCCGTATCACTCAACCCAGGCGGCCCCCCTTGCTCTTCCTCCGCCAGCGCATTGGCAAACAGATTCCTCCTCCCCCCACCATCCACAACCTTCTCCCCCCTCCTTGCCTGCGCCACAACCCTATCCCCAGCAGCAAACATCCTCTCCTGCGAGTAAAACACATCCCTTAGCGGCCTCACCACCAAAGCAAGCATCCTCCCGAGGTAATAAACCGGCGGAACAAAATACTTGAGCAAATGCGCCAAATCCCCCATCCTCCTTTCCAGCATAACCACAAACGGGTCCTTCACCCCCTTTTTCACCGTGTCCTCCCCACCACCAAACGTAAGCCGACAGACGATCTCGTTGGCCATGAGGGTGAACCACCCCATCACCTCCGCCCCCTTTTCTCCTCTCATTGCATCAGCCTTGATTTTCGCCACCGCGAGGGCAACAGTCTCGCGGATGGTGGGTTCCCATTCTTTGCGGAGGCTGGAAAGGGTAAAACCCTTTGCGTAGAGCCGACGCCGGGCAGAGTGTAGCTTTGGGTCCCGAAAATTGAAAATGTTATCCACGGGCCCGGGGGAGAGGAGGGCGTAAAAGGGGGCTTTTGTGAAACCGGAGCCCATCTTGTGGATTTCGCGGGCGGTGGTGGGCTCGGCGATGTCGATTTCGCGGGGGCTGATGCGGACGATGGGGCCGTAGCGGCGGTGGAGGGAGTGGACGTAGTGGATTCGGTTGTTGGAGAAGACGGAGTAGGTCAGGCGGAGGGAGGTGAAGCGGGCGTGGAAGGGGCCGGGGATTTTGCCGAGGGGGGAGAGGAAGGCTGTGCGGATTATCTGGGAGTGATTTCGATGTCAGGAGAACATAGGGCAAAGGTGTGACGAGGGATGGTGGCATTATGGAAGAAAAACTTACGGTGATGGCTTGGAGAGTGACAAAGGCCAGTACAAGTAGAATACCCACAAAGGGAAGGGGCGCGCCTGTTGTGGCGTCGAGGATCGACTGGTAAATCGTCATGTTTGATGCGGCAGTCTCTCAGGAAAGATTTGTGAACAGTTTGGAACTGCTGATGATGCATCAGATGGGCTGTCATAAAGGCGACACAAGTTGCTTGGGGTATTCGATATTAAATGGAGAGCAGTAGTGCTTTACGGAAGGTTTTTGTTGCGGTCCCCGTGAGTGGCCCAAACTAGGCACAAAATTCATTAATAGAGGGAGTGATACCAATAATCGTCACAAGCCGAGCGACGGAGCAAAATTATTGACAGACTGGCCCTTTGATGGTACGATACCTAGCTAAGGTAACACGGACCCCAAAAATTGTGAGTTTCTGCCATCAGGACGAGATTGTTCGCCATGGATCTCAGCCAAGGCCTCGGCCACCGAATGATATTCCATCTATTTAGCCTACCCCGGATACAGGCACGGAGGTCACCGTCACTCCGTCAGCCCTTTTACATTCTGGATATCATTATTTGTAATGCATATGTTACACAAAATGCTTGGAAAGATCAGTACCTACCTACCCTTCCTGATCTGGGCCGTGATATTACCTGTAGAAATCAGTCCGGTAATGAGATGGCTGCAATATCCCACCGGTCGTTGGAAGAGTTCTGACATCCCAGATGAATTTCTGAACTTCAAGTTGTGTAGCTTCATAGGTAGGCTATCGTTTACTTTTCGAGTCTGAGCCAACACAAATGGCTCCAAGAAAGCCTAGGTCGATCAGACATTACCAGTCTAGGTATATCACCTTCATACCTGAAGCACTTTAATAAATAAACATCTACTCATATACTTACAATCCCAGCGTGTTACCTGTGAATTGGGTACCTCTGGCTCTGGGAGAGACCATGTATCTGACGACAAAGCACCAACAAGTCCACAGATAAAATCTGTATAACGAAGCTTCACTCCGTGTCTGCCGGCTCAGTCTATCCCCCTTACAGGTACCTGATTCGTTCCAAGTACCATCACCCAAGCGAAATCGCAAGCCCGAGACGCTTGATATCGGTCCCCTACTGACTATGACCGCTGCGGAGCAATATTGAAACGGAAAGCGATAGACTAGTGTTACCTATCGTCACCCTCGGCATCGGCTTGAGCTTGTGCCAGCTGATGCTGTGCTTCTATCCTCATTGAGAAACTTGAGTAATAATCCCTCGTATCTCCTTTCTTCACCGCATTATAGATGAGCCTTTTTTCTCTTTCTTGCTTCCCCGTACCTATAACCATGTGGTCACCTTCCTCCCATCATCATACTCCTTCGACCGCCTTTCACACACCAGCCATGGCCAACAATACAAGCATATTTCTCTTCGGAGACCAAACATTTGACTTTGTGCCAAAGCTGCGCGAGCTCTTGACTGTTCAGGACTGTCCTCTCCTGGCAGCCTTCCTGGGCCAGGCTCATTATGTTGTCCGGGCACAGATGATCCGATCGCTGCCGCCGCAAGAGCACAAACTCTCCAGGACGGCCAACCTGGCTGAGATGTTGCAAAAGTATGCCGACGGGAAGTTAAACCCAGCATTTCAGACTGCCTTGTCGTGTATATCCCAGCTGGGCAGCTTTATGCAGTGAGTCTCATCTCAGTCTCTTATAAGATGACCGGACATACTGACCATATCCGAAGGACATACGAAGAAGACAGCACAAAGCCCTACCCGCGTGCCAATGATAGCTACGTTTTGGGTGTATGTACCGGCTCGCTTGCCGCCGCTGCCATCAGCTGCAGCAGCTCTCTCTCAGAACTGCTACCCATAGCCGTCCAAACGGCCTTGATAGCATTCCGTCTTGGCCTCTGTGCGCTCGAAATGCGAGACAGTCTCGAGACATCGGCTCCCGATCGTGCACGTCCATGGTCTGTTGTCGTCTCAGGTCTTATGCCACAAGTCGCCGAGGCATTCGTGAAGGAGTTCTGTGATGGGAATGCCCTGCCCAAGACTCGATATCCCTGGATTACAGCTACTGCCGCCAAGTCAACAACTATCACTGGAAGCCCCCGTGTTCTGGACCAGCTGCTTGCTGCCAAGTCATTCAACGGCTACAAAACAACGGAGATTCCAGTCTTTGTGCCATCGCACGGCGACCATCTCTTCACGTCCAAAGACATCGATTTCATCCTGGAGACTACTGCTGTTGCGCCATGGTCGGGCTATTCAGCCAAGATCCCTTTCCTGTCAAGCGCGTCCGGCAAGTTAGTGTGGGTGGCAAACTTCAGAGCTCTTGTCGAGCTGGCACTGTCTCAGTGTCTCCTGGTACCCATCGGCTGGGACAAGGTTGAGACCGAAGTGCCTCGTCTACTCAAGTCTCGCGGTGTTAGCAGCGCTGTCATCGCTCCCGTGGGGTCATCCGCTCAAAAGAGCCTGTCGTCAGCTCTAGCAACAGGCGGTATCGCCAATGAAATTGGGACCGTGACCGGTGGGACCAACAGGTTTTCCCATCGCCCCGGAAGCAACAGGTGCAAGCTTGCCATTGTTTCCATGTCGGGAAGATTTCCCGAGGCTCAGAGTACTGATGCCTTCTGGGATCTCCTATACAAAGGCGTCGACACGTGCAAAGAGGTGCCACGTCGACGATGGGACGTCAGAACCCATGTAGACGACACCGGCAAGGCTCGCAACAAAGGCGCCACACGATGGGGCTGCTGGCTGGACTTTACAGCTGAGTTTGACCCGCGGTTCTTTAGCATTTCGCCCAAGGAGGCGCCTCAGATGGATCCGGCCCAGCGAATGTCGTTGATGTCGACGTACGAGGCCATGGAGCGTGCCGGCATCGTCCCCGATACAACTCCATCCACGCAGCGCAACCGTATTGGGGTGTTCCATGGTGTCACTAGCAACGATTGGATGGAGACCAACACGGCCCAGAACATCGACACGCACTTTATTACGGGAGGCAACAGAGGCTTCATCCCCGGCCGTATCAACTTTTGCTTCGAGTTCTCGGGCCCAAGCTACAGCAATGACACTGCTTGCTCGTCCAGTTTGGCAGCGATCCACCTGGCCTGCAACTCGCTCTGGCGCGGTGACTGTGATACAGCTGTTGCTGGTGGTACCAACATGATCTTCACGCCCGATGGCCACACCGGTCTTGACAAGGGCTTCTTTTTGTCTCGTACTGGAAACTGCAAGCCGTTTGACGACGCTGCGGATGGCTACTGCCGTGCTGAGGGTGTTGGCACTGTCTTCATCAAGCGATTGGAGGATGCCTTGGCTGACAATGATCCCATCCTCGCCACCATCCTCGACGCCAAGACGAACCACTCTGCCATGTCAGACTCGATGACGAGACCACACGTCGGCGCTCAAATCGAGAACATGACTGCTGTGCTTAGCAGTGCCTGTGTTGGGCCCAACGAGCTGAGCTACATCGAGATGCACGGGACCGGCACCCAGGTCGGGGACGCGGTCGAAATGGAGTCTGTGCTCTCCGTCTTTGCCCCTGACGAGGAGGCTCGTCCCAAGAATCGCCCATTGTACGTTGGTTCTGCGAAAGCCAATGTTGGCCATGGTGAAGGTGTCTCGGGCGTGACCAGCCTTGTCAAGGTGCTCTTGATGATGCAGCACAACACCATTGTGCCTCACTGCGGGATCAAGCCTGGAAGCAAGATCAACCGACATTACCCTGACCTTGGAGCGCGCAACGTCCACATTGCCCTGGAGCCCAAGCCGTGGCCTCGGTCTAACGGGCCTCGCCGCGTTCTCATCAACAACTTCAGCGCCGCCGGTGGCAACACGGCACTGCTGGTGGAAGATGCACCCGAGCGCCAGGACTTGTCTGCACCAGACCCGAGAACCAACCACATTGTCACCGCTTCTGGCCATGTGGGAAAGTCGCTCAAGACCAACCTGGAACGACTCCTCGAGCACATTCAGAGTACTCCGAATCTCTCGATCTCTCAGCTGTCATATACCACCACAGCTCGCCGCTGGCATCACCTTCACCGCGTGAGCATCACCGGGTCCACCATCACCGAGGTGGAGCGCAGCTTGATAACGGCCATCGCCAATGGAGACGGTATCAACCGTCCCAAGACCAAGCCCAACGTCGTTTTTGCCTTCACAGGTCAAGGCTCACAGTACCTTGGTATGGGTCGACAGTTGTACGAGGCATATCCGGTATTCCGTGACGCCGTTGATCGCTTCGACCGTCTCGCGCAGAGCCATGGCTTCCCTTCTTTTCTGCACATCATCACCTCTGCTGAGGGCGACATGGATGCCATGCTCCCCGTAGTGGTGCAGGTCGGTCTGACATGCCTTGAAATGGCCCTTGGTGACCTCCTCCGATCCTTTGGGCTCAGGCCTAGCGTTGTCGTGGGACACAGTCTCGGAGAGTACGCGGCGCTGTATGTGGCCGGTGTCCTTTCAGCGTCTGACGCGATTTATGTCGTCGGGAAGCGAGCCGAGCTTCTTCAGGAACGCTGTCAGCGCGGTACCCATTCTATGCTAGCCGCTAGAGCTTCAGCTGCCTCTCTTACCGAGACGTTGGAAGGGTTGAGCTGTGATGTTGCGTGTATCAATGGCCCGCATGATACTGTCGTGAGCGGCTCGATCGAGGATATCACCGAGGCGCAACGTGTCCTCGCTGGAAAGGGGATCAAGGCGACAGTATTGAAGCTTCCGTTTGCCTTTCATTCGGCTCAGGTGCAGCCGATTCTGGAAGACTTTGAGAAACTGGCAGGTGGGGTGTCTTTCTCAAAACCGGTTGTGCCTGTCTTGTCGCCACTATTGGGCAATATCATTAACGAGGAAGGTGCCATCGGTGCCAACTATCTTGCCAGACATTGCCGCGAGGCGGTCGATATGGTCAAAGCTCTCGAGACAGCCAGAGATAAGGGCCTCATCAACGATAAGACCATCATCGTCGAGCTTGGGCCAAAACCGTTGCTCAGCGGCATGGTGAAGATGACACTCGGAAACAACATGACCACGCTATCCACTCTGCATCAGAATACAGACGTCTGGCCTAATCTCACCACCATCCTGTCGACCATCTACACTGCTGGTCTCGACGTCAACTGGGTCGCCTATCACGCCCCTTTTGACTCGGCCAAGAAAGTGATCCCTCTACCCGACTATGGCTGGGACTTGAAGGAGTACTACATCCCTTACGAAGGCGACTGGTGCCTGCACCGCCACGAGATCAAATGCGACTGCGCTGATGCCGGCAAAGAGGTGCACACTTCTGCCTACCAGGTGCCCACCGAGTCGCCCCTTCGCAAGCCATCAAAGCTGGATGCCACGAAAGAAGCCTACCCTGAAATCAAGACTACAACCACTGTCCACCGTGTGGTCGAAGAGAAGACAGAGCCGTTGGGAGCCACCTTTATCGTCGAAACAGACATGTCCCGTGCCGATGTCAACCCTATCGCACAAGGCCACCTCGTCGATGGCATCCCCCTCGCCACGCCTTCATTCTACGCCGACATTGCCCTCCAAGTCGGCAGATACTCCATGGCCCGACTGCGAGCCGGACACCCCGGAGCCCTGGACGGCCTCGTTGACGTGTGTGATCTTGTTGTCGACAAAGCCCTTATTCCCCACGGACAAGGTCCCCAGCTCCTCCGCACTACCTTGACAATGAGCTGGCCTCCCAAGGCAGCCGCCACCACCCGGAAAGCCACCGTCAAGTTCGCAACATATCTCCCCGACGGAAAGCTCGACACGGAGCACGCCACCTGCAGAGTCCGCTTCACTACAGATGCCCAGCACAAGTCCCTCCAAAAGAAAGTACCCGACTACAAGGCCAAGATCCACCAGCTCCACGATGGCATGGCGAAGGGAAGATGCCTCCGATACACCCGCAAGAGCGGGTACAAGCTCATGAGCAGCATGGCTACTTTCCACCCTGATTACAAGCTCCTCGACAATCTGATTCTCAATGAGGCAGAAAATGAAGCAACTTGTAAGATGAACTTTTCCGATGCCAAGAGCGAAGGGGACTTTGCTGCCCATCCAGCGTATGTGGATGCCATCACCCAGGTGGCTGGGTTTGCCATGAACGCCAGTGACGAGACGGATATTGCCAAGGAGGTGTATGTCAACCATGGCTGGGGGTCGTTGCAGATCTATGAGCCGCTAGTGAAGGGGAAGGAGTATGAGGTTTACACCAAGTTCAGCAGGGATAAGGGGGGTGATCTTGCTCACGGTGATGTGGTTGTTCTGCATGGGGACAAAGTGGTGGCGTTCTTTGGGAATCTGTCGGTAAGTTGTCGTGACGTCTATTTCTTTTCAGTGTGTTTGATGAAGGGTAAGATGCTGATACTCGATGATACAGCTGCGGAACGTGCCACGAAAGGCATTGCATGTTGTGCTCAAGTCAGCACTTGACAAAGGCATCCGTCAACGCGGCGGAAACCCGACAGCTCCTGCGAAGTCCAAGCCATCATTTGTTGATGTCAAACCAACGCCTGCTCCGATGACGACGAAGCAAGCAACCCAGCCAGCGTCAGCCTCAGACCCGGTGAAGAAAAGGACAGCCCCTAAACCCAAGGCAAAGACTTGTGGGACACCCAATGATGAGAAGTTCCACGCGGTCCTGCGGGTTGTTTCCGAGGAGAGCGGTGTTGCTCTCGAGGAGCTCACAGATGAGAGCAACTTTGTCGACATGGGCATCGACTCACTGAGCTCCATGGTGATTGGCAGTAGAATGAGGGAAGACTTGGGCATGGACATGGCCTCGGAATTCTCGCTCTTCATTGACTGCCCAACTGTTGGTGCCTTGAGAAACTACTTGGGTGCTTCTTCTACCGCAGCAGAAGTAGAAGATGACGAAGATGACGAATACCATGACGCCGAGCCGGTTGCAAGTCAACAGACACAAGACCCATACTTTGCACATGTTACAACCCGAGCTTCCGATGTATTGGCAACACCCACCACGGAGTCTGGCGCAGCCTTCGACAGCAGCCAGTTTCCTGCCGCACTGAAGATCATCTCTGAGGAAAGCGGCGTCGCGATTGAAGAACTCACCACCGAGACAATCTTTTCCGACATTGGTATAGACTCCCTCAGCTCCATGGTCATCTCCAGTCGTTTCAAAGAGGAACTCGGCCTAGGCCTCGACTCAGCCTTCTCCCTCTTCGACGACGTCCCCACCGTGGCCAAACTCTCCGCGTTCCTCAACAACAACAACAACAACAACAACAACAGCAGCAGCAATCTTGCTCCGGAAGAAGTCGCCTCCATCTCTTCCACCACCTCAGACCTAGACCATAGCTCCTCTATCCACGAAAGCAGCAGCAGCAGCGCCAGCGAACCCGAGGATGACGACAACGATTACCCCCCATCCATCAAGCGCGTGCCACACTGCCGTCCCTGCACGTCCGTCATCCTCCAAAGCCTCCCCCGCGTCGCAAAAAGAACCCTCTTTCTCCTCCCGGACGGCGGCGGCTCCGCATCCTCCTACGTCCCCCTCCCCCGCCTCAAATCCGACGTCGCCGTCGTCGGCCTCAACTGCCCCTACGCGCGCGACCCCGAAAACATGAACTGCACCCACACAGCCATGATCGAGTCTTTTTGTGCCGAAATCCGGCGCCGCCAACCCCACGGGCCATATCACCTAGGCGGGTGGTCCTCGGGTGGGGCGTTCGCCTACGTCGTGGCGGAGGCGCTGGTGAATTCCGGGGAGGAGGTCGGGAGCATCATCATCATCGACGCGCCGGTGCCACAGGTGATGGAGAAGTTGCCGGATAGCTTTTACAAGCATTGTAATAGTGTGGGGTTGTTTGCGAACCAGCCTGGGGGGCAGGGGGGTAGTACTGAGCCGCCGGGGTATTTGATTCCGCATTTTCAGGCGGTGGTGGATGTCATGTTGGATTACAAGGTTGCTCCGCTTAAAGCCATCAGTGGTAGGATGCCCAAGGTGGGCTTGATTTGGGCTGCGGAGACTGTGTTAAAGGAGAGCGAGGCGCCGAAGATGAAGGGGATGCATTTTATGGTGAAGAAGAGGGTTGATTTTGGACCGGATGGGTGGGATGGGGTGCTGCCTGGGGCCGAGTTTGATATTGTGAAGGCGGAGGGGGCGAATCATTTTACGCTTATGGTGAGTGGACTGATTTGTTGTGAGGAATATGAAGATGGGATGTTGGCTAACGAACAGAACAGAGCAAGGAGCATGTCGGGTTGATTAGCGATCTGATTGACCGTGTTATGAGTGGTTATACTGGGTGAGAAGATATGGGGAAGGGTTTTGACTGTGACGAAGTTATGAGTTTTATTCACTGTATCTAGGCGAGTTGTGATATTTGAGTTCGTTGGCGTTTTCTGGATGGTCAGGCTTGAACTTGTATCTCTGATCTCTTATGACCAGTTGGGGTTTTATTGCTAATCCCTTGTCCTTCGTATTGCTACCTCGTTCGTTCTGGAGAAATGGTTCATTCGATTCACGTTAATGGGCGTAACCCCTAAATATCTTATTGCTCGCTCCACTCCCATCACCACTGTTCATTCCTCAACTGTGGGAGGTATTACTCCCGGCGGATTGGTCAAGCAGGTTGCTCCAGGGCTTGGGCTTCGGCCTGAGGCCCACTTATTGGTGAGAAGATAGGAAAAGGTTTTTGCTCTCTGGAGCTGTTTGTTTGAGTATCTAAGAATATCATCAACTATTACACATCTCTGCGGACGTACAACATCAACCCACCCGGCCCCTAAGATTACACCCGCCCCCACTCCTCCGCTAACCACTCCAAAACCAGCATGCCACTGCCCGCACCACCAAAACACTCATCATCATCATCATCATCATCATCATTATCCCTAGAGTCACAAACTACAAATAAGCCCATGCTCACACACTAACTACTTCTCACCGTCACGGTCGCATAAGCAGGCAACCCGGGAGCCTCAGCATACATACCAATCGCGAAAAAAGGCGCCATTGGGCCATACAAAAATGTCACCCCCTCTCTCAACCGTTCCCCCACCCTCCCCATCGCCCCCTTGACTAGGAACCCCATCAATGGCATCCATTTTTCTCTCACCTTCCCCCTCGCCGTGACGCCCACTGCCTTTCCGTGAAGCCGTTCCTTAGTCGTGGCAAGCTCGCACATCGCCGCCCCAAGATCGGCGTAACTAAGCGCGACGTCTTGCTTTTCGTCTGCTCGGGTGACGAGAGAATATCCCGTCGGGGGGGACTCGTGAAGCGTGGGCGGGTCGATGAGTATGTAATTTAACAACCCGTTTCTGGAAGCTGGAATGTAGAGGTTGCATGCCTGTTCTAGGTCGGAGTAGCTGTTGTGGAGACAGAAACTGACAATGGAGTGGACTAGCTTGGGCACTTGGGAGGAGAGGGCGGGGTTGAGGCTTGCGGTGCGGAGTTGGAGGATTGTGGGGGGTTGGTAGTGGCTCTTGTTGGTGAGCGAGATGGTGGTGAGGGAGGAGATGATGGCTGATGCGGTGGTGGAGTGGAGGGTTGTGCCGGGGTTGCTGGCGTTGGTGCCGACGCAGTTGAGGATTGTGGTTGCTGAGGTTAGGCAGGGGGTTAGGGAGTGGGGAGAGGTGGAGGTGCCTTCGAAGATGTGGATTTTGAAAGGAGGGGGAGGGCGGGATGAGAGGAGGGTTGGGAAGGTTTGGAGGAGTTTGGGTTTGGAGCGGACGAGGATGTTGAGTTGGATTAGGTCTTCAGGGGGGTTTTGGAGGAGGTGGCGGAGGACGCTGGTGCCGGTTGCGCCGGTAGCTCCGAGGAGGGCGTAGGTGGACATGTTGATGATGGGTGAGCTTCTTTTGGTGGCGTTTACCTATGGATAGTCAGTCTCTTTCACCACGGGTGTACTGATGCCTACATGTATGCGTGGAATAGGTAGGTGAGTGATGGGTGGAGATCTGGCTTGCTGTTGGTTGATGAAGCTACTGCAATATCGGTGTACGATATTTCGGGGAGCGAATTCGTTGGCAAGTGCTCGTCGTACCGCACAATTGTGTCGCTAACCTGACTCAACTAAGCAACTTTTTGCTTTGGTGTCAACACAAATGACGTTATGGACATGTATTAGGAGTCATCGTTCCATCAAGACAACCTTGAAGCCATGCAAGAAGTTAATGGTAGCAGAAGTCGCATTCGCCCTTTCCTATTCACCTTGGTCTGCATTCGTGTACATGCTACCTAATAGTATCAACGCGTACATCCAATCCCTTACTTTGGAACCGTGACAATAATAGACTGCATCTTGGAGTCATACTGATGAATCTCCACAATCTTCAACCCAGCCTCGCTCAACAGCGCCTCCCACTCAGGCTTAGTTCGCTCAACGCCTCCCAAGCTGTTCATCATAATCAAATCCATGTACGCCGACTGCCAAGGCACGCCCATTTCAGGAAGCACCACGTCGTCGATGATCAAACACGAGTCCGGGCCCATGGCAGGAATGATGTTCTTCAAGATCTGCAAAGATTCCTTGTCGGGCCAGTCGTGGAGCACATGACGGAGATAATACAGCTTGGCCCCCTTGACAGTCTGTGGGCCGAAGAAGTCGTGCTCGACAAACTCAATGCCCGGAACCGGCCTGGCACCCGCCAGAGTTTGCGGGATGTCTTGGACAATAACGCGGCCGGGGAGGTTGGGAAACTTTGCCTTGAATGCGATGGCCTGCTGGCCAAAACCGCCGCCTACGTCTACCAAGACGGCCTCGTCGGGTTTGGTGGCAAGGGAACCGAGCCTCTCCTCGACGGGATACTTGTCTACCCAATGAACTGGGCGTTCCAGTGCCATCAGGTGGCCTAGGCTCTTCATGTGCTTTGGGTGTTGAGGCATCCACTCAAAGAGCGTCAGATCAGTGTCGAAGGCTTTCTGGAAGACGGTCTGCTTGTTGGAGGTGATGTTTTGGTACTTGGTCTCGGCGAGAAAGTCGGGCATGGCCTGGGTACACGGGCCGGGAATATCGAAGCTACAGAAATAGTTAGCTTCTGCCGTTCTGGAGTCGTTGAGAGGGAGACTGACAGTTGGCAAATAGCACCCGCCGCATTGGGGTTCGAAAAGACCTTGGTGAAGGCGCTGGCGGTGTATTCGTACTTCCCGGTCTCTTTCACGAGGCCAAATGCTGCCATGGTACGAAGGAGGCGCGCTGCTATGCATCAGTATTCCGAGCATCTGTTGCTGAACGTGAATCCATGATCCGTACCCAAAAGTTGCGCCGAGGCCCCAGTTTGCTCAGTCAGCTGGCTCAGCGTGACAGGAATATCACTCTGTGTGAGGGTCGTGAAAATGTTGAGGTCGATGCCAATCTTGGCCAGAGCCAGTTGAAGAGGCTTCAAGCACTGTTAGCCCCCTATATCTGACTAGGTGGATGCCGTAAAGGAAACATACCCCGCTGGTGAGTCTCATAACAACATCCCAGTCTGAATAGAAGCCAACTTGCAGCTCACGGATGTAGCCCTGGATCTCTCTTTTCCCGGCATCCTCTGCCTTGGCGTAGAGCTCTTTGATCTGATTGAAGATGGACTCCATATTGACAGTATGTAGTGGAACAGTACCTAGTGCGTGGTGGAAGGTAATACCGTGGTATTCTGTGTGACCACTTTGGGCTGCGAGAGATGTCCTCAAGTAGTATGGGTCTAAACCGGGAAAGGGATGGGTGTACTGATTTACTCCGAGATATCGGTAAAACACAATTCGGATTGTGAAGATCTATGGAAGCGGGTATTCACCCAGATAGCGATATGTCCAGGGCATGTAATGATACAACAGCCCCGTCAAGGCAAAGTAAATGCCATCCCACGGAAATTTGACATGGTCCGACGTTGGCAGCACGCTGACATTCCGCATACCGTACTTTCCATCCTCACTGGCCGCTATCTCCACCATTCCCGCCGCCAGGTCCAAGAAGGAGAGCGGCGTCTTGGCTGTCTCGGTGCTGATCTCGTGGCCACTCTGCCGGTCATGAACCAACCCTCCGGGCTTGACAAAGACGGAAGTCACCCAGCCCTGCTGCGCTCGCAGGAACTTCTCGGCTTCAGCGAGGTCCTTGTAGAGATATGATACGGCAGTGCTGAGGATCGAGTGAACAAAGGCAGGAACGTCTCCGCAGAAGGACTCCTCGAGTGAGGCTGAGGAGAGCTGGATGAGTTTCGGAAGCCGTGGGTGGGAGTTGTGCTGGTCAGCCTCATGCCGAATCCGATCGAGAGCCGAGATGACAACCGATGCCGTGTCCCGAGCCACGGTGCAACCTGGCATATTGTCCACTATTGCAACCACGAGGAACACGGCCCGGGTACCGCGGATGCAGTCGGCAATGAGCGAGATATCGTCGAGATGACCTTCAAACACCTTCACCTGCTTGTTGTTGGCGGCTTCGGGGCAGACACGGAAGAGCTTCTCTTTGGACCGACAATAGGCGTTGATCCGGTTGACGGGTGATTGCAGGAGGATTTGCATCAGAGCTTTGCCCGTGTTGCCTGTGGCACCAAGCACTGCATAAGAAGGCATCGTTGATAGCTATCCCGAGCCAGCACGGCAAACGCTTTGTGGAATGAGATGAGGGAAAGTCGATTATCGCACATGCCTAAGTACCTTAGCTGGGAGGGCCATTCCTGTCAGCAACGCCAAGTCCGAGGCGTTCTCGGTGACCGATACCCCTCCCCGATGCAGCTGTCATGGCCGGTACAGTACCTGATTGGCGTACAAGTTAACACTCTTTCCTCAGCATCAACGAGCAGGTGAGGTGCTCTGTCAAGTTTCCGCTTCCAATTCACAACCGCAATGGCTTTCCCAAGAGAAAGATGCATCCCCAAAGAGATCTCCCCGTATAACATTCAACTTTCGCCTGAAGACACTCCAGGCAATACCCACGTCAAGGTTTTGACCCAAGAAAGCGCAGACAAGGTCTCTGAGCTGCTGATGGTAAATCATGTACGCTACCACACTCTCTTTGATGCCGTGGGCTTCCACAGTAAGTTCGCAAACGCATTGTACTGTAAACTGTATGAAACGGCTTCTGACATGGCTCTGTAGACCACACCGTGCACCATCTTCTCACACTTTGGGCCCTGGGCGCCACTCCATCAGAGGTGCAGGCCATGTACGATCTCAACAAGCCGTACCAGGCCCTCATCCAGTACCATCCAGCGTCAGTAGCTGCGGTTAAACTGAAAGAACCTGCATTCTTCAAGCAGTGCATTGGAAACCTGGACTACTACCAGGACTATGTTCGGTTTTTCCAAGACGAGATCGCCGTGAGGGGGGTCCCGGCTGTCGTGAACGAGTACCTGTTCAAGGGGGATGAGTTATCCGACGACATTTTTGCGCGCATGCATTCTGGCTTTCTCCATCCCATGATCCACCTCGGCTGTGGCCTGGAGTTTAGCCAACCCTGTCTCGTCGCCGAGGCTCTCGCAGCGGGCTGTGTTCATGACGAATGGCCAGAGTGGTTCATCTTCCCAGTGGAGGAATATCTCAAGTCGAACCCGGATGTCCCGTCAAAATCGCTGCTGGAAATCGTCACTGGTCTTCAAAACGACCCCGTCATTGCTAACGCCGTGACACCTGACGACCCCCTCAACAAGATATCTGACGGCCTCTTGAAAAAGGTGGCCAAAGAGCTGGTGCCATATCTGGCCTCATACCAAGTCGATGCAACACCAGAGGACCTCCAACAAAAGACCACCGCCATGATACACACCTGCGCGTACATTCTCGGGGCAGCCCAGCATCCCGGCAAGGTAGAAGCCATCGACTTTGTCATGCTTCACATGTCCACGCTGGGAATCTTCTACCCGACCTTTATGGCACAAGATTGGATCTCCAACGAAAACAAGAAGCGGATGCTGCAGTGGAAGGCTTGGGGAGATGCGGTGATGTATGCCGGGTGCGGATGTCCCAAGCTGTACCCTGAGAGGGTTACTGGGTACACCCCTAAGCGCCCCCAGGACGGCTGGCCAGAACTCTGTCACCGGGCCAATGTCTATGGTGACGATGGACACATTTCCAAGGTCATCCGGGCTATGCTAAACACCCAGGAGCTACCCGAGCCGGTGGAAGGATTCCCCCTGGCGAAGAAGGATTTCCTCAAGATTGCGCATCTGGCTTTGGACTCTGTGGAGAGGATGCTGGAGCCAGGACAGTACAAAGTCCCTGATAAGATCAAAAAGACTGTGGCAGAAGAAATGCGACAAGATGAGGAGATTGTTAGGGTAATGGTGCGGTGGGTGCGTTGGTGCGGTGTGGAAGGATCGTGGGATAACTTCCCGGACCTTGTTGAGAAATCACGGGATGAGGAGGCAGTGGTTGGAGATGCTAGAATCGCTGCGACATAACGTAGTATCATCACTTGTCCTGTACTGCTTATTTGCCAAGACATAATCCACAGCCTGGTGCTCTAGAATCCGATTTAAAAATAGATACATATTATGACCTCTTCTATTTCATGTAGTATATTACTATATCGTTATTAGCCTTATATTAATACAAGCGTATTGCATGTTATCCCAGGCCGAGAATCCCACTTTGAGAATCTTACTACATGCTACCACAGGCACATGTTACATTGCAGATCATCGCTTCCGACCGTACTCAAGCTTCATGTTCTTACGGACTCATAAAGCGATGGATAGTCCCACCGCTGCCTCTCCAGTTCTAAACCACCTCGTTTGAATCCTCCCTATGCAAAAGTAAATATAGATCGAATTACGGTTTCCAATATGCTCGTGACAACCCTTCTTTCCGCCATGTCAACCCTTTCAAGGGCGGCACCCACCACAACCACCGTCGACTCAACAGAACTCGGCCAAGGTCCTTACCACTACGACTTCGGCTGGACCAAACCCTTCATCAGCTCCTGCAGCAACAAGACTGTCGATGTCAAGTTCCGCTGGTCCATCAAAGGCCTCCAATACACCACCTCTTCCACATTCATGTCACCCACCGAAGAACAAGAACAGAAGCCCAGCATCGAGTCGACTTACTTCAGCTTCAACCTCACCAACCCCGCCATCGGGGGCCTAGCTCGCTGCAACACCACCATGTCCGGGCCGATACCAAACGCGACCCATGTATTCTGGTGCGACAAGTGGCTTTCAGTCGACGCTGGGACGGTTGGGCTGTATGGGACCCGTGGTCCACGGCTTCAACTGAGGTTTCATGAGAAGACGCTGTTGCTTAATGATGGGTGGAAGTGTGATGAGCCAGGGCAGAGAAGTAATGGCGAGTAAGTACATCCTTTCCTTTTGATTTGACGATGACATGGATACCGCAAGGTGTTGACACAAAGTGTGTTCAGCATACAATACAGCGCAAGAGGCCTTGTAGAACTGGAATACTCGCAGTGTACTGGGGCATCTTCAGTCACCGGTGACTGGAAGCCCGGTCAGATTTATTCGCAAAAGACAATCGGTTGTCGCGCTGACCAGATCGATCTTAAGCCGAATTATCTACTTGGGGTGTAGTGAGTTGCCCTCCATGTTTGGTTGAGTGTAAACGTGGAACTATGTACAAGCTACTGACGTTGAATTAGCTCTGCTGACCCCTTTTTCTTGGTTATTGGGGAGTGGTAAAATGTTGAAGTCCTGCACGTCTGGGACACAGATGGTAGCATCTCCTTGCGTCACATTGAGATCGAGCGATAAGAGACATGATATATGAAAATCACTTGGAATTCATTTAAGAGCAGCTCTACTTGTACTCTACTCTTTCAGTCGAGGAAGATGCCTTGAACATTTGTCCCTTGAAAAGGGGTGAATAAGGGGGTGCACAGTATGGCCACTCAGGCCACACAGTGCCCGCACTGTTTGGGCCACAACGCTCCAGAAAAAATTCACAACTTTTGGCTGCCCGCAGTGATGAAGTCACACACACCCCAGCTCTCACTTTCACATTCAATCTCAACCCTCATATTCCAGTCTGCTGCCTATCTATTGTCGTGAGAATCAATCTCGTGATTTCCCCTCATTTCAATTCGATTTTACGTCACTTCTGAGGCCCCCCTCAAACACCGAAAATGGCCTCGATCCAATTTCAAGAAGAAGAAATCGACGACCTCATCTACCTCGCCCGTGTCGGTGACAAAGACGAGCTCTCCACTCTCCTCTCAGGAATCATTGCCCGCCAGACCACCGACAGGATACCCACTCCCGCCGACGTTCTCGCCCAGGCGGTAGACGAGAGCAGCAAGAACACAACCCTGCACATGGCCAGCGCCAACGGTCATGTTGGTGAGTTGAATTCTCTCATCCTATCCACTATTTTCTTACATGAAACTAAAATAATTTTTGTCAGAAATCGTCGAGTACATCCTCTCCCGGTTTCCAACCACCGACAAGGATCAAAAACAAGCCTTCCTCGACGCCACAAATGAGTTCGGCAACACAGCCCTCCACTGGGCAGCTCTCAACGGCCACCTCCCAATCGTGAAGCTCCTCGTTGAAAACGGTGCGTCTGTTGCGTTGGCCAATGACAAGAACTACATCCCTCTTGACCTGGCGAGCTTCAGCGAGAAGATCGATGTGGTGGATTACTTCCTCAAGGAGGTGCGTGAGATGGAGGCTGAGAATGCAAAGGAGGGTCTTGGGGAGGCTGTGGCGGATGTAAAGGTAGAAGACGGTGAGGAGAATGAGGGCTCTTCAAAAGGAAAGGAGAAGGAGTCAAGCTGAGAGGAACGACGAATGATACCAAAAGAAGAAAAATATGACATGAACTGAGAACTGCTCTTTGATTTGTTTTGTTATTGCTGTGATGTACCCGCCTTACTCTGGCTTCAGAGCATACATCCTAACTGGCAACAACCCGCTACTCTGAAATCCCTTCTGCAGCTCAACCTGCACGAGCTTCAACTTGGCCTCCTTGAAGATGCGTCTAAACGTCGCGTCCTCCCTGGGGTGTTCTTCTGTTAGCAGCAACATCCCTCCCACTCCCCCCCCCCCCCCCCCCCAAAAAAAAACACACACAAACATACCTCGTAACACTACTATCCACCTCATCAAAATCATCCTTCCCACTTGTACTATTATTCTCCTTCACAACAATAAACCCCCCCTTTCCCACATCCAACGCAGCTTTGCACCGCTCCAGAAAGCTCACCAGCTGGTGATCTGTCAAATGCCCCACGCACCACTGGATCCATATCAAGTCATACCTCTCCCCTCCATCTTGCATCTCCCACTGCTCCAACCCCATATTCCACACTTTACCCACCCCCGTCTTCCCCTTGAGCTCATCGGTGAACTTCTGAATCGGCTCAATGACGTCGACTTGCTGGGCGATGCCATCGAGGAGCAACCCCGTCGTCACACGGCCTATTCTATCGGGATGTTGTCAGTGAGTATGAATTGATGGGAGACAAGGTGAAAACAAACCCAGCGCCCCCCTCCAACGCCCTCTCCACCTTCCTCTTCTTCGCGCCAACACCAAGCTTAGCCAAGAAATTTTTTGAGCCTTGGATATCGACTTTGCTGATGTGGGGAAACCCGCCCAACATGCCGTTCACATCTGGGGCAATAGACTCCCAATAGGCGAGGCCGTCGGTGGTGTTGATGAGGGCGTCTGCTGATTGTTGGTCCTGATTCGACATCTTGGTGGGTCCGAGCTGTTCGAGAAGAGGTGACGAAAAGAAGCAAACCTGATCTATTAAAAGTTCTGCTGAATACCGTGAATACTAGCGTGAGATACTGAGAGATAATGAGGGTGGGTCTCTCAGACTTTTGTTGTCGTTGTCAAAAGTTTACTCTGATGCAGTTTCAGTTGGGCAGGTGGTGATGAAAATTACATCGATGAGACGATGCGAATGTGAAATATTACGCGTAATTTATACGGTGTCACGTGCCTAGTGAACGAAAAGACTCAGGGAGAGAGGGTTAGGGTACAAACATTGGATGTCAGGAACAATAAGAATCGGACACAAAAAGAAGAGAAGGACATGGAATATAAGAAACATTAGGGACCCACAATGGTAGTGAATGGTTCGGAGATCTTTTCCGGTGGCTCGCCGCTGTTATTCAAGGTTTGTTGGCCGTCATTTGAACCTGCTGACCTTGGTATTTCTTATCTCATAAGCTGGCTAGACTCATACTCCTTTGGCTTTGGCTATGGCCTCAAAGTGATTCACCCCGAAAGTCAAAAATGAAGCTGGGTAAACCACAACCACGTGGCTCAAAAAGGGGCAAAAGATATTCCCCTCGACCGGAATCGAGCCGGTGACCTTTCGGTATCAATAAATTCCTTTACAGCCGAACGTGATAGCCAACTACACCACAAGGGGTTTCCTGGTTGTTGATGGGGAAGGCCAAAGTGGCACCTATGTGGGGACCAACCACCGTCGACTGGCTTATCTCCAAGAGACACCAACAACACCACTTGCACTTGAGGCAGCGAAAGCCAGCTGCAGGTTCCCGTATCACTAGTCCGCGTGCATTCTCGCGCAGAGATTGTCATCCAGCCAGGTACTCAGATCCCCATAACTGTCCACGGCCTGTATCTCAGCTTTGATGTTCAACATCAGCATGCGCTGTAGTTCCTGTGCATGTTCCAACCCGCCGCCGGAGGGCAGCTCGACAGAGGAAATGGCCCTCAGGATATCGCCAGCTTTCTTTCGGTCCCTCAAAGTGAGAGAGGACACTTTGTCGCTTGGATTTTGAAAATCTGACAGCCTGGGTCTTTTGGCCGGCCGCTGATGATCGGAGTCTGGCGCGAGTAGGTTAATAACTGTCACGAAACAGAAAGAAGGGGACCTGCTCACTTTCCACCAATTGAGGAGATCCCCCGCCTGTGGTTCCATGTAATTCTTGGTCCTCCTCATCGTCAACTGCTGGACTTTGCCATGAAGAGAGGAGATCGCGACTCTTAATCCCAAGCCAGCAGAGCGAGGGGACAGTTGCCTCGTTCTCATGCTCTAGGCGTCTACTGCCATTCTGGTATGTTCTGACAATGGAAATACCGTCAGGGTCAAAGTCTGCGAGACCAAAAATCACTAGACTCGGCCGCATGGAATGTACAACAGACAAGAACCTTCGGGTGGCCAAGTCAGGGAATCCTTTGGCCTGGCAGACAGAGAACTTAGTTATGAACACATCATCTGTAATATTGAAGCCATACCGTGATGAGGATTCCGTGACCTGCTCGGGAGTTCTTTGCATATTGAGCTGCAGCAAGAGTTCGGAAAGTTGCCTTGATCCCATGTCAGCCGGGCCATTTAAGCGCGATAGTCTCAGCTGACCTCTTTCTCAATCACCAAAATCCACTGCACCTCATGAAAGCCAATGCTCCGGATCTCGCTTGTGGATGGCAAAAGAATACCCTACGACCATCAGCATACAACCCTTGTGTTTGATCGTCTCAGGTAATGTCTCACGGTACTATGAGAGAGCCCACAGTCAATGACGGAACCGTCTCGACTGATCAACATGAAGGGGCCTGAAATAAGGCCTTTGGCTGTCGCAACCTATGATCGTTCCAGTCAGAAATTTCACTCAATGAGAAGTAACAGATGCCTATTTACAATGTTCAAATCGCCTCGGCCGACACCGAGGGTGAAAGCAAGATTGTCCACCATGACATCAACTGCAGCTTGTGAGCCGAAAAGATCTGGACTTTGGTAGTATATGTTTCTGATTACTCAGGTGAGTGAGCCAACATCCCAGTCTTGGAGGTAGGTCCTCACAAACAGACCTCTTGGTGATCAACATTCCCGACAGTAAAGCCTCGTGGGAAAGCTCAATGATGCATAGTAAGGCTTCTATCCACAGAACCAATTAGATGAAATCGCTCGATACGCCCCGGTTCACTAACCAAATTTCTTCGCTTCCTGGATGGTACGACCTGGGAATCTCACCACACCAGCTTGGCGCGCCGCTGGCGGGCCTTGTGAGCGCCCGGGGCGTGATGCTCGGACAGTTCTGTAGGGAATCAGGATTTCGTTTCCGGTCGTGACAGCATCAACAATTGCTTCGAGAAGCGACTCGATTCGGTCGAGGGCACCGTTGCCAGCGACAGCGACGACATTGACCGCGTCGTAGTTGACAGAAGAGGCACCAGATGAATCTTGGCTGTGAGTACCAGTGCCTTGAGAATACCCCTCAGTTGAATTTGTCGATATTTCGTCCATGGTGATCGGGTTGGCGCCGACTTACACCAACATCTGACAGATGATGCACAAGTCGCTTGCTTCTGCACTGGGGAAATACCCAGGCTTTTCGGCTCCTTCCCATTCTTACTTGCAATTACGGTAGTACTGCAATTGTTGCCAGCCCAGTGTTCCTTCCTCGTCGAGTTGACCTGATCACACACTGATCTGGCAGTGCTCCTTCCCAATGTCATCGGAAAGATTCCGACATGGATGAGGTCTCTCTCACATGCACTTTGGTGGGCCCGTGCGTCACTGCCAGCTTGACGGGTGGATCCCGTTGCTGCAGCCCCTGAAATTCAACGGACGACGGGTGATCGCTGTGGCCCGATTGGCGAATCCAAGACAGCTCAGTCCACGGCCAAAATGTTTGCTGGCTCTTAAAACCAACTGTTCCTCCGCTCTTTCGTGGTACGGCACCATAATTTCGTATAGCTCGTCACGATGGGAAAGAAGGATGCTGCGGGAGTGTCCTCGGACACTCAACCTCTCCTCGAGAAGTCCTCCACCAAGAAGCGCCTGAGCTTCGACCTCACCGACCATGTCGCAAAACGCCAAAGAATCGAAGAGCGAACTGACCATACACGATGGCGCATGCGCGACGACAAAGGACGCCAATCATGGGTGTATCTCGAGGACGACCAAGCTCTTAAAGATTGGCCCCAGAGCTTTGCTGACAAGTACTTTCTTGGCCTTCCTGTGGTACGTTCTTCTAGGCTTTTCAGGGCTTTACCATGGTCGAAACACTGCTCGAAACACTACTAACAATGTCTTAAAGAATGCCCCCGATCTCCCAAAGCCGACGAACCCTCTCGATGCGGTCCGAAACGGTCTCGAATTCTTCGAAAAGCTCCAACTGCCCAGCGGTCACTGGGGCTGCGAATATGGCGGTCCCATGTTCCTGCTACCGTGCATCGTTATTGCTTGGTATGTCACCAAGACGCCAATTCCCTGGTATTACGCGACCGAGATCAAGAACTATTTGTTTGCGCGCGCCAATCCCGAAGACGGTGGCTGGGGTCTGCATATCGAGGGCGAGACATCAGTCTTTGGAACATCGCTCAACTACACTGTCCTGCGGATTGTAGGTGTTGATGCCGACCACCCGGTGATGGTCAAGGCTCGCGCCACTCTGCACAAGATGGGAGGAGCGACACATGCCCCCCACTGGGCCAAGTGGTGGTTGGCCGTGATGGGAGTTGCCCAGTGGGATATCGTTAACCCAACACCCCCCGAGTTGTGGCTTCTCCCAGACTGGGTCCCTATTGCCCCTTGGAGATGGTGGATCCACATTCGCCAAGTGTTTCTGCCCATGAGCTATCTGTGGTCCAAGAGGTGGCAGGCTGAGGAAACGGCACTGATCCGCTCCCTTCGGCAAGAGTTGTTTGTGGAGGACTGGGCCAAGATCAATTGGGCTTCGCACCGCAACACCATCAACCCCAGGGACAACTACCATCCTAAGACGTGGGTGCTCAACACGGTAAACTGGTGTCTTGTCAATATCTGGAACCCAGTTTTGCGGACACAGGCGATTGCTAAAAAGGGCGAGGAGTGGGCCATGAAGCTCATCGAGATGGAGAATGAGAACACCGACCATGCTGATTTGGCCACGGTGTCAGGGCCCATGAACACGGTGTGCCTTTATGTCAAAGAGGGACCCGATTCCTATGCTGTGCGCAGGCATCGCGAGAGAGCCCATGAGTTCCTCTGGATGAAGGACGAGGGTTTGCTTGCCAATGGCACCAACGGTGTTCAGTGTTGGGATACTGCCTTTGCCATTCAGGCTGTGATGGATGCTGGTTTAACCGAGGATCCCCGTTGGCGGCCAATGCTGATGAAGGCGCTCGAGTTCTTGGATGATCAACAGATTCGCGAAAATGTCAAGGACCAGGACAAATGCTATCGCCAGCAACGCAAAGGCGGATGGGCCTTTAGCAACAAGGATCAAGGCTATGCTGTCAGCGACTGTGTTTCGGAAGCTCTCAAGTCTGTCATCATTCTCCAGAAGACTCCAGGTTTCCCAACCCTCATTGATGATCGGAGAATCTTTGACGCCATTGACACTCTTCTGACATACCAGAATCCTTCTGGCGGATGCTCGTCATATGAGCCCCCTCGCGCGGGTACTTGGATGGAGGTATTGAACGCTGCTGAGGTGTTTGGCAACATCATGGTCGAGTATGAGTATCCCGAGTGCACAACTGCGGTGGTCACGGCTTTGTCCCTCTTCCGCAAGCACTGGCCGGAATACAGAACCAAAGAGATCGAGCGCTTCATCGAGCGCGCCGTAAAGTGGATCAAGACTGCCCAGAAGCCACATGGTGGGTGGTATGGGAGCTGGGGTATTTGCTTTACTTATGCCACCATGTTTGCCCTTGAGAGTTTGGCCAGCATTGGTGAGACATATAAGAACAGCGATTATGCCAAAAGGGGCTGTGACTTTTTGATCTCCAAACAGAGAGAGGACGGTGGTTGGTCTGAACATTACAGGGTATGTTCTGCTTTTCCATTTTGTCACAATTGCAGGATGCTAACATGATGCAGGCATGTGAGACGGGCGAGTACATTGAGCATCCTTCAGGATCGCAAGTTGTCATGACTGCCTGGGCGGTAATTGCTCTCATGAAGGCAGACTACCCAAATCTTGAACACATCAAGAAAGGTATCAAGCTGATCATGGACCGCCAACAAAGCAATGGCGAGTGGCTTCAAGAAGCCATTGAGGGTGTCTTCAATAAGAGCTGCATGATTTCGTACCCCAACTACAAGTTTACCTTCACCCTGAAGGCTCTGGGCATGTTTGCTCGCAAGTACCCGAACGAAACTGTGGTTTGAGGACGATGGGTCAGAGAAAGAAAAAGATGATGACATGAGGCAAGATGGCAAAAGCATATGATGATGGTTTGGAGACATTCGATAATGCTTTATACGTAATACTTAATTCATTTATTCCCCTTTCAGTCTTCATACAATTTCATTTCCCCCCTTTCAGTGCCACCACTTGGTGATGTTACTCTTGAGGAAGGCGGTGAAACCATTGCTCGTCATGGACCCCACTTCTGCAGGCATCCGCAGGTGGCAGAATTAGGTTGGCTGCAGGCTGACCCAAGCTTGTTGGTGTGGTACCCCGCCAAAGCTTCCCCTGGTCAGAAGCTCTCTTGGGCTTCTTCTTTACAGTTCGACAAGTATCTTTGGGCCAACCAGCTTTACACTTCTCATTCAAAGTTCCAGCTTCACTTTGTCTGTCACTTACAAAGATCCCTTCAACTACTTGTCTATAACAACCTATCTCCGCCTCCGTTGATATCTTCTCATCCATCCATCACCCTCTCCCCAGCTGCCATCATCGCCAAGACGGAACTAGATAGGTACCTACCCGATCGACCCGTTCCGACCTCCCGGCAACTTCTCACCAGGATGGCGGCTACATCGTATGCCTACCGTGGCCTCGAGGCCGTCGAAAAGAAAGATTGGGCCGCTGCCGTTCCCCTTCTCGACAAGGCGCTGGAGGGTTCAAACTCCCCTCTTTGGCTGTTGGCCCGCTCGCACGCCCACCTCGAACTTAAGAACTATGAGGATGCCCTCCGCGATGCCGAACTTGCGTACCACGTTGCTGCCGAGAGAGGATCTGGGAGAAAGCAAATGATCGACGCCCAGTATCGCCGTGCTACCATTTACCACAGACTTAAGCAATATGCCGACTCGGACTGCTGTGCCAAATGGAGCATGCTCTTGGCAGAGGGTCGCCCAGCTCGTGAGGATGACGGGGTTGAGAAGAACGTTGATGCCGACGGGTACTACACGGTTACATACGAGGATGCGGTTGCCGATAACGCGAACCAGCCGGATTACTCCATGAGGGAGAGCTTGAAAGATCCAGGCGTGAAAGACCCAAATGCAAAGACGATCAAGACTGGGTTTGAGTCACAGTGGAAACGAGCGTATACGTGGAGAACTGTCGTTTTGGGGATTCTAAAGAGGCTGCCGAAGAATGACCCAGGGCGCAAAGTCCATGTTTCCAAGATACCACCAAAGCCAGAGCTGAAGAAGGTCGAGAAGAAGGCCGAGCCTCTGGTTGTGGAGCTGGACAGCGAGGATGAGAAGCCGGTTGCGAAGCCCAGCGAGCCTGCGCCGGGAAGTGTACCCGATGAGAAGCTCAAGCTTCGTACCGACTTTTACCAGTCCAACCAAAACGTAACAGTTTCACTGTTTGTCAAGGGTACGAAGAAGGAAGAGCTTAACGTCAAGTTCTCGAAGAACCAGGTATGCCAATCTGAACTTGGGCACATGCTGATCGGCTACTAACGGGCTGCAGGTTCAAATATCACCAATTGCTCGCGCCGCGGCCCCATACGTAAAGCCTGGCGACCGCGAGGCTTCCTCGACCTTGCACCTGAGCGGCGAGATCAATCCCGCTGGTTCTCGTTGGACCGCCACCCCATCGAAGATTGAGCTCGTTTTGCAGAAAGCTACACCAGGGAAGTGGGGCTCGTGGGGCAAAGAGGAAATCGGCATCGTAGAGAATGCGGATCAAGAAGAGGATATTGAAGAGGTCACCCCTTCTTCATCCAACCAGGCTTCGGCTCCTGCTGTCAAGCCTGCCGCTGCTCCAGCCTACCCCACCAGCAGCCGGACCGGACCTAAGAACTGGGACAAGCTGGAGGAGCTGGAAGGGGTCGAGGACACTGAGAGCGATGTCAATGCCTTCTTCAAGAAGCTTTACAAGGACGCCTCCCCTGAGCAGCAACGCGCCATGATGAAGAGTTTTACTGAGAGTAATGGGACAGCTCTCAGCACGGACTGGAGCGATGTGAAGGGGAGGAAGGTGGAGACGGTGCCGCCTGAGGGTGTCGAGGTCAAGAAGTGGGATAGCTGAAGGTGGTCCCGAGGTTGGGATTTATTCTCTTGAGAAGTGGGACCGGTTGGAAGGTTAATGGCAGTGATAGCGACGTGAACTTTTGTATCATGTTTTATTAGAGTGGTGGATAGGGGATGATGGCGTTGTGTTAGGCGCTGGCGTTGGAGTGTTTACAAAAGCGAAGCAAACTGGGCTGGTAGTAATGAGGAATATTTTTTACTTTGATCGTGCAATGTGAAGGGATGGTTCAGAGATGAGACAAGTCGGTCTTGGACGCTCTTTGGAATGTGAACCAGGATATTTATACATTTGAGGGGTATTCCCAACAGGAAGGATGGCTCTTGGATTTGGAAGGAGCGTCAAGAGGCCACTTATAGGCCTCGAGGGTAGCTCATGGGACATATTGCACGTTGAGAAGGCGTAGAACACTTGAACAATGTTCCAAGATACCAAGATCTAAATATATCTGCGACAGTGCCCATCTTACCAAGTGAGCTCAGTCTTTTGCAAGAAGAAACAAACCTGGGCGTGTCGTGAGATATTCATCATCTAGGTAGGCTAATTACAATTCTATGTTCTAAAAAAAGGGGGTATAATCAAGTATTCGCCCGCTCATGCATCATGCTCATGGTCTAATCAACACGATCCTTACTTGTCGATCGGCAGCTGTTTGCGCCCTCAGCCGCGACCGGCGTCGACGGCCGCAAACTTGTCCCCTCCACATCATCCAGCCGGGTGACGCTCATATCCGGACGTACCCTGAAAGTCTGACCCCTCCAATTCACCGTGGCTCCAAGAAGGACAGCCCAGGTCCAGATGGGAAATGCCAGAAACTCTCTCCCCAGCCAAGCGGCAAACCAAGTCAAAAACGGCTTCTTCTTGATTCCTCCTGTTCGCGTCGAGCCCAGGGCAAAAGCCGGCGTGTTTTCATCCACATCAACACTCTGCAGCTTATGCAGCTTGGCACTCAGCAATCTATCCACGACCATCCAGACAGTGACGGCCGAGATCCAAATGGTACCAAACGCTTTCCAAGTAGGAGGTATTCCAAAAAAAGAGCGGAACCAAGGCAATGTCGTGAAGGCAAAGGCCATGTGGAGGCACCCGATCAGAGATTCCACACCTGGCTCCACAAGCGTGGCCGTTAACACGGTCCACTTCCGTACTCGAAGCCATCGTACACGGCGAGCAATGTAAGCGGCAACAGTCATGCCCGACATGGGCTGAATAGCTACCTCGCCGTGGACGAGCCCGTGGTTCTTGAAGCCTGGGATCTTCGACTTGAAAATCAGATCGCCAATCAGGTGGTCCTCGCAGATGTAGGACGAGAAATAGTCGACACCCCGCCCACGAGCAGCATCGGCGGGGGGAATGAGGGGGTTTCGAGCGGGGTCGGTCAGGCGTTCCAAGTGAGACTTGCGAAACATGTTGCTCTTGCCAACGACACAGGGGGCGATACCAACTGTATTGATGGCGCTGTAGAATTTTGCGTGGGTGGTTGCCATGAACATCTCTTCGAGCCTGCCGCCATAGTCAAGGAGGCTCTTTGGCGCGCTGGTGTTGATAGGCCCCGACAGAAGTGCCTGTTCCTCTTCTGTCGCTGTCTTTGGCGTCTCGAGATCAATAACGAGAGGTAGTTGGTGGACAAACTTGTAGGGCTTGGTGCGAGTTCCATCGGGCAAGAAACCGTCCAGCTTGTCCACCATTCTTCCTGCCGAGTTGGCCCCAAGCCAAACATTACAGTCTGCTATCCAAATAATATCGCCCTTAGCCTCTCGGTATGCGCGGCTGATGTTGCGGATTTTGGGATTTGGCCCAAGCTTGTCAATGTGCCCGCCATCGCCATGCAAAACAGGATCTTGCTCCTCAACGAACACCTTGGCGTCAAAGTCAGGATAGGCAGCGACGACTTTCTGTAGAACCGGGTAGGCGGGATCTCTCGTCGAATCAACGCATAGGTAGATAGTGAGCTTCGACTTGGGGTAGGCAAGCTGGAAGGTTGACGCGAGACATTCGTAGAGGCCAGCCTCGGCGCCCTTTACCGGTCGAATGACGGTGATGTGCGGTACTTCATCTTTCTCGAGGGTTGGGGAGAAAGGTTTTGGGTGAGGAGCTGAGTTGTTTCGGAGGCTAAAGACACAAAGAGGTGGTCGTTAGTAAACACCGAAGACAGTACCATGGTGGGACGTCAAGGTCGTACATTTTGCAGATACCAATTCCTTGAACGGAAACGATGATGCAGGTCCAAACGAAGCTGACCAAGGCCGCGCCCTGGACGATCATCGGCATTTGGTCATTGTGAGCAGGCATCGAGATAGAATAGCAACGCGCGCAGAAACTTAGGGGAAAAGGAAAGGATCGTGATCGTGATCGTGACTGTGATCAGCAGCTTTGCTGACGGAAGATTTCGGTGACACAGGATATAATAAAAACAGAGGCGCATGGCTGGCTGGCAACAAGTCGCATGTCAGAAGCTAAGTCCCCATGTGGGGCGTCGCTGCCCTCTCTGATCGACCCTCGCACCGCGAAGAGTAACCACGACACGCGATGTGATCAGTCATTGCAGGCATGGGCGCGGTAGGATGAGGGCATTTTGCGCATCTCCGGAGGCGCCGGAGACATTTTCTGGTAGATGACAAGTTCGAAAACAAAGATTCCGGCTGGGCCGTTGGATTTCTGATGACGGTGCTCGGCGGAGCTTCTTCAGAGCTCCAGTGAGAGCCCCCGTTAGGTTTGGCGCAACGGCCGGGGGGCACCTGGAAGCTTGTTCCAGATGTTCCGATAAACTGCCGGCCGGCAACCTTGGAGTGACCCACACTTCCAGGGCATGGCGAGTGCCTTTTCGCCTGACAAGTCAGGCCAAATGCAGAAAATTTCGGGAGCTTCAAAAGCTTCCCACAAGCTCTTGTCAGCTGCATCCCACTTTCCACTTCCATTCCAACAACAAGTCGCACAATCGCAACATTTCTTTCCACCGGATGTGACAGAACACCCCGTGTGCGATATGTCAACTTGATATCTTTGTTTGCTGTCAGCAGATATCTTTTGGACCGCTGAATGGGCCACAATCTGTTTGTACCTCGCAAGAGTGAGTTAACACATCATTCCCTTTTCTTCGACTTCTACCGATACCATTGCCCTCGAGTGAGGCCAATTGGTATCGCACACATTGCGATGATGACTACTTTGGAGCTTAGAGCAAATATCCTTCAGTGGATGCTCAATGTATGCCCATGTATTAGACTACAACGGTATCTGAGCAATGTCGAGTCAAACAATTTTTGGGGGGATCATGCACAGCTGCCATCTTGACTGTATACTGACGTTTCCTAGCTCAGGTCGATATGAGTGACAATGGCGACGGTTGAACCTACAGTCAGTCCCGCGACTGCGCCTCCCGGCGACTCGAGCAAAACAGTAACCACAAGGGCCCCAGCTGGGCCGCCGAGGACGCCATTGAATCAAATCTATGCGCTGCCCGCACCCATTCGGACCTTCCCTTTACCTGCGTTCTATCCAAACAACCCAATTTCTCTTTTTCACTTGGTGTACGCCTGGTTGAGACAGGTTCTGTCCCCGCCATCCAAAGAACCGTCTGTCATCCATATTGGAGTATGGGATCCAGATACATGTTCTGTTCATGTCCCAGACCCAGCGTCCATCCGGGCTCTCTGGGAGCAGGGATTCTTTGGCAAAGGAAGTCTGAGTCGTAGTGAGCCTAATTGGCTGAAGAGGGAGCTCGCTCGGCGAGGTTCGCCCGAAGGAAAGACGGTGAGCGAGGTTCGCACAGAGTCGCGTCGTGAGGAACGCCGCCTTGCCAAATGGGAAAGAGCAAGGGCAGAGCTGGAGGCTATTGAACGCCAGAGGCTTGCCGAAGCTGCCCTCCAACACCATCACCGGTAACAACCGAACCCCGACCTGAGACCAAGAGTGCCCCTGAGGAAGAGGCCGTGTCTGCCAAGCTCCCCCCGTTGAAGCTCCCTAAGCCTGTGGTCAAGTCATTCTCGATGCCGAAACTGAAGAACCCAGTCCCTACTGGACTACCCTCGCCGCCTCTGGAGAATGGAGTGTCCAACGGTCATGTAGCGCACGGAAAGCCCCCTGTCGGACCTGCAGAGATTCTTGCGTTGCCTAACTCGTTGGCGAAGATCAATGGCACCCTGAACAACATGATGCTTACAGAGCTGAGACCACCCACTGGCCCAGCAGAGTTGCTGGCCCTGCCCAACTCAGCAGCAGACCTTGTCACGAAGTCGGGCTTGGCATCCACTGTGAATGTCTCTGGCGAACAGGTGAATGGTGTCAGCCCGATTGATGGCCTCAGTGGTCATACAGGAAAGGCGAGTGCCTTTGCCCACACGGTAGGTGACGCTCAGGAAACACACAAGCCCATCTTCCCCGAGGACTTGCTACCCACACCTTGCTGCACCCCTACCAAACGGTCAGCAACCGGCTCTTCCGTCCAGGATAAAGAAGAACCCTCGCAGCCCGTTGCCAAACGTCAAAAGAGCGTCCGTTTCTCTCCCCAAGTCGAGTCCACCACCTTCAACCGTGGTGATCCGCCCAGTCCCGGTCTCGTGTCACCAGCCGAGCCAGCTGCCAAGTCGAATAGCTTTGCTGTCCCTGCTACCGCTCTGGAGATTCAGGATAAGGAACACTTCCAGCTCGCGCCCGAAGAAGCCTTCTTTCTCGCCTTCTCACTTGGCGCTCTCAAGGTCATCGACCCCAAGACCAGAGAACCAATCTCCAACGAGCGACTGCTCAGTCTTTTCCGCTCCTATTCCTACTTCCCCCCCTCGGCTGGTCTTCGCCCTGACGACCCGTTTCTCGTACACTACGCCGTTTATCATCACTTCCGCTCCCTCGGCTGGGTGCCACGTCATGGCATCAAGTTTGGTGTCGATTGGATTTTGTACCAACGTGGTCCGGTGTTTGACCACAGTGAGTTTGGCCTGATGGTCATGCCTGCTTTCTCGGATGCTCGGTGGGAGGAATACGAACATGAAAAGCCGAAGAAGTCGTGGTCTTGGCTGATGGGTGTCAACCGTGTGCTGTCACACGTCTTGAAGAGTCTGGTGCTTGTTTACGTCGACGTGCCGCCTCCTCCTGTTTTCGATGAGGCGATGAAGGAGGGTGGCATTGCTGCTGCTCTCAAGAAGTACAAGATACGGGAGGTTATGGTCAGGAGATTTTCCGTCAACCGCAACAGATGATGATCTTTTTTTGTATAACCTATAAATGCATTGGGACGGCGTTGGTATTTTCAGGTTGGATTCTGTACAACAAAATGGCAGCATGGAATGGCATGGGAAAAAGGCAGGCAGTATTTATGCATGGACCTCGGGTCCCAAATCTGAAGCTCGTTTCATCATCTTGTATCTCTTTTGGTGCCCGCCTTCGCACATGTTTGCCTTGCCCCAAGAACGTCAATTCCTCTTCCTCCTCCCCACCATCCACAAATCCCTAAACCTCGAACCCTCCTGATCAACAAGCTCTCTCGGCTTACCATCCTCCACAATCCTCCCCTCATCCATAACAACCACCCTGTCAAAATTCATCACCATACCCAGCCGATGGCTGACCATCACAATGGTATACCCAGCAAACTCATCCAAAATCATCCTCTGCATCGCCTCGTCAGTATCCTTATCCACACTAGAACTAACCTCATCAAGAAGCAGCACCCCTCCCTCGTTTTGCTTCCCCTTGTCTCTAGCACGGATCCGTCCTCTGAGAATCGCCCTCGCCAAGCTAAAAAGCTGTTTTTGTCCCTGAGACAACGTGTCTGATGACATGGGCGCTTGCAGGCCGCCTCGTTCCGAAACAAAGGACTGCCAGAGGGAGACAATCCCCAACACAGAGCGACATTCTTCTTCGGAGGCGAGCCCAAACGGGTCGAGGTTGGCTTGGAAGGAGGTTCCGTCTGGGAGGAAGACTGGGTCTTGGGGGACGGCGATGATGCGCTGGCGGAGGGTGGAGCGGTGGATTTTGGTGAGGGGGAGGGAGTCGATTTCTATGGTGGAGGCGGGGGAAGAAATAGGGTCGAGGAGGCGGAGGAGGAGGAGGAGGAGGGAGGATTTGCCGCTGGTGATGTTAGCTCATTGTCAAGACTGGAGACGAGTACAGGGGGGAAGGGGGACGAACCTGCCGCTTCTACCGCAGATGGCCACCTTCTGACCTGGAAGGATATCAATGTTCAGATCTTTGAGGGCGAAGTTCTGGCCTTCTACCCCCGGCTTGCCATCCTTGTCCCCGCTGTAACAACAACTGTCAAGGCTGGACCTGGAAAAAAGCGTCAAGGGGGGCGGCTACCTTCACTCATGATCTTTGCCACATGAGACGCCACCTTCACCGACAAGAGCCCTACCAGTGAC